TGTTAAATTAGTAAAGTCAGTATTAGTATTATAGAAAAGAATTATCAAAAAGAGCGTTGTAAGAGGTAGAAACAGGATGGTAAAGTATAATAGTAGTAGTAATAAGAGTATAAAGGCTAAGTTAGTAATAATCTCCTATATTCAAAGCTAATCGCTGATCTTCTAAGACCTACGGATATCAGCGAGCAGTATATAGACAATGTTGCCACTATCTTACCGCTTCTAGTTACCCATTTCTATTATATTCAAGAATTTAGAAGCCTTGCTTCTAAATATAAATATCTCCGTAATCCCCTATTAGGCTATTACAAGCGTACAGATTCAGTAGAACAAAATATCATCTCATCTCTTTTGATTTTTTACTTACTTTTCTTCTGATTTATTTTTTTATATTATGCTCAACGAAACTTACAGAGCTATCTCAAGCAATATTCTAGTATATTATTGTTTTGTTTTAGCTTATTGAAGGCTTTACCTGTCAACTGAAAAGGTTGTGCTTACTATCAGATACTAAGATAGTCTAGATAGAAAAATCGAATATCTTTACTATATCACTTCGATTTTAAGTTGTATCAGTCTCTGCACTCATTGCAGTATTTCGAAGAGTCATAATGATGTATGACTATCGTATACTTTTATATCTTTATCTTTGATAGCTATAATCTTATAAGCTTTAGTTCTTTTTGAGATATCTAAAGCTTTCTATTATGAAAAGCTTTTTAAAAATACATCTTCTTTTCAGAATTTGATAATTTTTTTTTACTTAGCTCTTCTGTAGCTTTATCTAGTAATAAATATAATATATAATCTATTAGAACTCAGTGATATAATAGCTATCTATGTAATGTTTGACTTGCGTCTAATCTCTAAAATTGATGACTTTAATCAAAGCAAAATGAGAGATAACTAAAATATTGTACAAAATCTGTATCACAGTCTAAAAGTGAGTTTTCCATCTAATCTTCTCAAAGCTTGTTAACTAGCACTTCAAATGTTAAAGCTTCAAAAATAGTTATCTCTAACACACGATTGAGCTTCTTTTCTTTTCAAGTTAGGGGGTTCTTGCTTTCATTCCATCATTCGATACAGTATCATTGTATTCTCCTGGGATATCTGATTAGGGTTTGTCAGTGAGGCTCCAACAACAATTTAAGGTTAGAATTTATATTAACCTTAGTTGGAGCCAGCCATCCATGTCACTTCTTACGGAGTAGTTTTATCCGAAAATATGCAAACGCTGAATACTACATTTCTAAAACAAGTTTCATACGAGTAAATTTTTGTAGTTGAAACCAGGTAACACCTTGTCTGTGAAGATGGAAAGAAGAACCGGGATTGCATGCTACATAGTGACACGGCCAGCAACAGTCATTTGCTGACGCAAGGAGTAATTCTTAAATAAGTTTTTTATGCGCCAGAATATACGCAGTGGATCTCTCCAAGATGCGTAAAACTTGGAGGTACGGGTCACAGACCAGGCAATTTTAATACTAGCCGCAAATTTTGAGAAATTCAATGCGTGAGGTTATGGAGGTGGGGCACGCTAGAAATATATTTTGTAAATCAGAGCTCCGTGCATACCAATCAAACGCATAATCTCTGAAGATTTGGTGGTCAAGTTAGGCGTCCACCCTCATTACTTCCACGGTGAAAGCCGGGAATTATTTGAGGTCCGGTAATTTTTCCCCTGATATGTCTCGTGTATACAAGGCCATTTGTTCCACATCCCGTAGTTGCAGGTCAACAAATGTTGGTATCTGTTGGGGGTTTAGATTGGTTCGTCCCCTCTACTACCAGCATGGCGCTGGTGGTGGTGATTGAACTCTTCTGTCCCAGTATCGCTCGATAGAATTCCACGTGACCACGCCTACTTGTGCAGTCAACCTTTCCACCTCCATCACAAGGAATATATCCAGGATCAGTGAACTCCAAGGAGGGGTTTTTAGTCTTAGATTTGGTAGGCGGGAAGGGGAATCTCAACGGGCCCTCTCGCATGATAGGACATTGTTAAAATCACTCTCTGTCTCTGCACTCACAGCCAATGCAAGGGTCGAGAAATTTCGTAAACCATACGGAGGTTCATCTCAAAAGTTCTTACCCGCCAAGGCACCCGCCAAGGCACTATATAACACCACCAACTTGAATTTCCCCCAAGTCTGCTTCATCATACTCCGTAGTAGAGATGATATTTTCATTTCTCATTAAATTACTTGTCAAGATGACTTCTAATACTGATATATATGCTCTGATCAAGTAATTCTTCAGACCTTAATTCTATAGAATCTTGCTGACTCTGAATGAAGCACAAAATCACACAAGAGATGTATTGTATTATATTGCAGCAGGCAGTTGCAGTGTACTATGTATAGATGATGAGATGAATGATCACACCTGCTGTGGGCTGAGTCACATCACTGTACCCACAGATATAGATATCACTATAAGTACAATCATTTAAGAAATGATTATGTTGATATTTTGCTATGAATAATCTGATGATCATGGATTCATGATGCTTGCTTATAGATTATCACAGCATCAAAGAGTCAGACAGAAGAAATTAAGATGTGAAAGCAGTATTGACAAAATCTTTCACAGAAGATGATACAAGCATGAATAGAGTGGATTCATACTCATATTCAAAAGATTATAGAGCTAGAAGATGAAAATGAATATAAAGAAGTATAATTGTATTATTTTGTATCTAGATTGTATGATAGAGAACACTTACTATATTCAAATTAGACTTTTGTGGTGTTTTTAGTATGAGAAAGAACTTTTGAGATGGTCCTCCGTATAGAGACACTGAGGGCTTGTTTCTGCTGGGAAATTATCGCCCCTACCACCAAGAATAATAAATACTACTCCGTGCCAGCTAGAGAGTCACACGAAATTGCGTAGGAGCTCTGGGTTACACAAAGTTCTGTTCAAAACCTCCCACGGCTCCGGAATTTCTTACTCCACTGAATAAATATTCTTGAGACGACAACCCTCTCTGCCTTCCACAAACGCCTTGTTTCCTATCTCTTGAAAATTCTCATACACTTACTTGCAATACAATTCCTGTAGGGGTGGAGTGCGGTTATCATGTATTGTGGAATAGCTAGTTTTCCATTTTGCCCCTCAAGAAGCCTCGATTGAGATCTCGAATTGGAAAATTGAAACTTCGTGTGTTGCTATGGCTGTAAGGATAGTCCGCGCTTTGTTAGGGGGATGGGAGAATGTCTGTGTGTCGTCCAAGGCAATCCTGCAACCTGTTTCGAAGTCATAATCTTCCTATTAAGGTATAGTCAGTGGGAAAAAGGCGTTGATAATTTATTTTAGAGCAAGCCACTTTCACACGGGGTGAGTGAGTCTGTTCCTGTGGAATTTTCACATGTCGCACTGGTTGCATTGTTGGTCTGAAACGTCCAATAACAAGCTATACAGGTTACGGAGGATGGAGCGAGTATGGTTGAGCTAGCTATCTTTGGCGGCTATGGGCTCGGGACCAATGACTTGGACTGCCACGTGCTATGCATCCATGTCATAATCTATAGTTACAGCGTTTCTCTGCGGAGTACGGAATACTCTGCCAAACATCAACTACTGAATTTTTGCGCCTCCTCGTTCCTTGGCGTTTAAATTGAAAGAGAGTCCAGGATTGTGGTTTGTGTGCGGCCTGGCGTGCTAAATCCCTCGGGTAGCAATAAATGTTGTTCCTTTCGCATTTTGTGGGGAGGGGAATGTTGTGAAAAGTTGTGTTCAGCCGAAAAAATGGGCGCTTTAGCCGAATTTCCCCCGCCAAATAATTTCTGTTCAACAGCAAAACCCGTCGGGATTTGGAGCAGAAAATAGAAGTGGAATCTGCCACATCGGGCTTTAATTATTGCCCCTCGCTGGACCCTCAGAGCAGTTTAAAGTTGCCATACACGGCTCATGTCCGGGTTGAACTTTATGAGCAGCCTTCGAAGGACCCTGAGCAAAGCCAAGGCAAGCTAGTTGCAATTATGGAGTATCAATCAAGGCTCGAGGGTTGGTGTCCAAGATGGATAGTAAGGGGCGGGCCCAAAGAAACACTGCCAATTCAGCCACCACGCTAACGCTGAAATTCCTCGCTGGCAACTTCTTTTGGCAATCTGGTTTTTGCCATTCTCCCAACCTGCCTTTTTTGGCTTGGGCGACAAAAAAAAAAAAAGGTACATCGTATGGGGTTGAACCGTAAAAGGGGATTACTTTATTTGGAATCCGCACACGTTAGCGTTGACTTATGCCTTTTGGCTTCGTACCATGACAAGGTTACGGAGGTTGCACGTTTCCCCCCAGCTTAGAACAGGGGGTGGCAGAGCATTCATTTCTGGCAATGAGTTGACTTATATTCTCTGGACCTTTAAAAGCAGGTTTCCTCGCGTTGCCTGGCCTTCCAAATTTGGAAATTTTGAAGATTTGAAAGTCAGCACATTCCGGATCAGCAAACTCCGAAAAGGACCTCTAGAGAATCCTTTTTTTTTCTTTTTTTTTTTTTTTGGAATTTCACAAGCCGATAAAGAGCCACGTATTCCGCGTTCGGTAAGCCTACAAGGCACTGCGATGGCGGCCAAACTTTGATATTGACACAGTAAATGTTGATACAAGGCGTTTTCAATTCCGCGGTCCAAGGCCCGTTGAACATCACGTCATAAATAGAAAGTCTCCTTCCTAATATGAACAATGAAGATACAGTGTAGTACACCTAAACTAAACCCATTTCATTGGATGCACGGTCAACCTATATTGTGGTATGGGTACCTGCTCAGCGTCTCAAAACGGTCAAACTAAGCGAAAGGCAAGATAAGATGTACGTGCCGTTAATTAACCAAATTAGCACAGGTGGTATGAGCGTCCAAGGTTGCCGCCGTCCAAGTCAACCTTCATTGAAAGAGTATATACTGCCTCCCGTACTGCGGAATAACTGGCGCGGTATGGGTGGAATATGACCGTGCCCTGAGCTTGAAACCACGTTCAACTGCACGCCCGGGAACTCAATTTGAGGTTTGCCGGGAAGCCAGATTTTTCAACTCTATTGACGTTTCACACGTATCCGTTTGGCCCTCACGTCGCGGCTGATTATACATCCTTGGTTCTGATTTCTGGAACCTCCACACCGAGCTCCTGGTGTTAACTCGGCTCCCAGAACGGACTATCCTTGCGAGCTGTCCAATTGGAAAATCTCCAGGGCTGGGACCCGGCCCGTTGGTGCCCCTGTCTTTATCCATGTGCGACATTTCGGCGGCGTCCATGACAATTGCCGAGAACAAGTTTCCATGCCTGTTTTCTGGGGGAGATTTTATTATTTCAGCGAAGTGCTACTTTAATCATGATGAAATAAACATACGCAGCGTAAACTCGAACATATCCCTGCGCATGCTGGAAATTTCAAGGAAATCCCAATGCAGGAGCTCAAATAAATCCGGTCCTCACAGTATAAGTGACGGGCTCTTGGTGCCTGACTTGTTAGGATTGCCCCTGTTTAGCGGCGTTGCCAACCGGTATACGCTGTATGTAACAACATCCTTTGCCATATGAATTTCTAGCGCCTGCGCAAGGACTATTGTCCATCCATGGGCCGTGGGGATGCGGCCGGCTAAGCACACCGGCATTAAAATCCAGGGCCTGCGCCACACATACAAACCTCTCGGCCACTCTCCCTGAGGAGCAGCACCGGATGACGTTTGCGGGAATGCTCTAGTTAACTAGTACGGAGCTTTTCAATATTTACAGAGTAGTTATCTTCTAACATTGCTCAGATTCTCTTAGCTTTTTTTTTTCATTCCTTTTTCTCTTTCTCCTTTTCTTCTCTTCTTCTCTTTTTTCTTTTTTCTCTAAATAAGTGATTTGAGAAGAAAAATCAAGATGATGCTTGGGACATCGATGCTGAGCGCCCATTCTAAGTTATTATGTTACTCTTCAAACAGAAATTCCGGAGAGACTGTCTCGAGCGAAACAAACGAGACTGCTTATGAGAGTCTCTCTTCTTCTTCTTTTTGTGGCTGATCTTTGTCTGATATATAACTAACGGTCTGATGATGTTGTTCTCGGAAGACCGTAGGCCTATGACAACCCACGGCACTTTTTCACTTTCATTCATTCAATGTTGTATATTATATAAATATAAGTTATTTATTATATCGTTACTATATTTTCATATCTTCCAAGTTCTCCTTTACTGGCCTCTTAATTATATCCCTGATAAACCACATCCGAGGATAAAATGAATCGAAGATAGGTAAGATTGAAATTGCGTCTCAACTATAATCAATCACACCAATAATATATAGATATGGAATAGAAATTTTGGCCCATTCATTAGTCTGTGAGAGCTCTATAAAATCTTTACAATATAGGTCGTTATTTGGTCTCTCTAAATGAAGGGATCTCCATCTCTCTGCCTGCCAGTAAAATCCTTCAATAATCTCTGGTACGTAAAGATTTCTGCCTTCATGGCTGCTCAAAGACAAACCCTGCTCGCTCGTTGTATAGCGACTGCTATCTGACATAAGAGCTGTGTGAAATAACAGATGTATTCTAAGCATGAAAATTGAAAGTGGAAGCGAGGCATGCGGGTTACATCTTGTGGCATGAACTTAAAAAAAACCCAGGTCAGGCGTCTTCGAAGCCTAATTTTGTTGGTAAATTCCTGCCCTTCCTTGTGTTTATCAATCTTCACTCGCCATCCTCGTGGCTTGACTGTTGCACAATATTGACTTTTCCCAAGTTGATTAGATGTGGGATCCCAAACCATGGTGCTGCACCGTTCATAGGGATCACTCAGCAACCCCGCCGTCTTGGGACCAGCCTTTCCAAGAGACCGCCCTCCCTTGGAAACCCTAAATTGCCGGCTGGATGCGGCTTGCCATGCAGGTTGGATGCTATTGGACTCCGGGGGATTGGAAAATTATAACCTAGGCTCACCCACTGGAAAGTTGGTTCATGATATCAAGCGCCCCCCCTTTGGCGTCAAGGCTAAAAAGGACGATGTCCTAAGTGGGGGAATAGATTCTACTTCGCAGTTTCCGAGGGCAGAATTTGATCTCTGCGAGAAGAGGAGTACCCGACAAGAACGGCAGAAGGGAAATCCTCACGCTGTACCCCCGTTGTTTTTCGAGTCCTTCGTTTATTCCGCTTTTTCACGCCCCAATCGCAACGTTACCACACCTCATTCGTGGATGCTGAGCGTGCTGAGTTCGCCGCCGCCTGCTGCGGCTGGTGGTCGATTGACAGGATCCGCTAGTCCCGCAGCGGGACCAGACACCGAACAACCTTCCAGATCGTCCGGCTCTCCAGAAACCTAAACACGCCTGGATCGCCTGGAACCGTGGCCGACAATTTTCCATTTTTTGTTATTGGTTACTGGATGCGAGAGTGCAGGTACACCTTGATGCTACGGATGTACACATACATACATACATACATACATGTGCCTGAACGTATGTACATAGTGCTACGTTATGGTGCAGTTCAATGTATACACATCTGCAAGCTAAGTCGGTGAAAACTCCTGAGAGAAAAACAAAGGATGTTTGTTCATAGTCGAGTCCTGCTATCTATTTCTACTGAGTATTGCTGCGGTACAAAAGAGGACTTTATGGATCTCCTTGTGCACTTCCGTCTTGCCTTGAATCGGCAGTCTTTCAACGTTCCACCACTTGTTCAATGAAGGAACCTTGAAAGTTACCGTTCTTGAGTGACCAAAGCCTTGGATGATATTGGAACGTGAACTTCGATTTGTTTCGACTGGCAAGGAGTTCGATGATGCCCGCCCCAAGAACGTACTGACCGTTGATTTCATGTTGGGAAGAAAATGAGCTGATGTCTGTCATTTCCAGAAGCCCCAAGGATACTTTTATTATTCGCCAGCCAACTACTAGTAGTCTTGGCCAAAAGGGCCTAAGGCCGACGCAGCAAGGCTGCATTGCTCTGAGGCCACCTGTGACTTGGCTCAACCATTGATCAGCTATTAATACACTGCTCCACTTCAACCCACAGCCAGTCGACATCTCTTTCTGGGCCCCTCGAACCAGTCCAACCAGCGGCAACAACAATAGCGGCACAGCCGCACAGAACGCTCCCCGTGTTCCCCTTGTGGACTTCCAATCATCCTGGTCACTGCAGACTGAACAACCTCGGGCTTACAGGACAGTAAGCTTAACTTAGGGCCTTGGAATTCACTCCTAAACGCCAGATTATGATCATATTTCTTAACCTTTCTCTTTTCATTTTTAGTTCAGACACATCTATCAGAAACTCGCCCAACACTAAAGCGCTTGGCCAGCCGTCTATCGTTATTCCAACTCCAAGCGCTTCACAGAGTACACCACCCTCTCCTTTATTCCCTGGTAGTGTATAAATTTCGGAGGTTTCCTTTGGTCGGACGAAACGGCAAGAAAGAACCTGGTGGCACTGCTCTTCGGGCCTTTGGTAGCGGTCGTTGCGATTAGCCCATGAACGATGTTTGACGGTCTTTCGTTTGCTGATTATTCCGTCGCACTTGGCCGCATTTGACCGCACCTGCATGGTAAGCTGGCAGCATCTTTGCTACAGCTTGTATGATCGATCGATCCGGTCCTGCTTGTTCCATCGTTTTCCACCTTCTTATACCGGGGTTGTGCAACCAAGACGCGCCAAAGTGTCTGTGGACTAAGATATGAGATTTCTAGAAGTCCCGGCTCCCGGGAATATCAACGGTGTTTCTAATCGGCGCCCAGACAATTGAAAATCAGAATGAGTTCATATTTTCCGCCTGGAGGCCCTGCAGAAGGCTACGATGCACCCTCAACGCATGCCGCTGCCCAGTTTGCCGCCCATCCAGATATACTAACAACCCCACAATATCCCCACACCAACTCCGTGTGGCATTATTCCCATCAACCTCATATGCCTCCTCCGGAGACCCCCCATGCTCATTTCCAAATGGCATCCGCACCAAGTGATCGAAGGAAACACAAAAGAACAAGGAGTGGATGCTTTACATGCCGTTCTCGTCGAGTGAAGGTTTGTTCTTTGCTCTTTGTTATTCTCCTGCACGCGCCTCAAGATTGGTTGCTGATCTGTCATCTACAGTGTGATGAAACTCATCCAATTTGTGACAGTACGTTCTACCCATCGAACTAAAAGCTCCAGTTACTTTTTAACTCGTTTTGCTATATTTCTAGGGTGTAGCAAGGGAAAGAGAGACTGCGTCTACCCACCACCCCAAGTAAGGCGAACAGGAAGCCGCACGAATCTGGGAGCCGCTGAAAAGCCTCCAACTATACCAGAGAGTGAATCTTCGGATGAAAATAATGGCGGTACTGGAAAAAGCTGGAAAAAGGGCACCGAAAAAAAAGAGGAACTTAAGGAGGAAGATCATCCCAGTAGTGTATCACCACCAGTATCCCGACCAAGAGCTACTATTTCTCGAAGCCAAAGTGCCCAATCGCTAGTCCGGCGGAAAGGGCGGCCTCCGAAATCACCATCGGACGCCCATGGAAGAGATAATTTTCCCATAAGCGATATGATCTCGACAATTTCAGGATGTGGTAATGAAGCGGCAACATTCGAATGCTCTTTGAAGGAAATTTCTAACTTACCTGGGGTTTCCAAGCTGAAATACGACGTACAATTTTTTCTGGCGTATCATAGACACATTATAACATTTCGCCATTATTTTATGCGACAAGACGCACAGTCCTTTATTACTAAAGATCTCCTTATGTACGCTGTGCAATACGAGCCGTTGCTGTACGCTGTCATCGGCTTCTCAGCATATATTTGCTCCATCCGACATCCTAATGGCAAACTTTACACCTTCCTCAAATATTATAACAAATCAGTAACAGGCCTACTGAAGTCGCTCAGCACTAACAGCACGCACCATGATGCTATGTTGCTGACGATTCTTCAGTTAGCAACCTTCGAAGTATGTCACCTTTCTAGTTCAGACTTTTTCCCCTTTCGTTCTAACCAAGATCGCAGGAATACCTAGGTGACTGGGTGAGCGTTACAGACCACCATCAAGCCGCCCAACGTATGCTCACCGAGCTTTATACCCCAGAAAAAATTAATGAAAACGAGTTCCGCCGCTATATGTTCTTATGGTATGCCCGTTTTGATGTCGTGTCCGGTATTTTAGCCGGAAGCGAAGCCATTTTGAGTCCAGAATGGTATATCGCGTGTGAGTCGTTCGCCGTCGAAGAGGAAGCTAAGGATCCAGGAAACATCAACAAACAATTTTACACATGTGCCATCCGCACTAGGAGGGTTGGCATGGATATGGCGTCGTTGATTGCAAATGCGTCACGAATGCTTATTTCAACTGAAGAATTTGAACGCCAAAACCACGATATCACTGCTCGGCTTGACAAAATACAAGAAGCATGGAATTCTTTGGCCAGTCCAGATCACCTAGTCATGTCCTTCCCTAATAAGGTGCCTCTTGGGCCAGATGATATTGTGGATCCTTACGTGCCAGGCAGGATCTATGACGAATCATACTGGGACGTCAACTGTTGTCTGGTTGACATTCTTGGTACCAGAATGATGCATAAATACCAAACCGGCCTGTTGTTGCAGCAGCTGGACCTTGCAGAATTGCAAAGCGACGCATTAGAGCTCTGCGGTCTTATTGAAACTATGGAGCGGTGGCCCAATAGACCGAAAGACTGGATTATACAGGTCCAATCCTCCTTAGCTCTTTCCACCCTGTTCATTCCCAGTGATGAAAAACATATCATGTGGTGTCGGAAACTCTTGGCCAAGGTAGAACAATTTGGGTAAGCTAATCTGTCGCAGCCGGATAATTTCTCTCACTCACTTTACTAAAATCCCCTTTCCATCCAGATTCGTTTATCCATCGGCATTCCGCTCCAAAATGGCAGATTTATGGCAACTGCCCGAACTGAGATGGTGGTGGCTCCGAAACGATGAAGGATGTCCAAAGCTAGTTCGCGAAATCCGTGAATGGACCGGTGAGCGCGAGTTAAACCCCCGAGACACATTTCGGGAGGACGTTCGTGATTTGAAGACAATGTTCTGGAGAATGTCCATAGATGACACTAGTAGTTCAGGAAGCTGCACAAGCAACACACTCACGCCTCCTACTACGGTTGGGCTATACTCTCCATCCGAACCCACTCCTTAACACCTTTACAAGACATATGCCAGAGTGGCTTCCGATGTATTCTTATTTGGAGGTATGCACGCGGCGAGGGAGAAGAGGTGTTCGTCTTTTTATTACTACCTTAAGCACCCTGTATCCCCAGCAGCTCTCTTCTCCTCCCCTCTTCTAAATTCTCTTTCTCGATTCTACTTCTCGGCTTTTAATGGGGGCCGGGATTTGATCGGAGGCTGACGTGGCGAAAAGAAGGTTCACCTTGCCACTCCGCCAACACACAGGTTCATATACATGTATGTATCGATATAGAATCGATCTACCAACCAAACACCTGGATTTGAACCTCCATCCTCCCTTTGACATGAATACAAGACGTGGAAATGAACCACACGAGTTCCATCCATTACATGAAAATGCCCCCCTCCTCGCAAATGACTCTGTTGTTTGAGGGTTACTCCTTTCTGTCGAAGCATTGTTTCCCAGTGAACACTACGGAGTACCAGCAACGAAATACATGAAATGCCAGCCGGAATTGCGAGGAGGGACAAGTTAAGTCGAGATCTGCAAGCCTAATGTCACGTACATAATTCCGCTTTTAGTTAGGAATAGAAGATCCTAGGCGAAATTAAAACTTCAATTTCCCTCCCTCCTCTGGCCCGCTCTTCTTCGATCCTTAGGGTAGGTAATCCCCGTAACATACATGGAATGTCCTTCCGTTGATAGTGAAGGAAGGAAGGACATTAATATCCATAAGCTGATAGATATGTAAGCTAGAAATGTACCTAGTTTCCATCTCCTATTTCGTTTTTTTGTATATTCTTGTAACTATATATTTAGTGCATATATATATATATAAAAAAAAGGAGAAAAAAAGACTCGCTGACTAGATCCAATTTTCTTCTCCAGCTGATGATATCACAATGAATGAATCCTGTACAGTAGTACTACACCCCCCATCTTTTTTTTTAAAAAAAAATAAAATCATTAAATCATCAAGTTTCTCACTTCTATAAACTTCAATCTGCAGTAACTAGTATAAAAGTTAAAACCTGCCATTAAAACTTAAAATCGATAGTATGTAAAACAACAAGACAGGGCTTCACCATTCAGTTAAAATGATCATCCTATTAATTTGAGAAAGCATGCTCCGTAGTTACACTTTAGAAATTTCTCAAATCTTCAGATAACTAGCTACGATTCTTTATAGTTTTACTATTTTCGTGATTAAAAAAAATTCTCAACTTTCCAATGATTAAGTTTTCAAAAACTTGAACCTTTAAGTGTCTCTTTTTGCAAACTCTAAACGAATATCAAATGTTTATACAAAAAGTGATTAAATCATGTAAAGGATACAAAAATGAAATACTATTTCACTACTTTCTCAATGACACATAATTTAATAAGTTATAGGGAGGTATATTTCTCTTAAAAAAGTCATTTCTCAAACTAATTTTAGTATTGTGGTACAAAGTGATCCAGAATGTAACTCGATCAAACCGGGTGCGGAATGCGTTAATTTGACTGTGCTTTATAAAAATTTAAAATCATGAAGGAATTAAATATCAAAAGAATTGAGCATTCCAATAACCTTTTTACAGTTATCACATTTCCCTTTCGAATTCTATCACTATCCTTCTCTACATCCGTCCACGTTCGACCATTTTAGACTTCTAGCTAGAAAAAGGGTAAGCAGGGAAAGAAAGGTACGGGCACATACAGGACAAATAAAGTGTTAGAGGATGACGAACGGGATCGAGAGTATATTTGAGAAAAAAAAAGCTTCATCCACATGTATGCCCAAGCCCAGATATCAAAGTAATTATCTCAACTCATCCTTCAACCACCCCTTCCACCCCATAAATCCGAGCGCGAGCACCTGGCCTTGCCGAAACCTCCATAGCCTCAACAATAGTCTCCAAGCCCCCAGCCAACTCCTTCCCCTCCTGGATTGACACCACGTCGCTTGCAACGCCGCGCTCTCCCAGCACATCTTCCCCCCATGGCAGCGCTTCCACATCAACTTCTATCCCAAGCAAACACTTCAGCACCACGCCAGCGCCAGCCTTACTCATGACAACATTCATCTCCTTGCACCGTTCATCACAAACACACTCGATGCACCCCTGCGGACTCGTGCATTGGCATGCTTCAATCCGCCCCAGTGCCCGTCGGAGCAGACTGTCGACGAATTCGAATGCCTTCGCAGCAATTCCAGAGCCCGATGACCCGCCCTTGGCGTCATAGAAAGTTAGTCGGGCGGGGCGTTGACGGGCAGGTATGGGAGGAGGTTTAACATTTTGGGATCTGGTTTTGTTCATCGCTTGTTGGTGTTTTGGGCCTAATTCTTTGACAGCAACTTTGCACTCTGTGCGGACATCGCCAGGTGACGAGATGATGTATGTTGGCATGAGAGACAGGATGGCGTGTTCCGCGGCATGGATGGCTGCGGCTGCGTTAAGGTTGCGGGTCTTCAAGATATCCAGCGCTTGTTTAGGGACGTCTAGCCACATTCCCTTGCTCAGGATTTCAATTGGCGGATTATCAAGCGCCACAGCGTCAAGAATTCGACCCTTTTTATCCAGTTTGAAGTAGCCATAGACAATCGCTCGAATTTTGATAGCGCCAAAAAAGGCTTTGGTGTTGGCCGTACTACTGATGCGTCTTATAGCTTCGGTTTCGATGGGATCGATGTCCGTGATATCGCGTTGTTGGGTCGTCCAGTCCACATGAACCCGGATGACACGGGCAAAGCGCTTGTCGGTATTGAGTTCCTTAACCATGTATGGATGTCCTTGGTGAAAGAAAATACCTCCTTCATAGATACTGAAAATCACTCTCGATTCCTCAATTTCTTCAATGACGGCATTTCGGTTGTTAGTTGTGTCGATGATTGCATAATGATTATTTTCAGTGTCTCGAATAGCAACGCATTTCGAAGGGTGAGGGCGGAATCGTTCGTGACAATGGTAAAAACCTAAGCTATCTTTGGTAAGTCGTGTATATGCAAACTCGTGGAGTTGTGGACCGAAGTATTCAGTATCTTCGTCCGACTTGATTGGCATCTCGAAAGCAGCACACTGGACATGACCCTCAAGTACCAACTCATTCCGTAAATCCACCTGAAGTTCGCAATTGGGCTTCGTAAAGAGTTCGTCCGGGTTTTGCATGTAATATTGATCAGTTGCGTAGGAATCACCGACGAGAATAGAGACAGAGTCTTTGTTTCTACGCCCGGCACGCCCACTTTGTTGGCGCAGATTTGAGATAGAGTATGGGAATCCATGCGTTATTACAGCATCGAGTGAGCCGATATCCACACCTAGCTCGAGTGCATTTGTGGCGACGATCCCAAGTAATTTCCCCTCAAACATATCTCGCTCTATTTTTCGCCTATCCTGCGGACTGTAGCCGCCACGATAGCCCATCACAAATCGCGAGACATTGATTCGATCTAGGCTTTTAAGCTCATCTCTAACAGCAGCTAGCAACAATTCACACTGTTTCCGAATCCGACAGAAGGCAATCACGCGTACACCTCTCAGGATCAGTTGGCAGAACAAACGGGAACTCTCCTGGATACTGTTACCACGACCAGAAGATGGGTCTCCAGGATCACGAAACGGAGTGTTCCAGCATATAAATTCCTTTCTTCCGGAGGGCGACCCGTCGATATCTGTTAATCTCACATCATCAATCCCAAATATTGTTTTCATATGTTCTTCGGGATTTGCAACCGTGGCTGAACAAGATATGAACCTGACATGGCGGTTTCCAACAGCAGCGCATATTCGCCGTAGCCGTCTCATAATGAAGGCAACGTGTGAACCGAAAAGACCGTTATAAACATGAAGTTCATCCACAACTACATATTTCAAGTTCTTCAAAAAAGTCCGCCAAGAGGATTCTTGAGGCAATATCGTAATGTGTAGCATGTCCGGATTGGTGAAAATAATCCGTGCCTCTTCTCTGATTACGTTTCTATCTGCCATAGGCGTGTCTCCATCAAATGTTTCCACGAGTAAATGCTCTAAGCCTTCGATATACCCCAGTAATTCCTTTAGGCTTCGGCGTTGATCCTGAGCAAGCGCCTTTGTCGGAAAGATGTACATCCCTCTGCTGTGAGGATCCTGTTCCAGCTCATGCAGCATTGGAACCTGGTAAATAAGGGACTTCCCTGAGCTTGTTGAAGTAGAAACAATGACATTATGCCCGTCATGGAGATTATTGATGGCTTCCGCCTGGTGTGAATAGAACTGTGTAATGCCTCGGGTGTTATATAGAGCGTTGACCAGACTCTGTGAAAGAGCAAATGTCAGATCACCGTAAACGGCTGGCTGTGGGTCAAAGACCCGATGTCCATCGGGTACTATCTGATCAGTGTACCATTCCATTTCTCTGATACTAGCAATAATTTCTGCAATAGTTGCGCGTTCTTTAGGGATCTGTGCCGGCAATCTCATTGCTGCAGGGGTGTTAGCACCGCTGCGAGGCAATACAGGAACGTACATATCTTTATCAGCCTCCAGCTTCTCAACGGGATCGACATCCTCATCCTGGCACTTAGCAAGGAAGGCATCAACAGCGTCTGAAAATTTTTTATTTCGTTTCTCAATCAGAGTCACCATGTGTTTCTGGCTGTAGACAGGAACTCTAATGTCGTCTGTTTTCGATCTCCTACGAGAAGAATTCTGCTGGGGATCTTTCTTCAAATCCCCATCCACAAATTCAAATATCAACACGTCACCGCCACCATCTGGATTTAGACCTTCGCTGTCCTCGGCGTCATGACCCATCCCCTCAATCTCCAAATCTCTCCATATCTTCCCTGTGCCTTTGGCCTCGTTCACTCCGACAAGATCTACAACTCCCTTATCAACACTTTCGAATCTCACTGACCGCGGAATCAACACCTTGACCCTGGCCGCATCTTCAACACTCAGTTTACGTCCGCCTGTCTGCGCTTCGGCAGCTGCTTTGATATTATCAAACGTTGTCGAAAAGTGCTTTCGCGCGGAACAGAAGGTGTAAACAAGGTTGAGGGCGCGATGCGTTTGAGCGAGGAGTTTGAAAGGTTCCGGCCATGGAATAGGCGGAGTAGAAGTAGCAGGTGATTTTTTCGGCCGGCCTCGGGAAGAGGTGCTACTAGACCTCGAGGATGAGGATGCAGAGCGTCGTCCTCTTTTGCCTTTGGGCGGCTGCAATGGAGCGGCACTCGGCCCATCGTGAGTCTTGGTCGGGAGAGTGGTAGTGGTTGCCGCTTCCACCGGTAGCCTTGCTGAAGGGCTCATATACACTCTTCCCACATCTCCTCGTTGTCCTTCACCTGGCAATTCTGGAGAACGAGATAGATATCCAGACCCATCCTCTGTGGCACAGTGTTCCCCATCATTTAAGGCATTTGCCTTCCTCTTCAATCCATTATTCATGAGTTCGGAATGTCTTGAACGCGGGGAGGTCGCATCATTCAATACACAGCATCCTTCTCAAATGTAGCCTGCATGATGGCCCATCACGCTCAAGCTGGCCTTGAATGCGGTCAGAAAACGCGTGGTCATGTGACCGATATACGTACTAATTTAAACCCTCTTCCAAGAGGATTATACATGCAAGAAACTGCCAGGTTTTTAAATCCTGCCCGTTATATTCCGAGAAGATGAAAACCATAGTAGGGACGAAGAAAATAAAGACGAAAAAAAAAAGAACTGGACAATGTGATAATCGAAATCACGACCTTTCGCAGTCTGAGGCATGCAAAGCGAACGCTCTACCAACTGAGCTAATTGCCCAAATCGGAAGTAGCTTCGAATTCGCCGCTTAACTTCATCACTCCACACGTTCGAAAATTTAATAAATAATTGCTAGAATGATGTAGAGTGTGAATAGAACTTGAATAATGTTATAGAATAAATTTGCTAGTCAGCCGGTTGGTAAGAAACGGTTGCGTTTTTAAAGTTTCTTGGATATCAACATTTTTATGTCCGTAGCTACGTCTATATGCCCGCAGAAATGGAGAGGATGAAAAAGGGCCCAATCTCAGTGTAAAAACGAATCGCAAAAGCAAAAAGAGAGAAGGAGAAAATGAAGGAGGGAGAAGTATTATGGGAGAAGGAAATCGAATTGAGACTGAAAGTGTATTTATTGTTTGACAACAAAAGAGAGGGAATGAAGCACTGCTTGTTAGAGAATGGAGAATCAAGAGACGAGATCAAAAAGCAAAAGGCTAAGGCGGATATATCTTGTAGAGAAAGAGGTACAAACCCAAAGAAAAAAACCAGGCGACATGAAATCAATGCTATTGCAAGCCCAAAAGGTATATTTTCCTCGTCTTCGATTCATCCTTGCTCCCCCACCACACAAGACTTCGTCTGAATGAGTTATGGATCTTATTTCATGACGTGAAACGAAACGAAAAAATGATAAGGACAAATATTAGTAAAGGAAGGACGTTCTCGAGTTGTTGTATTGTCGCAAAGAAAAAAGAAAGGGAGTCGCATTGCGAGAGCAGGTAGGCCTCCCGACCATAACCGGGTGAGTAAAACTTAAGAAAGAATAAGAAAGAATTAAGAGCTGAACTGTGATCAGAATTAAAAATAGAACCCTTCAATACACGCAAGGTCAATTTTTTTTATAACAGACGGGTTAATTATTCACGGCGTTCAGTTTTAGTAATGGCAAAAAAGGAACATTAAAAGATATGAAAAGAGAACGGCAACAGTGAATGGAATGGGGGGACTTGGAAAGTGGAATGAGGGAAAGAGAAACGATGGGGGTGAAAAAGCCCAATTTCATAGACTCGCTTGGAGGGTATGGAGAGTAGTATAGAGTTGCTTGGCGATGTCGTCATTTCCGGTCTGAAGACAGCACAAATGAGTTAGATATATATGCCATAAAAGAAACGAGCAAAACTAGACAGACATAGAGATTCACATACCCTAAAGAGGAAAGGGACAGATTTGCCATCCTCGAATCCCGCAAAATGCACTTGTTTCCCCTTCGGAGGGCCACCGGACGGATCGCCAGCTTTCATGCCTTTGAAAACAGGGATATTGAGGATTACCCGCCACACCCCATCGGCCCGCATGATCACCCGCGCTGTTTTTTTCTTCGGTTCTACACCCTCGTCTTCGTTGGCCTTGTGCTTCTCTTCCTTTTCATGTTCTTCATCTGTTTTGTTGTCACCGGGCTGCGGCTCTTCCTCAGATCCATCCGTATTGTTACCATCATTAACCGGTTCCCTGATGTTGACTTTGAAAACACCAACGCCGCGCTCCTTCCATTCCTTCCCGTTGAAATGGTATAGCTTGCCGCGGCATGAAAAAATTGTATTTTCGCCCTCTTCACCCGTTTCAGCTAGAATGGAGCAGTTAGTAAAGTACACGGGGTGATCAATTTTTAGGTTGTAAAGGGTGAACTGTCAGCAGGAAAACAACGGGGCCGGAATGGATCCAACATACTCTGCTGTTCATGGAATCTCTCATCCCCCTTCTCCTCCTCCAAACCTTCAAAGGTAGATTTATCGTCGTCCTCACCTTTCCCTTTTTCTACTTTATTACCATCCTCATGCGCAGAGCCAGCAGCCCCCAAAGTTTTCGACTTTGAGGAATTTCCCAAAACCGAAGAGCTACCTGTAGGAGTTGAAAAAGCGGCTAATCCCCCACCCAGCTTTGGTGCAGCGGCAGCAAAGCCAGTGGCAAACCCACTCCGACCAAACCCGGATTTACCACCGCTCAGAGCACCGAACGGGGATGACGCAGCGGCGGCTGCAAAGGGCGACGCTGCAAAAGCCGAAGAGGAGGTTGATGGGTGTTCCTTGCCTCGCGTGGTTTCAGCGGGAGGTGCAGATTTCAGTGCTGAGGAATTTGCAGCCCCAAGGCTGCTAAACGGTGACTTCTCTGAACTGGCAAAAGATGCTAATTTTGATGAGGCGAAAGCAGATGCGGAGGTCATGGGTTGTTCCTTCTTTTCCATTTTGTCCTTTGATGTTAGTTGGGGGGTTTTCGATGCCATAGAAGCGAAAGCGGACACGCTCAAAGTGTTGGAAAACGGATTCAGCGAGGAGGCCTACAGGCGGAGATGTGCTTTGTAAATATACAATAACCAAATATTCAAAAGGGGCTGGAGTTAAAAATCAATACCAGAGTTGAAGTGATATTTACAAACCTTTTTAGAAACTAGATCGGAGTCTACCTGAGAGCTCCTATCTTGGGAATCGTCACGGTGTCGCTTCTTCTCCGGCTCGCCTTCTACTCTGCGATTGGCTGACATGGCCTTGGATTTATCAAAGGGCTCTCTAAATTTGGCATTTTCTGTCCCTTCCTCAGCCTTTTCGCCCATACTATCTGGCTTCAGATGGTCCTTGTCGAATTGATCTCTGCTACGCTTCTTCTTGGGGCTGAGAATGCGATTGGCAGTATCACTCTCCGTGCTCTTGAGCTCTTCCGTTGGGGTACGTATTCCACCTTTATTAGTGACATCCTTAGCATCCATATCATCTGTCATGCCATGTTTATCCTCTGTCGTCGACTTACTCTTAGAGCGCCCTTGGTTGTCGCTGCTCTCATCGTCCGTTTTAGAATCCCTTGACCGCTTCCGTCGATGGCCAGTCTCGTCTGTGTTTTTTCCGCCCGCCGCCTCGTCATGCTCTTCATCCTCATTCATATCTCCCAATGATCGTTTCCTCCGGAGTCTCCCCCGCCCTTCCACGCTACTTGTATCACTCACACTATCTGCTCTGGCCACAGGGGTTCCCTGTGACGCCATAGCGTGGTCCTCTGGGGAATTCGGGCGAGGCACACCGGCAATGGAGGTTTCCTTGAGTTTCTGACGGACAGGTCGTTCACCGGCACCATCTTTTTGTTCGTCAGAGGCTGGATAATTTATCTTGACTTCCTCTGGCTCCTGGGTTTTCGTACCTTCTGAGAGCTCAGCCGCATCATTATCCGTGTGAGCTCCGTTGTCTTTCTTCAGGAGAGTGGGACCTTCATCTGTGTCAGAAAATGATTTTTCAACGTGATTTTTGTCTGTAGCTTTTTCCTCCGCCTGTTGATGCGACATCTCTTGGGGCCGGGCCTTTTGTCCATCTCCCCCGTTTCGCTCCCGTGCAATATTTGGAGAAGATGTATTGTCTCGCGTACCTTGTTGAGGGGTAAGTCGTGGGCCAGGCAGGGTGCCGACGTCAACCGTATTGGAAGCTTCAGAATTTTTAGAGTCAGAGAGGGAGACAAGATCTCTTTTATCCCGAGTTTCTAGTGGAGATATGGGTCCCCGCTCCTGCGTACCTTGCGTGCCTGGGAGTAATGGGCTATGAGAATCCTTGTCCGTCGGCTCTACGATATCCAAAGCGGGTGAGCGAGGCTCCGGATCGGTGGCTGCAGGTGGAGTACTACTGGTATCCTCACCGATTAGAACACCATTCTGCTGGTGTTTCTCTGAAGCCATATCGGATCTGTGTCTTTCTCCTTCGTCGACCCAGCGAGTTCGGGTAGGTAGGTTGTATCGATACGGGTAGTTATCCTCTGCGTGCTCACGACGGTGGGTTGGTCGTTGTTGATCAGAGTCGGGAAGTCTGGGGATGTGGCACAGTTTTGGTGGTGTTGACTCGGTACGTGGGGCCCAGCAGATTAGTGCGGACGGGGATCGGCTGCCCAACGAGGTCACACTGGATGTTGCTCAGATGGAGCTCCGCACAAGTACCCCGTATAGCTGATGAGATGGCAGAAGCAGATTATGATTCCGAGACCGTGCTGCTTGCCCTCAAACTGTAGGAACCGCGTAGTGGTTGTCGTTGTTGTAGTCGTAGTGGTTGTTTGTGCTGGCCGCGAGAATTTAAGGTTCGCAGATTGAAATTTTGGCCAGAGCCCAGCGCAAGGATAGCGCCCATCAACACAACATCAGCAGCAGGGGGAGATCCGGCAAATGTTACAAATGAGCCGATTATTGCAAGATGTCAGGAAGATGCCTTAGTAAAAACAAAACAAATAGAAATCCAGACCGCCACCACTTTCTTCTGTCAAGAGAAAGAACTGAACTAAAGCTTTATCCTTTTGCTATCAATTCTGCTATCAGTCAGAGGGTCTGACAAGGTCATTGTACGCAGTATGTTTGTCCGAATGGTTCCTTGGGACTTTCGTTTGGAAACTGTATTGCAATTTTGCTGGCTTTGATGGATGTTGTTTCGGCGATTGCTCTGTGACAGGATCCTTTATGCTCCTTGATTTCTTTTATATACATCAATAAAAATATAGAATGTCAGAGAAGATGACGCATTCCAACAATGAAACGGAGGTACCCAACAAATATGACTTCAAACGCAGGATCTCAGGGCATCTATGTATATAATACAGCCTCCTAGCGATCTCACAGAAAATATCAGAAGAGACATTGGCGGATAAACAGGCTCACATTCGAAAAGAAGAAAAAGGTTGGTCAGAAACAACAGAATTGAGAAGTACTCCCCACAACTGGGAAAACAGCATTATGATCCAGTATACATTGGGAAAAATGAGATCCCCGCAGCCATAGCATATATAACAAAATAAGAGACATCATCACCGTCCACAATCCCATCTGCTATCCTGTAGCAGCTCACATCTCAACACGTCCCCTACCAGATCACACACCACCTTGATTCCCTCCCTCAATCACCACAATACCCGGGGGAGAAAAAAAAAGAGGATAAAAAAATAAGATCAGCTAATAAAGCACAAACACCCAATTCCAATATAAAATACAAATAGTGGATAAACCGCGATTAACACCCGATTCTTCACCACACCGGACCCACCAAGGATGCTCACCCCCGCAGCCAGTGACCAGGCGATCAGAACAAGGTAGACGGGGACCCGTGCTACGATGGGGAGACCTAAGGCGCTGAGGAGAGCAGCGATCACGAGCGGGAAAAGAGTGTAGCCGATTATACAGACGGATTGGAAAAACGATCTATTTCACCAGATGTTAGTAGGTATTTATCAGGGATGATATTTATCGCAAGGAAATGGTGGGGGGAAACTTACATATTCCCGCCTAGCAACTTAATCTGCATCGTCACAACCGCCTCTCCAATCCATACTATGCAAAAGACGCCCGAGAAGACCAAACTGACCTGATCTCCCTGCGCTCGCATGGATAGAAACATGCTAAGCAACAAACAGAAAATCAACGGTCCCCTATAATAACCCCACATAAACGTCAGTAAGCAAATCCACACGCAACCCTATAACCACCGCCGCTGCACAACAACAAACGCACCAAAGATCCCAATCCCTCAATCCCTCACTCATCCCCCCCTGGAGAACGACATCCGCATCCGGCCACCTCCCCACCAATCCCCTGATCCCTCCACCGACGCCATTGCCAAATCCGCTGGCCTCCCCACGCTCCGCTGCCCCAATCCCTCCCCCGCGCGCCAACATGCCACCTAGCAGATACTTGGGCCACAACACCTGTCGCATTTTCTCCCAGACGGCCAGCAGGTCGCGTGATAAGGTGGCCCAGACAGTCTCGTCGATGGTGTTTTGTGGAGCGCGCCGATCCTCGCCGGGGATGGAGGATGTAAGGAAGGAGCCGGTGATGTTGGGGCGTGATGAGGAGGAGGATGCGATGTTTCCTGTTAGAGGTGTGCGGTCGGTGGTGGGTTCGTTGCTGTGAGCCGGATTGTCGGCTTCGATGGCTGTGACGGGGGAGGGGTTTGGTTAGCTGAGGGTGTTTTTCCTTCGCGGGCAAGCGCCTCGTTTCCAGGTTATATGGGATGGGGGATTTTGTGGAAGGATATTTGGATATCATTCATCTCCACTGTTCTGTCAAGAATGTAGCAAAAATGGACTGCCGGGAGGTAAAGAAGATAAACACAATATATGAAAAAAAAGACTTACTTCCACCCTCTAGGTAATCATTATCCAATACTGAATCATCGTCGTGCTCGATGACGAACGGACTGTCCGTGCTGGAACTTCCCGCCCCTCCGCCTCCTCCGCCGCCGCCGCCGCTGCCACTCCCGTTGGCCGTGATCGCCATCCCGTATATTCAGACACACTCCGCCAAAGCCTGGAAATGCCCTATCGCATGCCACTGGACCTCTTCCTACTCTTCGTTCAGCAATTCCAGGTAATTTGGAGCAAACCGGGAGCTTCGAGCTTAATATGTTCCGGGAAGTAGGAGTATTCCCTGTCTTCTTCAGTCGAATCGTATTATACCGTAACACCTCAAAATTGCTCCGCCGCCGATAATGTCGAATATACTACTACTTCTGCAGATAGTCAACAAACATTGATTGATGCTGGCGAAGAGCTTTGTTGCAGTAGTTATTGCTGTTGTCTAACAACTTGCGTCGATTACGTACACGGGAATTTACGTCACATGACCATCATGACGTGGAGATTGAATGGTATTGCACGGAACAGGAAATTGAAGTAAAAAGCAGTCGTATAAATTTAAATAGTTATAGAGGTGAAAGGAACTCGTGGAAATCAATTGCGTCCAGTTCCATATTTCTTTTCACGTCATATAATCCCAACATACCTGGCTAGATAGCGGGAGACAAGCGAACAAAGCACCACTGAGGGGGAAAAAAGAGAGGAAGAAAACAGAAGGCGAATCAAACGTATATCACAGTATAAAACATCATTAGAAAAGGAGTAGAGGAAGGGGGGAGGGGAATAGGAGAAGAGGAAATAGGACAAAGAGAACAAAAGCAAAATCTTCCCTAAAAATCAACAACAACTATCTTTTCCAATAACATATCAATCATATACTGTCCCTCGCCCTTCCACCTCCCATTCCGCCATATATCCCGCATCCAAAACTTCCATTGCCTCCTCCAATCACTTGCGTCGAGCTGCCAATTCCAGTCCAGCGGCCCGGCGACAGGGCTTCTATACCCGGGGTACTGGGGCACACCACCCCTACTACGACTACCACTAGACATATCGTAAAGCTTTGCAAGGGCATCGCTGGGTAGAGTGACCCCTTGGGACGACAATGATGAGGAATTGAGTAGACCCTGCCTAATGCGCCACTGGCGCTCTGCCCTTTCGCCCGCAAGTCGTGCGACAGCTTCCTCATCCTCGGTGAGGTAAAGGTCACATTTGGTGCATTCGGTGCAGCGGGAGCCGGGGTTGGCACGGAAATGCTCGCAGAAATGTTTGTAGCCCTCTGGCTCTTCGTCTTCCGCCGGATTAGTTTCGTTATTGTTATTGTTGTGGTTATTATATTAGTCGTCATCGTGGCCATTCTCGTCGGCTGGCATGTTCATTATTAAGTTCCCATCTAGGTCATAGTCGTCAAAGGGAGCATTTTCCCCATTGATTTGAAGTATGTCATGACAGGGTCGCCGATTCTGAGGTTGTGCTGGCTGTCGTGGTGGGCGAACGACTAGGATATTGTTGGCGCCAGCTACTCTAAGTGGTGGACCTAGAGCTTTGCGGCATATATAACACATAGAGTACCCACATACACAGGTGAGTTTATTGCAGCCAGACGATTTGACGAAAGAGAGGCCGCACCTTGGACAAGTTCGTTTGATAGCGGCTGTTCGGGCAGCTTCGACGGTTGTTCGGAGAGATTGGAGCAGAGGCTCATGGCAGCGGTGGGGATCTTGCCATGGCTTGTGGCACGTAATACAGCTATCAGAGCTGCAGGCAGGGTTTGAGCAAGTAAACCGTTGGTGGCGGGTCTTAAGACAAATGTTCCGCAGCGAGGAAGATAGGATGGTGGATATCATTGACGGGTTGAATAGGAGAAAATATAAAACTGGAATGATGAGAAGGGGTATCAAATCGAGAACAAAAATTATCGTAGCTATTGTTGGAAGGAGGCTTCCCCGCCGGAAGCGCCAAGTGAGCCCCTTTGCTGATGGATGGTAAACGGGGTCTACTTCCGCATACCCACACGATGGGCAGCGGATCAGTTTTAGCTGAGATTTCAGAAGGCATTCCGAAACCAGGCGATCTTCGAACTTTTGGTATGTTTCCGCTCCGGTCTTTTCAGCGAGAATCGCTCGTTTCACAATCGCCGGGTCCAGAGTACCCTCGCAAATGCCCTCTGACATAGGTGCTAGGCATCGTAGCGTTGACTTTTCATGGTCAATGGACCTGCTCCAGCCTTGTCCAAAGAGGGACTCATGGATGGTGCGCTGGATGCAATGGAAACAGATAATATGCGAGTTGACTGAGCAAGTAGATATCTGCTCAAAAGTAACGTCTGACAAACAGCAATCGCATTCGTAAAGGGCTTCTGCAGCTTCTGCCTCGAATTTATTAAGCTCTTCTGCGAGCTTCAGCCCAGTAGCTTCCTGCTCCTCCTTTCTCCGAGCCAGTAATGGGGCCAGATATGTATCATGCAGCTCCCGATTAAGTTCCGAGCAACCAGTTTCTTTTAGTCGGGGCATAAGTTCCCCATCAGGCAATCTCTCCCAAGACAAGAGCGGGTGATCATCCCTCTCCTTCTTCCTCTTGAAAGGAAATATATTCCCAAACGTCACTCGCCAGCTCTTGCGGGATAGCTCCTGCAGCGTCGGGCGGGCACGGGCGTACGAGAAATTAACCTCCGCCAGCACCGCATCGATGGCACTTCTGCTTAAAACACGGAATTCCAGAGACAGGGCCGATTTGACCGCAGCCTTGTACTCCTCGCTCTGAAACAGCTCTTCATGGGGTATCCATCTCCTCCTTCTTCCGTGCGCATCCCCATTCCCGTCTACTGCCATGGCACCTCGACCAGGAGCTCCATCAACACCACCACCACCACTAGCCTTAGCATCCAGCTCAGGGACATTCCATCTTCCTTTGACCCATTCAGCCCTATATCTCAACAGCTGCTCTACACAAACATGTAACCTGCTCTTCCCATCGAATCTAACTAACAATTCGCGAAAGACCTCAATCTTCACATCGGGAAACAGTTGTGCCAACATAGCCAGCGCATCGTTCAGTTCGCGGCGATCACGCTCTTTCTCCTCTTCGATCGTTTCGCCGGCTGCGACATTGCTAGGCGCTTTTGTTCGTGAAACTATGCCAAATGGGTTTCCGCGAAGGGCTTCGGTGATTGTCGATGAGCCGGCAGCAGCGGCAGGAGGTGGCTTTGGTGCTTTGTCGGGCGTCGCTGATGAAGAAGGGGATTTCGAGATGGAGGAAAGGGTACTTGCCGAGACAGGGTGTTCATTTGTGGAGGATGCGGTGCTAGATGCGGTGCTCGATGTGGTGCTCTTGCGCTGAGGAGAGGTTCTGGAATAGAAACTTGGGAGGGCGAGAAAAAGCACCATGGTTGTGGATAGCTACATGATTCCAAAGGAGGAGGAGAAAGGGGAGCTGGTTCTTCGTTATTCTAAGGAGTTTCTCTTGATTTTCTCGTTGCAAAGTGTCGCTTTCACAGTGGTGGCTTTGTCGTCTAGCTCGGAATCGCGGAGTTGAGGTTTCTAAAGGATATGTAAATATAGTGTAGAAGTAGATGTGCAGTCGAAGTGGTTTGAGACTGTTGAATAGTATATAGTATGGCTGCGTCTGTTAGGTCGTACCATATAGTAGTTAATCGTTGCCGTGGTTAGGTGAGGTTCTGATGTAGTTGTCCTTGTGGCGTGGTGGGCCGCGGCGGAAGGCGAGGACAGGGCCAGCATGGATCATTAAGCAGCCGACCGCAAGGCCGAAAATAACACGCTACATAATAGATGAGTGTTGCATGAACTCCCGGCATGGGTAAATATGACAGCAAAAGGTCCAAGAGGGCTGAGTTTATAAATAATAACCACTGGTATAACTCTACTGACCTATTTTTATGGTTTTATCTAACGTGAGAGATCGACTTCTCGGCAAAAGCCAACAAAGATCTAAAACAACATACGGAGGGCGCTATCAAAAGAATTGCGCCGGCAAAAAGACAACTAGACAGCGCCACAAATCTTGGCAGAAATTCACACTGTATTTTATACTGAATACTCAGCTCTTGATTATTCCTTGTCTCCGCTGCTATTCAACATGGAATCTGCCTGCCAATCTGTCTGCCAACCTGCGTGCCAATCTGCCTGCCAACCTGTGTGCCAATCTGCCTGCCAACCTGCGTGCCAATCTGCCAACCAGATGAGTATCCTATTCCTCCACCTGCCTGTGCTGTCTTCCTTCTCTATACTCATTGCCACCTTCTAACTCTATAATCTTTTCAATATGTACAGGAATCCGCTCAATCCATGTCTGTATCTTCTCTTGTGGCAGATCCTTCCATGCCTGCTCCCATACTCTAACAGCTTCTGTATGGTTCTTAGGAGCTTCTTTTCTTGTTGTTCTGTGCTTCATCCAGGGCCAAGCTGCCTCAATTGCATTGAGATCAGGTGAATTCCCACACCAAAGCAGCTGTTGAATCCCATGAATATTGTACATATAACATTGGATATAGTGATTGTGTGAAGGGGCTTTATCCTCTTGCACAATAGTATTTGGACGATCGATTTGACACTCTTTTGCAAAGGGAAATAGCTTTGGTAAGAGAATTTGAACTTGATAGTGATACCAATCAATTCCACCACCTTTGCCATGAGATAGCTTGTCTGTGGTCTGTTTGAACTTCCATATTGGTTTTTGACCTGGTTGCTGATGATCAATCTGTAATCTTTGAATGTCATTTGACAGCTCCCATTCTTGCCTCTTTATAGGTTCCATTTCAGCATTTAAAGCCTCAATATACTCAAGGGATTGAGCACACTCCTGCAAGGTTTCTCTGGCCCAACAATGAAATGGGCCCTTCTTATCATACAAGAAGCAGGTCCAGAACATGAATTCAGATGATCTCTTCCATCATTCACATATACAGCTTTGAGAATAGGCCTCATGAGATGCACGCCATATTCTATATCCACCTTGTTGATGAAGAAGAATAACAGAGGTTTCATCTGATCAGATAACATTCTTCCAATCCTTCAAGGTTCAATCTTTATACTCCAGACAGAATTGAAGTTGATCTAGTCACATCTTCTTGGTGAGTTCTGGCTTCTGTGTAGGCTTTGTTTTTTGCAGGCCTGCTTTGTGAAGAATCCTTCATATAGTCATAGAAGATATCTCAATTTCTTCATTACTGAATTCATTGGCAAGATCAGTACATGTCTTTTCTTGTCCATATTGATCACATCGAACCTTTGCAAGAATAGTGTCCTTAATACTATTATTTCTCTGAGTTGGTCAGCCAGATTTGGGGGCATCTTGAAGCCATTCATTGCAAAGTATAATATGAGGCAGTTCAGGATCAAATCCGCGTTCAATTGCATGTTTATATATATGGTTGATTTGACTCTTTGAGATCTGGGTGATTTCTGTGATTTCAGCATTTGACTTGCCAAAATAGGGTGATTTAAGAGCCACCACAAGAGCTCTTGTGGCAATATCAGTATTGGGTGCCATATGAATCAGCAGATGAAATATTAGAGATGAGATATTTGAGAAAAAAGAGGAATCAATTCAGAATACGTGGCATTCTCATATAAATAGAATGTGGGGTCATTTGAAGCTAAATGTAATTACTCATTAAAACGTTGTGGCGCTTCTTAGTTGTATAAATTGAATCTGAGCGGCGCAATTCTTTTGATAGCGCCCTCCGTAGATGAATAAATTTAAAAGAGCGAGCATGGTATTGTCGGATTTGAGGCCAGAAATAGATCATATATATTTGTATTTGTATATATAGAGAGAGAGAGAGAGAAAGAGAGAGACAGTATAATATCACAATACAGGAAAGACCAAACAATAAGAGAACAAAAACAAGAGGGATATGCCTATATACACAAAATAGAAAAATAAAATAGGAGTATCGCAGTCTCGTATAATGTAAGAGAAGAAAACCGCAAGACTTAGATAATAGACAAAGGGAGGAATATGAGACTTTCTATTTCATTAATACCCATTGTCGCTTTCCTTTAACATACACCCACATTCACAGCTTCGAGCCAGTCGAGAGAAGCTCAACACCAGCTCCAGCAATTGCAGGCTTTCCAGTCTCCACAACAGTAGTCTGGAACACAACTGTGCCATTATCCTTCCACATCTCGGTCCTCAACGTCTGACCCGGGATCACAACACCTGAAAATCGGACCTTGATGCTCTTGAAGGCACCGAAGGTCTTGTACACGTGCTTGCCAGAAACGCCGAACGAGCAGAGGCCGTGCAGGATGGGATCCTTGAAACCACCAACCTTAGAGAAATCTGGGTCGATGTGGAGTGGGTTGTAGTCACCGTTTAGACGGTACAGGGCGGCTTGGTCTTCAGAGGTCTTCTCCTCCATAACGGCGTCAGGTTTGCGCTGCGGCGGCTTGTAGGCAGCCGTGGCAGCCTTCGCGCGACGGGCGGTGGGCTTTGGGGATCCACCGAAGCCGCCGCTCCCGCGGATGAACATAGTCGACTCATTGTAGAAAAGGTCTTCGCCGGATCGTGCGTCTTTAGTGGTGAAGCCTGTGACGACGATAGCGGCGTTGCCCTTGTCAATCACGTCAATGAGGGTGGGGACGTTGATGGTCTTGGCCGCAGTGGGGATAGGGAACTTGCGGATTTCGAGATACTGCTCGCCATGGAGGAGCATCATAGGGGAGTAATTGGAGACGATATCAGCGACATCCCATGGTGTGGCCGTGGTGAACCAGGGGACCACACCAAAGGTGGGGAGGGCCTGGAAGTCTGAGCTGTTTTCGTAGACGAACTGCAGATCAGTGCGTTTGGCACCGAGAGAGATGTTGTAAAGGATGACATCCTTGTCGGTGTAGTCGAAGGGAGTTCCCTTGGCCTTCGTGCTCTTCGCGGTCTTGATGGCTTCCAAAATCTGCTTGTCGCCCTTAGATTCCTCTTTCTTTCCACCACTAACATTGCTCATATTCGCCATAATGCTCTTCAGGCCTGCTTGGCTGTCTTCAGGATGATCGGCACGCTCGTCGAATGTGATGATCTTCTTCCACTGGGAGAGGACAGCCTCAGGAGTGAGCTGCACATCGACGGGGAACCCATGTCCGCCGCTCCGTTGCCATCTGGTTTTGGAAAACCAACCACTTCCACATTCGTACAAGCCCTTGGTCGGCTCGGGCAGCTTGTCAGAGCAGAGTAGGGCTACCATTGGAGCAACGTATTCCGGTTTGAACGCTTGAACAAGGTCTTCCGGCAGGATGGTCCGGGTCAGTGCTGTACCAGCATTTGGGGCAATGGTATTGACATAGATGTTGTACTTGGCTCCCTCAAGAGCCAAGGCACGAGAGAATCCTAGAATGCCAAGTTTCTATTGCAATCAGTGATGGCCATTCCGCTAGCTAGTCAGCCATGGTGGAGGAGAAATTAACTTACAGCAGCAGCATAGTTGGCTTGTCCAAAGTTCCCGTAGATACCGCTGGTGCTAGAGGTGTTAACGATGCGGCCATATTTCTGTTTCAAGAAATAAGGCCATGCAGCCTTGGTGACCTTGTAAGTGCCTCTAAGGTGGACATTCATGATGGTGTTCCACATGTCGTCATCCATGTTGGTGAAAGCTTTGTCGCGGAGAATACCAGCATTGTTAACCAGGATATCAATCCGGCCAAATGCGTCAATCGCAGGCTTAACAACTGCATCGCCGTCCTCAACTGATGCCTTGGAGGCAACAGCTTTGCCTCCAAGCTTTTTGATCTCCTGAACAACGGGATCTGGGTTGATAAGGTCATTGACAACCACAGACGCTCCAAGCCTCGCAAAGAGAAGGGCATAGGCTCTACCCAAACCAGCTCCAGCGCCGGTAATGAGGGCAACCTTGCCAGTAAAATCGAAGCTCTCACCCGCGGGGGCGCTGGGTACATCCTGTGCTTTCTCCAAGAGTTCTAAGAAGTTCGCAGCTCCAGTAGGGTAGCTAGGCTTTGAAAAATCCGTAACATCATTCCACTTAGCAAGGATAGCCTGCGGTGTGAGAGTGTCGTCCGTCTTCAACAGAGCACCCTTTGCACGCTCCCATCGCAACTTAGCCACGTGGCCGGCGCCAGCTTCAAAGATGCCTCCAGATTCTGAGGTATTAGACGAGTGGACAAGAACGGCGACCAGAGGAACAATCCAATCAGGCTTAAGGTGCTCCAGGACATCTGGAGGCATAACGGTTTCAGTCATACGACTGGCAGCTGTAATTCTTTAGCTGGGATTGTGCAGATTAACATGTGAAACAAGGGGTCCCACATACCAATTGGTGCAATAACGTTTGACAAAATGTTATATTTCGCACCCTCCTTCGCCAAGGTCTCGGTAAAGCCAACCATGGCCAGTTTTGCAGCTACATTAAATTGTTGGTATGCAGTTTATCAAATAGAAAGCGCGATGTAAAGGATTACCAACCAGAGTAGTTAGTTTGCCCGAAGTTTCCAAATAAACCAGCAGATGAGGCAGTGTTGATAACCCGTCCGAACTTTTGTTTCCGGAAGTATGGCCATGCAGCTCTTGTGCACTATTTGACAGTTTTCAGAGTTTATGCTTTAACAAAAGAGAAAGATGGATGAGGAACGAAAAGAAAAGAGAACAGATTCCTAAACCAAGCCGTACCTTGTAAGAACCATAGACGTGGACCATGTTGATTAAATCCCAGTCGATATCTTTCATATTCTTAAAACTAACATCTCGTAGGATACCAGCGTTGTTAATCAAGATATCAACACGGCCGAAGGCTTTGATGGCAGTGTCGATGATTCTATCACCAAACTCGACGCTATCATAGTTAGCTACGGCCTTGCCGCCGGCAGCTTTGATCTCCCCCACAACGACATCGGCGGCCTGCAACAAATTATTAGACGACTTTTTAAATATAGAACTAGTTATGGATATTTGACAGACCCTGGACGAAGCGCCCTCACCCCGATGGGATACACCCAAATCATTTACGACAACATTGGCACCCCGTTTACTAAAAAAAAGGGCATATGCTTTCCCTACGCCGCCGCCAGCACCGGTGATAACAACCGTCTGATTATCGAATCGAAGTTCCGACATAGTGATATATAAGAGGCTAACTATGGAGAGGAAGTGGGTGTGGGTGGTAAGTCGAGACGCCTGCAAAGGAAATGGGGTTAGATGGAGAGGCTGAAAAGAAATAAAATGGTCATTAGCCAGGGCGTTGATGAAAATAAGAAGAGGCGAGAAAAGAGGAGGAGAAGTGGAGGATACGGAAGCTGAAGATGAAATATGCTCTGATGAACCTCGGCCGGGGTGAGACCGGGTAAGCTTCTCACACGGAACGCAACAACAATTGGTCCGGTATCAAAGGGTGGCCGTATCAATCGTGTATCGTACATTGCAATTCAGTCGAATTCCCCATGGGTTTGTTGTAAAATATCGTATGTGTAAAATATTTGAGGCTGTCCAGATGACTAATAAGTCATCGCATTCCAATTCCTAGTTTCTGATTGGCTGTAACTCCTTGTCATGTGCCAAGCTCGTTCCCTCGATGCATGTGAATATGACAATTTTCAAAGTTTAACATCGAGCCCAACTAACGAAGTGTGTCTCGCAAACGGGCCTGAAATTACAAGACAATCCAATGCGTGGAGCTGTACCGAGTAGAGTACTAGCAAGTACACATCCGTCGATGTGCAATTTCGAACCCCACCGAAATGCATGCACATGCACGATACATGTTAATCAATAATTGCATACGTAGCCATTTGCCTTGACGAATTTACACCGATGATGATGTCACAGCCACTCTCACGTGCTAGCGGGGTCTAGGTTCAATTAAGGTTTATACTAACATACGTAGGAATGCGAACTGAAAACTCTAAATCTCCCCGGATTTTATTGACCAAAGCTTTGGAATCAATACCTTCGTATGCATCAGAAACGGGCGCAACAATGGTTGATATACTTGACGACAAGTCTCAGCTCTGCATTCATTTTCTCCTGGAGCAATTAGGTATACACGAGCAGAAATATTCAGCAGACTTGAGTCCTCCGCCTTTTTTTGTTGGACTCAATGGTGTCCAGGGTGCGGGGAAGACAGTGCTGGTAAGGTACTAGTAGTTGCTATGGTAATTTCTTGATTTAATTGCATGGATAGGCTACTACAAGAAGATGTTTCAGAGGAGGGGATGGGGTGTGCGCGTAAATTGCCTACACAAACCAGCGTCGATGTTTCCCTAACATCGCAGCAACTGCATGGTCACTGACACTCGCGAAAAATCCTTTGCATGTATATAGGTCTCCATCCTCCGCTCAACTCTGTCCTCTCCGCCTTGCAATCTCCCTACGATAGCTTTCTCCCTGGACGATATCTATCTTAGCCATACTGACCAACAACGCCTGGCGGCGTTGCACCCCTCAAACCCACTTCTCCAACACCGCGGACAACCATCCACCCACGACATTCCGCTTGGCTGCCAGATCTTCGATTCCCTCCGCCAGGGTCTACCCACCAAAATACCTGCATACGATAAATCAGCATATAGTGGCCAGGGCGACCGTCTGCCCGAAAGCGAATGGGAGGTTGTCAATGACGTGTCGGCCGGCCAAGAACGGGTGAAGGTGGTGATTTTCGAAGGCTGGTGTGTGGGGTTTCGAGCTCTACCGGAAGCGGAATTACGCAGGGTTTGGGAAGATGCAGTTCAATTGTGTGTGAGGGACCCGGTGGGGTATAAGGGAAGGTTAGGATATGTGAAGTTCGAAGATGTGAAAATGATTAACGACGCTTTGAGGGCGTATGATGCATTTACCGAGTGAGTGATGGTTATTTCCCCCCCACTCGCTCTCACGGGCCCTCATTTATTTCTTATACTAAATCGGTTGAAACCCTGAAAACGGATAGTCGTCTAGATGCGTTCATACATCTGTATGTATAATGTCCACATGGATCCGCCGCAGTTCTCCGTCCCTCTGATAATAACCCAAGCCTCCGAGCAGTGATGCAGAGGACACCCATTTAGTCTACGATTGGCGCCAGGAGCAAGAGCGCACCCTGCTCTCCACCAAGGGCGCTGGTATGACAGTCGAACAGGTCAATAAATTCGTGGATGGCTGTACGTTTCCAAACGAATGCCGACTTTCCATTTTCATTTATTCACTCGTCCACACATAAGGCTATACGAAATGGAAATCTGACATGCATATCTACTGTTATTTTATCTTTTGCTGAATATACAGACTATCCCTCGTACGAACTTTTCGTCCCAAATCTTCGCAAAGGCGTTTTTGCAGCCAAGCAAGAACCCGCGCAACGGCCTGGTTCGACTACTGATGACAGCTCATGGGAGGGCAAGCAGCTACGTCTAATTGTAAATCGACAGAGAAAGGTTTGTGATGTGATTAGAATATGAAGGTTTTGATGTTGGGGTTTTTGGAGGGCTGGTACAGTACATGGTTCAGGAAATGGATGCAACGACACACCGACCAGAAGCACAGCGAGGAACGGGAGAAAAAAAGGAAGGAAAGAAAGAGAAAAAGAAGGAAAATGAATGGTCGAACATGCAAAAGAATAAAGATGAAAGAAATAAAAATGAGTGCAACCAAATAAGAAAAGAAAAATTCAGGTTCAGCTCCAACCCTGATTCGAACAAGGGACATTGCGATCTGCAATCGCACGCTCTAACCGCTGAGCTATTGGAGCAGTTCCTAGTGGAGAATGTGGGGGAATTTGGGGGAATTATGTAATCATATATATACTTCCCCAAGCTCTAACTGCCACTTGGTCAAGCCCTAAGCCTAATGAATATGTATATGTATACATCTGACCCTCTGGCAAGGATTGCTCTGAGTAAATGACTTGTAACTAAAGTAGTTTAGTGTTATGCTGCTGCAACCGAGCCAATAGATGGTCTGAGCTCGCTGAGAGAAAACTGCGGGGTCAAACTGATGAAAATCCCCCGTCTGACATGACACAGCCTTTGCTAACTTGGTCATGTTGCTCCAATACCTCCAATTATCTTGAAAGAACCAGTGTAAAAAAACATGATTTCTCAAGAAGCTCAATATCCCCTAGAAGGGGGATGCGACTGCAAAGCAGTACGATATCAAATACAAACTGCGCCCCTATTTGTCCACTGCTGCCACTGCACCTGTATGTATTTAGCCAAAGTATCACAATCAAGAACCTAACACAGAACCCCTTATCACCACCGCCACCATTTATTTATCAACCCCCCAAACTAAACAAAAAACCACTAGGGTGCCAACGAGAAACCGGCTCGGCCTTCGCCATAAACATCCTTATCGAAGCTGACCGCGTAACCCTCCTACAAGAGGAAAAGAACGATCCCGAACTTGAAGTTGTCAACGCTCCATCCCAGAGCGGTGCCGGCCAGAAGATCTCCAGATGCAAAAAATGCCATGTCGCCGTCTGGAGCACCTACGGAGGCCTCGGCCCGGTTGTACGATTAGTCCGCGCAGGCACGCTCGACCAGGCCTCTTTGGTCTCGCCGGACGTCCATATCTATACCAACACCAAAGTTCCCTGGCTTACCTTTCCGGATAGTGTACCGGTGTTTGAAGCATTTTATGGCCTCGAGCAGGAATGGCCAGAGGAGAGCCTTGCGCGGAAAAAGGCGTTTATGCCTCCAGTGGAAGAGGATAAGCGGCAGAGTGCATCAAGGAAACAATGAGCGTACGATCAATGTTAGAACTGCGCCGGAAGGATTTTATTTTTGTTGTTTTTTTAAATTTTTGGATTTGAACAATGTTGTTGATTTTGTCCACGAGGTATTGCCTCTGTATCACAATGAAAAGGGTGCTTTTCTACACTAGACCTTTCTCGTTGTTCGATGAGTGGCATTAGAGCGGCATCATATTTTCAGATATGGCGATTAAGAAAAAAGAAGAAAAAAAAAAGAAAAAAACTCTTCAGAAGTTACATTATTGTGCTCTGTACAATGTGTTCTCCAGTAATCAAGGCCTCAAAAAGGGACCGCATAAATTTTGCTGGGAACTTGGCTCTGGAGAAGCCCACGCTAAAATCTCCTAATAACTTGTATGCTCCAAGGAAAAGCAAGCTCTCACAAAATTGACGTCAAAATACGAGCTATTCGCCTTGGTGCCTAGAGCTGCCCATTTTCTGCGAAGCCCGGTTCAAATCATGAACCCAATATCTCTCCACCCTGATAATTCCACCGACGAGTATTCTTATGCTCATTTTATCTCGAACGCCGTAACCCAACTTACTTTGCTATTGAAGTTATTAAGCCCTCTTAATTTACAGCTGCAATGCCTTACGCAGATCCAATGGAAGCGGGTCCCTCCAATTCTGATTCTAATTCCACCTTCTCCCCTAACAAGGAAGCCATAAAAGCCGACATTGAAGCATTGCGCTCCGCTTTTGCTTCCAGATGTGTAGATCCACCCCTGGGATGGCCTGCAATCCATGCCTTCGAGTCCAGATACGGCATAATTCTTCCGGAGCCATATCGGACCTTCGTAGCCGAGGTGGCCAGCGGATGCCGTGACGGCCCTCCAGAATACGGCCTCAACACACTCAGTAATTGTTGCAATAGGGATGACCCGGACATGGCCCGCCTCGCTTTGCCATTTCCGCTAACAAAAAAATGGCTATGGGAGGACTCTCCAGAGCCTCCAGAGGGTTTCCCGTCATCCGCTATTGGTCAGGATGGTGAGGCAGATATTTTTGGCCGCGGCTGTCTCGATCTGGGGACAGAGGGGTGCGGCATGGATTGGTACCTTATCATTACTGGGCAGCAGCGTGGGCAGATCTGGCTCCTGACTGGAGAAGGGGCTGTACCTTTTGGTGAGCTGTTCGAATCCATGAAGGTCCAGCCGGGGTTCGCTGGGTGGGCGCTTCATTGGGCTGCAGGGAAGGAGTTGATGGGCAGTGATGAGGAGTATAGCATGTAAGCCTTGAAGACTCAAGCGGCGGAATGTAATTTGGATAGAAAGGAGGATACGTCGATTTTTGATCCCACCTGCGACTCCATGGATTGCTCCCTGAGATAATGGTCTTCTCGGCCAGTCGCTCTGGGTATGAAATGTAATTTATAATTTCCTGGATATGGCTATTGCCTATAACTCTGCCTTTTCTTTTCTTTTCCATCTTTGTAGAGGTGAATATTTAATTCGCAATGGCGAGGTGCACCGTCGGTGTGATATTTTGGTCCTTGGAGAGAACTTATCGAGTTCTGGAGGTTATTCAACAAACCCGAATTCAACCAAGACTCAGGATCCCAGCCAATGCCAGTCAAAGGGTAAATTGTAAAACGTCAAAGCTAGAAGAGTCGCGTGGGAATACCAATTGCATTTCATCCCAGGGCATTCGGCGATTCCCGAATGAATTGAACCTGTCGCCAAAGAGTATATGCCATGTCTCTCTCGGAATAACAAGATTGCATCGAAAAAAAGATAAATGCAATTGCCTGTAATACATCATCGTTTAGCAAACGATGATACTACCTTTATTAAGCACGTACGGACATAGATCGTATACATGTCCTGTACATATGAGCCATACACAGTGACAATGGTTTCAAACACTGTAGATAAGGGTATGAACAAAAAGTAAGATATAAACTGGGAAAAAGTGGGAAAGGAAACGAGGGCGGACATGATGAATGGTGAACAAAAACAAATAGAGTTGATAGGACAAAATGGTGTTCGCAGCAGAATAACAGAAAGGAAAATGAATGACCATGAACACGGAAAGGGAAGCGAAGGGGAAGATTACAAATATGTTGAACCATAACCAAACAAAATAAATTGAGGAGGATGGCGGATAAAAAGGTGGGACATTCTGTATCATGCATTCAAAAGACAAGGGACCGCTAAAAGATTCTTGGAAGAGGAATAGCAGGGACTTGGAAGGGGAAAAATACATGGGGAATATTTTTCTTAGAACCTAGGGCGATCAGTTTGCCTAACCTTGCAAAATAAGATTGAAAAACGAAATGTATGACCATGAGGAGAACAAGCAGGGATGAATAAGAAAACAGGTAAACTTTACACAACCCCCACACACCGCCGTCATATGAAATCAAAACACACTCCGCGCCCGGTTTGCGCATCAGTCGCCTTTCTTCCTCCTACCTCTTACACTGCTGTTACTACCATCTCTGGATGTGAAGAGCCCGATAGTAGATTCAGATTCAGACCCGGACCTAGACGATAAAAGAGGACTAAAATTAAGGTCACTTCCTGTCCCGTCCCTAGTTGACGAAGATGTATCGACACCAGGTTCAACATGACTAGAGGTTCCTTTCCCATCCGGCGTATCGGCCAACTCGATCAGGTCGCCCATACCGCCGATGCCCAAACGACCGTCCTGCTGCTGAAACTCCGTAACACCAGCCTTGGCATTGCGGGCCATCTTGCGCATCCAGCCTTCAATGGCGCCGCCAACGTTCTCAAGACCCGTAGACGACGTATTCGAGACGACGGTGGACGTAGATTCTACAGATGTACGCCGGCCGTAGCTGTTTGATGATGGCGGGATTTGAAGAGATGACTGCGGCGGAGAGAGCGCGAGTTGAGGTAGATGTGTTTTTACGAATTGGTTGAGCTTATCTTCGGCGGGACCGGGGACTTTTACGTTGGGACCCAGGGTTCCTACGCCACCGTGGCCTAAGAGGGTGAAGCTGCTGCGATATCGATGGATGTTTGGGTTGGAGAGGGATCTTAAGCTTGGTTTAGAAGGGTCGAAGGTGTGGGATGATGGTGAGAGGTGAGAATCGAATGGGGACGAATTGATAGAGGAAGAGGAGGCGTTTGCAGTCCTGGTATTTTGCGTTTGCTTTTGGTAAAGGGGGGGCGGGATATCATCGAGGTCGGAATAGGGCGTTGATAGCGGGGCTAGCGATTTTCGCCTTGCTCGAGGGAAAAATCCTAAAGTTTTCCGCGTCACGCGGCCGATTTCGACAGCATCCGGGAATCCATCAATTTGCACCCAACATTCATGCTTCCACAACGGCTCTTGTTTCTGTGTCTTGCTTGAAATTGACGAAGTAGCTGATCCGGGGTATTCGTCTCGTAAGCTTAAGTCTTCGTATCCAAAGGCGGAGGACGCCTCGGAATCTGTGGCTAGTGAGGTAATATCTCTATACGGGTCCTCTGTACTAGTATTCAAATCCTCAAAAAGGTTAACATCATCCTCCTTCGCGGGCAATCGACGGCCTTTTAAAGTACAAGCTTCAACGGGAATAAGTACTGTCTTCCTCGCCTGTATACTGTCGCTGGGCCAGAAGCCATTCGATTTCCTCATCACTGCTGGCTGACAGCCATACTTGATTGACACACCAGTTATACTGTCATTTGGCTGTACATGATGCACATACACCAAAGCATCCGAATCGTCCTGTTCCGCCGGCGGAGTTGAATATCCCCGCGGAGCATCGCCAGAATCTCTTCGTTTGTAATTCCCCTGACTATCCGGTGTCACATCTCCATTGGCCTCGAGGAGGGCTTGTCTTTTCAGCGTCTCCACCGTCGACTGGCGGGCTTCTCTCGCATTCGAACCTGAGGAACCCAACTGCTTGCTCAGGAAGCTTGCCGGCCCCCATGATGAATGTCCACTTCCAGAATCCCGTACGAAGCTTGCACCTGGAGATTTCCGTCGTCGCCGCTGGTGCCCACCTGGCACTGATGTAGACCGATCCGCTTTTCCGAATATATCCTCGTTTCCCAGCACACTTGAGGCCAGTCCTTGTAAAGAAACCCACGACGATTCCAAAAAATCCGTTACAAACGGACTCGCTGGTTTAGTTTGCCGAATATCCGTCGATCCATTTTCCAGCCTCGCGCCGTTCGATAGTCGCTGCGTAGTCGATGAGGCTGTCGGTGGACGGGAGGGATGTCTGCTTGGGGTGGGAGATGGGGTACAGGCACGAGAACGAGGCGCGGAGGGCGTTAGCAGAGAATTCGAAGATAGGACATGATCATTTGCCGTTGTTCCGAGGATGTCATCATCGTCGTCGTCGGCGAGGGAGATCAGGCGTCGATTACGCGGACGGACACCGGAGGAGGAGTTCGCGCTCGCGGTTGAGGAATTGAAGACATCGGACTTGTTGGTGTTGCTGGTCATTCCTTATCCTATTGCTCTCCTAATGTTCTTCTTGCTCTGGTTCCTTCCAATTTATATGATTTTGTCGGAATTCCCTTGCCACCCGCGATTAAAAATGAAATAAAATAAAGAAAACCAAATAAAATAGGCTTTCCTTCTATTTCTTCACGTCGGTTGAATTCTGCCTACCTTCGAGGACATTTCAAGAGGTCGAAGACCGCAAACGAATCAATGGCTGGCGTCTCAGGGTGCAAACTCAGCGGGGTATCACCGATAGCCAAACAGCGCCGACAGGACATCTGTTGATTGATTGATCGATCGAGAAGTGTGCTCAAGGCTGAGAGTTATATTATTGGGATCGATATAGGCGATAGCTCCGTGCGTAAATGAAGAGCTCCCGTTATCCAAGGGCAGGGAATGGTTGGAGGCGTGCAAATCTCACCCGGATATCCGGACCATTTGCTAGCTAGGCACTGCTGCCCTTTCAGAGGACTTCAGATCGATACGTCAGAAAAATGAAAGAATGCGCACAGAACGCAGACTCAAGCCCCAGGTCGCAAGCCTCAAGCTGCAGTTTCCAACTGACCCAACGCAGCCCTGTCTCCCATCTATTCTCAATGTCAGGATTGGACAGTTGCCAAGCGGGAATTGCGGTAGTTTGCCTGTCCGTTGGCGTAGGTGGAATCAACACCGAACGTGGAGTGATAGGACAATCCGCACCAAAAACAGGATACCCTTCCAGGAGTTCCAAGGGGTTCAGGATAATGCGTGACTTGGTGTAACGGTTGCTATCCTTCAGTAGTTGGTTGAGATGTTTGGACACCGCGGCGCCAGTGGAGGCGTTGCTGGACAATGTATTAGTCAGCGAGTCTCAAGAAGCTTTCCATCCCGAGCACCTTTTTTTATTTTTTGAAAAAATTTCTTCAGGATAAAATGCTTAGTTGGGAGCTATGTAGTTCAACTGATGGGCAGCAAGCATAAAAGTTCAATAAAACTCTGTTTGTCGAATAAATAAAAGGGAAATGATCTATGGCAGTCACATTATATATATATAAACAAGTAGATATAGTACAAGATTAATATATAAAATATTTGCAAAGTACAATGTTTACCCTGTCAATTTCATAACACATAAATTGATATCGATATATGATAAGTGATATTGATACCATATGCACACAGCCACTCACGCCCACAAACATCCATTCATCCGTTAAGCAGCATCTGCCGATTACACCGTCGTCTCATTCACAACGCCTCCCCCAACTCACCCACACCCGCATTAATCCCGAAGAACTGGAACCTACATCGAGAAAAAGAAAAAGAAATACGTCAGCAAAACATAGCCCAGACTGCAAAAGCCGTAGAGAATAACAGGTAGAACGAAGAAGGAGGGAAGAGTAAACGAAGAAGAACATACCAATCCTCCACATTCAACGTCGGCGGAATTGGCATCTGCCCTCGCGACGACGTACTCCAATTGTCATCCTGACTCGACGACTCCATCGTCGTAGGCGCCATATGCCCATCCAGCCCTTGCATGGAAGGCCACCCGCCCCCGCCAGGATGTTGCTGCTGCTGCTGCCGCTGCTGCAGCGGCTGGCCCATGCCGTGCATATGATGCATGCCCATGGTGGGGCTATCGCGTAGCCCTCGTGTGGGTAGCTGCTGGTGTTGTTGTGAGTGCTGTTGGCCGGGGCTGAGTGCGGGAGTACCCATACTACCCATCATGGGTGTCTGCTGCAGCTGTGGGTCGATAGCCGCGCCGCTGCGGGGTGAAAAGCCCGCGAATGACATATTCGTGCCGTCGGGGAAGAGTTGGGTTGGCTGGAAGTTTTCCCAGAGCGATTGCGAGATGTTAGGGGAGTTGCGTGTGACGAGGAAAAGGTCGGGGGGGGTAGCTGGGATGTTGAAAGGGGGGTTGAACTGAGACGGTGAGTCGGGACGGGTGCTGCCGTCGGAGCTACCGGTGGTGCCGAGGAAGGCATCATGGTTTATGCCCCGTTGTTGTTGTTGTTGTTGTTGTTGCTGCTGCTGCTGCTGCTGCTGCTGCTGCGACTGTTGGTGTTGGGCGGTTGAAGAGGTGTGCGGAGGATGTTGGGATGGCGGGGCGGCCATTGCCGAGCCAGCGGGAGTCGGGGGCATTTCACGAGAGGGTGTTACGGCGGGTGTCTGCGGCCGGGAACGCTCGTAGGAAACCTGTGGAGCCGGTGGTCCGTTGGGGAGGCTAATTTCCATGTCGTCGAATTTGCGTTTGGGGGCTTCTATAGGGCGTCGTGCTGCTGTGGTTGACGAGGGTGGTATTGTGGGGGCCGGGTGGTCGCGTCGGACGCGCTGGTGTCGCTTACCGGCGGCTTTCTGGAGGCGTTCTTCGAGGGCTTTGTTACCCAGGATGGACTCGAAGAGCGTGTGTACCATCTTCGCAACAAGCCAGACTTTCGAGACATCTTTAAGGGCTTGCATGCAGATGTTGATTCGCTCTTGGCTTAGGGAGACAACGCTGGGGACGGATGAGCGCATCTGGTATACATGCATGATAAGGGCGGAGAATAAGCTATATACACTGTTTTGGAAAAAGAAAACGGGTTAGATATGAAACGCATGCGAGGTGACTCACATAGGATAACGCAAGTAACCGTCAAACTTACATGAATGCTGGGGTAAACTTAAGTTCTCCATGTGTTTGCAGATTCTCGACAATGGAGGTAATCATAGCGGCGGCTTGGAAAGCAATAGTGCGAGACGGGTATGTCATCCCGTCCGATCCATAGTTTCCAGATATAGATGTGGCCGGGGGCATATGCGCACGATGTAGTAAACATAATGTTGTACTACAAACGAGATGTTAGGTATCTCTATATCACGCCAAATATTCCCGCCTCAAAGAATAATTCACTTTGGATGAAAACTCACTAGTAATTTGCATGCAGCAAGGCGGACCAGAAATGATGCCTAGGCCTCTCCCAGTAAACTTCCTTCGGGCAATTTTGTAGCCAATCGGCCAGCGCCATATCACTATGAGTTAGATCAATGGCATTTGTACGCCGCGACTTCGAAGCGACAGAGTACTGCTGAGACAATACGAGGCCCATAATCTCGCAGAGCTTCACATACTGGAGGAAGAACTGAACGTGGATAGGATCGGGCGGGTATTCAGCGACGCTGTCGACCTCATCCTCGATGAAATCATCCTCTGTAAGCATCTCCACGTCGGAGTCGTCAGTGTTGATGTTTACGGGACGCCCAAGCGCGACGGCAACGGATCGATCCCGTGTGAAGAGTGTCCACCATATCCGTTTCCATAGCCGCTTGTCTGGTCTGCTTAGCTGGGACGATTCCACGCTATTTTCGTAAAAGAAATACGTTAGTAGGGAAAAGAGATCAATCAGAGCGAATTGCCACTGTTAATTGATGACGAACCTTCGGTGCATTCCAGATCCCTGGGCAACAACAGTCGCAACTCTACTCCAATAGAAGACATTTTTAGTGACATCTAAATAACACAATATGGTCAGCAAGGATATCTTCAAAAACGGCTCAGCTGAACGAAGGGTCACGCATGCCTTCCGGACCTTCCCAGTACCAGCCCATTAGAACCAACGCTTGCACGATGGTAACGCGGTCGTCTTCGTAATTAGCATCATAAAGGGCCTTTGCTCGTTTATAAAAAGTCATAGCTGCGGGCGTAGTCGATCCATTCGCATCCATCAACTGGGGATTTATACAGACTCTCGACCCAGCGAGAAGAATAGCTTGCAGAAGCAGAAGCGAGGGCGGGTTCTTGGGATCTCGATAACGGCGCATGAAACGGCTGCGATTAATGATGGGCACAACAGGCGCAACCCATCTGAAGTACGCGTCTACGAGCTCGTCACATAGAGCCCGGGGTGGGAGTAGGAATGCGCCCCTCTGATGCAGGATGTCGATTTCCAAATTATCTAACTCTGTCAGTCGTGCGCGCGAGCCTCTTATCCCGTCCGGTAGCGGATAATGTACAACATCAGTAGTACCGTGACGGTCATGGACAAGTAGTGAAAGGTTCGACGATTCTCCAAGGTATGCTACCCTCCCAGCTTCCTTTATGGGGGCGCGAGCGAATTTCGGTTTCATGAATTGGGCATACGAGGCGTTGTGGGAAGCTTGCTGGGCAGCCTGAGCCTCGGTTAAGCTAGTCTCGGGCATTCCTTCTACTGTTTTGGCGCCTTGCGTGCTGTCGACACTGACTCCGCTCCCAGTATCTGGTCGCTCATCGCTACACAGCAGATTAACATCGGTTTCATTCAATTCACCACTCCAACGATATGTATCCATTCCTCACAGAAGTAACGTACCTGATCCCATCTTTGAATAATTTTCCCTGATGCTTCTTCCGCTTTGGCGTTGGGATTTTACATTCGATAGAGAAAGCTACGCAATTGGTGCAAGGCACACCTAGACTTGCTGCGTCGCACCGAACCTGTATGTAATAGAGAAAGTAGGTCAGACAAATGGACAACGAGAGCGATCGGCCAAACAACCGTGTGCAACAACAGTTCAGAATCCGCCGGCCGATCGCCAACCTCTCTTTCCCCCGCACATTAGTCGGATGGAGATCGTGGATGGAGGTGGCTAATATCGTGAGAAACTCGGGGTCAGCTAACCAACCTTTCGAGCATGGCAAGTCTGCAATCACGCCGCGACCGTAGACACGGCCATCACCGTCAGTAAAAATGTAAACACAAAAGACAAGAATAAAGACACAAGTTTCTCATTGCGATCGATCGATCGATCGTGTGGACTCTTTGTCGAGAGCTCGAGGCCAAAGATACCTCCAACCTCAAGAGGATATAAGGCCTCGCGTAAGGCCGAGGTGCCGAGGCTGCATCAACGTCCAGCGTTTGATCGAGAACAGAACAGTATTTTAACTCCGTGCATGAACGAGAATCGGGAGATGGAAGAAATAAATAAATAAAAATCATACCTCACAAGCACGCGACGCCCGTTGCCTGTATTATCCCATTTGCTAGTCAGCCAATTCCTTGTTTGAAATGAAACTTGGCCTCTATTTTCTTCGCTTTCTCTTTTACCACATTCGCAGCGCCCCCTCCAACGGCTCCGGGTTGATCGAAGAAACCAAGGGGGAAATATCACGCACCGTCTAAAGCTAGGATGGCCTGGAGTTTGCATGGAGGGCACCGATGGTTTGGGAGCACTGGCGGTGTTAGGTAGTGAAGGGGCATCTTTGGCGGAGGTAGTGGCGATATCTTCAGCGCCAGTCATGGCGTGGTCTGGCCTATGATCCGAAGCGATGCTACTCATTGTGGGGGACAATGGATAAGAGCAGCGTTCCGTCAATAGGAGAGGGACGAGAGAGGAGGAGGACGTGCCGGTCGAGGGAGACGAGAGAAAAGAAGATGAGAAGGAAGATGAAGATTGAGGCCTGAGGCCTGAGGGCGGGAGCCGGAGGAAGGCGGCAAGCGATACGTTACCTGAGAGTAGCGATAACTATAACTATAATATAAATCGACTCCGTCCATCGTTACAGGTACAGCCACGAGCGAAATGGAGAGTCTGGCAGAGCGTAGAGAGTCTTTCTGCCGTGTTTTTTAACTAATTTTCGATTTTTGTAATTATTGTGGTCTCTTTGTCCTCCCTCTGCGCCATTCCTGCTATGAATAAGACCGGCGCGCGAAGGTTTAGTTGCGGCGCATGGACAGGGACAGGGAGTGCTTTTAACCATAATTTCAATCCTGGCATTCTTCATCCCAAGCACTCCGGATGGAATCGAACCGAATTGTTGTCGAAACTCCCCCTTTCCAATCCCGCTCTTCTGCATCTATGCATTGACTGATTGATTCTACATACAGGATCGCGGCCCCCCCGTGTCCAACACCAGAATTCAAGTCAACAGGCGCTCCTGAGCTTCGTCCCCTTGTGCTATTTTTGTCGGCGGGGGATTTCAGTCCGGATTAGGGCTGGTTGGTTGGTCCAGTTTTGACTCGCCACAGGAATTGAACCTTGAACAGGTTTATGCTTCCCACTTGCGGGGGAATGAGGCTTTGAAAACGGCGAAGAGAATCAAACCCCTCCTGACTCCCACAGCAGCTCCCTGATGTCCCCGTATGCAGAACTAGATCCAAACCTCTAGACACCCGACAATGGCCAGGTCCATGTCCTCCACGCTCGATACGAGCCGGCCCACCAGAGCACATGCCGCCAAGGAACCGAATGCTTGATTGGCCTCCGCACTTCGGCTGGTTTTCTTCTTGCCAGACACTGAGAGTGGTGGCAAACAGGGCGCTTCTGCTTCACACTTGCTTATCAACCGATCTGTGTTTTAAAGCCTCACAGAGAATCCACACTAAGAGGAATGCTAAACCATTCACAATGATTTAGAGTAGCTGGTGAAGCTGATAGTCCTGAGTTGGAAGAAAAGTAAACTGACCACAACTGCTAAAATACAAAGATACAAAGAAAGCAAAACTCATGAGCTTTTGTATTGCAATGCACGAATCCTCCTCAAATGCTTCGAACCATAGTCCACTGAGAACCACCAACATAAACAATACAAGTATACATGATATATCACAGAGATAGATGCTAACCCACACCAGCCATCTTAGCAATCGATAGATTTCAAACTTGAATCTCCGCGGTTGGCTCGGTGAGATATCTGAACCGAGACACCCTCAACTTCAATAACATCAAATGTCGCATCATCTTCACTTCCACCAGCAGCAGGTTCCTCGCCGGGAATATCATATGTCATCTTTAGATGATCGTCGAAACGTTTTATAGCCGAGTTCGCAATTTTCTGTGGCGTGGTATCGGGGGATGACCTAATTGCGTCAATCAGTATACTGTCAACAAATGCCACCACCTGATCACGGCGTATGATCCATGACAATGCCTCAGAATGCATCACCTTTCCTGTCTCACAAAGAACAATAAATCGAAAGTCTATGAAATCGGTAAGAATACCAAAGACAGCTGTTCTAGCCTTTTTTGCTTTCACTTGAGTGTCTTGAACAGCAAATAAATAAGCCAATACCTGAGCTATATTATCTACTTGGACAGTAGATTTAGCTTTAAGTACTATCAGCATTTGTTCCAATCTAGTTGTATCCTTCATGTACCCTAGCAATCAATCTGCTCTGCCAGAGATTGTGCTACCACAATGCTCCTGCTTCACTGTTGCAGTCATAGGCACCTCATAGCCAACACACAATTTGTTGTCGGCGTCTAAATCATCCAGTTGATTCAGTCAATCTGCAAGTAGTATATCAAACAGTGTACAGATGGATGCCTCACGTCGAAGCCTTGATAATGCAGGAGAGTCGAGAATCTTCTCTATGGCAGTTGCTAGAATATAGTCAATACAAAGTTTTAGATCTTTTCACTGATTGAGTCTTGACTCACCAGCCCAGCTAGACAGACCACTCTGCTTCAACTGACTCTCTGTCAAAGCCCACATATATTCTTGCTTGTATGCATTGAAATCAATGCCCAGCTTTTCCGTCACCTGTTGAAGTGTAAATTTTGAAGGCAGGTATGATGGCGTGAGGGTGGGGCTTGGAATATGTGAAACGGCAGTTGCAACGAATTGAAGATATCACAACACCATAGATAGGTACTTGATCTTCCGAAACACCATCTTTTAGAATTGTGTCCAAGTTCCTAAAGAATCTTGACATGGCTTCTGTTAGGTCGTAATGGGTCATGCGAGGCATGCGGCTTTTGTCTCTTCGCTGGCGGTGCCATTTTTGTTGCTGATTGAAACCGTAGGGTGGAGGCAACTCATTGAAGTGGGAGTTGTTTGCTGGAATCCAAGATCAATGTTATCGAGTTAGCGCAGAGTGTCAACGCTACGGTCCTCCGTGGCTGTTGGGGTCAGTGTGCGTGGCAGCATGGGCCGGCAAGCACACATCAAAATGTTGCCTGTGCAGTTGAACTTTCAATACCACTACTTCTTTATAGAATTTATTATTGTATTATTATTGTTGTTGTTATTGTTGTTATTATTGTTATTATTTCTACGCTGCTGAATCTTAAATATATACTATTTTTTAGTATTTTATATTCTTTTTAAATTATGTTTTTCTCTCTCTTTAGAAGTAATATTGACTGATTTATAGTAATTTACTGAGTTTTTTAAAGATAGCTGTATAATTGTCTTCCCATATGCATCAATGAAAGCTTTGCCAGCGCCGTTAGTGTGTCTATTCTTCACTTCGGCCAAGGGCTTCACATCTAGCGTATGAGTGGCGATAGAATCTTTGTGCCGTTGAACTCCGCAGGAGCTTTTCCTTCCTTCCCCGTCATTGTTTTCCTCTGCGTCTCGTCCGTTTTGGCGGGGCCGGATTTACTATGATCGCTTTCACCACCAGCTGCAATAGCATCCTTACTAACACCATCATCCTCAAACTTTACACCAGCAATGAGGGTCTCACTAAGGAACTCTAGCCCAGCAACGAACGTGCATAGCCCGCTCGCGATGCAGAAGTGACTAATTGTCGTGCCAATGTCAAGCCAGCTCCCCTCGTCGCGCACCATGTAGAAGAAATTAAGCGTCATTATGTCACTGATGGACATAACGATCATGAATAGAGCGGAAGGAGCGACACCTAGGCGCCGGTTGAGGATACCCAGGTTCGCACTGATGATGGCAAATGGGATCAGGATTTTTAGGATTAGCAGCGCGCCTTGGAGGAAGGGGTTGAAGATGGGGACTAATCTGGTAACGCTTTCGAGGGAGAAGGAAGAGATTGAAGCGATGTTGCCCGTGGAGAAGAAGGCGGATTGGAGAAGGAAGAAGAAGAATAACGCAACACGGGCATCTCTGGTTGTTAGGATGCGATAACGGGGTTTTGATATGTGGTTTTCGCTGTTGGGTTGTAGAGGGCTTTGTTTCGTTTTGATTTGGGTGACATCATTTAATGGAACGATGGCGGTTGGTGGCTGGGATGAGGTGTGGATGAATATGCGGTGTTCAAGTTGAACCCAACTGAGAAGGGTAATGCAAAAGACGAAGTAAAAGAGCCCCTCGTACGAAATGGTGAGAATGATGAACGTTGGAGAGAAGGTGAGGAAGATCACTACAAGACGATGGAGGTAGTGGCTATTTGGATATAGCCGGTGGAAGAATGGAAATGTAAGAGATGCCACTACAAAACGTTAGTCTGAAAAATCCCTCGGCACATCTCATATGAAGTTATGCTTGATGGAAATGATGAGGCTAACCTAGAACAGACCATGCAACAACTTGATTTCCGAACGGCAAACCTTCTTTTGCCTGTAGTGATGCGGCGGTAGATCTGGTTACTATTATAGCCAGCAGAACCATGCCGATCTAATGTATGCCCGCCGACGCATTAGTTTGGTCTAGCATAACGATTCTAGAAAAACTAGGAAGATAGCGACGAACGTACCTGCATGCCCATAATTCGCCTGGAACCCCTACTGACGGCAATTGATAGGGTTTTAGAAATCGGCGTTATCGATTCCTCGAATATGAGATAGAGGAGCCCAGTAAGGACCATGAGAGTTGCCCCTATCGTTCTGTCCGACGGGTTAGTATCTGCACTCCGCTATTTGACTGGGAAATGGATGGATAATTACATGTTTGTTACATCTTCCACCTTGTTAGCGGGTAGAAGCGTGAAAATGCTCATAAAACCGCATCCGATACTCCACGTAGCTACGACGAGTTTATTGCGCGACAGGAAACTAATGCCGTAGGATAGAGGCCATATCGCCGCGAGGATGAAACAAAAAGTGTAAATTTCACGATGAAAATATGATTGAACCTATCCTATAGGTAAGCTATATTCACGTTTCCGATTTGTCGTCATTACAACATGGGGTGAACTGATATTACTCACAAGTGCCTCCAATACCCCAACATATATCAATGTCTGTAACCAAAAAGTTATGTAGCCACCCAGTGACTGAACATGGCTGAGAAAAATCTTTCGTCCGGCTGCTAGCGCCTGCCGTTTTGCTACAACTTCCTCCCAGAAGAAGATGGGGAAAATGCCATATGCGTAATATCTCCACGACGACTTTTGAATCCAGAATATAGAATACAATATGACTAGTATGGAAGAAAAGAACATCGTACTGAATGTCGTACGACTTAGGACGGAAGTTTCATGCAGGACGTGGAGATCTATCACGGTTGTCAGCGCATATGCAATCCATCCGAGATAGCCTGCAGTAACTATAGTTCGGAGGAATAGCCAGTCATAGGTCTGTAGATATCGCAGGCCGTCCAGAGCGGTATGTAACAGATCGGAAGATTTCCTAATCGCCTCGTCGTATTTCTTCCTCGAAATTAACCGTTGAATTTCGGAGATGCGGTTCTCGATGGAACGCTCATTATCTCCGAAAGCTTGATATGGTTGGTAACGCAAAACTGAAGCTCTTTTATTCTCCTCTTTAACTCGGTACATCTCTAGAACCCCCTGGGTGTTCGCGAGAGCAGCCAGGGCTTTTTCTTTGGGTGACGCATCAAGGTACGAAAGGGGGAGCTCCCCAACCGAATTCACGGGGAAATCCAATCCAACCAAGTACGCCATGAGAGCAGCTACGTCGGCCTGGGCAACATCATGTCTCTGAACGCTGTCTAAGCCCCAGTCGGAAGAGAATCCATCCTCATGGCCTGGAGCCTTTCCCCTTCTTTGAATTTTCGGTTTAGCGACTCCGGAACCCCAAACCACCAAGGGAGTACGGGTATTGTCCGGGTGTCCATCACCATGGCTCCCCCAATCACTCATGCCATGATCAGCCGTAAAAACAAAGGCTGACTCATTATCGCCGTAAAACTCCTCAGCCAATTCTGTAATCTCTTTCACTCCTTGGTCGACAACCTTGATATTATGCAGATACTCCTTCGAATATGGCCGATAAAAATGCCCAGCCGTATCCAAACCAAGTAAATGCAAAAAGAAGACAATCTTATCTTGTCTCAATCGCGTATCAAGCTCTGGATCTTCCTTTGCCGCGGCGAACATTGCCTTCACCTTCTCAAACACCCAAATATCCAACTGCGACCCGTCCTTGCTAAAATACTCTGCCTCCTCGCCATACGACTCCGCATCGATTTTCCCCGGCGTCGCACCATCCTTGAACATAGGCAATATATCCGGACTCCCCCAACTCCAGGTATGCCTACTGCGATTGAACACGCTGTCAAAATTGACAGGATTAAGCTTCCACCCCGTCGTCACCGACGAGACATCCTCATACAAGCCAGCAATGAGGGCGACATGGCCCGGCCTGGACTCCGTGGGCACCCGCGTATGCGACACACCAAAGGTTCCATGGTAAAGGACGCGGGAGCGAATAAACGGCGCAAGCGGTCGAGGCGGGCTATTCACAGACGACGCAGTGCCTTTTTTTTGCTCCAGATTGGGATAATCGGGGTCCAGCACGCCTCCGGGCGACGGGTCCGGAAAGGACTGGAAAGCCTTATCAGCACGTAGACCGTCTCCGACGAAGAGAAAAAGTCGTTTTGCGGGGGCTTTTGCGGAGGAAGCTCGTTGGACGCCGAATTCGCGCATGCCACTGACGATGGGGCTGACGAAGTAGATGTCGAATATTGAGTAGGTGTATATTGCATGGAAGATAATTGCCAGGGCTAGAAAGCCAACGCGTCCTAGCCGAGCCATAGTGGGCGAAAATATTGTTCTTGTCTGGAGATATTTGGAGAGCCGGGGAGGGCGTTTAGTAGAACCGACTCCGTTGGTTGTCTACCATATGTGGGAAAAGAGTGAAAACGGCCCAGAAGACCCTGAGGAGTGCCGGAAAAAAAAGGAGAGGGGTTAAAAATACATTCCAGATTGCTATGGATTCATTGTCGGAGGTTGTCGCATTGCTGTAGATAGAGCTTAGAGGTTTGTTTGGAGCTCCTTTCCATAAATGAGCATTGTTAAGGTATTACTAATCATGTTCACCCGTTCAGGGGCAAAGGTCAATGAGCTCTCTATAACTCCTACAAATCTCGGTGTTTATATTTTATTTGTAAATAATGCCCAAACCGAAATAACTTTATAAAAATATCAATGGATATACAGTGCGCGTAAACAACAACAAATTGACTTGCTCAGAATCTTATTCAAAAAGGACTAAGGTCTTTTGCTGCATAGCAACGTCAAAGACCCATGAGGATTTAGATCAAATATGTAAATGCCTGCATCACCTTGAAAAAATAATAAAGTTAAAAATATAAGATGCAGCAATTCATTCGAGAAACCTAGTCGTCCGCTCGCCTCACTTTCTTCGTAAGCGTATCCACCAGCCGACTATAGAACACTGAGGCATGCTGCCGGGGGAAGGTAATATCTATAGACAAATACTCGGGGAGAATATCAACCAAATCGCGATCGCGGTTGGGGTCCAGGAGGGGGAAATAGTGGAACTCTGCCGCTTCAAAGTTCTTGTTTTCCGAATCATGGGCGACAGCGAGTTTAAAGTGTAATGCTAGTAGAATAGGAATTGATCGGTTAGCCTTATTTTATTTCTATATTTTTTCCGTCTTGTTCTCCTCTTTTTCATTGTTTTGAGAAAATGAGGAATATAAACTTACTCCCATTTATCCCCGTCTGTATGCAGTCATATAAGTGATCAGATTCTTGCTTCTTAGCATCACGGATAATGAGGCCTGTAAGGTCGCTGTACAGGTCTTCCTTCAGCTGAGCTATTTGCGCAACGTGAGCCGCTTCAGCACTACCCATCACGATCGTTCGCGAAGCACCACTGCTGTTGGTTTTGGCAGCGCTTCCAGGACCCTTGGAACTTGTAACGTATTCCACATTTGTTGCTGCGGTTCGGGAAGCGGCCAGCTTCGTTTGGAGGCCTTTGATTTCGTTTTGGGCATTAGTCAAGTCCGAACTCAATTGTTTGATTTTAGCCTCCAGCTCCGCAATTTCGTCATCACGGTCCTGCAGCTGCTTCTGAAGAGTGTGTGATTCTTTAGCTAGACTCGTCTTCATGGCAAGCTCCTTTTTTAGCGATGCGATTAATTCATTTGATGCTACGCTTGGGAATCAGTCTCTCTGTGTCCAAAGCGGAATGGAGCTACGTCCATACCTGCATTGTTCGACTCGCATTGTTTCCGCAGCTTCTCCACGTTGGAATTGGCTTCGAGAATCCCCACCTCTCGTAGATTTCGATATTTCATGTCCATATTCTCGTATTTCTTTGTCATATCTCCTAGCTTCCTCCTTAAAGTCGCCTCATTGTCGCCTTTCTCGATATTTGATGCCCCTCCCCCAGGTTTGCGTCGTTGGTTGGTTGATTGGGATGGCTTATGTTGTAAGTGAACATGGTTGGAACTTCTGATGGGAGAATGGGATATAGATCGGGTAGCCGGGTATTGATTCTCCTCCCCGTCCCCTGCCTCATCTTCCTCTTCCTCCTCCTCCTCCTGATCTTCTTCTTCATTCTCCACCTCCACCTCCACTTGCTGCTGTTGTCGCCCATCACGCTTGGATTCAGCCCCAGGCTGTATGCTACGCGTCATGGATTTCATTGCAGGATTCTCTTTCGCAAGTGGTTGGGTTGACTTCGGATGACGTGACCCCATCGGGGTATACTCGAATCCATCATCTATAGTCACTCGCTTGCCTGGCCTTTTGACCTTTTTAGGTCCACTTTTCGTCCGGTCACCTTCCCGAGTGCGACCATGTGCTGTTGTTCCTGGGGAATCAAGCTCATCGTCCGATTGCTGCTTTGGCTCTGGATGTGGCTCATCGCCTATACATTTTCCATGGTCGCTTTCTTTGGAAAAACTAGCATCAGGGGTCTCGTGGGCCTCTTTGGTGTCTTCGGGGGTCCTTGAGCGTCTGCGGATAGTCGAGCCTCTCGCAGGGCGACCTCTTTTTGGTCCCACAACAACAGTAGAGCGAGCTTTACGCGTATTGGGTTTCGCGGCAGCCGTAGCCTTAGCTTCAGTGATTTTCGGTCTTCCCTTCGCTTTTTTTGCGGGAGGTGCGCCGGTTTCCGGGCTTTCATCCTGAGTATATTCTCCGCCGCCGTTCATCAATAGGTCGTCCTCCAAGTCATCGTCCAGTAACCTGGACAATTTCGACGCAGCCTTTCGCTTTGGCATAGTTCAAGTCAGAAAAACAGTTTCGGCGATTTCACGTATTTCCCGATAGTTGTAGCTCTCATACTCTCTCCTTCGTGCTTGATTGTGTGTCTAGGGATGTCTCCGCGTGCAAAATAAACACAGACGTTGGTGGCAGAACATGTGATCCGCGGCTCGGCGCTTTTTTGAGCGAACTTACTCCAACAAGCAGCCAAGTTGATGCATGAACAACCGGCTTCAAATCCACCATCCGGCTATTTATGTTATTTTTGTTAATGTTTACGACATGACACAATAAGATAATTTCTTTCTACTTCGTTCTACTAACCTAGGTCACACTTCTTTTATCCAAAACTGCGCTTCCCTAGATTCCGCTGTACCCCCGAGGAGCTTGAGGCATCCGTCAATCACACTACGTATAACTCGCCATGGCCTCGGGCGGTGGCCGCAAATGGCAACAATTACTACAGGAGCTAGTAATGATTGCTGGCACTGTAAGAAACCTTAAAATAGTGACAAGTTATCCTACTTGCGAAAATCCCCTTGCTGACATGTATTAATCTTCCAGTCCCTTTCCACCTATTTCGTCGTCCGATTCCTCCTCTCCAGGGTCGAATTCGACCCCGATAGCCAAAAGCATGAGGAGGCAAAGCGGAAATCCGCGGCCATCTTGCGAAGACTCGACAGCCCTGATGATTCTGACGACGAATCGTCCAAGTCAAAAAAAAGTTCGTCACGGAAAAGGAAGCAGAGGAAGGAGGACCTCGTTCTCTCGCAATATGAACAGACCATCGCGATGGACGTTGTAGCGCCTGAAGATATCCCTGTATCCTTTAGTGACATTGGTGGACTGGAGGATATCATTGAAGAATTGAAAGAGTCGGTCATATATCCGCTCACCATGCCACATCTATATTCAACCACATCATCACTCCTCAGTGCACCCTCGGGGGTGCTCCTATACGGACCACCTGGCTGTGGCAAGACGATGTTGGCAAAGGCGCTGGCGCACGAGAGTGGAGCTTGTTTTATAAATCTTCACATCTCAACCTTGACAGAAAAATGGTACGGCGATTCGAACAAGCTGGTCAACGCCGTCTTCTCTCTGGCGCGCAAATTAGAGCCGAGCATCGTCTTCATCGATGAGATCGATGCAGTACTGGGGACACGGCGGAGCGGCGAACACGAGGCCAGCGGCATGGTCAAGGCTGAGTTCATGACACACTGGGACGGGTTGACCTCGTCCAACACGTCAGGGCAACCACAGAGGGTTCTCATCCTTGGCGCGACAAATCGAATCCAGGATATCGACGAGGCGATTCTCAGACGCATGCCGAAGAAATTCCCTGTCACCCTTCCACCGGCCGCGCAGAGATTGCGGATATTAGGGCTTATCCTTAAGGATACAAAGATAGACCGGGAAAATTTTGACCTGAACTTCCTCGTCAAAGCTATGGCGGGGATGTCTGGCAGTGATATCAAGGAAGCCTGCCGAGATGCCGCAATGGTACCTATCCGAGAGCTAATACGATCGAAACGGGATTCGGGCACTACGATGGAAACTGTGGATCCCGATGAAGTGCGTGGTTTGCGAACGGAAGACTTTTTTAAACGAGCAGGTAGCGTGAAGGCTGCCAACCATAGCGGTAGTAATGGTGCTATTAACCGCAAATCCATACTCACGAAAGCCGCGAGCAGTGAGCCACCTTCTGAAAAAGAGTGGACTACTGATTCTGAAGGAGGCGGTGATGGGGTTGTTGAACCGGAATTTATCCCAATAGATAAATGATTTATTGGGCTTCCCCGTCAGGGCGCACATCTATTACCTTATTTTATACCATCCATACACGTATATATACTCCGTTTTTTCAGCATTTCTTTCTAATTATGAAATCCCACTCTTATTCATTCTTCGGGAAGTGTGTACAGTATGATATCCTTTCCTAACGGTGGCAATTATGGGAAGATTTGGGATCTTGTTCGAATTATCATTGGCTATCATATAGAAATGAGAGGGCGTTCTAACAAAAGGGTTTTTTTGTATTACTTCTGAAAAGCACACTGACAGGCATAATCAACATGAACGATGTCATTGAGATTGTATTATTTTGTTTGAGGAGGCAATTTACTGTAGCAATCCTTCAATCAGTATCTGCTCTTCCTGAACATACTCCACGGTTAGATAGTTTTGAGATTTGCGGAGACACAAAGAGTCGGCTAAAAAATGACGTGATTACTCACCGCCCAGGAACCACTATCATCACCTCGCTCCATGATGTCCCTCAATCACTGACATTGAATACTAGATGTTTTTCTTCCTCCACACTGACTACCGTTGGCTATCTCCCATATGAATAGAGACATAAAATCTGACCGTTGCAACTGAACAGGTGTTTGAATAGAGACTAGAAGCTTCATTGCCTCTCACCATCCCCTCCCGGAAACCACCCCCAACAATGGGCGCCTCTGATAATCCATCTTCGGCGCGGGACAACTCGTTGGAAAAGCCGAAGCTCCTCCCGAGAAAGACGCTGTCTGGTGTCGATATCGAAGGCCACAATCTACCTCCCTCCCCCGCCCCATCCAGTCCTCGCGGCGGTCGACGGTATGCTCTAGCTACGGAGTTAGTATTTACAGAGGGTAATGACCAGTTCAATGCGAGCAGCGTGCCAATCTACCAGGTAAGGCAGAGGGCGAGACAAGATATTCAACGCAGTTGGTTATTTTGATGAAAAGTCCTGTTGCGGCTGGGGTTCGCTATACATCGAGACATTGACTCATTTTACCTCCGTATATCTTTTTAGAGTGCAACTTTCAAACAAACCTCCGGAAATGGTGGCGGCGAGTACGACTACACACGATCGGGCAATCCCACCCGAACACACCTAGAGCGACATCTGGCGAAAATTATGTCCGCGCAGCGAGCCCTCGTGGTATCCTCTGGAATGGCTGCCTTGGATGTGATAACACGCCTTCTTAAACCGGGTGATGAAGTTGTTACTGGTGATGATTTGTATGGCGGCACAAATCGCCTTCTTAAATATTTAGCCACTCACGGCGGCATAATTGTTCACCACGTCGACACTACTCGGCCGGAGAAGGTGTCAGAAGTCCTAGGAGCGATGACTAGACTGGTTCTGCTAGAGACTCCCACAAACCCGTTAATAAAGATAGTAGACATCCCACAAATCGCATCATTGACGCATGAGGCGAACCCCGATGCGTTGGTCGCGGTCGACAATACCATGCTATCCCCGCTCCTGCTCAACCCGCTCGACCTAGGTGCCGATATAGTCTACGAGAGCGGAACCAAATACCTATCTGGCCACCACGACTTGATGGCCGGCGTGGTCGCCGTCAATGACTTGTCCCTAGGCGAAAAGCTATACTTCACCATCAACAGCTCTGGCTGTGGTCTGTCCCCCTTCGACTCCTGGCTGCTCCTGCGCGGCGTCAAGACACTAAAAGTCCGCATGGAACAACAACAATCCAACGCGCAGCGCATTGCCGAATTCCTCGAAAACCACGGCTTCCGCGTCAGATACCCTGGCCTCAAGTCCCACCCACAATACGACCTACATCGCTCCATGGCGCGAGGACCCGGTGCAGTGCTCTCGTTTGAAACGGGGGATGTAGCAACCAGTGAGAGGATTGTGGAGAGTGCAAAACTATGGGCTATCAGCGTCAGCTTTGGCTGCGTTAACAGCTTGATTAGCCTGCCCTGTCGGATGAGTCATGCTAGCATCGACGCGAAAACCAGGAGGGATAGAGATATGCCTGAAGATTTGATTCGGCTGTGCGTGGGTATTGAGGACGTGGATGATCTAATTGATGATTTGAGAAGAGCGGTATGTTAAAAATTATTTTTTGTCAATCCCCGCTTTACACTTCACATGACCCCGCCGAAGTCCCTGCATTGCGGTTTTACTAATTATGGCCAATTCAATTGGTATAGCTCGTGCAAGCTGGCGCTGTGACTGTATCACTAGACGACTTCCAAGCGGTCAACCCCGCTCCATCTAAAGGATGAAAGAGACCTTGTATTTAGGATGAAAGGAGCTGCATGGACGCGCCGACATTGCCATCATAGATTTCCTGTCCTTCGGTTACCCAACCCCAAACCCTCCTTTCGGGAGTTTTGCCTTCATCATTTTACCAATGACGTTTCCCCCCCAACAATTGTATATATGCACACACGAGATATCCGGCGTTACCTGTGGGAAATGAGGAAATAAAAAAATATAATTCATATAAAATAAAAAAGATTCATGTTATTTCTCTGGAGATGGATTCAGAATCTCCGTCTCTGTGTTCCTGACCTGACGATCCAACACGCAGAGCCCAAGCGTCGCTTGGTAAAATTCAAGCTCTGGCTAAAAAACGCCATTAAAGTTACTCACCCTGAAGCCCATTCAGGGCACACTCTTATTTCTTGAACAGAGGTTTCGAGATGATTTGCTCGCGATGCCATCCCATGTTCATAAGATGGTTGGATATTTGCTATGTAGCCACCAACTGTAGCTGCTTTCCACGCCGGCGTTTGATATCAATCAATCTGGTTTAGCTTACCATCTTCTTTTATTTACTTGGCCGAGTAAAAAAATATGAAATAGAGAAATTCGTGGGATTCGGCTTATTATTTCATGTTTGAGACATCCAGCTTCTTCACCGGCTTCCATCCCGCTAGAAACTTGAAGATCCGAGCAACTAATGCCTGAAGTGTCATGCATTCTTTCTGCCTAACGTTCTTGTGATAGTCCCCTGTAGGGGAGTAAATCTCTTTTAGCCGGGAGATTTCTCGGTCCTTGCCAGCTAATGGCTTGGTTTATCTACTCCGTTCTCCAGAACAATTGGACCGGGTTCAATCAGAGATACCCATTGCCATGCTTGGATCTGAGTATGAGTGTTGATGTGCCTGTAGCTGTGAGGTTGTGGAGGGGCGGAGAGGAGCGGTAGCAGTTGATTACTTCCATAAATGAGATAGATGGTGGAAAGCTCAAATACCATTCTCGCCATCTTCGTTATTGGATGTAGATACTTGGAGGAAAGTGTGGAGAAGTCGAGAAATGGGAATCTGACAGTCCGGGGGAAGCTCATTTCGGTGAAGGAAATGTAATACTGACAGCAGATTCTGGCGTCTGGGATCTCACGAATGTAAAATCATTGTAGTAGTGTGTTTGAGAATCATCTCAACTGGTGAGTGCAATGGAAGTATCCTTCAGATAATGAACCTCCGTGCCTGAAGACAAAGAACCGGGCTTCTTAAATATGTGCTTGTCCATCCCGCATATCAACTCTACCAAGAGCTTGTGATGCTTCCATGTTGCAATATGTCATGTGATCTGTTCCTCGCAGAACAAAACTGCGCCAAGTGGGATAGTTGTGTCGCCTACCGAGCACTTCTAGAGCAATGCTACATATTCTTTTCGCCTTCCCACATTCTTCATATTTGTCATGGCCATTGGTGATTGTTTGCCTCTCATATTTATTAATTGTTTGAGTGTTTATATGTAGACACACCCACTTCTGTCTTCTGGAGTGCGGAGCACTGAGTACTATGATTCATTCGCTTTCCTTTCGCGAGGCGAGATAACTTTCCTCAATCTCTAGTATAAATACTGGAAGTTACTCTTTGGATATATATTTCTGTCTATTGTGTCACTCTATATTGTATTTGCGAAAATGAGCCGAGAAGGGTCGGCATCACAGTTGGTCTCGGGACCGGTTTCTTCACCCACAGCTCGAGCGCCAATACCTGGAGCATCCCAGTCAACATCAAAATGGAACCCGCAGAGTTTAGGGTCGAGGTTTGCCGTAGATGCAGCCAGCGCAGCTGGGTCTGCTGCATTGATATGTCCGCTTATCACCATTATTGACAAGTAAGTCGATTACCACATACTAGGAGTACTGTGTACAATTTTGATTGTTTTACTCAAGAGTCTAAAATGCAGCCAACTAACGTCTCTGGATGGAAACTTCATAGGTCTATTATCGAGAAAGCCGCGAAGGGTCTTCCCATCCTCCATAGTCTTAAATCGTCACTGGTCGCGATCGTCAAACGGCCTCATGGTTTTCTTATTTCAACCCCGTTTCTCCTCATATACACCCTATACGGATCCACATACTTAACAGCTAATGTCATCGACACCATTACGTCGACAATGGATGACCGCAAATTTGCCCATGTCTCAGCGGGCCCTGCCAAATTCATTTGTACGGCTGTTGTCAATATGTCCATATGCGTTTACAAAGACGCTCGATTTGCGCGTATATTTGGAGCGCAGGGCACGGCTCCAGCGCCGAGCACACCACCAAAGTCGACGGGAATGCAAAATCTGAAGCAAAATTCTTCTCAGAGCGTTCCTTCTGTATCCACTACCAAAACATCTTCTCAGACTTTGCCAATGCCTAAACGCTCATTTGCTCTTTTCTGCCTCCGCGACAGTATGACAATATTCGCATCCTTCAACCTCCCCACACTTCTTTCGCCCCACATCCCAGATATCCTCGCCTCCACACCATCCTCCAAATCTGCTCTGGCCCAATTCTCCATCCCGGCGTCCGTCCAGTTTTTCAGCACACCGTTTCATCTGTTAGGTCTGGATCTTTACAATCGCCAACCACCCGGCGGGCTAAATGCAGCAGATAGATGGGCCCGGATCAAAAGGGATTGGGCACCAAGCGTCATGGCTCGTATTGGACGAATAGTCCCCGCTTACGGATTCGGTGGTGTGATTAATACCAAACTCAGAATGACCATGATGAACTCATTAGAGGAGAAGGGACGTGCGATATAGAATCGAATGATTGTGCCGAACCGATGTTGCCAGAATCGACGCTCCGAGGAACTTATATAGATACGACCTTTTGATATAACGTATAGTACAACGACCCACTAGACTAACGACTGCGAAAAGAATATAACGAATTAGATACCCTCAACCTCGATGTCGCCTCCATTATTTTGCGTCCTTAACACACTCAACGCCTCCTCACCCCTCACATACATTGGAATGCATCGACATCGAACCAGGATACTATTTTTCCTCATTCTTTTCTATCTATGAAGTGATACCCTAACAACACGTTTGTCCATCTATAAACTTTCTTTGCATTCTTCTGCCAGGTTCATTGAAAATTACTTTATTCCGTTTTGAATAGCGCTGATGCACATACAAAAGATTGCATATATATTGATAGATATAAACTACAAAGGTATAGATATGTAAATATGTACCGATATTCGTTGTCGCTTTGTCTTTCCAAAAAAAAAAAAAAAGTTCCTGTTATATAATGGAGCGGGTGAATTGAACATATTTAAAGTTATACATACAATATCATTTGTCCATCCTCTCCAACCGGTTCCAATCCTAAAAAGCAAAAAGGATGCAGAAGAACAAAAATTTTATGATAAAAAATATTGCATCAACAAAACAATATCGTCAACCTGCCCACACTCGGAATCGAACCGAGGATCTTATCATTACTAGTGATACGCTTTACCACTAAGCCACGCGGGCGTATTCGGTTGAGGCGGATTTGATATTGTGGTCTACCAGGCTTCCAGAGCTAGGGTAACGGAAAATGAGTATTCAGTATTTCATCATTAATATATTGATGATAACTATATACAGATATGTACAGTGCAATTCAATAAATAATATCTAGCGATATTCAGCTATTGCACGAACCATTCCATCCGCTGATCGCACGAACCACAGGACATCGTGTTGATACATAGCAGTCCACACGAGCTGAAAAACGACATCGGTTAGCTATAAAAAGGGGAGAGGTATATCTTGATCCTGTTTCTCTGTCCGGAGCCGGTTCATAATCGGGGACCCATCGCTTCGCTTGGGTCCGGTTTTGAGTCTGCTGAATGATGTGGAGTCACAATCGCAGGGAAACAAATGATGGAAATGAAAAAAATGATAGAAGCCACTTCCTTTTGAGTCCGTATATTTTCATCAAATGTGGAGAGGGGTTGAACACGAAGCAGGATTAACACCAGGAAAATGCAAGGTACATGTGCATTGCATGCCATGAGAGAAAATCGAAATCAGGAGATAAAATCGGATATATGAAAGGAGATTTTTCTGGAACCCACCACCCGAACTCCTAGAGTCACTAATTCATCTCGACCTACCTAACTTACTCACTCTTCTCTTGCTCCCGTTTTCGCATGGCCCTTTGTTGCTTCTTCTGCTCACGGTGTTGCTCCAGATTCGAAAAAATCACGGAGGTTGTCTGGCTATTATCTTCAGCAAGGGGCGCTACAGTCTGTCCACCTTCGATGACACGGAACGCATTGTGGAACGCCCACTGCACACCGCGTTCGACAGGCTTATCGAATATGTAAGGCAGGAATGGGACAACGGCAAGACCGAGCTATTTAGTAACTGTCAGAACTCATCATATAACCATGCCTACCTACCACCCATCGTGGTACGATGACCTTACCCCAATCGGCAGCCATGTGCGAATCATAGTATTCTTCGCCCCCCTAAACGCACGCCCAGAATACTTCACCACAGAATGGATCGTCAATGCAGGTAAACCCATACTAGCCACTGCCTGGAAAACAGCACGTTCAGCCATGACAGCCCGATAATCTTCCACCAAGGGAATCTTCGTCGTCCGCCAAGGCACCAGGGTATCCTCCTCCGGATCCGGCCAGGGCAGCGGATGTGCCCTAGATGTTGTCGAGTTGAACGTTTCCTCCTGCTCGGTTGACTGGCTTTTATGTTGGAGCTTGCGTCTCGCTACTGCATCGATCGCCAGCCCACTTGACATAGTTCCAGTCGCATTGTGATACGCATCACATGCCGGGGCTAACACTCGCATGTTCCGCAGATAGGCTTTGTAGCCTTCGTTGGCAACATCGCCTAATATGTAAGCCCAGGAAATACCATATGCGCTGCGGACGAGCCAGGGATGCGCGACGGGGCGGAAGGATTCGCCAATGTCGGAGGTATAAGCGACATAGCGGTGCGCGGAGAGGAGGATAGTGCGGATGCGGTTCGTGTAGGCTGCGTATCGGTATTTGGTATCGGTGGAATCCACAGCGCTAGGCCATTGTTATTGAGGGTTTTGTTGTGATTGAGACTTTGGAATGAGAAATATGTATTGGTGACCCATACTAGCCATCATAAAACTGGTCCAGGAGTTCATCTTCACGGTCAATAAGTTTTTGCAGTTCTGGGTTTAGTTTTCGGCGGATAGCAAGGTTGTCGTCATGGGATGCTTTATTTGTAGCGTCATCGTCGTTGTCGTCTGCTTGGGGTTGCTTGCTAAAACCCCAAGCCATGATATGATATATCTATGCCCTTGAGGTAGATAGGAACTCCAGATGGTTCCTTTTCGTTTCTGCCTGAGACGCTGGAACAATACTAATATCACATATTCTGAAGCGAAAAGAGATAGAAGAATGGATACGGGTGAGCAGGAAAATGGGGATCACCTTCCATATATGGGAAGATGCTGCCTGTGATCAGACCACCCAAGTCGGGAAATAGAGGCAAAACCTGTGGTACCTCCACATGAAGTACATCGCAAACGGCTTGTGCGGGACATTGCAGGCAATGATGATGGCTGGGGTACCTGATCTGGGAGTTTTCTCTTCCGTAAAGAGCCGCTCTGTATTCTGATTGGTCTATCGGCGGTTTTCGGCTGATGCACCAGCACTAATTGTAATAGGAATAGCGTCATGGCATGAGAACCTCCAACGTCAAATTCTTGTTCAAATATCAAACAAAACCACCAGCTCCAGTCGCGGGACCTATCAACAGTCATCTCAGTTGACTATTCCACACCTCAATTGCCATTCTAGTCCTCACAATGGTCGTTTACTACACAATTGCAGGCCGCCAAATTGGCTCCCACGTCGTATGTGTTCATTCCCACCCTGAGAGTCTCCAGCAGTGTCAATCACATTAGAGCTGCGGGTCGAACTTCATATCTTGCCTACTTGGTAGCGCAGAAATGAAGCACATAGCTATGCTTGAATTTAGATCGTTGTGCTGACTTGAATAATTACCCAATAGCTTGCCATGGCGACTCTCGGAACTACCTTCCTCGGCTGCTACCTTGCGATGCCAGGAAAGACGGACAAGAAACAGGGACCGCCCATCAAGGCCAGCAGCAAGGATGAGGAACAATTTATCCAGTACGTCCGAACGGCATATCGCCCCATATATGCACTTTCACCCATTTTCTACTTCGGACCGCGTTATTGCTTTTGTCAACTATCGTCTGCGTCCTTCCAATATCAAAAACATGAATGAAAAATCATTATTCTAACTGCAATACAGGGACTTCCTAAAAAACATAGAGGCTGAGGAGAAGAAAATGAAACAATAAAGTCAATACCTCCCATAATTTTTTCGCCCCGGTCCCCTATATCTGACGCCCGACCCTGTACACCATCCATTTCTCGCATCATAAGTTTTTAGAATTTTTATCCTCGAATACACTAGTTCGTTTTTTGTATTTTCCCCCTTGGCTGCTCATAGCATGCCAGTCGCATCCTTCTTCAATCATAGAGAAGTGTGTATGGAAAGAAATAGGGATGGATTGTGAGTATGAGGTGGATTGGGATCAGAGGCTGGCCCGGGAACGGGAATGGAGTGACAACCATGGTTCTCTAGAAACGGAAGTATGTTCCCTGGGACGATACGGGTGAATATGAATGAGTACTACATTTATTTATGAGTTTGGTCGTGAAAGAACAAACTGCGAATCCTCAACTAACCTTCCACGATGTAATATATAACCATTCTTAAAACTGGGATTTTGCTTTCACATTGAGGGAATATGTCTCCTTTAGTGTCTTCTCGTGGAATTAGATGTTATGGTTTTTATCTCTCTGGGTTTTTCTGTGACCCTTCAGGCCTTCTCCCTGATTTTTCTCGCAATGCTCGTTGTTGGCCCCCTCCGCTTGCATAATATACTCCTCATGTACGGAGTGAATTGTACAAATTGTACCACAAAAACACTAGTCTACAGTGGCACATTTCGTCATTTACGGTCATAGATTTATCGTAGTGGTGGCATTTATTCAGCAACAGGCACTATATCCGTAACACGTGGATTGATTGCCCTGATGTCAAATCTTAGAAATCAACAACGTACTCCAAGCCATCCCTCGTAGGAAGTAAATATTGAATCGGAAAAGTAGAAAAGAGAGAAATCATCTAAATCACGACCGTAACTCAACCAACCCCTCAGGCCTAACCGGCCTTCCAATTTTGATCAACCCCTTCCCCTTCCCCAAATCCATCACAATACTAAACAGGGTTGCGATGGAGCTCTCTCTTGTTACCTCTCTACAAATAGCAGTCGGGTAGCCCTGTTCATCCTCCAAAATGCCTTCAATCGCCGAAGCACTGGGCGGGCCGGCCGCTACTTTGTCCGCAACCAGCTCCCTCACCCTCTTCAATCGGTCGAAGGTATCAACCAAGTGCAACTTCGCTTCCGTTTCCAAATGTGGACGGATGAAATGGTTAGTGTGTGTGACTACGCCAACCACATCCCCTGCACCATCCGCTGTCCGCTCTCCCATCTCCAGCCGCACAACATCCCTAGCCGAACACTCCAAGCCCACCCCGCCCGTCCGATCCGCAACGAGAATATGACACGCAGCAGCGACACCATGCCGCTCCAATATCTCCACGGCATCGGCGCGGGAGGCGCTATCGAGTACCGCGCGCAGGGCGAGGTGGGTGGGTAGTTTGGCAAAGTCTACGCCAGCGGCTTTTATCGCATTGAGGGTGACGCCGACGCCGTGGCTGTTGAGGCCGATTTTGCCAATTATGCCGGCTTCAGTTATCATGTGGATTGTCGGGATCGTGCTTGCTGTTGTATTTGCTGTTTGGCGGATATGAAGAATGAGCAGGTTAGGGGATTGTTCGCGCTCCCACTGTAATATAGGTATAGATTTCTTAGAGTTGGTTTACCAAGGGAGTTAGTTATAGAAGGGGGGGGGGGGGGGTGTTGCTGGAGGCCAGGCGTTTTTCTCACATCCCAATTCTGAGCTAGGAAGCTCTCATCCTCTGATTTCCAGGACAGAGCCGTGCAGCCGTCGCTGAACATGCCATATGCAATCTCCGTGCGCACGTTCAGTGCCACGATAGATTCCACGGGGACACCCGCTCCTTGGGCAATGCCTAAAATTGTTTAAAATAATTGTTAGCTTTTCTAATCACATTCCCTATCCCATCCACCTGATCTACAGGTGATAGATGAAACAAATGGAACCAATATCATTATATACTGGGAGGGGGGGAAATGAATGAATGAGTAAAATAAACAAACAACTCACCTCGCATCTCCTGCATATATCCTGGAAACGATGTCTCCAGGAATGGCACGAACTTGACCGCAGCGGCGCAAACGTGCGGCCAATCCATCCGACATCGCCGCTTGAACAAACCTTTATAGAACTCCAGGCTTCCAGCTATCTGCTCCCGTGCCTCCTCACCATGTTTTAGCCCTATCTATTATGAAAGAACCAAAGGAGGGGTTTGTCAGTTTTCGATAATAGTTCGTCCATGTTTTCGGATAGCAACATTATTCTTTTAATACCTCAAAAGAGCTCCCTTCACAAGATATTGCAAGCATTATTGCAGCAACCTAGTAGATTCGAACAATAAATAAATAAACTTTGTGCCGTTTAAGTTAGAGAGTACAGCTCCCGTGACTCAAACTGTCGAACTGTATAATATTAAAGAGAAATACTTATTCCTTCTGACAAGCCAAAATATTATTTATTGAAATACACCTTATTCTGTATCTCTGAAGAGAATGTCTGTTCCCTTCTCCCCGCATTCGGGATAGAGTTATCTTATCAGAGTTCGGTACATACATAGCCTGCGCTAATGCCGGAACCGAATTGCCGACTCAGGGAGTCAGGGGTTAGTTGAAGGACAGTAACACCAACACGGTTTATTACTAGTATCAGTTTATCAACGCCTCTTGCGCATATCCTTTTTGGTTTTATACCGAGTATTCGCTTTATGGCTCTAGCTTGGGGTTCTATCTCCATGGGCGAACGCCGTCTGAGGTTGGATTTCAGAGATCGCCCAGGGTTTGGAATATCCCCCTCACCTACTGTAATACGGCTTCCATTGGAGATAAACACAATACGCAATGGCGTATTGAGCAGGTCGCTATTGGGATTCCATATAGTTCTTGCATGAGGGGCAGTAGTTGGCGAGTCTAGCAAGACGATGTTGGCCATTTATTGCCTGCCTGGTGTTGCATTCATAACGGCCATGGCATAGTAATAATTACTATGGTTTCACATGCTTTTTATATCAGAAGAACTGGTGGGACTCTTCTGCTATTCAGGTTGACAAGGTGATAAGTGGGATCACAATACACTTTCTCGAAAGGTAAATAGCATAATGTCGGCTACGATATATAGCCAGGGAATCATCTTTGAGAGAGGAACTTGAAATCAAGAAGCCACTTGGGGTGGATGTAGTATTTGTCAACGCTTTCGGCGCGATTGAGGATGGTAGATGGTATGTTGCGTAAAATACCTTTTAAGGTGCTGGTAGAATATTGATACGGCAAATGGAACACTGATAAAACGGCTCGTACGCTTGTAGACTAGGTGGCTCTCTCCCGAGAGGAGTATATATACCCTGTGAAACAGAATAAGGTCTATCAAATAATAGGGGGGCGCTAAAGGGATGATAAGAGTGGAAGCAAAATAAAATGCCAGAAAAAAATATGTCAGAGGTTCTGATTCGAACACGCAGCATTACCAGTGAAGGTGGTCCAGATCGGGAGGCCCAAATAAAGTGCTCCTTCGCATTCCCGCCCGATATATGTGCAACGCAGCCCTCAGCGTGCATCCATCACCGCCTTTACAAACAACACAGCCAACAGGCCTAAAGGAATAAAAATTGGAAAAAAAAGAAAAGAAAAGAAAAAAGAAACTGGAAAGGGGGATGGACTTACCAAGATTTATCAAACCAGCGCCAACCATCTGATACGCGTCGCCTTTCTCGGCCTTCCACTTTTTTGGTTATAAAGGGGGAGATTTGTCCTGAACGCATATCGAGGCTAACGAACCCATGGATGGTCGGGGAATACTGAGGGGTGGGAAGGCTTATGCTTTAACCCCCTAACCGCTCGACCACCGGGTCCTTTTGGTTGTAAATGCACACATTTCCCAAATATTTAAGGGAATAAATGGTAAGTGAATGGAGGAATGAATTTTGGTTGGGCGTGGTGAATTTTATATCATGTGACTTGTCCCTATCTTTGCCAAGCATCATCCGTTCCCTTCAGGAAAAAAAAAAAAGCTGCTTCATGAACTGAATGTAAGTTAGTTATAGTTGGCGACAACGAGTAATTGGAGAACATATCAGAAACCTATATTGCCTAACTTTCTAATTGAATGGTCATATAAAATTTCCTAAAGAAGAACCTCCCCGATATCATCCATGAAGCTCACCCCTTTCCCATTTCCTCTCAATATCGGCACTGATATCGTCCACCTACCACGCATCTGTCGTCTTATCCGCCGTCCAGCTTCTAGCAATGGCAATGGTGGCGCCAAAGCTACTACGACCACCGCAACCTACCTGGACAGATTTATCCGTCGCATCCTCTGCGAGGAGGAGCTCAAGGACTACTATGCAAAATTCTCCGCACTGCAACACCACTCCGCCTCAGGTGCCAAAACATTGACAACTGTGTCGCCGCCAGGACCCGCGATGAATGCAGCTAACATTACAGAAATGGCTAGATGGCTAGCTGGCCGATTTGCCGCAAAGGAAGCAGCTAGGAAAGCAGCTCCTGGCGGCGCTTCGACGATAGGTTGGAAAGATGTTATGGTTCGCATTGATAGGGAGAGGAATGGTAGCGGGAGCGTGAAGCCGGAAATTGTATATTTGAAGGACGGAGGTGTGCGCGGGGAGGTTGGCAAGCTTTCCATCTCTCATGATGGCGATTACGTTGTTGCGACAGTTCTTGCGGCGACAACTCGTACCACTACTCAACTTCCCGATGGTTGACAACTGGGTGGTGTATACCTTTTCGTTCTGCTTGCGAGATGGGAGCTATCCTATAGAAAACCAAAATTTCTCAAGCTGAAATTTATGCGATCCTTGTTAAGGCTGGTCGATGCCATCATTACGGCGACTAAATGCAATAAACCTTTAAGAGGTTGTGGGGGAACGGGGCTCCTAAGAAATGCCCGGATGCGATGAATTTATACTGTCAAGATATACTATGGCGGCCAGAAGAAAAGTCAAGGGAGATACAAGTTCTCTTCCACTGTGCACCGATGCTTCGGAAGGTTTCGCTATCATCCGAAACCTTCAAGGCCCGAGAAACACATGCGAGTATGCAAGTCTCGTATCGGCGCTAGGAGGTAGGTATACCAAGGGCATTATTAGCAATGACGCTTTTTGTTGATTTATCCCGAGATACTGCAAATTCGGCCTTGTCGAGGCGGAACTTCATGTAGTATGGATTGACCTGAGGGTGTTTTGGCTACACTCGAGTTTGAAGCATAAATTCTGATTTACACCACCATGGTTTTCTGTAAACTACATAATTTGCAATTATATATTCGTGATTTTCACGCATGATATCTGGGGTAGCCATGGTCCTGGATTCTGTCATGTGATTAGCCACTTCGCCCGACGGAACGGTTCGTCCAAAGATCGCGAATGGAAATTTTTTTTTTGGAACAACTCAGAACTCTCGAGAAGAGGCTCAGTGTATGCTGAGTTTGAAGTTTCTAGTATCAATGCCTAGGGCTAATATCCCGGGCCAATAAAATCGCGCTTCTGGATTTGGCGAGAAGAAAATCCGACGACAATCGGGCCCCGTTACACCCACCTGTCCAGCAGATGGACTGTACCTTGGTTGGGTGGAAACCTTCAACTTAGTTATTGGCTTTGTGAGTTCTGGTCACTGACTACTTGAAACCGCACTTTCCTTGTTGATAAGAGTCAGAGAATTACTAGAAGGCATCTTCCACTGGGTTCAGTATGCCGTTTTCTCATCATAGTCATTCTGGCCAGTTCTGCGAGGGCCACGCAAAAAACTCGCTGGAAGATATCATTCGGACTGCGATAGGGAAAAGGATGCGCGTGTTTGCGCTAAGTGAACATATGCCGAGAATGGCGCAGGATTTTTATCCGGAAGAAGTGAGGTTTCCTTTCCTTTGCTTTGCTTTCTTCTTTTTTAAACAAAAAGAAGATATAAAATTTAATAGTCTTTGTATCTGCGTGGAGTCATCAAAGATGTCGTTTGTAAGGGCAAAAAAAGGTTAGTTTAGTTAACTAATGGTCGGTATAGGTTGAAGCAAACGCTACGGAAGCGTCTCTAATCGAGAATGAAAGCGCTTACTTTAAAGAATCCCAACGTCTACGGGAGAAATATATCTCGGAGATAAATATCCCCATTGGATTTGAATGTGACTGGATTCGCTCCTCGTCGTTGACGTGGATCCAAAACTCATTGGCGCGGTTTCCATTCGATTTCTTCGTAGGCTCGGTACACCATGTACACACTATCCCGATTGACTATGATACCCTTCTTTATCAAAAGGCAAGAGGGATCGCTGGGGGTACGGATGAGAGGCTATTTGAGGATTACTTTGATGCACAGCTCGCCATGCTCAAAGCGCTGAACCCACCAGTTGTTGGCCATTTCGATCTCATTCGATTAAAAAGTGATGATCCTGAACGAAGCTTCCAACAGTGGCCGGCAGTCTGGGAAAAGATCCTGAGAAATTTGGACTATATGGCAGAATATGGGGGAATTTTGGAACTCAATTCCGCTAGTCTAAGGAAGGGGATGACTGAACCATACCCCAAGGCTGAGATCTGCAAGGTAAATTCAAAATTCCGAATCACCTTCAAACGAAACGGAAACGTGACCAGACAATCTCCACCATTGATAACTAACAAAAAGGGTGTGTGCTTCAGGAATTTCTCGCACGGAATGGCCGATTCTGTATGTCAGATGACAGCCATGGTATCGAACAGGTTGCCCTTAATTATAATCGTATGCTCGAGTTCATAGAGCAAGTCGGCATATCAACCCTGCACTACTTAGAGTATTGCAGTGAGCTACCATCGTCAAGCAACAGCTTCGATCGGAGATTCCCTCACACCGGGTTGCGTTCAGTCAGCCTTGCAGATCTCAAGCAGTTGGCTTTCTGGTCATAGCCCGAAACGATGACGACAACGACGCCAGCAAAAGCTACCAGTCCATACCACAAGCTGCGCTTCCGCTTCCTGGGATTCCCGCAAAATGCGATACAACCTATGCAGCCACGGAGCCGGATCGCTCACTGATTGCATGGTTTCAAATCCACTTCTCAAATTTAGCCCTAGAAACAAAGAACAATGTGATCCATGTTCCTGGTTTGTGGAACGTAATGGCATTCGCGCAGCGTCTGAAAACGATGGGTTTTTTTATTTTGCTTTCTTTCCTTTTTCCTTCCCGGACGTAGTTGACACACTCCGAGCCCAACAACCGGCCGGGGTCCATACGAGAACCGGATGACTTGGCTCAAATTCAAATGCTAGCTGGTGCCCTATCCGCATGCGTTGGCGCCATGTTATAGAAGAAAATAAGAAATGAGAAAGTAAGTGCCATCGTGGAACAGCCCAATCCAATAAGCGCTAGCGTCCTTTCCGAGTGAACCCGTTGAATTCTTGTACGATTATAGGGTTCGTTACCAGGCCGGGTAAGGCGAACAGACCAGGAGAGCTAAAACAAAGAAAGAAAGGAGGGAAGAAAAGAAGAAGAAAAGAAAAGAAAAGGGTATGGCCAAATCATCTCATCCAGCTACACAGGAGTAACCGAAAAGTATGAAAAAAAAGAAGAAGAAGAAAATGCCACGGAGAGTGATATTCAAACTATTATTTCGGTTTCATTCGTTACACCTCTGTTGAAATCCCCAAAATCGACCAACTCCGAGCTTCTGGCACTTGAAACACGTCTGACCAGAGGAACGGTAGGAAATAGTTGAGGATTTGGAATGCCATGTCGCGTTTATCACAAAAAACTACTCCGTAATTATACGGATTCAAATCGGTCGGGACAAGGATAAATGAGTAAAATGAAACTATATTTAAAATACGCCCACTGGCACGTTTTACCCGCATAGCAATTGGCCCTGCTAAGCTGGCTTTTCGGGTAAACAAATTTGTTTTTTTCTGTTGTTCACTTTAGGATGATAATATGCGCATGCGCTGCAATAGCAGCAGCCCAACTTATTTTATCCGTCGCATTTGGACAATACTAGTAGTCTTCAAGTCACGTCTTCCGCTCAAGTTCGCCTCATAGGGATTGAGGAGGACGGCAGCTGAAGAAAAGGTGGCTGTTTGGTTGGAAGAAACCTGGTCGTTTTCTTCTTCTTTTCTTCTTTTCTTTTTCCTTTTTCCTATGAAAGTTTTGAAGGGAGGTGGCGGTTTGGATAAGGTGACTCACTGACGTTGAGGAGGGTGTTGGCTGGAAAACGGTGCATGCATATTAAATCTGTCCAACGAGCTCATTTTCTAGCAGGATATTCTGGCTCACTCCTTTTGCATTTGCTGTTTCACTCTTCTTGTATTTTGATATTCGCCTCTGCGCTTTTCTGTTGCCTTCTTACTTCTCCTCAGCCTTGCAACTTCCGTGACAGCCATGGAGATTCTATTAATTGGGGTCTGAATTCGGAGTAACCGAGTTAGTATTTATGCAACTGGTAGTAACGACACACATTCAGGGCGCATGCTGCTGTGCGCTCATATGCCAGGTTGGAAATTCAAGCAGTCCATGGCGAAGGAGCAATTACGGTGAACTTTCCAAATTCGCTATTGTCCAGCACCCTGTTTTACGATGGCATCTAGAATCTTTTTCTTCCATTATTGAATATACAATGTGGGGTAACCGCTGATATAACGATGGGGTTGCTGGATATTACTTACCAGTTGCTAGCTTTAAGCTTAAATTTGGAAGGCCCGAGCTTTGTTTAGTCATCATGGGATTGCTAGTTAGTTAAAGTTAACTAACTAGCAAAGGAAAACACAGCATTCAAGTTGGTAGAAATTCCTGTCACCCATATTTCCGTGGTGGTTCAAAAAGGAGAGGGACGGAGAAACAATGTCCTGTTTCATGTCTTCTCAAAAAGGAATATTTTTCCTGTGCTCCCTCTAACTGTTCTCATTAAACTCTTGCCGTTGCTATTATTGGATTTGGACCGGATTTTTTAATAACCACTAGTAGGTGGTATGCATATGTCTCTCCTCGCGAGGATAAAGAATCAAACATTCGCTTTTGAACTATTTCCATTGGTACCCGATCAGGGTCGATCGCGGCATGGCGGAACTCAACTTAGCCCACTTGTAGCGTATGAGAATCGATCGCGGAACCTTCGCGCATACGCCCGCCGTAGCGTTGCGGCCTTGAGCGACTGAGGCTTGAGAGAGAGAGAGAGTGTGTGTGTGCGTGTGGAGACTTTGTATTCATATTTTATAGGTTGGAGCAGGGGAAGTGGGCAAATTTGCACTTGTCAGAAACAATTCTTAATCCACTCGCTGAGATAGCCGATATAATGCGATTGACGGGGCGGAGTGTGGGGAGATAAGGTCGCCGATAAGAGGTGATGATAGGCATAGAATGCTGAGCAAAGGTGGGGCAGTCAATTATGAACGAAAAAACTAATAGTTCTGCACCTTTCTCTCGCTCTTCGCCTAAATTTTATGTTTTATCCGTTCATCTGATCGATAAGCGAGAAGATAATACCATCCGAAGTGGTTAGAGAGGCGATGCCAAGGGAGTAAACTTTTCTGTGCTGCTATTTTGACTGATCCAAGCACCTCCATCTATCCTAGCTCCAAGTCTGTTGATCCACAGCGCAAGATGTGGTCGCCGAACAATGCACGGACAAAAACGAGAATCTAGATCTGCGCCGAATCAGGGCATGCGAACTCTGTTGGATGCTTCAAAAGCATTTAGCCCCATATCCACAATAATTGAGGGGTAGGAGTTTTTGGACTTCCACGACAACAAAACTCAGAAGGCGAGATGGTTACCGTGAAATGCACATGAAGCAGGTTTCACTTCACTTTATACTTTGGGGCGAATATTAGTTAGAGAAGCTGTAGTCTCATAAACCGCTACATTGCGGGATAAGGTATTTTAAGACGCTTGGTCGCAATGTGTCCGTGCGGGTCTCTGGGGCCTACTGCGTAGTTCAGCCAGCCTACCTTTTAGGGCATGTGGATCAGATCGACAGGGAAAAGTCATGACAAGGGGTTCAGTCTGATTCAGTCAAAATTATGCAATTAATTTGGAAAATTATACGCAGTAAGTCTTCCGCGGAAGGAAAATCGCCGCTAGACTTCCGAGGGGTAAGTTATTCGGAATTTAATATTAAAAGGCTCTCTCCGTCCGCTAAGGAGACGCAGACGACCGCACACATATTCCTACTCTCTGAGCAAAACAAGACTCCACTCTAGGCCAAGCGGTCCACCCTGTGAAGGCCGACAAGACTGGCACTTGATGTCGTTACTCCTCAACTAACGAGCACACATCCACTGTCATCCAAAACAACGGCTTGCTGACAGGTATGGTTGTTCATCTTGCCGCCTCCAGAGGGGAGCCTCTCCAGGACACAGCGTATTGATTTGAAATATCCTGGTAAACTGGTATGAGCCACAGTATTCTAGCCATTATATAATAAATTGTAATATAAAATGAATGAGTGCCAAGAGCCTCTGATATTCGTTGACTAGCCAGCATCCAAAGGCCTCTTCTCTGACATGTATTTTGGGCGGCTACTGCGAGAAACCGAACACCATGATGGAGACCAAAAATAAGTATGCTAGGCCAGGCCAAACCTATTCAAAGCGATGATTGGTGAATGCACCTGGTCCATTTGGACAGCTCCAGGGGTTGTCTAATCAGACAGGTTCCAATGACCGATCGGAATCATATTCTGTTCCACACGATAATTTCAGCAAAAAAGAAAAGGCTGAGGGAGAAGGCATTTAGCACTTATGTTGCAAATTCCGTGCTGAGGTTTTCGAAGTCGCTGAAATCGGGTCGGGCGCTTTTTCCCCAGGGAGATTCAATGTTTGGCTTCACGTCTTACCTCTGGGAATCTTCACATTCAAGTCTTGCGTAGAATTAAGTGCCAAGTCGGAAGGATTGATGAAAGAGCCGATGAGGATTCTTTGTGCGATCGTTGGGAATCCCATCAATATTGGTAATAATGGGGGCCTTTTCAGGCACCAACTTCCAAGCAACTCTCCTGGACGATTTGAGGGATAATCAGGCGTAACAGCGTTTTTCTGGCGACCTTACCATGCAAGTCATAAAAGTGAAAGGGGTGCTTTGATCGATATAAAGATGAACACGCAGCCGAAGCCGACCAGACCAGCGACACCAGAGAGCGCAGGATACGAATAGTATAAGAGTAAATTTCCGACGGTTATAAGTGTCCATTTGCTATTGGACCCAGACAGCCTATATTCGCCCTACTGGTAGGGTGGTATTTCCGTCCAAACAGGAATTGTGAGTAGTAGCAATGACACACACCGGTGGAAGAACGACCATCGATTCCAGAGGACACGAACGAGGGGAGGGAAATCCTAACATGGTCCTGGCTGAGCGCTGTCAGCCCACCCACTACCCACTGCATCCATCCCCGGCCTGCCTTTGACTTGGAGCCGCTGGAGGTTGTGATCGGGCCAGGGACAATGTCGCAGCAGCGCCGCGCGAAGCCCACAGGGATGGCCAGATGGCGGGCGGATTACGTATGCAGCCGCCATTGTTTAGGGCTGGATGGCGAGCATTCCGAGGTCACCTTGGACTCAACGACCAACATCACCAGCGCATTGCAACATCCCGCCGTCCAATCTCCCCACAATCACTGCCGGACACAGCAATCGGAGTCTCGAAGCTCATCCATCAGCAGACCTGTCACGGGCAGAAGGCGGGGAATAGCCTAGAGCACTGTTTGTGGTTCACGCAAACGGCTGCGTATTGAACACCCTTGCTCCTTTCCACTGCACAACTTATATCGCTGCTGGTCAGTCGGCCGCGGATCCTCCGACAGGACCATCATTGCCGACCTTTGACGAATTCCTTGGGGCCCTCCTTCGGAGAGGGGTCGAACAATCTAGACACGCTCTAGACCTCGAAGCGGGGCACCAACCATTGGCAGCCAGTTGAACCACTAGCCAGAGTCCTCATGGGACCATGAGTCCATGACCTGGCGCTCTGGTGTCCGTGGCGTCCGATCTACTGCACGCCTGCGCCAAACCCCGTCTGTTGGATTTCAGGGTGTCAGCCTATCTGCAGAGGCTTGCTCGCCACTAAAATGATAATTCTCTCCTTAACATCCGGCCATTGGATGGGGTGAATCCAGCCAAGCGTGCGGATACTCAGGTTCATTCCTCAATAAAAGTGTCCAGGCCAAAGACTCAAAACTCTGCATCGCGACACATTTTGCTTTGAAAGTTGACTAATAAGATTTCAACGCGATTCCCGCAGTGGATTGCATCCGGAAACCACTGAGCTTTCAACCCGTGGGCCCCAAAGCTGACATTCCCCCGAAGCAAAATTCAGGGATGTTGCTGTGGGAGGTGCTACGTTGAGTCGAAAAAGAATCGCATGTGTGATGTGGCAAGCTGCAGCGGATTGCTTTTGAGCTTCAATCCAATTGCTCGGATAGACTTGTGAATCCGTTCTTCTCTTTATTTATCATTCTCTCGCGTTTCGTCCCAGATTCTCTGGTGGTACCTTGTTTTTAAAAATTATCAAAGTTGTAGAATATTATTTTGCAATCTATTCTCGAACTCCTTTCGCACTTCCCCAGTTCAAACCACACGGGACTGGTTTTGCCCCACCCCCAAGCCATTCACATCAAGTATATAGTGCACCTCCTCTCCCGCTCTTCCCTTGACTGAGAGCACTTTGCAACTAGACACTTGTCAGCTTCCGATCGTTTCACCATACGAGACCTCTGTCGAACACTCGTTATTTCTCGTTCCGCATTTGGTTCAAAAAGCATACAACTCTCCCATTTCACTAGCCTTATATATCGATTTTGCAGCTATCCTCTCGGGTCCTTCGCTATGGGTGTCACAAAGAAAGTGCTTAGGAACGGCAATGGGGTCAACAAGCCCACGACAGGTGACGAAGTTGTGATCGACTACACAGGATGCCTCTATGACCCCACAGCCGCCGATAAGCATTTTATGGGAGACGAGTGAGTTTCGCAATCGATTTGGGGAAATATAGAAGCGCAGGGAAAGGGCAAAAAAGGAAAATCGATCTTATACTGACCGTTTAAATCCGGAATAGGTTTGATTCGTCCAAAGATAGAGGAGACTTTAAAACCACAATCGGCATTGGAAAGGTCATTCGAGGTATTTGCGCCATTTCTCTTGTTTGGGTGGCTAGCTATGCTTCAAGCATGCTAGATCACGAGCCACCCTCCCCGGAAAATTTTTTGAGGAAAAATGGTATCAACGCTCTGGCAAATTCCCGGCTGACACTTGAACCTAAGGATGGGATGAGGCGGTTATGAATATGACCCTCGGCGAAAAGAGCATTCTAACAATCAGCGGGTGAGTCGTCCCGTTTGCCGAGCCGTTTTGAATCTTTACTGTAAAAGAATGCATCATTTCATCCAATTGTCATCATTTCATGGAAAGCGAACGTTTAGCTAATAATTTCCGTTTTGGATTTTGTGCTACAGAGACTATGCGTACGGAGACCGGTATGTTTATTTTATTGTCTGATCCCTGTGCAAAAAGTATCCAGAAATAGATTTGGAGGAATGAATAAAATATTACCCCCATCTCGTCTCTATTAATTACCTGCAAAGGTGTAACTTGGGATGACCCTGGCATTCAAAGAAATGGGGGCTTCAAGCTTCTTATCAGATCACTGACTGTTTGTTTCATTGCCACCTGCTAGTGGCTTCCCGGGGCTCATCCCTCCAAACTCGACTCTTGTTTTGTAAGTACTGGACAGCCGTGGAGCGTTTCTCACCTATTTCTAATGCCACTTTTGCCCTTGCCATTTTGCGTCTTTTTTTTTTTTTTTTTTTTTTTTTTTTTTTTCACCGCTCTTCGTGCCTGAATCTTTTCTGAATAATTACTACCTAAGCTTTGGCTCCATCCCGCCTGCGGCAGACCACCCACCTATCTGGGTTAACCTTCTGCAGTGGCGACTTGCGCCCCCTTCCATATTCGAAAGCAGCCTCACACTATCTGACATTGTATTTCTTTTTTGCCCTCCCCCAGATGTAGCCAGCCAGCTAAAACAAGACAATATTGATCGAGCTGACGCACTGTAATTCACAACAGCGAAGTCGAACTCAAGGGCATCAATAATATACGGGCATCATAATTGAGGCGATGGTGTAACACCAACCTGACAAGGGAGACTTCTCGAATGTTTCCCGAAGCCATTCTCCTCTTGAAGATCAACAACATTAATTATCCATACCCCGCCTACTACGTCCGTCACACTTCTTTGCGTCACACCTAAATTCGGTGGCACCATACCATACCTTCGTTGCTCGTTGCTCGTTGCTCGTTGCTCGTTCCCCGTTCATCGTTCCTCGTTCCCTGATCCATAATTTACTACTCGAAACAAATAACCTAATCAGAAACAGCAAACTATTTATACTTTTGGCTTGCAAAGACAAATCTTCTTGATCCAAAAAGAAGCCATGGAGGGACGGGGCGGACTTAATGCGGCGCACCCCAGCTGGCGATAACACTCCTCAGAATGGTGGGGTTAGTCCCCCCCCGGAATGCCCCAGCCATGGCTCTGCAGCCTATCCCGGTCCATACAACCCCGTCTTCTACGTATACAAGTTTTCGCCTTCTCGTCTCCCCAAAAGGGTCATCGAATAAAGGTGTCGTGGGGCCTTTATTTTGTTATTTTATTTTTCCGTTGTTTTGTTTTGTTTTGTTTTGTTTTGTTTTGTTTTTTTGTTTCCAAAGGAGTACTGTGCGAGTCTTCGATTTTGGGGACAAAAGAATTCGATTATTTGGGAAAGGGGCAAAGCAAAATATAAGGGAAAACAAAATTGGGGTTGGAGGATCCATTGTTTTTTTGTTAAGTTCTTTATTCTTTTCTTTGCATTTTTACTTTCACTTTTTATGGTTCTGGTTCTTGGCCCGCCTTCACAGTTCTAAATTTTCATAAATGTCTTTTGAGGCCTGCCTCTTCGGGATATGGCATATCACCTCACGGCTCTCCCCCACCCTGCTTCACCGGGTGCAGAGGATGCTGTCTTTTCTTCCCCCACTCTCGTCATTGCAGCACTATGATAGGTATACTTCCTGCTTCCCCTTGCGTTCTACCCGTTAGCGATGGATTTCTTCATTTATGCAAACTTCTTTGTCACCACTGCAGCTGTCGCTCATCTCCTCCTGCATTCACAACCTGCCTGGCCTAGGATTCGATTCTGTGGCCTGTACGTTTTTATATCCTACCTTCCTCCCCTTCACTCTCACTCTCGTCTTGCGATGCGCGGACCATACTGTATCTTGCCCAAATGCAATCCAGCCTCCCATCGCTGTCTCAGGTGCTAATCGTGTGACGCCCGGCGGTGGAGTGGTCGCTGAACCAACAGTATGCCCAGAGCGCAATTGCTGGCGGCTAAGGCATTGCCAGGCCGTCACACCTCCCCCAAGATCTACCAATAACCAAATCGCGGAAGATGGAGCCGCCGAAGGTGACATAAGAGGGTTGTTCTGGTTTTTGTGTGTGTACATGTGCGTGTTTGTGTGATGGCTACTTTTCCCTAGCGCAACGAAAGGCATTGAGAGCCAAGGTTCACATGAGGTGCCCGCCCCAGCGTCTCCAGACGGGCACGTTTGCAACCGCCAAAATCCAGCCCTCATCTTCAGCCAGTCCTTACGCTATCCTCAAATACTCTTGCTTCAGGATGGTAGGATCTACATGGCACATTGTCAGGGATCTGGAACAGCCATTCGCACAACGGCCGCGCAGCTGGTGAGCAGTTACACCCGCAGATTGTATTGGATAGACACGGCAGGGGATTTTCAAGGAAAACCGAAACCCATGATACGTATGATTGGTAGTTAACGTTAGATGATGCGCCTGCTCTTTTGAAAGGAGGGGTGGGGGATATGTGTTAAATTTCTCTGCGAGGGGGTGTCAAGGCCTCCATTTACTTTTTTACTTTTACTTACTTTTCTAATTTTTTTTTGTGGCCGTATCCGGTCGATTCTATTCCACCCACCCACCATATCTACTAATATAATTTACTTCAAGATTACATATTTCCAAATGTTTCTGTCCTTCCTTTTCCGCCTCCGCTTTCTTCTTAACCCCACTCTTCTCTTAACTAGTTTGCATCGGTATAGCAGCAGCAGCAGCAGCAGCAGCATTGGAGGCCCGTGCTGCCCCTGAGCCATCAATGTGCTCTCTGCCCCTTATCTCACCTGGCGCCATGGCTAGGTACGTATGCCGTTTTGAGCATATCGGGGCATCCGGTCAGCGCCTAGCCTCGGGTTTGCTGCGTCGGACGGGTGGGGGTAAGTTGCGTGAGGGAGACAGTGGAGGAGAGCTTCCATGAAAAAAAAAAGCGCGCGACGAACTTTCCACGTTGGGGGCGTTTTCTACGTAAAGCCAATCAGTCAATCAATCAATCAATCAATCAAATCTAATATTTTTTGTCAATAATGGGGCCCGTAAATGGTAGCCATGCATGCATGGGCTTGGATGGATTAGCGATGGGGATTTTTTTTTTTTTTTTTATAAAGCAACGCGTGCTCATTTTTGATTCTGGGGGGATTCAAAATTCATGCACGGGACCGACAATGTTAGCAGCCGATGGACAGGATAGGGAGGGGCAGGCAAGTCATGGCCCCGAGGTGGTCGTCCTCGACGCGCCTTGTTAAGATTTTTGATTGTTGATTTGTTTTTTTTTTTTTTTTTTTTTTTTTTTTTTTTTTTGATTTATATTTATTTATTTATTTATTTTATATAAAAAGGGGGGGATGGCTAGAGCTAGACGAGCCGACACACCGTCCGTCTCGTTTGTCCAGAAAGGGGAGGGGGGGAACTTTCACACAATGTCCGACACTGCTTCATGCCGTCGTCCCAGTCCATGTAATCGCGAGTCCAGAAAGGCCAGTAAACAGGAAATCATTCGCGGAAAGTAATAATATTCCTCTGCCATCGAGCATAAGAGCGCTCTCACGTAAGCCCGTCCTGGTTAGAAATGATTACTACTTATAATAATAATAAAAAAAAAACAGCATCTTCAAGACGGCGCTGGTCGAGTAATCCTCTATACCTATATCTATATCTATATGGAGGACTGGAGGGTCCTTTGGGTTGGGGACTCGTTTCTGGGGTGTGTGTTTAATACGGGCCAGTCGGGGAATGAATGGCGCTTTTTGCACCTTTTTCTTTTGTTTTCTTCCAGCGGCTTATAGCTGTTGAAGATACATACATGTTCGGATGGGATGGTATGTAACGGAGGCGGAGGGTGGAAACCAGAATGAGGAAGGAAGAATAAAAAGGTATGAAGAAGAGTAGAAGGATGAACAAGCTCGTACTTTTTCTCTGCTGTCTGTATACATCATGCCTCATATAGATCTGTATTCTATTATATCTTTCAAAAGCCAATTCATTTTCGTCATTTATTTCTTCTATGTTTTATGTTTTTTCTGCTGCCTCGTGAAACTAAAATAGTAACACTGGACATTGGTGGAAACAAGTAAAATAATAAGAATGGGGAGGTGGTAAAATGTTAAGTGTAAGTGGAATGCAAAAGAAGAAAGAATGAGGATAATAGTCGAAGTCAGTTGATGTTAAGGCACACGAAATACAGGAAAGGGGTTGGGAGGAAGCAATATGGAAGGTGATAAGTGAGTGATATGGGAAAGCCAAGAACAAACATGAACCATATATAAGGAGGTATATATATAAATCTTGACGGGCTGGAAACCCCAATGGTCCGGACATTGAATCAATGGAATGAATAGAACATATTGGAGGGAAAGAAAAGAAAAAGACCGTATAATTGATCGGTAATATGCACAAGTCTTGTGTGGGCGTGGGTATTTGTACATGTGTATTTTTTTTTCTTTTCATTCATATAATATAATAGATAGCGTGTTAGGAAAAAAAAAAAAAAAAAAAAAAAGCATAGCATAGTTATAAGGGGTTTAAAAACAACTAAGTGATTATGTTTTGAAGAAAGGACATAAAAAAATAGGAAAGGACAAAAAAAAATCGAAGGGAAAAAATGAAGGATTGATTTGGGATCTAATTTTGCCGTCCTCCTTTCTTCCCTCCACCCCTTTTTTCTTGTTTTCTTTCGTTTGCTCTTTTTTCTTTTGGTCTTCTCCGTCTTTGATTTCCCTCTTCCTCCTCCTCTTCCTTTCCTATTAACCAAGGACGAAACGGAAATGGTTGCTTTCGTTAGATTAGTTTGAAAGCGGCAGGTCGAAGCCACAAAAAATGCCGCACTGCAGCTTTGCGATGCAACAATTTGCCGTGTCGCGTATCGCGATTAGACCAATTCTAATTGAAAGAGAAACCAACCAATCACGGCTGAAGAAAAAAAAGAGACGAGAAAGTTTTACAAACGAAGAAGGCAAAGAAATAAAACAATCAAAAGAAAGGAACAAAAAAAAAGGTGTCCCTAATTCCACCCAAGCGAGTTCTCAGTCATGACAGGCGCGCTGATCATTTGATTCCGTCCACTGCCTGAGCCACTGCTGTGGCTATCCCGTGTGGCATATGGGGTCGGGCTGGTATATCCATCCGTGCGACCACCACTCATCAAAGCATCGGTGGCAGTCGGTACAGGAGGGGCGGAAACAGCCACACCAATCTCGCCCATGCCGCTTGTCAGTGAGCTGGTGCGGCGGTGGAGCTTGCGCTTCTTGCGGTACCGGCGAGCTACGAAGAACATCGCAGCGCCGTACATTGCCGCGCCACCAACGACGCCAAGACCGATTCCGACGGATGTGGCCTTGACGTTGGAGGATCCGCCTGAACCGCCAGGTCCTTCGGCTTCGTCATCATCTCCGCCAGAGCCGGAGCCGCTTTTACCATTACCTGGACGATCGGTAGAGCTACCGCCGCCGCCTGGACCATAAGTTTGCTGATTAAGTGGTCCTCCTCCCGGGATGAGGGGGATAGACGGGTCAATCATGGACATGAGCTTGGCGATGGACGGGTCCGGGTTCTGGTACAGGCGCGAATAGGGGCTATGGATTTGGAGGGATAATTCGTTGACCAGGTCCTCGGGGATATACATCAGGACCAATGTAGGTGTGTACATACGTGATTGTAGCGTGTCATAAGGTTGGATGGAATGCGCTTTGACAAGATCCAATGATATTTGTAAACCGAAGCTAACGCCCTTAGGAGTGAACGTAAAGATTTGAAGATTCGAAGCCCCGTTTGAAACGACAAACTCATACGAGAGTGAGCTGTTGAACCCGACCTGAATCAATCTCGAATCAGCTGGTGCTTTGGGAATGCCCATCTCGGGAGAGATAATTCTAGGAAGGGCGGTGGGCTTATTCGTTTCCGATGGGTTTGGCGGGACTAGGGTCGGTTGGAAGACAATGCTTGTCGGAACGATCATCGAGGTCAACGAATCCGTAGATATTGGCATATCAGATTCCGTTGACGACGGTGCCGGTGGCGGTGAGATTGTCGGAGACGGTACAATGGTAGAGTTATTAGGCGGAACCCATCCTGTTGGGCGATCTGTCGGATTGGGGAAAACGCCAGACGGAGTGGTAGTCGGGGTGGGTATCACGATAGTGCTGCTACTGTCGGTCGGGATAGGGGCCGTGGTGTCTGGGGGCAACTCTGTGGCTGTTGGGAAAGGCGGGATAGTGGAATTGCCAGGGGCCGATGTGATGGGCAACGACTGGGACAGTGTCGGGGGTGGTGTCGGGGATGGTGTCGAGGATGGTGGCGTGGATGGTGTCGGGGTTGGCGTAATAATTGGTGGAATGCTGAGCGTGGGAAGGCCCAGGGTGGAAGTGGAGGTAGGAAGCGGTGTCAAATCTGTCACATCCGACCTAGTGCTCGAAGGGGTAGATGATTCGCTTCCTGGAGTGGTCGATGGCTCTTCACTTGGGAACAGAGTTGGAAGAGAAAGAATTGGGCCATCTGTCGTTCGGCTTGGGGTTTCGCTGGGTGGTTCGCTGGGTGATTCCCTGGGTGGTTCGCTGGGTGTTTCGCTGGGTGATTCCCTGGGTGGTTCGCTGGGTGTTTCGCTGGGTGTTTCGCTGGGCGTTTCCCTGGGTGTTTCGCTCGCGGTTTGAGTTGCCGTGTCGCTATAGCTCGGGGTGCTGGCAGTGCCATCAACAAGAGGTGAAGAGGGAGTATCAGCGTCCGGAAGCTTAAGTGATGGAAAGCCATCAAACAAGGGTTTCGTGCTGCTAGATGGGGACGGAGACGGAGTCGGTGTCGGTGTCGGAGTCGGAGTCGGTGTCTGAGCCGGGAAGCCTGTCTGGGCAACCTTCTCATATGAGACTCCTTGTGTTCCCGAGACTGAGACCGACGGAGCAGAAAATACATTTGGTGGCCCGACATTGATTCCGCCGAAGGAGTTTGATTCAGGGGTATCTTCAGGGTCTTCATTTCCCGAGCCGACGGTTGCTGTAGGCTGTTGATTTCCGAGCGTGAATCGGGTTCCTTCAGGATCTACGTAGACAGTTACAGGGACGACGACGACAGTAGTACCTGGATCGACTTGCGGAGCGCGCTTTTCTACAGGAGCAGCAAAGCCATAGTCGCGATTCACTTCTCGTGGGAAGTAGTACTTTGGTCCATATGCTACACCGGCTTTGGCGGCTTCGCAAATGGGAGCCACCGACAAAATGGCCGCCAGGATCGAGGATGTTGTGACCCGCATATTGACGGTAGGCGCAGTTAGGCTAGCGCTTTCTCGCTATTTATTGATATCGCGAACGGGTTCAGCCTTCAATGGAAGAGTCAACACTGCAATATCCGGATTAGATACTACGACACCAGACACGAATTCGGGAAGGATATTTTACAATTGTCTTTCGGCGAGATAGAAAAAGAGCGAATAACGACAAAAAGTCGCCCGAATGTTCGTGTTTCTATCCATGGGTTAGCATGCGTGGCATATTTTATAGATATATCAAAAAGCAACCAAAAGGAGTCAAGATCAGCAGGCACATCTGAATGTGATTGAATTGGATTTAAAGAACATTCAACAACATTCAATTGCAACACACAGGTGAAATAATCAGTAGGGGGAAACGCTAAGAGATAGTAAAAATGCTTACCGATCAAAGGAGTGGAAAGGGACAAAAATCCCCCAGGAAAAAGAAAAAAGAAAAAAAAAATAACCTAAGGAGCGACGAGGAAGCCGAAAGTTTCAGCTTCCTGGAACAAAAGTCAGGCAGGAAGCAATAATGCTACCTACCGCCTCGCTCGTCGTGGTGGTAAATGGAGGAAATCAAGCAAAAATTCGACAAAACTGCCTGGGCGCAATGTGGACGGTTCGTCTCCCGTTTGTTTTCAAGATTCGATGCTTTCTTCCCAGCGGCCTAGGTTGTCATATTCCAGAGCCAAAGCAAGGGACTCACAGAACAAGGGTTATGGGGATGTGTAATTGAAACTTCGTGGAGAAACCACGCAGTCGATTTGCTATCGAGCGAGACCTTAGGATCCGATCCAGCTTCACCGGGTAATCTGCGATAAATATTCGCTATAAATATCGATCGATATATCGATTATATGATCGACCTCATCCGGTTCGATAAACCAAATAACAACGTTTCCCAAAGTACTTTGTCTTTTATATATTTTCTTTTGACCTTCTCTCTCCTTATTTCACACGTTCCACAGGTCGAAAAAAATGGCTTTTCCCGGTCAAAAATATATTCAGAAAATATATATATATATATATATCAAAATATTTTTGGACCCGAGCAGGAAGATGGAAGAGAACGTGATGGGACCGGCAAGGAATGCAGATGCCCTTTGGGAAGAATGCGGACGACAGATATAATGATAATACAGCTATAAAGATCGGGGCTGTGGTGAAACGAGCGGCACCAAAAGGACCTTTGGCAGAGAAATGGCTGGCGACGATGACAGTTGAAACGGGTACGGAGGAGATCTATATGCACATTTTTGTGACCTCTGGCGTCAGTAGTTTTGTTTATTTCATGTTTATTTCATCTTTGTAGTTGAGATTTGCTATTTATATCATCGCGCAAACTGGAGGGAGGAGGGGTTTGTGGAGGAGTCAAAAAGGGGGAGACAACAACGCACGAAAAAGGGATTGTCGGTTCTGAAGGGGTCGCTAGGAGGGAGGGGAGGAGAAGAACGACTGGACTGTCGACAGTCGACGTTGAGGATGGCGACGGAGGAGAAGGAGAAGGAGGAGAGACGAAGGGAGAGATGAGGAGAGGAAGAGCAGAAGCAGATAAGGAGAGACAAAGAGTGAGATGGAGGATGAAGCCCACGAAGCGGGAAGGGGGGAACCCGGCCCTGTTCCATACCGTACAGAGTGCATACATAGTACATGCATACATACATACATACGCAGTACGGGGTCCGACAACTTGGCTGCAAGCCACATGGGGTACAGTAACCCCATACCGCGTACACGCCCAATACACATCGTACACGTCCACTGCCCTCTGGCGCCGCCCGCCGCACGCCGCCCGTCCCCACGCCCAGGCCCACTTGGCTCGCTTGGCCCACGCTGGCCCACGCCGGCTAGCCGCAACGGGGCCTAGGGCTTAGGCCACGGTGCCGCTGAGATTACGCCCATGCCGGGGCCCCCTGTACCGATGTATGTTCTGTATGTATGTTATACTCAGGTAACTTCTTGACCAATGTAACTGTGTAATAAATCTTACAGCCGTTCTCACACTCGCGTACTTGTATTTACAGCGCATTAACTCCAAAACAGAACGGGAAACATTTTGGGTTCAGGAACAGAAAGGCTAAAAACGCAACCAATCTCGCGGGCACAAGACACCAGACAGAGGTGGATGGAGCATGATGGAGCACGGAGGTGCCAGACTGCCAGTGTGGCTCCTCAAAGGCTCAAATAGCGCTAGTCTGTTAGTTGGGACAAGCCCCCAGATGTTAATAATATTTCATCCCCCAAGGCGAACTTGGCAGGATATCGGTAATTAAATAGATGGCGATTGAGGTTGCCCATGGTCCAGGTGCGGGTGAGAGATGCTTGGATCCGTGGGTGCTGGGACTGCAGTCGCCATGGATCAATGATTGATGAACTCCAGGTTCGAGAACGGCCTTCAAGAGTAGATAGATACTGGTATGGGGCTCTCTCGCACTTCCCCTCCGTGACTGACTGGCTCACTCCTGCCATCGCAGTTTATCATGAGTTCGAACTTATTCTGCTGGCACTGAGCAGGCGTTCAATTCGGGTTGTGATGAGTGCCTTAACGGCGCGCCACGCCTCGCCCACGCCTCGGAGATCTCAGAGCAAGATGCGCGCCACGGCTGGCCCTTGTCAACGGAGGTTTTACCTGTCCGGAAGAAGTGGGTGGGAACAGGAACAAGGGATGTCGTCAGAAGAATCATCATAACCCTCTGCATGGCATTCTAGGCACAGCAAGGCAACCTTGGAACACTCTGCTTCTTGCCATCAAAGAGAGATTATTTACGATGGATTATTTATTGTGGTGCATCTCATTCAATTCTGGATCACTATCACGCTCCAGGTATTCCGTACACGTCGGAAAGAAAACCGGCCCCAATTATTCCCTAACGAGGAAGTGTTTTATCTTTTCTTTTCTTTTCTTTTTTCTTAAGGTTCGTTTCTTTCTTTTTTTCTTTGGCATATGTCGATCGATGGAGGCTGAAGCCTGAAAGGTTGATTGAATCGAGCGCAGATCGTTTTATGTATTCATTCTCTCTCTCGTCTGATATTAAATCTCACGATAGCGCAAGCTCGGGAAAGACAATTTTTTTAAACTTCCTTTCCAGCTTTTTCCCATGCTCTTTTATTTTCGTTTCAAGTTGGAACCCGTTTAAACAGGAACAGAAATAGGCGCTTGGTCTCCGCCGTTGCAACTTTTTTTTTTTTTTTTTTTTTTTTTCGGGGCATTGCATTGCATTGCAGATCCTCCCCTTTTTGTTTCTCTCCTTGTCCTGCACACTCGTTAGATTCTGTCGATCGCGATCGAAGAAAGGAAAAAATTGTCGACTTTTCCCAGGCCCAGAACCGCGGCTCAACAAAGAAGAGAAAAAAGAAAAAAAAGAAAAGAAAGCTGTCAGGGGAAACGGAAAAAAAAAAAAAGGACACTTGTGGCTTCTCAGACAGGAGAACCCTCATGTATCTGGAGATGCTACCCTAATGCCATCGGTCTGTGAACTGGCGACCCTTTGAAATTAGAGAATCTCACACACTCTCTTTCTATTTTAAAGAAACAAACAAAACAGAAAAGAAGAGGAGGCGAAGTACTCCTGTAGAACTCGATGATGTTCTATATTTAGACCATCTTTTGGACATTGTCCGTCTCTTCGTTGATCAACAGACAGATCTTGCAGGGTAGATCTCCAGGCCAGATCTCAGATCTCAGAGAAGATCTCAGATTACAGATTCAACTTGCTCATTCATTCATTATCATTATTCATGATTGCTCCCGTCTGAACAGCGGATCTGAAAACAAAACAAAAAAAAATTAAAAGGAACCTCGTGGCCATCTCTGCCCTTGAGGACTTACTTGCTCCGATCCCTCGCACCACACGGAATATATGTATCTACTTCATGCATCCGTAACTATCTTCCTGTTCTGGAGAAGATAATTATGGCAGCTCGTTTCTGCTGCACGCATGAATTCTCGTTTTATATCTCTAAATATATCTATATGTATAGTTATCTATATATATCTATATCTATATCTATATATTTCCGAATAAGAAACTCTACCAAGACATCAAAACAGTTTCATGCAGGAACAGACAACATGCAGGAACCGCAGCGAGCGACAGGAACACGTTCATGCATTGTGAAACAAAGGACCAGAGGAGCAATGGTAAGAATAACACACCAGCAACCATGCACGACCGCTTCGTTTATCTGAGCTGAGAATTCTGAGAAATCCAGAGTTGAGGTGATGAGAACACACAAAATCCTGCCGAGCTGCTCATCCAGTCGGGGCGCGTGGAATGCCGACCTTTCTTTTTCTCCAGACTCCAACCGAAGTTCAATCGAACCCCCGAAAACGAAGAAATAAAATGAGCTACTCGTATCTCTCGTTGTTTCTTGTCCTACCAAGGAGCTCTCGCGCGGAGCTCTTCCTCTCCTGGCATCGTCTCATACATACCAACAGCCTTATAACCTTCTGATGATACCGTACCGTACCGTACACTGTGCTGCCATTCTTAGCACGTACGGTGGTTACACGGGGGTTTTTCTCTGTAACTTAGTGAAACGCCAAGATTGCCGGTTTGGGTTCAGGATCGAGGTACGAGACTTTTTTTTTTTTTTTTTTACGCTGCCATTTCGGTCCCCAGCCACAGTTTGTAGCGCTGGATGAGAATCTCAAAACGACGGACCCGAGTTCCAGGACGGACAACAACAACAAACAATAAACATGCGTCCTTTTTGAGGCTTGAACACGCGGGGAATGGTTGCTGCTGCGTGAGGCGGCTCACTGAGAAAATGACTGGCGCTTATCTTCGACTTGTGACAGGCGCAGGGGTGTTTTTTTATCACCAGAACGCGAATGTTGGGCGCCAATATCAATACGGGGCATTTGGGCATTGTACAGATTAACTGTGGAAGAAATGGGAGTGGGAACCCACTTCTTTTATTCTGAAGTCTTATTTCTTCAAAAATTGTTAGTTACATGTAGACTATGGTAGACTATAGTATATGTGCGATGGAGGCCTTCAATCGTCCCAGGCCATGCCCATCCGCAGCAACTTGATACAACCACTCTGCCAAAATAATAACGTAACAGACAGGAACAAAGTGAAAGGAGAATCCAGGGATTTGAGGCCAGATGAGAAGATAAAAGAGAGAGAGAGAGAGAGAGAGAGAGAGAGAGAGAGTTTGTGTGTGTGTGTGGATGTGTGTATGTGAAGAACAAAACAGACAAGAAAGAACATGACACCAGAAAATAAATCCAGCCTGGAGGAAACCAACTCCGTAGCTCCTCTCTTTTTCAGTTAGTTACCCCTGAGAATCCACCCTTGAAAGCAAAATGGAACCTAAGGCCCCAGATTTTCAGCCTTGTAAGCAAATGGACGAGTTAATCATCATTATCACCCTCCCGGAACCTTGCTTGTAGGGGTGATCGGAAGTGTCGAGGGATTCTTCGCGCAAGCAACCCTGGTCGATAGTTCGAATGGTACCTGGGGTCAGTAGTCGCGTTGGTGATGGTTTTGTCTTAGTTGCTTGTGTGTATGTCGACGTGTCCAAGAGCTCACATTCTCATCTCTAGTCATGAGAAAGCACAACTGCCCAAGATATTGAAATGGCGAAAGAATGGTTGTTGATTTGACCATGTACCCCTGGTCTTATCATGGAAAATGGGAGAGGGAAAACAGAAAAAGAACTGTAACGTAATGTAATGCATAAAATGAAAACAGTAGTGAGATGAAGGCAACTATCCCAAATTCAATATATATTTGCATGGGTGCACTACCTTGTGAAAGTCAGCGCCCAATTTCCAGAGGGTGTGGGGGAAGACACAAAGAGAAGCAGAACTAGGAGCGGATAACATTGCTTCGACAAAACTTGCATAATCACAGCAGGGTTGTAGTTAATTAGTTAGAGAAGAGCTCAACATTATGATTTACCAACCCCCGTTTTCCTTTATTCGTCTCCTGTTCACTCACAGACTTAAGCGAACATGCCCTGTACCTATCAATGATGATTGCCCTTATCCTGACACCTCAAAAGGAATAAATGATAAGAAAAGGGCTGGCGTTTGCGGACCCGCCCTTCATCTCCCTTCCAACCCTGTGAACCCCTGCGGGCCTAGGCCATCCTGCCCACCTGTGCGGAAATACTCAACAACCACGCCTAGAGCATAGCACGTACCTGCTGCGACCCCGCCTGTTAATAAAATACGACGCAGGGCTTTGCGCAGGAACGGATGCGCCTTTTCGCTTTTGGGAGGATTGGGTGTGGAGAGCTCTCCCTCCTGCTGCTGTTGCTTCTTTGTTGCGCCAGAATCGAAAGACGAGACGATCCCTTGATCGAAAACATGGGAGGCATCTCGACCGGTCGGGCTGCCCTTCAAGGTCTCGGATGACTCGATTTGATCGACAACTTCATTTCCAAGCTGCGCTGCCTGAACTGGAGGATGCACCCTATCACCCCCGTCACCATAAGTATCACTACTGTTCTGCTTCGCTGCGGTAACATCTGGAATGGATGCTTCTAAAGTCCTAGCCACATGTTCCCCATCATCAACCAATTTCCCTTCACTCTCCTTTACCTTCTTGAAAATGAGAATATCGCCGCCGCCAGAGACAATTCCAAACCCCTGTGCTTCTAGGCGGGGCAAATGCTCGAGGAATCGCGAGGGGTTGCTGAGGCGTGAAAGCGCTTCTGTAGGGTGTAGCAGCTGTGCTATCTCCCCTGAGCCTGAATGGCCAGCCGAGATACCCATCTCTTTCACTTCCATTGTTAGGGAGTCGTAGGCTAGGATTCGGTATTGGGAGGGGTTGGAGCGCGAAGAGCTGTTTTTCGCTTCAACGTTCTGATCCAAAGGCGACCTTCCTGCGTCTTCTTCCCTAGTAGATTTCTTTCGCTGCACGTCTTCACCAAGCTCCGCTAAGGTTGAAGCCACGGATGCGTTGACGTTTTTGACATCACTTAGTATCTCGCTAATTTGGGCTACTTGCGTCTCGCGCTCTTCTATCGCCATCCTCTCCGATGGGGTGACAGAAAGTACGTCAGCTGTTGTACCAGATGGACTATGTTGTCCCGTCAAAAGTGCATTCATCAAGACTGTGGCCTCTTTGATTTCTCGAAGCTCTCTTGCTATATTGCCAATTTCACGGTGCCGGTTCGCATCTGTAGTTTTTATTCCAAAGATAGGATGGATCCCATCACGTTTAGAACTACTAACAGTGGTAGATGCATCATCAACACTGTCAACGTTGCACATATGGGTGACTTTGCTACGTTCTGTCCCCGCGGTGTCATCGCGAAATAGCAAGTTCATCACTTTCTGTACCGGTTCTGTTGCTTCTGTTGCACTAGAAACGGAGTCTCGGCCAGTTTCTACTTTGCTAACAGTTCTATTGTCTTGACGAAGTTTCCAACGCAACTCGTCGATGTCCAAGCCACAATCGGCATCTTGAAGAGCTCCATAAGCCTCTTCGACACCATGTCGCTCTGCCCAAGTTTTGTAAGAGGCACGAATGTCGCTAGCACGCAGTTGATCCACATTTTCTTTTGTTCGGCTGTCGTCACGAATATCGTACGCTTTTTGATAAATTTCGCAGAGAGGTGATGCGTTTGGAGCTTCAAGACTCTCAAGATATCGCAAATAGTCAGAATGAGACATCCCCTCTAACTCCTTGGGAAGGCGTCCGCTATTCTCAATGGATTTCTTCGCTTTGGCTATTAGATACTGATGTGATTGCCAGTCAGACGCTTGGACATCCTCATCGTCCTCGCCGAGTGGAGAAATTTTGTGCATCGGCGTTTTATTTTTTGCATCAAACGTAGTTGTGTTTGCTTCTTCGCTAGTTGAAGTAAGGACGGCCGCACCTGCTGGCTTTTCTGATTCATTCAAGGCCCACCCATCTGATTTGAGAGTATCTTTGACATCCTTTCCAAGGGTTGTTTCTGCAGAGTCAGGCTGATTTGACTCAGATATTATCTGTTCCGTGTCAACGCTCTTGCCTACATTGGAAGAGTGTGCTCCAATTGTATCATTATCGATAACGCTCATGTTAGCTGCGGGCTGCTTAGTTTCAATGGTTCCAAGTCCCTCCGTATCAAGGGTTTGGGATGATTTCAAATCAGTCTGGTCGTTCGCATCCTTAGGTGATGTCATTTTACTCGAGACGCGGTGCTCCGGTTCAAGGACAAGTGGCTCTTTTATATCGATGTTTGGTTTCTGATTGGAGTTTTCTTGCTCATCGCGAGTTTCCATTTCCGCTTCGCCATCTCGCGGATTTGAAATTATCATTGGAGAAGAGTCATCTGCCCGGTTGGAAGTGGTTTTATTCCTCGCAGGAACCATCCTACCACTGATGGGATCGAATTCAAATGCGGCGTCTGTCACAGTGTTGGATGAAGGCAAATGATCGTCATTGATATTGATTTCAGACGAAGTTTCTGTTCTTGATCCCGCTCCTTCTTCTGTCGCAGGATTTCGTATATCCGCTGGTGAGCCTGGACGGGGTCTACTGTCCGTGGGACCTTCACCAGCAAATAATGAGTGATAGAACGATAACCAAGATCCGTGTTTCAAACCGAATGGAAACGGCTGCAGTCGTCTCCCGAATATGAATCCATAAGGATCGCGATTGATAGCTTTTTTAAATTCCTCAAACCATTTCTCAGACTCGTGTCGCATGGACTCGCCAAATTCGTGCTCTTTGCCACCCCGAGAGTCGAAGCTGTTTTTCCCTCCAGGGCTTTTGGGGTCCTCGAATCCATTGTCAGGCGGACGCTCCTTCGCCAGCCAAGATTTCTCTCCCCTGTTCCCTTTCCCCATCCCTTGCACGAGCTCGTCGGATACATCACACCGTCTGTGTAAGCGGCTGGCCTCGTGGGGGAAATAAAACTTACTGCCCTCCCAGCTTTGATATAGATACGGTCGTCGCCGACGACCACGAGAGACATATTTCTTGTAGAACGATTGGATTTCTTTTTCTTTTTGCATCAGTTTCTGCAGTCGGGATTTGCCCTCGGATAGCCATTTTGGGTCGTGACGACGAGACCACCAGAATAGTGACCTCTGCTGTCGGGGGTACAGAGTAACCTGTGAGCGGAGGGTTTCAGATGTTGAGGGAATAGCTGGAGCCAGTAGCTGTTGGTAAGGCAATATCAGATGTTTGAGCGAGCGATGCCTCGAAGAAAGACTTGACGAAGCCATGTTAAGTTCAAGGGTGCACTGTATATCTGTTGTTAGGTCAAGCAACCACAACTCATTCAATTAAGGGTGCCCGTGAATTCCCACCGGGGAACTGGAACAGATCCGTCTCATTCTTGCCAAACAGTATAGTGTCCCCTCTGTCGTCAATGATATCACAACTACTAAATAGTCACCTTAAGTATGACGGAACCGCATTCCCCGCGTGACATCATCTGACCCAAGCTTATCTAATCCCCATTCCCCGCCGAATGGTTGCCCGCAACGACATTTCCATTTACTTGAGCCAGCCTAATGTCATATCAATTCAGGTATTTTAACTATATATTGCAATATTTCTCTCATGCCAATGCGAGTTCTGCCTGGCGTAATGGAAGAGAGCAGGTTATCACTTCCGTCATTATCTTCAACCCGAAATATTTGCGAGAGAAAGCGGCGTATTCAAAAGGAACAAACAACACATATTTAGTAACTCAGCCGACCGATCCCGGAAATCCTACCTCAGAAAAACAAATGCGAATGATCTCTCCAACATGCATGGAAACAGGTTTCGTCGCTGTATATGGAAAACAAAATGGAATCTTTAACTACATACATGGAAGAGTTAGAACCACACAACACAAAATATACAGACACAGGAACCATACTCCTATACCAGGTTCGGCATATCGGATATCTCCAATCTACTAGAACAGCGGCTCATATTCACCTTCCTGATCTGCAGCGAGCGCCTGAGCAAGTGAAGATCATGGGCAAGATCTAGTGGTTGTATTCCGGTCCCATCGTGGACCAGACGAATCCGAAGAGGCCGATGACTTCTAGAGGACCAGGGTAGGGGAGAAGCAGGGGACGTCTCCGGCTGTGCGTGAGCTATCACCTTCGCTCTTGCGCAATTTCCTCTGCCTTTCAATATCGGGTAGGAATATTGGATATGAGACGAGGTAGCCGATGATGATGATGGGATGAAGGTTAGACCAAGGGCGATGGTACCAAAGCCCCATTGGCTATATCCGAGGGCGAAAGCCTTGATCCATGTGAAGATAAGCGCGTCGGAGAAGCCGGAGAGGAGCGAGAGAAAGAGCACAATTGGTTCGCAGACAAGCATATGGAACAGTCGTATTCAAACGGTGAGAATCTCCTTGAAGTTTATTCGGTGTTTCTTTAGCTCGTTGGGTCCGTAAATACTTGGGTCTTCGCCTGCTTTGCGGCGACGCTTTGCTTCGCGATCCATAATGACTGTTGAGCGGGTTTCCCCCACGAGGAAGAAATGGGCCAGTTGCACAACTCCACCGAAAATTAGCTGGACCCAGAAGATCAACTGCCAGGAAAGGGAGTATTCGATAAAAGCGCCGAAGATGGGGCCGATAGCTGAGCCTGCAACGGAGGACAGGATGACATACGCGACCGCAAAGCCTTTGTCTTTTGGCTCCCACATATTGGTAGTCATGCCTAGTGTCACTGAGCCACCAGCCGACTCGTGGCTATGAGAGTTGTCAACAAGGTAAGTTAATCAATGAAGTATCATGTAAGCCGGAAAGGGGCAGGAATATTTGTGAGAGTAGGAAGAGAAGGCAAGATTGTGGTTTCAAGTGATTGCCCTATATAGTTACGTTATCAGCGGAGGAGACCTGACAATGGTATGGCAATTATCTATACCAAGGGAAGAACGGCGGTTTTTTTTACCTCCCGGGTCTTCTCAACACAAAGTAAAGCGCAGCTATCGTCGATGCTAAGAAGCCATTTTCATTGCTAGTCCTATGCAAAATGTTGCTATAAATAATATAAATAATCACTTGGCCTAATTCACAACATACTGAATAGTCGAAATTCTCATTCTATTCATTTATCCATCCATTCATCCCCCAAATCTATTTCATGATCTTGAAAACGAAATATCAAACAAACATCTGAGAAAAGGATGGGCGAGAGCCACCAACAACGCCCATCCTCTCAAAGCTATCCACATCAACGATATGATTACTCCAAAATCGCAATCCTTCAATCCCTTCCTCTCGACAGAGCACTCCCTGATCTTCAGCCATCTCCAGTTCTTCCGCAGCGACACCGACGCTCCATCCGAACCGCTCCGCGGCCTCTTGAGCTGTGACGCCTCTGCCATACATGCGCCAATCCCAAGAAAGAACCTCATCAGATGCAGGTGTAGCACGTAATTCTTCAAACCATGCCTGCAGTTGCCCAATGGTCTTCTCATCCGTCCAATCAAAACGCTGGACGACAAGAAGGCCGCTCTTGAACCGACGTAGGCGTACGGGAAGCTTCAGCTTCTCCCACAACTCGGCAGCCTTTTGGAAATCGGACGGGCTCACGAGTTCGACGCCATTGCGACTGCGATTGAACACAGCCCACAGGTCGATTAGACTCATGATACCGCCTTCGCGGTGGAGGATGCCTTTGCGATCATCTGTCAGGTACTCTGCGAGGTTGCGAGAGAGCTCACTGAGATATAGAGTTTCCGAACTGCCTCCCGGTCCTAGCATGTCCTTCGTAATAGTCATACCAAGGGCAGCAGCGGATTGTGATAGGACGGCGCTTGCTTCAGGTGAACTGCTGCCCTTTGACGCAAGGCCAGATTCCGCAGCAAAACTTTCAGCCAGCGCGACAATTTCCTTAGCTGATGCCATAAGCGCTTCCAGATCTTCGAAGGCACTGCCAAGGACAACTTGGTTGTTCTGTCGTGCCTCGAGGTCACGGCGCTCGAGCCCTGCAATCCCAACTGCAGGACGCAAGGAACGTTGGCCAAATACTTTGGAGTCGCTTCCTGGTACGGAAGATGCCGGGGGAGGGGTAGCCTTCGGGACCGGTGGGGCATCATGGAGAATCCATTTTCGCTGCACCAAGGCATTTCTTAGCCTTTCATGAAATATCTTCTCACCACCTCCGCGGAAGGACAATTTGACGCTCTCATACACTTCGGTGTTATCTAGGTTGGTTGTTCCAAACAATGGAGCTGGGGAGCCCGAACGATCTAGGTTTTGGACGGCAGCAGGGTGATCTAGTCTTTTGAGGGACGCGCCACATATTTCACACTCTAATAAGGAAGGGTGGTTTGCGAAGGTACATCTTGGGCAAGCAACCTCTGAATCGATTGACGAAGAAGGGAAATGGGAAGAGTTGACGGGGGATAACGAGGCCCCATTTCTTCCAGGTCTACTCGAACCACCTTGGTTTCCTTGTGGCGAAGTGAATGTCGAAGAAGTGCTCTGCGCTCCATTACTAGCTGCAGACGTAATTGCTGCTTTCAAAAGGGTGGTAAACGGAGGTTTTATACCGCAAGCCAGGCACGGTGGCTGCGTCATCGAGGCATTCGCAGTTGCAGGATCAAAATTCAAAGGTAGGGGGTTTGAATATGTACATATTGGGCAAACCCACGTTGCATTAGAAATTCTCGTGGCAGAAGCACTTTGTGAGTGAAACGGACTGCCACTCCTGACGAATGGTGAAGATGGGTTTCCTGGTGAGCTAGACTTTGGACCTTGAGGGGTGATCAACTCTCCGGTTGGGTTACGATTTTGACCACGGCCCCGTCTCGATGGCTTTGGGTATATCGTTATTTTGGGGGATGATTTCAAGAAACCAGCCTGTGAATTACTCACAAAGTCAGAGCTTGCGTACGATTTCAAACTACCAGCCGGATTTGGGAGATGCTCAGACCTGATATTCAACGCGATCTACATATTTCAACTCCATCGCAACTGAGTATTTTCGAGGCTGGTCATCGTCAACATAGCATATCCGATGCGATGTGAGATAGGCATGGCCGGACTGGTAATTCGGAATCTTGTACTTCCTGAATGCGGGGAATGGGGTTAGGTCGCTGCGCTATGCGTTCTGATTTTCAGTCACATTTCCAAACTTACCCTTCATACAACCCCACCTGATCTTTCACAAAGAGAAGAGTCTCATCTGGCAACAGTGACGGGCGGAGTGCAGTGGTCAGATCCAAGGCGTTGAAGAACATCTAGCCAGGCTGTATGAAGGACGGGGACATGTGCATCATTTTCAGAGCTCGCCAAATACAGTTACACCATTGTGTGACCGAATCGGAGACCGGTGAGAGTTCTCAATTGTAGTGAGGTTTGCTCCTGTCATCGTCATAATCATCATCATTCTCGAAGCTCCGGTTTTCGAGGCAAGGCCCTGAACCGAAGCAGGATTACTAAGCGAGCCGCAGGTGCAACCAGCCGCGTGCTGTTACCAGAAACAGCAAGCTAAGCGAATCCGCCTCACTTTGACCGCCGCTTCTTTTCCGGCCACCCTCATCCTCAACAACAACTCATCATCGCCACCGTAAGCCCTTCTCTATCTTTCGCTCTCTTCCACTTTTGAGAAAGGATTAAATATACACACGGCACCTTATAACTTTGTACTCCTTGACTTCCTTTCCCCCGTAGTTTTTTGATCGTCTGTCCCCCCCTCTGCATGCTTTTGTTGCGAGACCCTGGAGTTCTTTTGTCATGAGTACAGCTCCGCCACCATGGCGAGCAACTGCTGCGCCTGTTTATTCATCAAGCGGTAAGTCTACGGGTCTTGCTTATTGGATGCAATATATTGTGTTGTAGCTAATGAGGTACTATGTTCAAGTTTCTCCAGCGTACATTCCAGTGCAGGCGCGTCGTAGCCTCGCTCATCATACTTCTGAATCTACCACAGCCAAAACGGAGCCGAGAGAGTCGTCGTCGTCACCTAAAACAGCAGATTCTAAAACTGGGAAGTCAAAAATTGACTGGCCGCCAGCTGTTCGCCAGTATGTCCAACGCAGCTTCGTCCCCGAGTTCCAAATCGCGAGTGTGAGTCGGATGGAGATGGAGCAAAAACTCAAGCAAGTTATCACCGAAGCCGCAGAAAATGGTAACCTTTACAATGTTGATTGGGAGAACTTGCCGTTACCGCAACAAATGATTCAGAATGAGCGAAATAAGATTCTCACTTCCGCCCTTTCTGCTTCCTTGCCATCTTCATCCCCTACCAAATCACAAGATGTTCGCCAGCAGAAAGTAGAGAAGGCGAAGGAAGAAACTCCCAAGAAGAGGAAATCGTTAGAATTTAGCGCGGAGGAGGATGAGCCGGAAAATATCCCACCTTGGAGAAAGACTAACACACGCAATGATTTTGAAAACCGCATTAGTTACCCATCTACAGCTGATAAACGGCGACGGATAGATAGCAACAACCATAATTTCAACAGCAAGAATTCAAGTAAGTTACAAAATAACCTGGAGCTGCGGAAACGGCGCTTTGAGGATTCGCATTTGGGGTATCAATCTCCACAGACTGGTAGCTCTTCTCGCGATGAATCACCGGATGTGGGTTCAGGGCCAGTCATCGGACGTTGCCAAACGTTGGAAAAGAACTATTTCCGATTGACTTCAGCCCCCAATCCTGATACCGTTCGTCCTTTGCCAGTTCTGAAAAAGATGCTCGATTTATTGAAGAAAAAATGGCGTCTCGAGAATAACTACACCTATGTTTGCGATCAGTTCAAATCCATGCGCCAGGACTTGACCGTCCAGCACATAAAAAATGAGTTTACAGTGAATGTGTACGAGATACATGCCAGGATTGCTTTGGAAAAAGGGGACCTCGGTGAGTATAATCAATGCCAAACGCAACTGCGGGCATTGTATTCGCAAAATCTTGGAGGACATCCCATGGAGTTTATGGCATATCGCATCCTATATTTCATCCATACTCGCAACCGAACGGCCATCAACGACGCTTTGGCAGATCTAACCCCTGCAGATAAATTGGATCCCGCTGTGAAACATGCTCTGGATGTTCGATCAGCTTTAGCGTTGGGGAATTACCATAAATTCTTTCAACTTTATCTGGACACGCCGAATATGGGTGCTTATCTCATGGACATGTTTGTTGACCGGGAGCGCCTTGCAGCACTTGCATGTATTTGTAAAGTGTGAGTAATTCCGTTGTTCTCGCCACATGAAAATTTATACTAACCTAATTATTACAATTAGGTATAAACCTGAGGTGAAGATAAGATTTATTACTGAAGAACTTGGTTTTGAGTCCGATGAACAGGCTGCCCGATTTATATTAGACCATGCCCCAGAGAATTTGCTCCAGGAAAAGCCTGATGGGGTTAAGCTCCTTACCGGAAAAGCCGGTCAGGTTTTCGAAGTAGCCAAAGCGGAAGCTCACAAGGTAGTCGACATAAAGGGGCAGATCTAGTCAACCCGTTCGATCCCTCCCAAAACAAGCTTTTTCCGTTGAACTGGATCCTGCCACTCTCTTCAACTTTGATTCTTGTCTCGCATATTTCGTCCTAGGCCGTATCCCGAGCGATACATCGGCCGAATCCTCATATTTCTTTTCTTCCTTAATCTTGCTGCTTATTCCCTCCATGAATTTTCTTTTTCTTTCACTCTTCTTTTTTCCCTTCAATCTTACTCTTATCTCTCGAACCACAAATCCATCCGTCGTACATAAATGCTCAATCGAAGCCTACCTATGGATTATCGCCATATTATGATCTCTCTTTTCCCCATCCTTTTTCTTCCTTCGCAATCGACCGGTTACACATTCGGGATACGCGGCCTTGCGGAATCTTTTCCCCCGTTTTCGTTGTGTGTTTCCACCGGGCAATAGCCATTTTTGGTACCGAAAATAACCCTTGAATTAAATCCTAGCCGTTTCTGCATTCGGATTTTTCGTCATGAGATTTTTTATTGGGGTTGGGTATATGAGATGCATGGGGTGGATGGTTTGTTATTAACTCTGCTTCTCCGGTGGGCTCTCTGGCGCCTACTTTTCAGGTGGGAGCCTTGGATTCGCCGCCTTCATTTCTGCTTATGTTTCCCCGTCCATTTTTATGGAGATCTTCATTTATATAAATATAAATATTATTATATTATATAATTATATATATATGTATGTATATGTATAAATATAGAAGAATCTATAAACATTTCAAGTATGCCGCTCGTGCCGTTTTAATTAAGCAAATTCGCCATAGCATCGATGTTGGCGCTATCATATTAGCCAGGCCAGCCAGCAGCAGCAGTTGAACACCCGACGCAAGTCAAACTCAGCCTTATTACGAACAACTCTGATACCCAACAACTATGATACCCTCGAACCCGTCCACACCATCATCTCGAATCTGCAGCCCAAGCCTCACACGAACATTCCATGTATCTGAATGCGTTATTGGTTACCGACATCCTCTACGCCACACCGGGAGGCACATCTCCCGTCTATACATGTCGTCCGCTTTACAGTGTCTTGACGCTACTCATTCGGGCTGGGATGGCATGAATTAGGCGGTGGGGACAACCCTACTCACGTTGGTTTCCTGCCTAGAACTAACTATGTTGGTAGTTGGCAGTTGGTATTTGGGAGTTGGATTTGGATTTGGATTTGGATAAATGGTGTTGGTATTTTTTTTATAACTACACGTCACGCGGCGCAGTTTGGGAACACGGTGCATGCGGGCAAGCGGGCAAGCGAGAACACCCAGAAGCGTTTACTGAACTAATACAAGAACGATTTCCCATCCACCTGGAAATGGTACTGTGCCTGTGCTGTCATGTGAAAGTTTTTTTTTCCCGTCTGCCACGCCTGAAGACGGTTTGTGCAGCGGCACTGCCGTATAATACTTACGAAAGCGCAGGTCGGAAACAGCGCAGGAAAAACAGTAGGTCATACCACGTTCGAGAGGCGCTGCCACTTTCGACCACTAGACGAATTGTTGTGGAGGTTTTGTGAGTTCTCCTCGAGACGGAACGTTCCAAGTCGCTGCGTTTGATGGTGGAACAAGAACCACGTTGCGGACCAGATCCTCATGGATAGCTGTCCAGCTAGCTAGCCAGCCAGCCCCACCACCTGCTGTGCCGCTCGCGAGGGCAGAGATACTCAAATGTCCACCGCCGTGTTTCCGGTCATTTTCGAATCGATAGGAGGAGTCAATCATGATGTATGTAGTAGCTGCCTCGTGGCTTGTGCGGGGTCTGGTTGAATTTTCTGGCGACATTATAGCGAGTTTGCGTCAGGCTACAACGAGGTGAGGGATTGCATGGCGCCATCTGTCGGATGAACAGCAATATCTACATGTGCAGTATATGTCCAGGACATGTTTGGAGATGTGCTGATTAACCTACTCTATAGTACTAGAGTGACGACGGTGACGGATAGCGCAAGCATGCATTAGCTAAGAGCATTTGATGTGAAATGTGTAGAGGAGCTATTTAAGATGTAGCAAGCAGGCAGCTGGGATGAAGGATCTACTCTGTCCTTATTATCCGGGGGGAAGTCCTTCCAAGCACTGGAACTCAAATAAATCCCATTCTTTACGCAAGTAGGTCCTTGATGCGTACGGGTGATTTAACCGCCAGCTTTTAGGAGAGTGTCAACCAACCGATATGAAACATAATTTCTAGCTTGTTTAGTATCAAAACGATCAAGGCACAGATTATGACATGTCCATGAACAATTTTCAATGATTACTTGGAGGCTTCATTGTAGTCCCTAAGGGACCTGTTTCTGGGGAATAGCAGTAGTTTGCTTCTTCATTTTTTCAGCGAGCTAAAATACTAGTGATGGAAGCAAGATTTTTTGTTTTTCCATCTTTTTCTCCCCACAGTTTAATGGTATATAAGATCTATAGATACCTTCACCTCAAAGAAAATTCAAAATAAAAAATTAGAAAGAATAACTTCTCTGAATCCTCTCCCGGTCTGCAAGTCTGCATATTAACTATGATTTATGATTATTATGATTATGACTGGTCGTTTTCCCTCTCAGTCGCAAGGGTTTCCAACGCATCCATGTTCCATGTTTAGCAGGAATTGATTATGATTTATTGAGATCGACATTATTTTCGTCAAATCCACCGAGTCGATGGAGCTGCAGCCCTTGTCGGTGTCTTCGTATACGCGGCGTTCGCACATTTGAAACCGTTCTGATTTAGTCAATAAATATCTCGTCGTTACTTTTATTTAGAGCGCCGGGCGATAGTTATTTACATGGCTCCATCCATCTATTTTGTAATCCTGTGTAGAGTATGACGTGCTCAGTTTTAAAGTTATTCAGCTGTATGAACTTGAAGCAAGGGATCGAGTATTCATTCAGATAAACTAAAAGGTGCGAGTACGAGCGCATGGTACGGAGCACAGCAAGTCACAATCCGTGGCACTGTTCTTCAACACACCTTCCCACAATCTTACGATGTAAAATGTGCCCCACATTTCTGGACATGTACTGTGCGACTCGAATTCGCTCGCTTATTGCTGCATGCATGATCAGGGCAGGAAGTTCGCGGGCGATTTGGATGTGTATAGTTTTGTTTTTGTCCTTTCTTGAAGAATTGAGATGAAAAAGGTTTCTGTTCCAAAAAAAAAAAAGAAGAAGAGAGACTTACAAACGAAGATTGACCAACGCTGTAAACCTCCTTCCAAGCAGAAGAAGGCGTAGCGTAGCGGCTGCGGATGTTGGGCTTAACCCTCTTGTTCGCACACACGCAGTGCATTATTCGTTAGCATGGGGGTTCTAGCTGCACTCGATGATGTCACACAGAAACAGGTATGCCTTGACCACAAAAGAGAGAGAGAGGGGAAATCATGCGAAAGAATGCGGATTTTACGTGAATCATCCATGGATGCCCAAAGGTTGGCACGGGGGAGCAGTCTGTGACAATCGCCACCACGGAAAGCAAGAGGGTGGCAATTGGGTGCACCCCAACGGCTCAGGTTCAAGTCATGCCGAGCTAAGGAAACGGGAGTGCTGAGTGCGAACTCTCCGCTGACAGGAAGGGAGTAGAGGTTTCGCGTCCCGACTGTGTCTGGATGTATCTGGCTTGTAACTAACTAATGCCTTAAGCAGCCGCTTCACAGTAAGCCAAGGGCCAGCCCAGAGCCTCCGAAAAAAGTACAGCGCCAGAGCGTATTTCGTCGCAATCTTCCGTCTATTCTTCTGAAGATCGAGTCTCTTGCCGCGCGCATATATAATAGCTCAGAAGGGAGCATGTTTGATGGCCAGGCATTCGCCCCCAATCTTGCTTTTCTCTTTCTTGCGTCGAGGCGTTTTTGAGCCCAAGGTTATGAGGCTTGAGGACTTAATTAAAATTAAAAATATCCAGAACTGGTTCTTCAGAAGCGATTTATACACTCACGACATGTAAGGACTGACCTGGGCATATAATTTATCAATTGATTGATGCAGAGATCAGTATGTTCAGAATTTCTTACTATGAAATCCAACAAGCTCCTATACACCAATGGGTTAGTACAGCCTGTTACAAGTAGAGAGGTAGACATCGATATAAGAGATGAAAGCGACATACATAAAAAGTCTGTCTCCGATAGTTAGTAGCCGTTTCTACTGTGTACGAGAGTGTGAGCGTACTGCTCCAGGTTGTCGCTCTTCCAAAGCCCAAAAGGGGGTGGCCGCTGAAGAAGGCTCTGCACGCTTCTTCGCACACAATCTCACCCGCGACTCCGCTCCGCTTGCGACAGCGACAACCGACTTCTCGCCAACCTCCACACAAGCAAGCTGCAACACTAAGCCACAGCTGCTTGATCTGAGCCTGATTATTTAAATAGTTACCACGTTCACTCACTAGCCTCTTCTGTTAATCGACGATTTGACTCTGCTTCTCCACCTGCCTAGCGAGCCATCTTATCAGCTTATAATACTACCTCGACGACGGCGACGACCACAGACAACGAAAACGACAACGGCAACGGTAGTTAACGACTTCGACGACCAACACCAACCAACTCGCATTCCCTACGCCTAACGCATCCTCATCCTGCGTACCACCTCTCCTCTCCAGCGGCGTCGATTGCCTGGATCTTACCCCCTTAGCCGTATTACGATCTTTCCACCGTGTTTCATCGTCCCGCGCGTGGCCGTGCGGCCTTTGGGACCCAGCAACCCCACAAGGCTTGTGGGTGGCGTTATCTTTTCGCGATAGAGTCACCTGGCGAACAAAATAGACGAAGAAGAGATAGATCTCGCGAACAGGTCGACAGAGTGGGAGGAGGACAGAGACAGACACGACAACAATATTTGACGGTTGGACGAGTTTTACGTCGAATAAGCCCTGTTTTTCACGATAGAGTCTTACAGTGTCTGTCGACGATCAGCCCGTCGTATCTAGAATATTCCCCTTTCACTGTCAGGAAAGGGAGCTAAACACATCCCTCCTCTTTTGATCGCAGTCTTACCCAGCTGGAACTCATCCCGGTGCTTTTCTTGTCCATTGGCATCATTACCGTCCAATTTTTTTTAACCCGTTCTCCAGGTCCCTACTCCTAGAGTTACCACTATTGTTGCAACGGGATCACCATTCTCTGTCGTCCGCTCCCTTTTTCCTCCCTCCCATTCTCCCTTTCTCGTCAAGAGATAGATAGGAGTTATCCCTATCAGTCAAGATAATAGTAGAACTAGAAACCCGCTTAACCCTCCCCTCCACCCCTGAACGAAAGGAGCCAAGAGGGACACAGAGACAGAGAAAGTGAGAGAGGAGCGAGAGAGATTTATTTCCATTCTGGCTTGTCCACCAAAATGAAGGTATGTCACTCGAAACCCCACTATCCCGGCCTCCTTTGCGACGTTAAATAATAATGGAGGTCGATTTGCGCCGCGCCTCCTTGTCTTTGGCTATTTATCCTGCCATCGCTTGTGGTCGGGCTAACGAATCCTGCTCTGGCTAACGTTAAAAATCTGTTCTTTCTCGACAAACAGGCCATCCGGCGCTCACTCAAGGGCGAAAAAGAACCAAAGCCACAACATATCTCCATTACCCCAAAGTCTGCAATTGCCATTCTCCCGCCAAAAAAGGTGAGTCACTCAAGCTTAATTTCTTTTGGTTAAAAACATCACGAAAATTCCCTTATTTTATACCTATGTGCATATATGTATTTACTTTTAAATCCCTCTCCATGCGTCATTATTTTGTTTTCGACTGTGGTCCAACCAAACTCGACAAGGAATTTATGCATGATGTGGGCTCGAAATTAACAAACGCCACTAACATGAAACCAAACTTTGGTGGCTATTCCAACATCTAGGTTATCAAAGCCCTGTATGACCACAGGCCCGAACCCGGGAATACGCAGGAGCTGGCCTTCAGCAAGGGTGATTTTTTCCATGTCATAAGCAGAGAGGACGACACCGACTGGTACGAGGCGTGCAACCCTCTGATCCCAAGTGCGCGGGGTCTTGTTCCTGTCTCATTTTTCGAGGTTATTGGCAAAAACGAGCGTAACAGTGGTGGGTCTGCGGGGAGCCCCGAAGAATACCAACAAGAATTGCACGACTCTGGTTTTTCGGATCGCAGTCCACAACACGTCCGGTCGGATTCGACGAATACCACCAAACAAGCCGCTCTCGCCAGGATGTCCGCCATTGGGAAGGGCTCTGGCGCCATGGTGTACGGCATTGTGCAGTATGATTTCACTGCGGAACGCCCGGACGAACTCGACGCAAAGGCCGGTGAAGCCATTATCGTGATTGCTCAATCTAATCCGGAGTGGTTTGTTGCAAAACCTATCGGTCGCCTGGGCGGCCCAGGGTTGATCCCCGTTTCGTTCATTGAGATTAGGGATATGACAACAGGCAAGGCTGTGATGGACCCACACGAGGCTGTTCAACGAGCTGGTGTCCCTCGAGTCGAGGAGTGGAAGAAGATGACGGCGGAATATAAGAATAGTTCCATCACCCTAGGGAAATTGGAGGGTGCAGCGCAGGGAGCCGCGGCGGCGTCATCGGGAGACATGAATAGAACGACTATGAACGGCAGTGACCCTGTAAGTGTGCGATTGAAGAGCTGTAGCGGTGGCGGATGTTAAGACTCCATCAAAGCCCTGTACCGTCCATTATGACTGACCATTTTATCCCTCCTATTGGGGGTATTGATGAATAATAGTACCTACAACAGAGCCACAATTCAGGGGCATATTCAACTAATCAACAACAATACCAGAACCAACCATACCGACAATCCGCCCAGCAGAGCCCACAACAGTCGCAGACATTTTATCCCGCGGCGCTGGCACCGGTTTCCGCATGCATCCCCCGATACCAATACGATCACGACAAATACTGGTATATTATTAGGGCTAAAATGGAGGATGGCCGGTATTGGGAGTTGTCGAGATACTATCACGATTTCTACGACTTCCAGATTGCACTCCTAAGAGAATTTGAAGAGGAGGCTGGCAACCGGGGGAAGCCGCGGACTTTGCCATTTATGCCAGGCCCCGTCACCCATGTCACGGATGTGATTTCCAGTGGCCGACGACAGAACCTGGATGAATATATCAAAAAGTTATTGTCGATGCCACCTCACATCTCGCGCTGCCAACTTGTCCGCCAACTCTTCGCGCCGCGACCCGGGGATATCGAAATATTCCCGAATTCCTCGGACGAGTACAGACTCTCCGGCGGCTCTCGGCGGTCATCAGGCCAAGACCCTTCCCAGCCAGAATCACCGCATTCTTCAAGAGGCCATATGAACACTGGCGGCTATCCGACCGGCTCGATGGGCCCACCAATGTCACAACGCCAACCGCAAGCGCAATCGCACCTCCAACAAGGACGTGTTCCGTCACAATCACAGTCGAACGGTAGCGGCAACGGCAGCGTTAGCCTCAGCCGCGCCGAGCTGCAGAATCAGATGATGAACCGGCAACCCAGCGCGATGACACAGACCTCCTCCTCCGCAAATTCAAGCGCGGGTGCGATCAAGATCAAGGTCTTTTTCCAAGACGACCTGATCGCCATCCGCGTGCCGAGTGATATCAACTACGCGCAGCTGCGAGAGAAGCTGAAGGGCCGGCTGAAGCTGGGCGACGACATAATATTGCAGTATAAGGATGAACCGAGCAATGGGTTTGTGGAGCTGTTAAGTGATAACGATCTGGATACGGCGCTGCAGCGCAATGCGAAGCTTACGCTGTATGTTGGGCTCGCATAAGAGATTGAGAGGGAGGGCTACGGGGAGGGGTTGGGGCGCGGATGAGACTAATATGCTGGGATATTCGGGGAGAATAAGTAATTTATATATATGTATGTGGTTCTGTCTCTCCCCTCCCCTCCTGTCGGTCCCTCCATCCGGATCACCACGGTGATGGTTTCTATGATCACTTATTTCTTCGTTTCATTTATCTTGTTTCGTCAACTTTTTTCCCTCAGTTTTTCTGACGGGCAACTGAGACATTGTTGCTTGGATCTATTTTAAACGGCCCCCTTTCTTCGTCTTCTTCCCCTTATTTTCCTTTTTTTTTTCCTTTTCTTTTATATATGACCCTCCTTCCGATCTATATCACCAGCCTTCTCTTTATTTATGTATTTCTTTTGTTTGTTTTGCTTATTTAACGTGCCCCATTGCAATACCAGGATATGTATGAATCGGCGGGATGGATTTGATTGAATGTATGGCAAAATCCCCTATCCACCGACGTGCCCTTGCGGAAAGGACTGTGATGATATATGTATGCCGTTCGAAGGGCGAAAATCAAATCTCCTATATATACATTCTACCTATATTTTACTTTGAATTTTGCTTTAGGTTTATTGTCTCTTGCGTTTCTCCTAACCCGTTCTTCTCTTCGCTTCTCAATCATTTCTTCCGATAGTATGCTTCGTCGCTATCCGTTATCTCTCGTTCCTTAAGCCTCCCCCTCTTCTCCCCTTCTCCGACTAGCAATACGTATGTGCTCTACGCCTCTCTTCCCTAGCTTTTTTAAAGTTTGTTCTATTGCCCCCTTGATGTCCCTTTTTTATTTACGTGGATACTCGCTTATTATTATTTTATCGTCTTTTGCTCTTAACTTTTTTTGTTGTTGTTGTTTGTTTGTTTTTTGATACCGCCCTCTATATATTGTAAAAATTGTGAAGCAGATACTTGTGGGTAAAACTCTTCTCATGAATCGTAATAAATAAATAATACATATATATAAATATATATATCATGTCCAGAATCTTGATTGCAGCCTCTATAATATATATGATCTTTTGCGAATGATATAGAGCCACTGCCCTCTTCGGTTGGTGGTGGTAGATGACATTACGTCATCTAGCTAATCCATTCACCAACCCAGAACGAACATCCACAACACCACAACACAATCAACCTCCTTTCAGAGCCTGTTCCAGCAGAGAGATTTTCAAATCGAGCACTTATCAAGCAGTTCCTAGATACCCAATTCTCAGTTTTCCTTCTGTTACGAGATCTAGCTTTGAAACTTCCCTCTCCATTTTTTCTGTCACTCATCCGCGATACTTTTTTCTTCCTATCTGGTATGGAAATGGAGGAGGATCGTGTTGCTGATCGGCTGGACGAGGCCTTCAACATTCAATCTCAGGAGCGGGCCGATCTCTTGTCTGAACTTAGAGACGCAGTTGGACAGGATGCTGTCAAGGCAGCGATGTGGGCATGTCTGCAGGTATGCGATATCTCGAAGTTACGCGAACTTGTGGGGTACGCGCGAGGCTGCCCTTCCACATTCGCCCTCCTTGAATACCCCTCTCTATCCATACCTTTACATTGGATGCAACGACCTCTTCGTGATCGGGCAACATCATTGACAACCTCAAACTCTCCGGCCACTCCATCTGATGGCACCTTGCGTCGAAGCAATCGACTCAAAAAACCTGTAAAACTCGCAAAAGAACGCGATGGATACAAGTGTGTTCTCACAAATATAACTTTATGTGAGGCGGCACATATCTTTCCGCACTGCATGATCAACGAGACACCGCCGCAGACTAGCCTTGCTGCTGCAGTCCCCCCATTTTGGAAGCTCCTCCATTTCTTTTTTGAGCCGGACCGGTTGAATCGATGGCGCGCAGAAATATTCAAAGACCCTTCCAATCCAACCCAGACTGCCGATGGCTGTCATAACATGATCTGCCTAAGTCCCATTGCACACGAAATGTGGTCAAGAGGCCAATTCGCGCTGCGACCAGTTTCCATGTCTGACGACTGCAAGGAACTTACTGTTAAATTTTATTGGCAGCCTAAGCCGCCCCATGACCGTTTTGCTTCTGTAAACATCCAAATGGCCCCCAATTCATCCAGAGATCTTGTTCAAGTCAATGGAAGCCAACTAGCAATATTCAACAATACGGACTCTCAACCAGCCATCAAGTCTGGCGATACCTTTATCTTTCGGACTACCAACCCGGACACCCACCCCCTCCCGAGTTTTGAATTACTCGATATGCAATGGTGTCTTCAGCGAATTGTATCGATGTCTGGTGCAGCGGGCGTCTATGATGAGGAAGATGACGACGATGACAACGATGATGACAGTAAATGGCATAAGGGGGTCGTCCACAAGTCCATCTCGGAGTGGGACATTTATTCGTGGGTGCCTCCCCCACCGTCTGACTCAGCTTCTTCTGAGGGAGATGAGCTAGATTCATCGACTACTTCATCTATTTCACCTACCTCGTCCCCTCTGAAGCCCCTAGCGCCCCAGGGAAAAAATTTGTCTGTTGAGACACGTGGAGCTGAGCCAACTGTTTCTTGTGATGCACTTCATGAGCTTGCAACAGTGTGATTTTTTTTTTCACTATTATTTATTTGTTTATCTTTTATTCGCTATTTTTTTTTTTTTTTTTCAAAGTCAAACATTCAGCTATCAAGTGTGTTGTGAAAACCCCTTTTAATAACAGATAATCACCATTTGGTTGCCCAGTGCTTTGCCCTGTGGCCCCAATCCCTTTGCCCCAGTCAGTTAATAATTGTTGTCTTACTTCTTCAAAACTTACATTGTAAATTATTGTATCATAGCCGATTCCCTGTTTATCCAGGGTTATTCTGTATTTTAAGATGAAAGTATAACACAACTAGCAACCATGCAACCATACAACATTAAAAGCCTTCGCCTCAACTTCTCCCTAGTTCGGCAGCCATTCTAGCGTTTGTACTGTACATTCTCATTCATTGCCAAAAGGCGGAATTAGGTAAACCTTCGTAGTTGTCATCAAAGGGCCGTTGGGATCACTCTCATTGACCCCGTCGATCATTCCCTTCTCTTCCCAGCCTGCCCCCGCTCTAGAAGTAAATGTTCAGGTGAAATACGCTGTAGACTGAAAGATGACTAGCATGTAAACTACAAGTATTAGTCGAATGAAACTGAAAAATAATAATAATAATAATAATAATAATAATAATAATAAATAAAATAAAGTGTGCAATTGCTGAAACCTGTTCAACTTCGAATTCTACATGATTGAGATCGAGGATTGAAATTCCATTTCGCAACTTTGCGCCCCCTTGCAGAAACTGTTGGAGGTCTGAGCAGGTGTACAGATGTTGGAGGTATGTTTAAGCACGATGATAGAAATGCACTCGCAATGAGCAAATTCTGTGTGGGAATCTCTACCTCGGCTCACTCAAAGCAACAGATATTGGTTCGAGCAAAGTGGTATCCCGGCTACACGGTATATTCAAGTATGGGTATGGGGTGGGGGATGGTTGGAAATATACAAATTCCCGCCATCTCCCTTTCCTCTTCTCCTTTAGTTCTTGGACTTGAATGCTGCGCAGATATATATATATGTGTGTGTATATGTCGAAACATAGAGTTCCGTCGTCAGCGTTGTTGCGTCTGTTCGTATCAAACATCCCAATAGAAGTCGCAATCTAGTTAGGAGCGCATATTAACTGATGACTACCAGGTTTCTTGGACTGGAGTAGCACATTCGGTCTGCCGAAGAACCAGAAATTGGTATTTCGTACATTCACGATGGCGGTACAACTTCCACAGCTTCCAGATGTCGAGAGGTTGAGCGACAGGGTAATCCGGATCCTGGGTGGAAATCCGGGAAAGGTACTGTAGATATTACTATTATTTATATTGATTCACCCCTTTTTGTTATCTGTTTTTCTTCTCTCCTGGGAGAGTTATTCAAGATGCTAGGATAAGGATTAGCCGCTCGAACTGTTTCGCTAGGTGCTCTTAGGCATCTCCCATAGAAATCCAGAAAACATCCGAGAATTTGTTATCTTGATTTTTCTTCACGTCTTCATCTATGCCATGAAGCGGCCTGTTGTTAGAGTCGGTTCCCTCACTAACCATCCAACGAAAAAAAACATCCTTATGACAGTTTACTCTTCAAGGTAACCATCCCACTGCCCCTTTTCCCAAGTATGATTGTTAATGACTGACCGGATGCAGGAACCAATACATACCTCATCGGTCAATGCCATGAGCGTATCCTCATCGACACAGGGGAAGGTCGTCCAAGCTGGACCGAAAACCTCAAGGCTGCCCTGAAAAATGAAAACGCCACAATAAAAACCGTCCTCTTGACACACTGGCACCGTGATCACGTTGGGGGTGTGCCCGACCTGCTCAAGATCTGCCCCGACGCAAAGATACACAAGAGCCAGCCTGATGCAGAGGGCCAGTTTGATATCGAGGATGGGCAGATATTTCAAGTCGACGGCGCAACGTTGCGAGCGTATAGCACACCTGGCCACACGAAAGATCACATGGTATTCAGGCTCTGCGAGGAGGATGCGTTGTTTACAGGGGACAGTATGCTTTACTTTCATTTTTTTTTTTTCCACCTCCTTTTGTTTCATCCCAATATTTTAATCATCGTTTCCGCATACTCACATGTCACCCTTCTGCTTACCCGCCCAGACATCCTCGGGCATGGCACCTCCGTCTTCGAAGATCTAGAGGTCTACCTCTCGACCCTCGAAAAGATGAAGTACTATTTCTCCGGCCGCGCCTACCCGGGCCATGGAGCTGTGATCGCGGATGGAAGCTTGAAGATAAACGAGTACATCAAGCACCGACAACAGCGGGAGGATGAAGTGCTGCAAGTGTTGGTGTACGGTAGTTTAACGGCTGAGAGAGACGGTCCGTCATCGCCGGTTAACGGGGATGAACTTCGACGCTGGACGCCGATGGAACTGGTGAAAGTTATCTATCGTGATGTCCCGGTGACTTTACATGTCCCGGCTTCGCAGGGGGTGTTTCAGATTTTGAAGAAGTTGGAGTGGGAAGGGAAGGTTGTGACGGGAGAGAATGACGGGGAAGACCGGTTTATGATCGTTCTGTGATATATATATGTATCCTTGTAGTTTTTTCCCGGCGCTTCTATGCTCATATGATTTACTTGCTTGATTTCTTTCTTTTTATTTGAAGAGTTGTATATGAATCATTACGATAAAATCGGAAAAATACAAGCCTTCATATTATGAAGATTGCAGTGAGGCCATATTTGAGGCCATATTATTTAGTTACAACAGAAAATATATTACCATTATTACTACTATGGAAAAAACAGGCAGAGTTCCCAAAGCTCCTACATTTCACTTAGTGGATGCAACTCCTGGTCCCCAAGCATCCGGCCACCAGTATCTATTCTCACATGTAAGTACGGTTGGCATTGCCCGTTTACGAGCCCCTAGCTCGAATCACTTGACGAAGAATTCCGCCTTCCTGAATGTCGTTTAATCTGTAAAGCTGGCGGAATATGTATTTCTTGTGGTGGCTGTGGTGGTGGTGTATGCATTGTCAGGGGCGCAACAACGACGTTAACAGGTTTCCGCCCGGGTGTGCTCGTCACGCTGGATGGCGGCGTATTTACGGGAGGCTGTTGATGGACCCCGGGCCCACCAGCACCATAACCTGCGTGAATATCGGCGGTCATATTCAGTGCCATACTCGGCGTCATAGCATTAGGGACTACGTTCGGGTTCATATTCGGAGCCATGTGATGCGCCGTGTTTACGGCCATATTCGGATCTGCGACGGGGGTCATGTAATGAGTTGTATTCGGAACCATGTTTGAGGGGCCATTTTGAGGAACGACTTGCTGATAGGTGGGTGAGCTTATTCGAATGGGAGGCTGTTGTTGTGGCTGTTGCTGCCATGGGAGCTGCTGGTTTGCCTGAGGAGGCGGCGAGTGGGAGAAATTAGGTACTTGTCCCGGTTGCTGCTGTTGATATTCAATATTTCCTTGGGATGGGTGATGCTGATTCTGATGATGTTGCTGCTGCTGCTGAAGTTCCTCGTGGTATTGTAGTTGCTCGATCCCTTGGGGATGATGGGGTTCGGGATATATTTGCTGATCCGGTTGGGGCGGCTGCGGGAACTGGGGTAACAGCTGTTGCGGGGTTTCCGCAAACCCCTGGGTTTGCTGAGGTTGCAATTGCCGTGGGCCATATGAATAATTCAAGGAGTCAGGCGGCGGAAATTGCTGTCCATGCGATGGTTTCCGACGTGGATGCTGCTGGAGTCCACCTGGGAGGGGAGTCGATGGTGTCGTCGTAACCGTCGGTTTGGGTACTGGAACTGACATCTCCATTGGCGGGGGCTGAGCAGGCTGTTGGCTAACATACGTCGCACGCGAAGGACTACGTCGCGGGGGAGGTGCGATAGGTTGCTCCAAGCATAGCGCACACCAGCCATCCTTGCCGCGCAGGGCTTCAGAGATGCCTACAGTCAAAACACATATAGTCACTCTAATCGCAACGGCGAACCGTTTTGTGGAGCAGCCGTAGCAGAGCTCGTCGCAGATGACGGCGCGGGGAGTGGTATATTCATCGTTGGTGTAAGGTTGCTGGTGCTGGTCTTGGTACGCCATGGCAGAGGACTCCTCTAGGAAACAGAAAAGCAAAACAATATAGAAAAGTATAAGGCAGACAGCAGGCCCTGAAGATGTTTGACAGGAAACGTCGCGACGTACTCCGTATCAAGGAGCAAATTCCCAACTAAATATTTTCCAGGTCAACGAAAGGTGGAAAGGGCCTCATTGAGGTATTGGGAATCATGGTCAATGCGCCGCACAAGAGCAACGAAATAACTGCCGAGCATCTGGGGCTTTATCAATCAACCCTCAAGCCCAAGCTCGAAGGCTGTCTGCGGACGAACAGGTCTCAAAAACCACAGCTCTCTTGAGCCTCACCGCAGAGTGGGTGAGGCTTACACAGCTTACGTGAAGAGGAAGGCATGTGGCCAGCCGCCAAAAACGCCATATCGTCGCTCATTCGTTTGGCTTTCAGCCAGAGTTGAAACTGGGTCGAATCATGCAATAGTGCATTCCGCAACAGAGGAAGATTCCCTGCATTGTCGACAATGGATCCAGCATTTGAAAAGCCATTGCATTTTTCTGTCGTTGAGCCACTCGGTAGATGAAGTCGCCTGACTGGCTTGGGGCCGTTGGGACTGAACCTTTCCGGGAGCTGGCGCTTGCTTGGCGGTGGTTCTGTGGCAATCTGGGCCTGCGCCTTCAGCAAATAACAGGGAGATATCGTCCAACGATCAACCCACCAAGTTTGATATGAGAGGCTCGGAGTCAGCCCAGAGTGGATGGCTATAAATAAATCGGAAGCTCAAGATATTGACAAAGTTGAACATGGTCCATGCTCCCAATTTTCGAACAGAAAACGATTCTCCAAAACCACCATCCATAGATTTACTCAACACCTAGCACATCACCTGTTAAGTGTAGTTAGTGGGTGGGGGGTATGTATGCTTTTCCTGCATGAACAGGAGTGCCTCGTTATGCTTCTTAGAGGTGGCGAATATTCACAACCCATAGAGCTGACTCGGCAACAGGTGTCCTTAGAAATCATAAACATCTCACTGGACGACATTATGAGCAAAAAGCGTGTATCCTTAGGAGCCTGTTCACGCGAACTTTACTAATTCGCGGCATCAGCAGAATTGTTGGAGGTATTCATTCATGATCTTGTCATGGATTGGGGTTGGAGGTTGGATACCAACAGCGGGCCATAAACAGACTAGCGTTGCTTTAGCGTTGCTTATATAAAAGCTTATCTTGACGCGCACAGCCTCCCCCTCGATGCAAGCCACTCGGGAGCCCCTTTTGTGGTCAGAAATCTGGATCGGGTTAGTTCACAGCGGGCCGGTGTGGCTAAGATTGCTGAGATAATACACCCTAGCACGTGACATTATGGCCTCCGCTCCGCAGATATCAATCACAATGGCAAAACATCTTCTACTATCTATCTATGCTGCTGTCAAGCCCTCTCTCACCTATCTCATTAGCCGTGCCTATCGCTCTGACATCTTCGATATTCTCCCCCCCCTCCCTCCCATCCACTGTTACCTTCGTTCTGTGGTATTACATAGACTTACGTGGTTCATTTTTCTCTGAAGTTACCTTGCCGATTGCCGAACCTGGTCCCTCTTTCGATGCATGCGCGCGGGTTGCCTGTTTGCATGCCATTTACATACCGTAAAGTTGCATATCCAAATACCCATCGACAACTGTTGCGAAAACACGGAATCTGTTCTGCGTATAGAAATTATTTCTATTCGGTTGAATCTCGCGAAGAAGCGAGTTGGGCTATATCCTCGTGACCCTGTCAATATCTTTCGTTCTTGATTCTAAATGTCTATTTTCGGAACGGTAACCGATGTACTGTAAGAGCAGGGGAGAAAGGAAAACATATATATACATACTCTGGAAGAAGGGATAAAAGACAGAAAATGCGCACCCCACTCCGCGCTTTCCATCACGCCCTTCTCGCAGAAGCCATCTTGTTCTCGCGCATTCGATTGCCCGCGGTTACTCCCCTGGTTGTGCGTCGGCAGTACGGTGGTGCCGTCTGTGCAGATTGTCGGAGGAGCATGAGGGATGGGCGGAGAGCTGGTGAAGCTCTCGTCCTTGCGTCTCTGCAAAAAGCACAGGGATCTACAACGGCGCTGTCAAAAGTTCTTTGTCGGAGTGGCCGAAGACACCGACAGCAACAGCAGGTTAGAGTGATTTCTAGCGCTCGGGCTGATTCTGCTGGGGTTTTAGATGGAGCATCAGGCATCTCTGCGGCGAATACTAGTGGACAAGAGCTTTACGGACCAATTCAAGAGTATGAGACGCGCGTGCAGTCGGGGAAATTGAGGGATGATGCGCATCAGCGAGGTAATACATATATATATACATGCGTATTTCCATTTCTGCATTTTCCACGTCCGTTCTTGTGTTTTATCTCTACATCTGTGCGAAGTACCTTCATTAACGACTATCATATTTTGTTTACCCGTTTTCTCGTTCCGTAGAGATCGTCCAGCATCTCCAAGACCTCCACGAGATGCTTCGCTCCTACATTCCACCAACTGTAGTCCATCCAACTCTCGAGTCCCTCCAAGACCCAGAACCGAAAACCTCTTTCTTCAACACCCTATTCAGCCGAAAGCCGTCCCCGCCAACTACGACACAGATCCCAGCTAACCTACCTAAGGGCTTGTATATGCACGGCGACGTAGGTTGCGGCAAAACAATGCTGATGGACCTATTCTTCGATACGCTGCCAGCAAATATCACATCACGTCAGCGCATCCACTTTCATAATTTCATGCAAGACGTGCATAAGCGCCTGCATGTAATGAAGATGAAGCATGGAGTTGAGTTTGATGCGGTACCGTTTGTTGCGGCCGACATTGCGGAAGGGGCGAGTGTGCTATGTTTTGATGAGTTTCAGTGCACGGATGTAGCAGATGCGATGATTCTGAGGAGGTGGGAGACGCTTTTTTTTTTTTTTTTTTTTTTTCTATGGCATTTTTGCTCTCCATCCGTTGCCACTTCATGTTCATCGATGCATAAAATAAAAGTATTGACGGTTTAATCAGGCTCCTTGAATCCCTCATGTCCCACGGCGTCATCCTCGTCACAACCTCCAACCGCCACCCAGACGACTTGTACAAAAACGGCATCCAGCGCGAATCCTTCATCCCCTGCATCACCCTCCTAAAAACCTCCTTAACAGTCCTTAACCTCGACTCCGCCACGGACTACCGAAAAATCCCTCGTCCGCCGTCAGGGGTGTACTACCACCCGCTCGGCATGCCGGCTGATCGTCACGCGGACAAATGGTTCGAGTACCTGGGTGACTTCGTCAATGACCCACCACACCACGCCGTGCACCAGGTGTGGGGACGTGATATCGAGGTGCCGTTGGCGAGTGGCAAGGCTGCGCGGTTTACGTTTGACCAGCTGATTAACCGGGCAACAGGGGCAGCGGATTATCTTGAGCTGATGCGGAGTTACGAATCGTTTATTGTAACAGATGTACCTGGGATGACGATCGAGCAGCGGGATTTGGCGAGGCGATTTATCACGTTTATTGATGCGGTTTATGAGAGCCGGGTGCGTTGATTATATCTGCCTTGTGCCATAAAGTATCTATGACACTTCTCGCTTTTCGCTAACACGAGAAATTTTCCATGTAGGCAAAACTCGTCCTCACCACGGCTGTCCCGCTAACGAATCTCTTCCTCTCCGAAGAAGAACTTCAGGAATCGATCGCTGAAAGTGATAAATCATCAGCGTCGTCATCGACATCGTCATCATCCAAAAACGTTAACAACAGCCAGGATGAAGTACCTGAAAACCTCCCAGACTCCATGCGACATCTCATGGATGATCTGGGCCTGTCCATGTCCGCGCTGAAATCCAGCTCCATTTTCAGTGGCGACGAGGAACGCTTTGCCTTTGCGCGAGCGTTGTCGCGGCTTGCTGAGATGGAGGGGAAGGATTGGGTGGAACGCGGGTTGGGGATTGGAATGGATACGAGAATGGGAGAGGTGGAAAAGACTGCGTGGAATAAGGCTCGGAGTCGGTGGAGGGAGGATAGTATGTGAGTTCATTTTCCGTTTTAGAGGCTGGGGCAAGGTATATAGATTATACATGTTTGGGCTTTATTTTATTTTATTTTATTTATTTATTTATTTTTTTACATTTTACGTTTTCCTTTCTTCTTTTCATTTTGAGGGGAAGGTACCCAGATATATTATAATATTCATTGTGTTTTGCCCACGCATTGTACTGATAGATCTATCCATTTTCGTGAGAGGTGAGTTGGTTTGAGGCCGGTGATACTGATGATTGAAATAACATCCGAGTTCTATATTATCATTGTTGATTCTATGATAATACAAGATTGTTTTTGTTGGTTCCACCTTATACCCCGCGAACCCCTTTATCATTCTCTTCCTTCTTTTGCTGTTCCCATCTACCTTTGTCAAGGGAGCGAAAGGTCTGAGTAACACATTGTCCTACCCAACAATGGGTACAAATACACCAGTGCTATTCTTGCTTTATCCATTTCTTCTTCTTCTTATCTCCACTCGATCCTTCAAGCTCCGTCACACTCTCTTCCCAATCAAGCTCAAGCTCAAGTTCAAGTACAAGGGAGGGTCTTACCGTGCCAGCATCCCTCACACCGTGGACAATATGAGGGTACAAACCCCACGTCTCTCATGTTCATATATACTCCCTTTGCACCGGGTACCTCCCGCTGGCATCGACTACTCCTCCACCTATCCAGCCTTTCTCTTCCTAATCGCCTGTGCCCGAAATTTTTCATCTAGGAATTTCCCTGATGCCTTCGATATATCAAAGCGCGTTCACTCTCTTTCAAGGAAGCCACATGCGGTATGACATTGAAAGGGGCCCCTTTCCAATCCGCTGGACATCCGGCCCACAGGAAGTGGAGCGGCAAATTTGCTCTTTCTACAACACCTTGTTGTGAAAGTCAAGGGTTAATTTTTCCTTGGGCTTATTGCGAAGGGCAGCCGATACTTCCCAGACCTACCTGCATACGGGGAAGCAAAGGGACTGTCACTTGATATTGGGCTTCGGGGAGTTTGACACGGCTCAGAGCGTGTAGCAGTATTCTCCCTTCTCCTAAAAGGCCATTCGCGAAGGGCAAAGGGAAGTACCTGCGCATCTACCTCTTGAATTGTGAAGGGAAATGGACAACTTCCATGGCCGTGAATCAGTGACCTCACAGGTTTTAATCAACTAGGTGTCAGCTATAAAAGCTGCATTCTTTCCTGAGTCCTTGGTTTTCTTTTCTTTCCCATCAAACTTTTCGCCGTTCATACTCATTTGTCTTCCTCTACACTACCACTACCACACTATGACTCTCGAAGCAAGCCTGCAGATATCTTCATAAAAACTTCTCAAGCAACCAAATTCTACCTCGCACACTGCACTTAATAGCTGTCGACCCGACCCGTCTCCAAATACGCGCTACCAACCCATCCGACTCAAACCACCCGTGGTATCCATAACATACCCCGAACCATTAAAGCCTATTTAAGTCTCCCCGACACTATCCGGGATCCCCCGCTCCATCCAAAATCCACCTCGACTACCCCCGGAGTTGCATTCGTACCACAGACACACAACCGCCATGTGTCTCGTTGAAACAGTCTACGGCGGCTGCGGCCATAAAATCGGTGGAGAAATTGAGCCCTGCTCAAAGGCAGTGTACCCAAACCCATGCGATAACGCGACCACGGGAGAAAAGAGATTGGAAATCATGTGTTCCGGATGCCGCAGGTATTATGGCTGCGATGTAAAACCGAAACCGAAGAGCGCGGAGGCTCATAGTGAACCTAAGGAAGGCGAGAGCAAGGAGAGCAAGTGAGCAGCTAGGCTCTATTTTTTGGGGGAGATCTTCATGCAATACAGATTGTGTTATTATGTGTGAAGTCTAGGAGCAGAAGGACCGATGGGGTAAATTGATACAAACAATTGGTTTGATGTGATATGGTTTTGCATTGATGGTATGCCCTGCTTTGCCTTGTTGAACAGGTTTCCCTTGATATGCTGTGAAGTCTGGCTTACCATGGTACTGTTACGTGGTCTACATCTATCTATCCTTGAATATATTTTGTTTTTTATTTAAGCGGGGACTGAGAGAATGAAATTGGTATAAAAACCTTGCTCGACTCGTTCAAATTGCCCAATTAGCATAAACTGCCCTGCTTGCCATTTTGTGAACGATGAAGTCCAGTACTTCCACGCCAGCCACATGTGTGTGCAGCCCCTATTAATTAATATACAAGTACCTCCTGTAGAATGCCCATGTATGTACGCAGAAGTTGATGATAAGAAGCGCATTAGCAAAAGCAGGCAATCTTTGTAGCTGCTTGGAAAGGCTGATGATCAAGTTTCTCCGCATAATTTTGATGTGGATTGAACTAGTTATAGGTGGGTCGGGTTACAGTGTGTTTGAACCCAATCCTCACAATAACCTGGTTATATGCAGAGGTGCAGTCACTCAGCCATCAATGCCACTGCATATAACCTGATTATTGCTGGTGTGTATTCAATTTCATGTTTATATATACAGAATACTTGTATTTAGTAAGAGAAATACTATTAAATTCAGATATATGTGACTTTGTATATAGAAAGTTATATAATCACTAGCTAAATAATCTGCTTAACTTCACTTCTACTAAAAAGCTATTGATTTTAGATACTGTGTAGAAATACAAATCAACTGTCTGAGTATTATATATAGTTTATACAATTAAATTTAACTCTATAATAATAATATATATATATCTATAATAATAATAAAGAAATAAAGATCAAAGAGAGATAGAATAGAATAGAATAGAAAAATGAAAGCTTTATATATACTCTATTCAATAAGAATAAGATTATTCTGTATATTAGATTGAGTATTATAATTTATATCATCTACTGCTGATGCTTGTAGCTATAATAACTGTTTATTATAAAAATTATTATATATATTAGATTAATTTACAGAGCTGTGAAGAGAGCAGTATACTATATAATTATATTATTTATAGTTAATATATACTTTTTTAAAATAACTATACACACAGCAGTACAATGAAAACAGTTTAAATTTAGAGAATATATAATACTGTATACAGTCTGTAATAAAAGTTCTATTATAAAATTGAATCAGAATAATATTTATATATAATAAATAATAGAATAATACTTGATCAGCTCTGATATATATATAAATATATAATATATTAAAATTAGAAATAGTAAACAGAATATAGAATTGAAAATTATAATAAAATATATTCAACTGAGAATTACTGATATATATTATATTATACTTTAATTATTTCTATCACTCATTTTAATATTCAGTAGCTAAATGATATAAATTAATCAACTCAGTCTAAATTAGATTTCATTGAATAATAATAAAATTATATAAAATAAAAGTTTTTATATTATAATTAGCTTTCTATACTGTATAGTAGAGAAGCAGAGAAGTATTTATATTATTTATAAAAAAGAAAGAAAAAAAAAGACACTGTTGAAGAGTAGAAAAAAGCTGATTTTTTTTTTTATAAAAAAAAAATTGAAAATCTTCTCTGACTATATATACAAATCTCTATCAGTATTTTTTTTTTTTAATATAATGAAATAAATATTTTATCCAGTATATAGAATGAAAAAAAAACAGAGTGAATAATAAATAAATAATTTTAATAAATTTTAATAAAAGAATAATAAATTCTGATATAAAAAAAATTATATATATCAGTGAATAATAATAAAAAAGTTGAAAAAAAAAGAAAAAAAATTAAAAGAAAAGATAGAGAAAGAGAGAATTTTACAATCAATTTATTATTATTATTATTATAAATAAAAGAGAAAAGCAAAAATATTTTATATATAAAAGAGAAAAAAAAGAAAGAGAAAATATTTACTTTTATAAATTCTACTGAGATAGTCTGTATATATAAATAAATAAATACTCAAGATTAAAAAATATATAATATAATATAATTAATATATATAGATTATCTTTTTACTCTTCTGAGAAAAACAAAGAGTTTATTCAGATTTATTTTTAATTATATATATATCAATTTAAACTTTTTTATAATCTCTAAAACAGATCTTGATTTTATTATATAATAATAACTGAATATCTTATTAATAATTATCTTTTATTAGAAAAAAAATATATATTTACTATTCTTCTTTCTTCAGCTAGATTTATATAATAACTTCAGATACTATATAGAAAGCTATTTATTCAATTTCTATTTTTATTTTTTTCAGAGATTATTAATTGATTGAATTGTATAGAAAAGCTGATATATTTAAATATTATTTTCAGTTAATAATACTATAGTAGAAGTGATAATAATAGCAGCAGCAGTTAATAAAAAGAAGAATAAAAATATAAATATAAAAATAAAAAGAATTTTAATAGTATTTTTCTATATATAGATAGAAATAGAGATAGACTGAAAGATTCAGAATTCAGTTGTTATTATATTAATTTCATATTAAATTTTATTAATTTTTTTCTTTATTTATATATCTCTGATTTTTATTTAATTTATTATTATATTAATCTGTCTCTGTATAATACTCAGACTTTTAGAAATTTATAATACTAACTATTGAAATATTATTTTTTATAGAGAAATAAAAACTGATTCTATAGTTTATACAGTATCTATAAACTATTTATACTCTGTATATTGAAATATTAAATCAATTTATAGTAAATAAATTGAAAATTCTTTCTGAAAAAAAGCAGAGTTCTGTAGTATTATTGTATAAAAATAATTTAACAGTTATAAAAATCTCTAAGCTGTAAAATTATCTGAGTTAAATAAACTTCTACTATTAAACTGCTTTAGATTTATATCAGAAATCTCAGAAGAAATAATATAAAAAAATCTATTTTTAGAATAAAATTAAATAAATTATTTATTCATCTATAATCAGAAAGATTTTTTCAACAGCTCTGATAAAATAATTATAGTTTATAAAAAATAATAATTATTTAATAAATTAAAATTAAACTCTATAATTTTCTATATAAACTTCTGATTAATCTGACTGAAATAGCAGCTGATTAAAGAGTTATTATTTCATTATTCAGTTTTATAAATATTGTTTTTATTTATTTTATTAAACTCTATCTTCTATACATCTGTAAATTATTCAGTATGAGTTTTTTTTATTATCTCTGATATATCTATATATATAAAAAACTTGTTTATCTATTTAAAATAAATTCTGTAGAAGATCTGCTTATATAGATTCTCACTTTTAAATAAGTAAATATTATATTAAAGTTGATAATAATGAAACTGAAATAGAGACTTTTATATAATATTTTATCTATAGAATAGATAGAATATAATCTGTGATATTAAATAAAAAATATAATTTTTATATTATATAACAGTTGAATATTCAAATCTGTTGTTCTAATTTATTTTATTATTATTTATAATCTGAATAAAAAATCAGCAGAGTATTGATTTTTTATTTAATAGTTTAATTATAAATAGATTAATTAATTATATCTTTTATCTGAATTATTTTTTCAGTAGTATATAATAATTTATAAAAAAGTCAGCTGCTGTATAGAGAAGAGACTTAACTATATATTTTTTATTTCTCTGTTATTTTTTTTAGTATTGATATATAAAATTTATTATATTCAGCTCAGTATAGCTATTTATCAGAGTATTTATATCTTTATTTATAAACTTTATATATCTCTATATATACTTTATAGATCTGTGAGTTTTTAATATATTATTTAAAATCTAATCAACTGAATAAGAATAAAAGTTCTTCTATTTACTTTACTATATATAATATAAATTAATAAAAGTTATTTGATACTATTTAATCAGATTCTTTTTTATTATCTATATAATTTTTTCTTTTTCAGTATTTATATACTTTTTTTTAAGATGATTCTCTCTAAGTAAATAATTGAGAATTTTTTTATTAAAAAATTAGATTATCTTCTACTCAGAGATAATCTGATTATCTGAAAACTTTTTTTTATTATATTATTTCTATTATACAGATAATAAAGATTGAATAGTAGTAAGAAATTAGTCTATCAAATTTCATCTTTTTTTATATATAGAAATAAAGAAAAAATAGAAATAAAATAAATCTATATATTATTATTTATTTATTTTATTTCTCTGTATATATTATCTATATATTTTTTAATCTGTTTTATTTACTGATTCTCAGTATATTCTCTTTCTGTACTGTTATCTCTATAATAAAATTATATTATAGCTGTTTCTGTATAGTAACTGCTTCAATAACAGTATCAACAGCAGAGATTATTATCAGTCTTTCTCACTTATACAAAGATATAAGAGTTTCAAAATAGATAAATAAGAATAAGAATAGTTAAGAATAGAAATCAATACAAAAGCAGAGAGAGAAGAATATAGTAGTAAGATAATAATTATTAAATATACATTCAGAAAGAAGCTGATACAGTCATCATATATAATATTACAGAAAAGTTATCTCTTTTATATAATCAAAGAAGATAGCTCACTATATGAAACATGTATGGGTTATTTGAAGGCCTTGGCTGAACACCATAGAAACATGTGTTCAAACACAGGCAAATCCACCTTCATATAACCACTAGTTATTTTATGTAGTTAACTAACCTTAACCCCTTTTTCTTTCCCTTGTATTTTAGATCCTCAACCACCAAGCGATGCACTGTATGTACTAAGTAAGCCCTTTCCGCGCGATAAACCGGCGATACTGTTTGAGTGATATCTACCACAGCTCCATGATCGATTGATTGATTGGTTACAATTAAAAGTCCTATTGGCGTTCTTCAACCAATTTTTAAAACAGTAACCCAGATACGTATTTAGCAGCTGCAGTTTTGCCCCTTCCCAGAAATTATGTATTACATCATGCTGAATGAAAGGAAGAAAAAAAAAAGAGAAAAATTAAAGAGGAAGAAGGGGGAGAGGGTCATTCACACATGAGAGATACAAATCCAAACTGACAAAATCCATTAAGTTAATCAAAGAGTAAAACAACAACAATAAACAAGAAGGGGGAAAAAAAAAATTCAAATAAATAACCCTATGGATATCAATGAACATTTCTTCTTCAATCAATACATATAAAGATGGTTATGTGCTGCGTAGCCATAAAAAACATAAAAACATCATCACATATACAAAACAAAAAGGGATTTAGAGGTTTTTGGTGGGAAGACGAAGGAGATGATTTCAAAAGTGTCGAAACACAACCACACAAACAAGCATACATACATACATACATACATCAACAGATAAAAAGGCCATCATTAATATAAATATTCCAACAAGGAAATCCCAGGCCATTAGGACATCATCAGGGATAAAAACATAAAAAAAAACCTAGATATAAAACAGGAGATCCAACCGTTTCAAAAGCAAAAAGGGGAATCTTAAAATACTCATCTCCAGAACCTCAACTTCCCAGCTGTCCTCTTCACCGTCCAGCCAGCCTCACTCGCCCAATCACTGACCGCCTCTCCAACACTCCTCCCGGGAGATGTCCTCCCAACAGAGCTTCCAGTTCCACTGGACCCAGTCCCCATAGTTCCACCACTACCCACACCCCCTAAAAATCCACCATACCCATAACCCGTACCCCCCGCCGCATCAAACTTCATCTTCCCCTCCATGACCTGATGAACAAGATTCAGCATTGCAAACGCCCCGGACCCCAACGCTCGAAATAGCGCTAGCCCAGCCACGCTCCACAGCACAAAGGCCAGGTACCCGTTACTGCCCGCAGATTTCTCAGTGAAGGACTCTGATACAGCCATGGCGAGAATCGCATTTGCGATAACCCAGACTGACACCATGTACGTGCGCACCGCGCGGTAGTAGTCTTCCTGCATCTGAGCATCCGATGGCTCTGGCAATGGTACCTCGAGCCTATCGCGCAGGTTACGTAGCGCCTCGTCGTAGCCGCTATCGATATCTAACTGTTCTGACGGCATTTCAAGCTCTACAGTGGAGGAGCCGGTGATGCGTGCTGCGCCGAGGTCGGTGTGGATGCTGTTGTCACCCTTGGTACCCCATGTGACGTCATGGGTGTTGCAGAAGGCGTAGACCTGTAAGGTGCAGATGTAGCTTGGCAGCAAGGCGAAGTACTGCGCGGACGAGGTGAACATGTGCCAGGGATCTAGGTAGAGGAAAGACATGAAAAAATATAAGCCGATGGTTGAGAGGGTGGAGACGATGATGTTGGTGAAGGTGTTGTTGCCCAGTTTCAGGCGCTCTTCCATCGGTTTCTTGCTGAGCTTTAACTGTGTGACCACCATGTATAAGGCGGAAAAGACTGTGTATATCATTATTATACAGTAAACGACCATGCCGGACATGAACATTTTCTTGGCTCTAAATGTAAGGTTGTTTGTTAGCTACGCGACTAATAATGGCAATGCGTAGAACGGCGGGAATAAGCCACATACCCTTGAGGCCGATTACCCATTGACAAAATGAATTGCAGGCAAATAAGCAGTACGCAGGCATATCGTAATATTACAAATATATATTTCCCGATATTATGCCCGAATGGGTCATTGGTAGGGTCAGACAAGGCACCGCCGATGAAGTAGAAAGTGAGATAGAAATTCGCCTACATGTATGTCGAAGGACGTCAATCTCTGTTTGGTTCACTCAGAAGAAAGTATCCGGGACATGTTGATCACTTACCAAAGAAAAGAAAGTAAAGACCAAAGAAACAAACTGATACAGAAATTCGATGTGCAATAGAATCTTCCTCGCAATGGTATGGTCCGTCCGCCAAATCTGGCGGAAATGTATAAGCGAATACACGGCCGCGAAAAAAGCGCCATTGAGCCATCGTCGCCGTTGAGAGATGAACTCAGGAACGGAATCTACATGAGAAAATATGAGTTAAAAATGTACAGAAAATAGAAGAAAATGGTGTCAACTGTCAACAAAGTAGATAAAAGAAAAAAAAGAGAGAAAAAGAAAACAAAACTTACCCGGAACGTCTGTCTCCCCAACCGCACTCTTCACGAACTTCAAAACCCATCTTTCCTCTCGCTTAGCCACCAACTCCCAACACAAAATCCGATCTTCGGCGAGGTACATGTTGGCAGTAAACACATCTGCATTCTTGCCATGAAGCATCTCTCCCTTGAAATACTGGCTCAATGGCCCGTGCCCCGTGCTGTCGTTTTGCAAAGCATGGTATCGATACGCGCTCAACGCGCCTGGGAGCACCGTAATATATCCAAAAACAGACTCGAGCGGTTTATCCAGGATATTCGACATCTTATACTCGAAATTCTGAGAAGCGACGAGCGGGTTAAACAAACCCAGCCACCCTTTGCCCTTGCCAGCTTTAATCTCCCCGGCAGCTCCCGCGACATTTGAGTCTTGATCGAACGCTTTCCAGAGATGGTAAAGAGCGGTGGGCGCCGGCTTAGTCCCGACATCAAGAAGGATGCAGACATTGGGAGTCAAGGCGCGCCCGAAAGCGTTGAAGAACCATCGATGCGAATTGAGTTTCTTCTCATTGCGCTCCTTCAGACAGAAAATGATCTGACACGGCATTATCCCCTTCTCTGCACCTTTAAATTTAAGATCCGGGTCCAGAGATACTTGAGTGGTGTATTCATACACATGGGCATTGACCGGTTTCTGATTCACGATATTTTTGGCTATCCCATCCTGGTAGACGCCCATGGCCGCAAGAGCATTCAATGTGCGCGGATGTACCTTTTGTCTGCCATCAGCAATGATGCAGACCACAATTTTCTGCCAACCGTCTTTCCCCCAGGTTCGAGATTTAGTCCGAGAACAAAAGTGGGTGATGTTTCGCATGATACCATGCATGGTACGCGTGAAATGAATCTCATTTTCATTGTACATCGTCACGCACACGAACAACTCCGTTTCACGCATTGTGCTCCCAATGTTTTGTCGTAACTTATACCCCCGAACCGTGAAATCATCCGGATCGCAGGTGACGGCCGTATATCTCATATGGGTGAATTCGCGGTCGTCTCGGCGAGGAAGAAAGCTGTGTAATATTGTGGGGATTTTGCATTCCAAAATAAGTTCTCCGTTGATAAGCCTAACTTCCTTCTTCGTCATCTGCGCCTTGCGAACCCCTCTACGCTCCTGACGCCCAGTTGGCGCTGGGCCATAATGTACATTCAACTTTGCCTCCTCGTCCTCGTCATCGTCCAAGTCAGCTTTACTCATCATGTCTTTTTCATCGGTAACAACTGTAGAGTCTGTGAGATACGTTTCGAACGACTGAACACTTGAACGGGCGTCGTTTATTCGCGTTCTCCGTCCCCCAACAAAAGGGTCATCCCCATCATCGTCATCCCCTCCATCGGCAATATCAATACTCGTTTCGCCAGCAGAGGACGCTGGTGGCCCAGTGAACAACGGGGCTGGGGGTAGCGGCCGCCTTGGGCTCCCACCATACCTGGAACTGGGAGTTCCAGGTCTAGGACTGCCGTTAATTTCTGCAGGTTCGTAATTCACACTGGATACAGACGGGGGAGCACGTGCCCGTGAACGTTCCGGGCCCTTCGAAGGAGTCCAGGGACGTGTTGGTGAACTTGATCGAGCGGGGAGATGGGGGCCGTCTATGACAGAATCAGATGGCAGCATACTGGGCGCTTGGCCGAGACTAGATGACGGGTGGGAGAGAGGGATGGAGGAAGCTGAGGCGGATTGTTGATGAAGTGGATGATATCGATGTGGCGAGGGCGGAGCCATGGAAATAGGGCTTCTAATGTGCACATTGTCAGTTAAAGCATCCGATTTAGATTGTTCACGGCCAGAAAAGTCCTGGGTCTCTAGTCGATTCTCCAGAGGTGAGAGTGTAATTGACTTGGTAAGGAAATCCTGGCGTTTCGGTAACATATGGGCTGCGGGCTTAGGAGAGCTAAGACGGAGAGGCTTAGGAACTATATCCCAAGACCGTGGTTTTCCGCAACGTGGAGAGTTTATCCATCCTGGGGTGCTTTGAGTGGGAGAACTTTCCTCCTCGATGGCCATGTCCTTCCAGGTGACGCGCAATTGTTTCTTGCTTTTGGGGGGAATTGTTGGAAGATCTAAGGCTTCACCAGCAGAAGCCATTGGGGCTTCACGGAACGTAGGGGTTGGGCCTGGTGGAACGGTGCAATCATCCTGGTCTGGTTGAACAGTATCTTCCGGCTTTTTTGCCATTGCGGAGTGTCCCTTCACTGGGGTAGAAACTGGGGGACGAGTATTGAAAAAAGGGGAATTATTTCCCTGATCTACATACTGTTGACGTGAAGGTGTGTTCTGGGACCTTCTGAATCTGCCCTCACTTCCTAAATCGGATGCATCATCCCCGCTCGCCAAAATTTCTCCGCCAGACGGCAAAAGTCTCACGGACGAGGGATTGCTGCGCACAAGCGCAGGTGTCGAAGCTGGCGCATCCTCACCGCTAGCATCGAGGATGGATGACTCGTCGGGTAACGCATACGATGGGGGGTTTTCATCGTATGTCGGCGGTGCGGCGCGGCTGTGGTGGTAGACGAACGAATCCATTGCTCCCCCTCAATATTTGCGCGCAGTGCTGGCTGGAATTTTCTGGCTGGGTTTTCGGGTTAAATTGGGGACTAAAACCTTCGTCGCAAGACACGGGAGCATTCGTATTTAGTCAGGTAAAACGCTATGTTATGACGTTCATATATATTCTATACAGTCAGGTGCGATCTGCTGAGAGAGGGTTATCTTAGCTATCGAGCTTAACTTTGAAATCGGTGCAACTATAGACTCGTCGCAAACGGATTCAACCGGGCTAATTTGAGCACCAACAAGTCAGAAACAAGGAGGCGAAGAGATACCAGAAAGTAATCGCGATTAATCTGAAAATCGCATTAGACAATGGCGGGGTGTAAACAGATCCGTGCTTGTGAAGTTTACCGTTAGAGAGTCAGAAACGTCACTCGAAAGCATCAATGAGGGAGTGATTCGCAATCTCAACAGAATGTCCCGGGCTTTTATCTAACGACACAAAAGCCCGATCGAAGAGTGACCGCGTGCAAATGGAAGAGATAGGCGGCGGAGAGTGGTACAGGGAGGACAGTGGACGAAGAGGAGGAACATATCACGTGCTTTTGTTTGTAAACCCGCCATTGCTGTGGCAACCGTGGGTACAACGGATAATCTTAGCGCGGGAAATCCAGCAACAAATAAATGCTACTCATTTAAAAAAGGCAAGATATTACCACACAATTGATCCTCATGATGAAGAATATTAAAATATCTTAGTTCATAACTATATAATTATATTGGAAGCTGACCATGAATATAGAAGGCCTGGTAATTCCTCTGATTGTCGAGCGCGATCAGAGCTTCTATGTAGCAAGCGATTATTCTACCTACAAGTGTGAGGGGTTGATAACAGTGTGAAGAGTGAATAGTAGGGAATAGTAGAAAGGAGTAAATATTAGATAGTAGCGTAGTGGTTAGGAGATAATCGCTAGCGAGGGAAAGAGAAGGGAAAGAAGATGTGCGAAGTACGGTCCATACATGCGGATAGATAACATAGAAATAGTGGTAGCGAGAACATAGTAAGAAAAGGAAAGAATAAACGAAGACAAATTATGATATATAAGGAAATAATAAACGATAATAAGCAAGTGCATTACAACAAGATAATTCTATTGCAAATGAATACTACTACCAAGAGCAAGTCATCTATAAATCACACTTCCCAAAGAAGTTTACTCCATCATGAACACAATGGTGACAATGTGGATCTTGAGCTTCACAGTCAGGATGTCTATAGCAACCCAGTCGACTGCAATCATCTAGACGAGGTGCGAGTACATTAGCTAGTTGGTCCACATTTGGTGATACCGCCGAAGCACCGAGTGACATAGAATTTTTCAAGGGCTCTGGAGACCAGATCTGTGCCTCGTCAATCATGGAGCTATCAGCATTTTCCCACAGTGCAATCAGATTCTCCTCATCCTTGGAGTAGCGTTTAGCAAGTGATTTTAGCTCAGCAGAATCAAGTCTCGCATAATCAATAACATTATTGTCTTTATCATAAGATCTCAAAATCCCGTCATTGCCGATGTGGAATAGTCCATTGGGATCAGTTCGAAGATTATTTACAAGCTGCTGCAAATCGCGTGCCGCAGGCTGATGTTCTTTCTTAAAGATTTAAGATAGGAATTAGCACCATTAATCAGTAGAAGCGAAGAAATATTACTCACCGACGATTCTAGAGCTGTCACAGAAAGAATGACATTTATGCAAGCACTAGCGATCAGGTAGACAAAGCACTGCATGATTGTATAGCAGTAAGTTCTGATTAAAGTTGAATTTTTTCAATCAATTTAGTGTGGAGTTAATATATAGTTATATAAAAAGAACTGCAGGGCGTATTTTGAGTCCAGCCTGGCTATTTCAAAGTTCCAGTTTTCCGGGCAAATCTCTGCTCGATCTTAAAAACTGTCAGGGAGAAGAATGGTTGGCCGGGCTGTGTTTGCTAGCGGGCCGCGGGGACCCGGTTTCTCATTGAAGCAAAACATTGAACGTCGGGTAAGAAATAATTTTCTAACCATCATGGTAGTTGGTTAGAACTTGATAGAGATAAACTCCCCTTCTATCTTCTATAAGATCTTGCAACCCTATGATATTGTAAATATACCTGTACTTAAACATATGTTAATTATCAGTTATTTAGAAGAATATCTACTATGTAGTTGATAGCCCCTGCTATTGAACTGTCCATCATTATTCGGTGTTGGACATTAGTTTACTAACCACGTTTAACTTTCACTATTCCAACCGCCTCAGGAACGGGCAAAACGTCCACTTCTCCTTAGTGACTGGAGCGGATATTAGAAAGCGCTTCCAAGGTTGCGTTCCAGACTTTCAGACCCACCCCCGTGGTTTGCTGATCATATAACGTAACTGACATCATACCGATAGTTAACTAAAGGTTCCGTCAGTCAGTAAATTGTTAGTACTCCAGGAGCATGAATAGCAGATACCATTGAAAAGCTAGAGTTACATAGATAGAGGGAGCTTCTGGATTGAGGATCCAACTTGATAATACTCCGTTAGTATTGTTGGTATTGTTGTCGAAAAAATTACGTGTGAGCTAACTAGCCACGTTGAGTGAGTTTGCCCGGTGGCAGTGGCTGAAATAACGAGCGCAAGCGAGCGATTGCGGCCGAATAATCTTAACCCAGAATTGAATCCAAGCCCACTAGGGACCTTGCTCGTTAGATTTACGGATACATGGGAATAGGAATAGGAATAGGAATATCTTAAGCACTGAAGAAAACTCTGACCCTTTGTATTGGAAGTTGTATCTTAGCTATCATATCAGCGTGGCACCAAGTTAACTCATATGTGAGACTTCAGGGCATAACATTGTAAACTTATATATAACTATTGTAATTTGGGGAAATCTCATTCTTACCGCGTGGTCCAAGTTCAATTTTCTAACTCAGATGCCGATTTTAGGTAATGAGTTAGTTATAGCACACCACTGGCCACATGACTCATTTGTTGGCCCAAGTTCAATATCAAGCATATGATCTTTAACGAATGCTTAGTTAGTAGTAATGAAAATGTTGTGAATTATATATATACTTGTATTTATTTTTGGATTTATTTTATTTTATTTTTTTTTTTTGTAAATTTCAGAAAAATTTTGATAAAGTGGTAGTGGTGTGTGTAGTCCCGTACAGAGTAATTATCTCTGGGGCATGTTGAAGAATTGAACCAACTGTCCACTCACTCAGTCCTTTCGAATCTTAAAAAAGAAAAATGATTTCAACGAAAACCATCAACCCAATCCAGACAATATGTCTACTCAAGAGGTTGAAATCGGCGATACCTTTCCTGCAATAATTCATTTTTTCCCTGATTATCCCAGTTTATTGACGGAATCAAACTGCGCATGAGACCTCTTCTAGGGGTGGGTTTGGAAGATGTGTCCAGGTTACATGGTTTGTTTCGTTCAAGCATCAACCGGGGTCCTTGGATCTTAGTAGTATTATTCCTCCTCTCTCTTCTCGTCCAACAGCTCCAGGCTTTGATCGAACCCAATTACTTACCGGCGGATAATCAATCACCTTAATTCCACGCCAGTTGTTGTTCCAACCTTCACAAGAAAGAGATGGCTGTTTTATTTACATGTATCTTGTGTGAGTTTGGTGCATACACAGTACACAGCTTTACATACAAAATGCCTGGTTGTTCAATGTAGATCTCAAAGTCTATCAGTGATCATTATCACCATATATTCAGATCCTCAAGACATCATCTAAATCATACAAGATGCCACTCTTCTGTCGAGATTGGACGGGAATCGGCTGCAAGTACCACCTCCATGTCTGGTTATATAACAGTGGAAATATACAGAATGTGGCTCAGTGAGTCTATCAACCGCAAGAAGCAGGTGAATGAAAGAGCCACATTGTAGATGATCTTCAAGAGAATACAAGCAGCAAGATTCTCTTCTTGGATCATCCATCATTGGAGACTCTAGCCATTTTTAACTCTGTCCCCTCGTAGGTTATGCACTAAGTTAAACTTACTAAAAATTAGACAATTCTTGGCCGGGGTAAGTTAGAGCATCCAACCCCGGCCCGAAACTTTTCTGGATAGGCACGGGGTCATCATCGCGCCGTTTCGAGAGGATCGTGGAAGGGATCCCCCCCAGAGCCATCCTTCGTCGAGCCAACAAGAACGCGGGATGATGGTCACGGTGTCGCTCAGCGATGCTTGGGGAAGACTTGGGGTGCGGGGGTTTGTGGGGTTGTGCAGCGCATTGGTGGAACCATCCCGTTACGCCATCGACGGTGCATGCTGGCGGTGATTGGATGGCAGATGGGAGGGAGCTTGGTGGTTGGCACTGGTTGGACAGGGTGGAGAGGGCGAACGCGCGCTGACGGTTGGGCTGTGGAGGACCAAGGCGGGCTAGCTGGCATGGTGCAGGATGGGCTTACTCTTCGTCCTCCTCGTTGTTGGACGCGGCAAGTACAGGTACATATACATGCATACACATCTCCAGTGCGTGTGCTATACATGGTTGGGAGGAGAACGAAAAGGTACCGCTACCCACCGTGATACTCATGGGGTGGTGATGTACTCTTTCCTAGCATTTTAGGGTGGGTTACCCTTTTTTGGGAGGGAAGCGTCTCCTGCAACATCATCCATCTCCTCTCCTCGCCTTTTCCCCTCTCCGCTCCTCCTCTCAATCTCCTTCTCATATACTGTCTTCTCTTCTGTCCGTCCCTCTGTATGGTTGTCTGAGCTGGTTAGCTATCGTCCCCTCGAGAGTGTACACAACCATTTTATCCTCTTGCGTCATCCCGACCTAGCTTGCCACCACCTCCAACAAAACGGCAGCCCTCGTATTCCCCTCTCTGCCTCGCAACAGCATTGCAATTTCGTTTTGCTTTTCTAAGAACCATAGTTTATTTGGATTTCAATTATTTATTTTCGACGTGAGAACAACCCCTGAGAACTGAAAATCTCCCTCAAAATCCAACCGTCCATAAAAAGAACGAAAGATGCCTGGGCCAGGACACCAATGTACGTTCATAGTATCGAATATAAACCGAGGTCCCCTTGTCTACCCAATACACATAGCCATTCTAATTCATGCTCATCACCAAAATATTAGATAATCCATTTTCGAAGCGGGAGACGTATAGCAAGAATGCCATTACTGCATATCGAGTCCTGACTCCCATCTCTTGGCTGTTGGTGGTTGTTTTTGGAATTTTCTACTCCATCCACAGGCCAGACGATGTACCCAACGGCTTCACTGTGTGGGAGCAAACACACCGAAACCCTACTCCGTTCTCACAGAGCAGTGTCGTGACAGGTGTTTTCTGGTGAGTTTTCGCCCATGTAAACAATCAAATCTCACAGCGCAATTCGTCTTGGCATAGACACATCGAATATTCAGTAGCTTATATCTTCGCAGGATCATCTTACTTATTTCCCAGCTTGGATACATCGCCAACTTGTTCTCTTCAAACCCCGCAAAAGTAACAAGCGCGGCAAATGTTGCCGGCTTTTATATCCTCAACAATCTCTTTGTTCTTGCCTTCGTCCTTCTCTGGGTCCGATCTAAGTTCTGGGGCGCAGAGATCATTGATATCGCAAATTTGATCAGTCAAGGCATTGTGTACTGGAAACATCATGATCTGCCCCTTGACATTCATCTTCCCGCAGTGGCTGGTCCGTATGCGTGGACTCTGTCAACGCTCTTCTGGAACGGAGCTGTTGCAGTCGGAGGAGACAATACCCCCAAGAGGATCGTTGCTAATGTGTTCATCTGGGTCATGTTTGTTTTTGGCCAGGGCCACATCGCGCGTAGGGGTGATTTTGCCTATGGATACTCCTTGAGCTTGTTGACGCTATGTAAGTTTTTTGTCTTCGCTGACTTTACATCTGCAATCATGCGCTGATTACAAATTACACCTACAGCCCTGGCTCTCAAGCAGTTCTCCCTCAAAATCATCTCACTTCAGTGGATCTTCGCGTTTGTGATCTTCGGTGTTTTCTTCGTCACCTCACTCTCTGCCTCTGTGGCCAAATACCACAATAGAGACTTCTTCTTCCGTAGCTTTGCTGAGCCAGTTGACTCTACTGATCGCGAACGCCAGCCACTGCTCAGCGAGTGAGGATGTAGGCATGGCCACCCCGCTGAAGACCAGAGCGAACTGGGTTTTCGGTAGTTCGACGAACCTGGTGGCATCGACATGCTTTGACGTTTTCCTGTTGGCTTCCTTTTATGCCCGTTTAACCCTCAGAACTACAATGCGACTCGAATAGTCCTGATTTATAAATAACTTCTCACAACCCGTTTTTCAAAACGAAGGAGCACTTGCCTCGCTACAAATCCCCCTAACCTTTTTTATTCTTACCAGATGAACGGTTTGGTGATGATGAAGGCGTGAAAGAGTCGGCTTGACATCAGTTGAATAAGATACCCTGAACGATGGGGGAAAAGCTGAAAATCGACTTTCGTGGAAAAAGGAATGTTGGTAAATTCAACACACGGCTGAAATTGCAACGTTGTTCCGAAAGGGACGATAAGGTCAAAAATCTCTTTCCCTCAGATTGGAAATTTACCCGACTATGCCTCAATTTGAACATATTAGTGGGACTGTGAAAAGGGACGTGTTTTTTAAGGGTGGGAAAGAGAGGGCTCACTAAATCGTTGCTGCTCTTCCCACTCTCGGCTCCCTTTCTTTTATATTTTTATTTTGATCAATATTTCCTTTTTTCAAATCATTCATTGCTGCTTCTGCCGCTATTATATTAGTTAGTTTTGCATCCTTTGTTCAATGCTAGTACATATCACATACTCAAACAAGGCCGTCTTCACACTTCTTCCTTCGTTTTGTTGCTAATTGGAAATGCATGCCTCAAGTCAATCTTATTCCCCCTTCTGTTTTTGGTTTTGTTTTTGATTTTTGATTTTTGCATCATCATCATCATCACCATTCCGTTTCGTGCGTGATATCGAACGGTTAACTTAATAATTGCGTTCAAATAACTAATTTGATAAACATACTAGTGCCATTAACTTATATCCGTTGATTAGAATGATAACACCCTGGCAGTAGTAGTGTCTAGTAATCTTTTACCTGCAAGCAGAAGATTCGATGAGCTTTTTTTTTCTTTTTTTTTTTCTTTTATTGCTTTGGTCGATACATACACACAGTATATGTTAGTTAGGCTTCTTTCGTACCTCCCTCCCTCTCTCCTTTTTCTTCTCGCGCTCAGATATGCCCGCATGTCATAATTTGTTGTATCTAGTTCTAGTTATGCTTCGGCGGATATGCTCTGTGTGAGAAGTTGGGGGCCGGGGGGCAAGGAGGGAGAGAAACAGCAAGGACCTACCTATGAGGGAGAAAAACGGGGAGGAAAGGAAAAAAAATTATCAAACCCATTCTGTTCATTGTCTGTTGTCAGTCTGTCTATCGAAGGAGAGGCAGAATGAAGACGTAAAGGAGGGATACGGGAATATTTATTGTAGAGGAAAAAAATAGTGAAGGGAAAAGGGAAAGTGGAAAATGAGGGGAAAATCGTCGCCGCAATATTAAAAAAAGGGGAATAGAAAAGAAAAGAAACCAAAACAAAAACCAAAACCAACACCAAAGCTTGAAGAAAAGGAAATATGAGTAGTTGGGGTGGATTTTTTTCCATTAATTCTAGGTAAGTTTGTTTTATCACATTCCGCGTTGCGTGGAGGAGAGTCTTTCAGTATATATATCAGAGAAACGATTTGGGTAGGATAGAGGGGGGAGAATTGCAGGGTGGTGAACCACTCAATCCTGACATATTGGCATAATAATGTATGCCAATTTTGTCGGTGTTAGTTCAATCCCAGACCGTCTCCCAGTAAGAATAACGCAAGAATAATGGAAGAATATTGAAAGAAAAGACAAGAAAAGAAAAGAAAAGAAAGCCGTGTAGATCGTCGAGCCGTAGGAATAATGATGATGATGATGTTGGTGATGATGATAAAATATGCACGAAACTCTGTATACCTCCAAAGGGATTCAGGCACGTGATCCAATGTCCATTTCCAGTTTCCTAATTTTTTACCCTTTATAGATCTGCAAATGCAAGCTCATAAACTAATCCAAGCGTCATCTTCGCATGTTGGAGCATGTGGTCGAAGTCGAGGGAGCTGACCTCGTCTCGTGTCGAGTGGATGAGTTTACTGGAGTATTCGAATTTAGACTCGATGACGAAGGCAGAGGGGTAGCCGTATCGGCTGGCGGAGGCGTGGTCGGAACAGGCGTACCCACACTTTGTGAGGACGTAGGATATTCCGCAGTACTGTTGTTTTTTCCCGGGTAGAAATCATGGGTTCGTTAACATACATTGTACCTAAAGTAAGTTTGTTTAAAGGGCGCATGGATATATATCGCATGCTGCGTATTGTTTGGAAGGAAACTCACCCCAGTGACCACCTTCTTAATAAAATTAGTCAGCCCTTCATCAACAAAGTCTGTAATGATGCCAACGGAATCCGCATGTCCAGCATTCGTCGTCCCCTTTGAATAACCGGTCATATCCTGCTGAAGCATCGACTTGACATCCCTATTATCCTGTTTGTACTGGGCGAATACAGCTTGAGATCCCAACAAACCGGCTTCCTCTGCAGAGTACCAATGGAATTCAACCGTGTTTGGCGCCTTACCCTGTGTAACGGCTTCTGACTTGAGCAGGACGCGCAGTGCCTCAAGAATAGTGGCTGTCCCACTGCCGTCATCATCTGCACCAGGAGCAGGTAGAATCGATGGCATTAACAAGTTGATGCTGTCCTGATGTGCACCGACTACAACGGTCTTGTTGGTTTGGCCAGGGATAGTTGCGATGATACTGAACTGGCCCCAGGGGTGCTCGAATTTCTCAACCCTCGCTTCCGTTGCTGACGATTCCTGGATGGTCTTCTCAATCTGCTCGAACAACCAGATTGCAGACTGCCGGCCACTCTCGGATTTATAGTATCTCGTATAGAAGGAGGTGAATTTAGTTAGAAATGTTTGCAATCTATTCTTGGATAGGCTGGAGGCTAATTTCTTGACGTGGGCTACATTCTGTAGCTCTGTGGGGAAAGTGACGGTAGTCTGGGCGAAGGTTTTAGGGAATACACCCTGCCCGGCCTCGGCGGTGATGTCGAAAAACCTTCGGCCATCCTATAGGAGTATTAGCAAAATACACAGGGTTGACAAGGGGACTGAAAAACATACCCGTCTCAATCCCCATTTCTCCTCCTCAGTAACCCAGCGAGTATCCCCGGGGCCAAGCTCGATCAGAAACTTCCCAAGATGCACATCCTCAATAATGTCGCCAATGGGCTTTTGATCAGGAACCGCTGCCACAATCGTTGTTGAAGCCGCGACGCCCAAGCTCAGCAAGCTGGGAAACTTCATCGTAGCGTGCAGTCTATTCCAAGGTAGAGAAGGAAGCTTCAACGTAATACCGCAGATGATGTGATTGGACCTATGCGAGGGAATAAACTGGAGATAACGAATTGACAAGTATGAAACCGCAGGCAGCACAGATGCAATGATAGAACATAGAATATAGAACCGTTGGATAGGAAGGTGGACGAGGAATGCCACGATGAGCGGTGGATGATGGACTGTGCCCGGCATTGGCTGATCAGCCGCTTGCCGATGGGGCTCATTTTAGGGTCTAGCCCGGGCGGGGCAAGCGCCGCCAAGCCGGGATTTCTCCCGCTCTACTGCTATTCTTGGCGGGGCAAATCGCCATGAAACATATATAACGCCTTGATCACCTCAACAACCTCTTGATGTAGAGCTGCTGTTCCTCTGCTTGCCGTGCATCTCTGATCCATCGGTGGGGTGATGAAAGCTAGACGATGAATTCATTACACTGACCTTTGGAAGGGCTTGTTTCTAGATAACCTTACTCAAGTGATGGGCGGCATTTTGCTTCTTCTAGTCGTAGTAGACTATTTATAGTTTACCAGTTACAAACATTTTTAGAAAGCTGTTTTGGCTCTGGGATGCAATTCACAAAAGAAAAGCCATACAGGACAAACTGTAGAAGAGTCCGTAGTAATGAACAACCCCATGCTGGTACGGATATTCCGAGTTCTGTGAGCCTGGACACGTCGTTATCAAATCATTGCGGTAAGATCACACATGTAAGAAAGCACACACATTATTGGGATTCATCGGTGACGGCTTCGGCAAAATCATCTGAGAAAATGGGAATGGGAGGAGAGCAAGAACAGGAAACGGAGGAAGACAAACGCCCTATTGCGAAATATCTAAACCCAGCATCAGAGAGCGGGAGCATACCTGTCCGCTAGGTGGGTGCGTTTCGGTTTATCCTACGAATTATTGAGAAGTCCAGTTCAGAAATTTCTTATGCAATGTGCGAGTATATAAACGGTATAGTTCTTTCAACAGTTCATGTACGAGGCTCGTCGCGATTACTAGAATTGCGGCGTAAATGAGAGAAACCTCAACCCAGACGCCAGGGTTTTTTTCCGTGTCGTTTTCTTGCGTAGGGATTGTATCCAGGGCTTGCTGTCCGATGAGTTAGAGTTGGACAGGTCTTGTACGCCGTAATGTATGAACTGTACATGTATCTCTTCGTATGCTCTAAAACCGCGTCCTAGTCAAGCCTCATCTGGTAGCGCCTGTCTATTCCCAGAGCCCATTGTCATAAAAAAAAAGAAAAAGAAAAAAAAAAGCTGCCATTCATCGAGAGTCCGACTGAAACCAGAGTGTGGGGTTGGGGAGGGTCATTCCTTGGAGTGAGAGCAACTCATCTTGTAACACGAAGGCGACTAAATGAGAAGAGTGAAAGTCGTCCTCCCTGAGCAGATTCTGGGGGGACCAGCTTCGAGTCATACGAATGCAGGGATAGTCTTGGCGAGAGTCATCGTAATTGGAATAAATGACATTCGATGCGTTCACTGCCGCTGTCCCTTCTCTCCAAATGCTGCAAGTTTTGACATCCAGCGGTAATAAACTAGAACTAGTATTGAATACATCAAGCAACCTGAGATGCAAGTTGACGGTGGGCCAAAACATAGTTTTATCAAGCAGTGAGTTCAGGCAGGGGAACTTTCCAATCCAATCCCTGCTGATGGTGCGCAGAATGAATCTGTGAGCCGTTCGTGTTAGGAGGGCTAGCAATTAGCAATCGTTAGCTGGCATGATGTGCGATGACTCAGCTGCATGACTCAACCCTCAGCTATGATTGGCCAGCACGTCCCAACCATCGCTGGGTGTTGAACTTGTGCTCCATCTCCTTTAAAAAGCCCGCTCCCGCAGCATTCCTTGTCCAGGCCAGCTGAATCCCGCTCGCTAAATCAAGTGGAAGACTCAATCCCATCCCAGAGGCTATTGCCCCCTCATATTTCGGTTTCATTCCTCGTTTGCAGTCCAATTTGGGAGATTCGACGCCATTATCTGGCCACATTCAATTGCTACCGATCGTTATGGCTATTCATCCAACGCTCCATACTGAAGGGTCTCTGACGCCACAACCTGCCCAGGTGATTTCTGGCTGGCTTCAACAATCCTCCCAGTCTATCCACAGTGACGGAGCTGGAGTTAACCCCACTGCAAGAGTGCCGGGAACCTCAGTGTCCCTAGCAATCCCCTTGGACGAGGAGCACACTCCACTCACCAGCTTGCCATTACGTCTAAGGACAGCTGCCAATGGCGATACAAATTCCCATGTCGCCTCTTCTGCAACGTATAGCCGCAGGGAACCACTCCACCGCGATAGTCTGAAAAGACGCGATGCCCTCCTGAAAGGCAAGGAAGGAAGCCGCCGTAGACAGCGCTGGGAAAATGGTATGTGCAGAACCCACCTGTTTGCCTAGTCACATGCATGAACCCGCCCAAAACACACCCGCATCGTTAGGGCTATGCGCCTATGTCGCATGTAACCGCCCCGAGCGGCTGATGGCCCGAACCACCAAAACCCCCATGAATAATTTATGACTATTTCTTCCACCACCGCTGCTATGTCATCATTTATGCACGTCTTGCAGCTCAAAACATCGAACTATTAAAATTAGCGGGGCTGACAAGACACCTGTCCACTACTTTCTTGGACTCTTCTGCTCGTTTCCCAGACCGCCTTCTTCATAATCCTTGGGCTCAACCACCCTCTGCGATCGATTGGCAGGTCCAGCCCACCTACCAGCGCCGTACGGTTCCATATTACTTAGCTCCGCTGTGGGATTCCCACTTCGCGGCTAGGGAACAGGCTAAAAGTAGCAACAAGCCCCTCAAGGCCAATCATAAGGATGGTAGTCCGGATGTCCAATCCCAGATCCCCAAGGATCTGCGGCTGAAATTAAAACATGCTCGAGCTGCCCGTGGTTTATTGCGCGATCTTGAGGAGAAAATTCGCCTGTTTGTCCAAAGGTATTATGAGAAGCAGGTTGTTTCGGCACAGGACGAGGACGAGGTAGAGCTGGATGGCGCCCCGTCTCTTCTTTCCGATGAGGAAAAATGGGAGAAGCTGCAAGACAAGGCGGAGACTGAGACCGAGACGGAAAAAGAGTGTGATTCTGATGATGACGAAATTGTATTCGTCGGTAGAAAGGGGCGGATGCTCGATGCGTCAGCAAACCATAATCGGACACCGAAGGTCATTCATCCCGATGTCGACAGGGCGGCTAAGGAGAAAGTTGGTGAGAAGATGGTCTTTGAAAGCCTAGAGGGGGATCGCGCTGCTGGCTTCGGGTTCGTCCTAAATTCAATTTTTGCTTCCTCACCCTCACCTTATTCTCTCCGAAATGTTTCCCCCTTGCTCCTCAGCTTCTTTATTCGCTTCTTCCAGACCAAACTAACCAATCTCCATCCAGCCGCTGGCTGGTCCACTCTCTCGCCTCCTACTACGGCCTGCGCACCTGGTCCGTTACAGTCGGCAATCCCGCCCGTCGCGAGGCGTACGTTGGCATCAATCGTCCACAGCCCGCCAAGCATCAACAGCAACAGCAGCAGCAGCAGAATCGTTGGGACTCTCTGCCCTCAACGACGCCGGGAAATAACAGCTCGCCCATACCTGCAGTCGGACGTCATGTTGCAAAAGCAGCAAGAGGTCAGCGGGACGACATACTCCCTCAGCCTCTGTGGGTGGCTGTTGGCGTCTCCTGACTCTATTTTAGTTGATAGATTGCCGCTTCTGTGGTTGGGAGTGTGATTTGTAAACTAGGGAGGTGGCAATTGCTGCCGTGTGCCATTCTGCGTTTGTGTCTTCATTCTAGAGAGGAGATTTTTTATTATTTCCGTGCCTATTCTATTTTAATTCCGTGTCTTTTTTCGTCGTTGATCCTTTGTGGGCTTTTACCTCCTTTGGGAAGAAGGGAGGTTATGGCAACAGCTCACTCGTACATGTGTTATGAAGTGTGCGGTACACAAACTGCGTTAAGCCACCCTGATTCTTGTTCTTGATTTTAGATGTATGGAGCAGAGATTTCATTCATGTTGGGGATGTTACAAGAAATGAGAGAAAGAAATGCGAAGAAAAGAGAGATGAGAGAGAGGGGGGGGGGGGAAGAGAGAGAGAGAGAGAGAAAGAATGTGTTGACATCAACATATATATCATTTTCATATTCTCTACATAAATTTGTTTTTTGCCCGAATATTCGCATTTGCTAATTTTACGTGTTTTTCGATGGTTGAAATTTACTGATCAAAGCGCAATTGCTATGCGCGCTGGAATATCTTCGACCAGGCGAGAAGGGCCTGTTTACATATCAGACGTATCCACCGTCTCGTATGGGAGCTGGTACAGAGGAAAATAGGAGCATATATCAGCCCGCATGTTCCGAGACGAATAGAGAAAGGAGGGAACGAGAAAACGACAACTGTATATACATACAGCACGGCGTAATAGGCAGTTCAGCATTAGGAACACATTTCTGTTACATTCGAGCAGACGTGACGCCGTTTAATGAAACCAGGACGAAGAATATGTTGAGCACAGTCAGTGCCCTGACTGACATTTTCACAGACGTATCTCCTTGTTTTCTATGAAATACCAGCCGCCCATTCTTTTCATGATTATCATCATGAAGCAAAAGCTCATTTTCCATTTCATTGCAACCGTTGCTGCGGGAGAATTTCTGCGACGGGCAGCAGGCTATGCTTCTGCTGGCTTTTCTAGACCTATTTTTTTCAGTTTTCTCATTTTTACGACTTATTTTCTGTTGTGTTGCCCACCTCTTTGACACCCAGGGTTTGCAGCACTATGGCTAGCCAGCGCTTATGTCGTGATATGTTGGTGGCCCTCCTCACGTTACCGAGGGACGCAATTTTGGATACAGGGCAACCGTGACGCGTCAATTAATGACCGTTCGTAGGAGTTAGGTATCGCTGAAATGCATTCGACGATGGGGATTTGTTTTCTTCTCCTTCAACAACTCTCTTCCCTTGCCCATTCTTGTTCTCAACGAATGCTGAAAATCCTTATCGATCGTCAAAACAAACCAATTTTTCAACCGGGAAACATCTCCGAGCCTGGTCTCTTGGATTGTCTGGTTGATCATCAGCAATTGCACAGGAATTTAGGCTGCTTCCGCATGAGAGGGAGATGCGTGGTGAACTTGAACGGCTCTCCTCCCTTTGATGAGCGTGGGGAGCGGTTGATGTACATGTTGAACAAGCGATATTTATTTGCCTTCACTGACTCTTAAAGGCGATTCAACACCGGAATAATCTCTCTTCTATGAAGTATTTATACCGCTGCAGCTCATCGTGTATATAACCAACAAGTAATACTACTTACTCACACCTTGGAATAAAACTCTTCTGATATTTCGACCCGCTCTTGAAAACAGGTTAATAACGCACGAATAATCCACTGTATCACACAGATTCTATGCCCCCCTCCGTTCCTTTCTCCTCACCACCTCGCCTTCTGAGCAAAGTGCCCAAGTCTTTCCCACTCCTACAAACGTACGATGCACTGAACTCATACCATCGGCACCCTGCGGTTCGCGTTGACTGCAGCTACTTCCGCTTCCTCTTTTCCAATATATCTAAAAATACCCGCAGTTGGACATGTTGGCCGACGAACGTGAGTTCCCTGAAACAACGCCTCGAATGAGGCCGTTTCAGAACCCAAGCTGTGGCGGGTGGCAGAGGGCCTAGCTTCGACAAACGGTTTTCGAAGTTGGGCTCGTTGAACAAGCCCCCAATGAAGGAGCGGGAGATGCCTGCTTCTGGCTCCTGAGCTGCGAGGGACCTAGCGTGATGTTGAATGCATGACATGTCCTGAGGGTTTGTTCTTCGGGTGTTAGCAGGTTGAATGTCACGGAGTGAAGCGGGATCGGTGCAGATGCAGGAGTTACTTTGCCCACTTATTGACTTGCTGGATGATGGGAAAGATAAAAGAACAGGTGCGAGCGGGGAATGTTTGCAACGTAGCATTTGAGATATGGATTGCTTACACTTTTGAGGAGATTCATGAATTTGGCAAAGAGAATCGATAGGCTTATTGATGCTAGGTAGGGGGTGAGTATTGAAAATTGCCTTTGATGACGATCTAATATTTTCTTTTTTTCCCCTCTATTCTAAGTCTATAGACAGGCTCAGTGAAAACAAAATGTTGTATGCAATGACTCTAAATATCCAGTTACTATTCAAGGACTTATAATTGTTGATTTGTTTCTGTCAATGGGTTAATTGTCATTTAATTGATGATGGGAATAGCCATATGCTTCAATATACTTCAAATATATCTAGGGGTAAATTGGAAAGTGTGGTGCTCGTTATTCTCCGTTTTCTCTTTCACTTCCCCCCTAGAAAAGGGCGGGCAATGCTGTTTGCCGTTCTCATTCACGTTACTTGTGGCAAAGGATGGAGAGGGAGCGGATGAATTGCCTTCACGCCTGCGAGATGGCAACGTGCTTATACATGGTCTCATCTAGCATCCACTTAAGAATTTAAATGTGCTTACGGGAGATTGTCAGACATGAGCGTGTACATACATATGCATGTTGTATCCACATGTGTAACGTACAGTACAAGTGTCGTGATCTTGAAGTAACCCTGGATAGCTACTTTCTAATACCTGACTATATGTACAAACATGTACAATACATGCTAAACATATATTGCCCTGGGAAGCGAGAAAGGGTAATTGAGGAGAGGATAATGGCAGACATAGCAGGCAACGTAATTCCATAACACAAATAAAAACAAATAACCGCGCCCATCGAGATTGCTATCCTCCTGCTGTGCTCTGAAAAGTTGAGAAGAAGCATCTATAATATACAGCGATATCGCACAACAGGTGCCTGTATCCCAACTCCTGAGTAACATGCGACTGGTAAAGAAAAAAAAAGGGGCATCAGATAAGTTCCATAGCCCCTTTATGTAGTTTATACTTTTGTATAAAGTTCTGTCATTCCCACTCTGTTTCACCATTATTTTTACATACGCAAATAGTCCTCCTACCCTCCTTGATAAGAACTATATCTAGCAGATTTAATTTCTCTCCTTCGTTTTCCTTTACCTTCCCCCTGGGAACTACGTGCACTACTTGTCCACGGAGAGGATATCTAAACATGAAGCTCCTTTACCCCCTTGCCACCGCCCTCCTCACCCTCACTGCAACCACCAAAGCCGCTCCGCAGCTGCCGCTGCCACTTGACACCGTGACCGGCATCGTTGGCAGCCTTCCCGTTGTAGGGGGCATTGTCGGCGGCGGACCCCCGGTTAAAGTTCGACAAGCTCCGGATGAAGACGGCGGGGACACGGACAGGAAGTGAAGTACAACGCAAGTCTGTAGGTTTGGCTATTTTGATTCGTTTTACTGGGATGATTGTCATCAGCGAGCTAATAATGCGGAGAACGTCTATAGATTGCCTCCGCTCCTAGTTATATGTGGTCATCATGAACGATTGGAAATGGATGGAATGCGGGTGTCATTCTTAGGATAGTTGACCTTGGTTCAGGTATCTATTTGCTAGCAGTGTTGTATTTCGAATGCGGCGGTTAGAGCTCTTCGGAGAAGTTGTTTGGATAAGGAGGTGGGACGTTTGGAAAACGGTCTTTTCAACCTAGATTTGCGGATCAAAGTGGTAAAGTTATCTTTGTGTGGAAAACGGAAGTGGATGCCTTGCTTCGATTTCGGATTCCTGTCATAAATATTATCAGTCAAAGATATTTTACCAGTAATGCTCTGGTGATATTCAAAAACCAAATCTCGGAAAAGTGTGCAACTATCTATACCTGGACTTGTAGACGATGACCAGTGCAATATGTATTAGCACACATGATTGACTGGCCAGATGTAGGTGCTAGATGGCAACCTTGTCCGGATGCCGAGTTGATAGGCTCTTTATATTAATATCCGCGAAAACGAAGAAGCGACAAAGAAAATAGAGTAATTGGGGAAATTCAGCTGGCCGGATCAGGCTCAATGGTTCACTGATTCCCACCTCCATGCCCCTGAAGTAGCATATGGCGAAGAGCCCAAACTCCCACTTTCCGTCCAGTGGGCCGCTTAACCCGGTTACTCTCGAGATTGTACTGGATATACCAGGTTGTGAGTTGGCGTCCAATGTCTTCCCTCTTCAGGCAGGATTAGCTCCTTCACGCAATGCTTAGCATGGTTGCGCATGACCGTCGACCGGACTGTGCCAGGTATCGCTCCTGAGACCTAACTTTCCCAGAAGAGTGATAACAATCATTATGCTGGGGAAACCTGTAGTCATCCTATCATTGATCCGAATGCATTGGCTGAATCTAGATCCCTTTTCGCAGGTGAAAACACGAAAATCCCTGAAACCACTCTTCCGTGCGCTAATTTGTGGTCAGACCATTTCACCCCTACTTGGAGTAAGAGTGGAAGAAAATGTGAAGTACGAGTGTCAGTTACCTAAAATCTTTGCAGACAAGGATGTTCAGTGTTTGATTAGACTTTTGAGATAAACAGCCGCTTGCTGGCTCGGTAAGTTACTAACTAGCAGTCTAGGGGTGAGTTAACTGACACTAGTTAAGCTTAACCACGATGTTTGTTGATCCAACAAAACCTTAAAAGGACAACATGCTTCAGAATTGAAATGTGATTTCCCATTCTTGCAACTTGATATTAATCCGGCTGCCAGAGATCAAATGACAGATACAGGATCTACCACCCTTTCAATATCTTGCCGCCTCTAAATATCAAGTAAGGGCTCAGCAGAATAGGCCCATATCTTCAAGAAAATAACTTTCCTTCAGGTTGTTTGTTCGCCGTGATTGAAAATGGGTTCAACGCTGCGGAATGCGAGAGATCTTCGAAGGTTAGGTAGGTTAAGATTAGGATCTATGTTGGCATCCATGCGCTAAGAATGTGGAATCCGTTTGTTGCTTTCCATATTTATTGTATTTTTACTTTTTCGACTCTGTCACTATACGATCTGCTCCTTAGCTTTCCATGGGCAGTTCATATATGCCACTTAGATTGCTATAGCTGTATCTTGTTTTTCATTTCTTTGCTCCGCGAGTGTTCTTAAGCCTATATCATGGATATAGAACTCTGAAGGCCTATGCCTTCTTGTTACCTGTTTATCCTGTGAGGTGCTCTCCTCTTCTGCACTGTACAAAGGATGCAGTGTTGATACATACTAGAAGTAACCACAAAATCACAACTGAAATATTGGCGATTTGTGCTTTCATTATTGTTATCACTTTTCTTCTTCAAATAGTATAGTTCTGAGTGTATGGGAGCTATGAGCTACACTTCCAGCATTCAAGACTTTATATCCATCTCATGATATCATTAATTTGGCATTTTATCTTCAAATTCCACAGCTTCAACTACATGTTCTTAAATAAGCTTGTCTTTTTTTCATATGGACTCGGATATCAAATACGGCAAACAGGGTTGCAATGGAAATCATAAGTCATTGGCTTCATGGCTATTTTATGGCGGCAATTATATTGATCTAGATGGCTGTGAATTTGAACTTGCTGCGCAATGTATTATGCTAACGAGACAAGGAATTCTCCGACACAGATTTGAATGGGAGCTTTTTACATCTCTCCGGCAAAATGATATAGCTCAAAAACTTATACAAGTGCGAGAGAATGCCAAAAAGGAGCCAAATTTGTGGACGATACCTGTTGATGTTAAAAAAAAAAAAAAAAAAAAAAAAACCATGGTGATTGCAGGTCCCATCGTGGTCATTTTAACAGATCGTAAGCCTTTCAACCCGGAGCTAGGTGCTCAATCAACTGTAGATATAGTTCTACTCTAGTCGACCTACAAGTGTCCAATGTTGAATTTCCAGAAGCATATAGCCAGGAGAATACATACCCTGATTGCTGACTGGGATGGATTTCAATTGTGTTCACCAAATAGATTTATATGTATAAAATGGTATCAGAAGAAGGTGAAATCAAATCCTTCAGGCACAGATTGATAATGTGCCCATCAACCATTTCCCGCCGAAGCTAGTTTCTTAATTGAAAGAATCTCACAGAAGAAGCCTGCAGTCTCCGTTTACCGAATCTGCCTTGTGTGTACGTATTTCTGTATGAAGGAGGAAGGAAAGTACTCTCGTAAGAACCTTCTAGCCGTATAGCCCACCTGCGATGGAGCATGAGAGCAAATAAAATATAAAGACGGCTCTGTCCAGATTCCATCAATCACTGAACCTATTCTGGTTGCTCGGTCAACCCTCTAGTACTATTTTGGCTATAAAAACGCCAGGCGCGACAACCGCCTTCCGTATTTTCTAGCGCGCGCTCGGCAACCTCAACGCCTCTGCGCGTCACTCCACACCCACATCTATGTATATCCCCGTCTTTCGGCTCAACGTGTCACTTGGGAACTGCTGCTAACAGGCTTGGCTGCCTAGACTGCTTCCCACTTTCGTCTCCAATGGACCAGTCCCGACGAGAACAGCCGGGCTCGGCTGGCAACTTTCAAGGCGGGAGGTCAAACAGAGCCCCTGACGAGTTGACACCCACGTTCAATCGCCTTTCTCTTGCGACAGGTTCTGTTACAGCTGGGCCATCCTCATCACCGTCTCCTTCGTCATACCAGTCCCCTTCACGTTCCCTTGGCACGAATCACTCCCATTCTCGCCATGACTCCCCTTCTAGAGCTTTCGCCAACCATCCATCCGTTCCCCGGAGAACCCCCAGCTCCAGCTCTTTGAGGGACGAGAGAAGAGTGTCCACTCCTTCACTACAAAAGAGATCATCGGTCAGCTCCCTACGGTCTGTACAAAACTATAGCGGTAGTGGGGTTGCCCCTCCGCGTCCTAGCCTTTCCAGACGCGCTTCATCTAATTTCCTCGCTACTACTTCTCCGAGCATGCGTCCCAAATCCCCAGCCCTAGAGCCTGCTCAGCCTGTGGCGCCAACGGCTACCTCCATCGCCCGAGAACATTTTGAAAAGGAGCTGGCTTTACACCAGTCTACAGATCTACAATCCAAAACACTCGTTCTTGTTCAAGATGCTTGCTATGGGCATAGGTTCTCCCGCCCAAGGACCTCCAAAGCTGGCCTGGAGCAAATTGTCGAACGACCAGAACGCCTCCTTGCGAGCATACTTGGCGTATCGACTGCCTATATTCGCATGGGGAGACGATATGGGGGCGGTCGATTTGCCCCACACCCAGACCTTGACGTTCAATCGTTACCGATTCCCCCCTTTCAAATAAGGAAAACGACGCGCACGATATCACTTAATTCCCCTGCGGTTACCCATGTTCATGGCGCAAAATGGATGGATGAACTACAGATTATGTGCAAAGCTGCAGAGTCTCGACTCGCGTTGAATGGAAAGGAGCTTGTTCGTCCCAGCAGCTCGGGAAGGGAGAGTGGCGCAGCAAGCGCACCAAAATTACACGAGGGCGATCTGTATTTGTGTCGGGAATCCTTAAATGCGTTCGAGGGTGCATTGGGAGGGGTTTGTGAAGCAGTGGACGCTGTGTTTGGACCCACTTCTATTACTCGGGCGTTTGTGAATATTAGACCACCTGGCCATCATTGCTCAGTAGACTATCCGTCCGGGTTTTGCTGGCTCAATAATGTTCATGTTGGTATTACACACGCTGCAATGTCTCATGGCCTCACCCATGCTGCTATCATCGATTTCGATTTACACCACGGAGACGGGTCGCAGGAGATTGCTTGGGAGCAAAATCGGAAGGCAAGTGCAGCTTCCAGGAATTCCCCATCTCATAAGAAAACGGCAATCGGTTACTTCAGTCTCCACGACATCAACTCGTATCCTTGTGAGGCTGGTGATGTAAACAAGGTTCGTAATGCTAGCGTTTGCATCGATAATGCTCATGGCCAATCTGTCTGGAATATCCATCTTGAACCGTGGAAAACTTCTGCTAGCTTTTGGGAACTTTACAATACGAAGTACTCTATCCTCCTTGAAAAGGCTCGAAACTTTCTACGATCCCATACACAGCGTTTGCTATACTCTCAAAATCCGTCGCTTCCCAAAGCAGCTATTTTTATATCTGCTGGTTTTGATGCTAGTGAATGGGAAGGCGTTGGTATGCAAAGACACAAGGTCAATGTACCGACGGATTTCTATGCCAAATTCACAGCAGATATTGTGCAAATCGCAGAAGATGAAGCCCTGGGCGTTGATGGCAGAGTTATAAGCGTTTTAGAAGGAGGCTACTCTGACCGAGCTCTAATAAGTGGTGTGCTTAGCCACCTGTCAGGGCTTGCGGACAGCCAGAGAACTGGTTTTGAAAATGGTGATAACCGCCTCGCTACTGAAATGCTAAGTCGCCTTGGTTTGAATGACTGCCCTGAGACTGTCTTAGAAGAGGATTCAACTTTTGATACTGAGTGGTGGACACTTCCAATGCTGGAAACCCTCGAACTGCTTGCAAACCCACCGCCTCCAACCCCGGCTCGCAAGTCTCGTGAGAAGGGGCCTCCGACATATTGTTCTCCAACCCAGGCATCAGCTGCTAAGATCGTTCTGCCTTCCCGTGACAGGAGATCGATTTCATCGCAGCTTAGTGCAGGGGACAGTGGATATCCGCGTCCTCCACTCCCAGTCGTTGACTGGGCAACTGCAGCATATGAAATGTCGAAAGTTCTTATTCCTACCAATCGCCAGACTGTGAGTCTCCAGCACTCAGAATTAAAAGGTGAAAATACTCGGACAAAGCGTGACCGCCATTCAACCTCGAATGTTCCAGAGTTGAATGCGGCTGATGATCGGAAACCAATGCAATTGAGGGAGAGAAAGCCGAAACCACCATCGCCAGAACACCTAACTACTAAGCAACCTTCAAGAGCTTCGCGAAGGGCCACCATTGCCTCGGTGAGCGACATTCCCGATGCCTCTGCCACCGAACTTCCTGAAAGTTGTAACCAAAATCCCAAGCCTGTTGATTCGCACAGTTCACGACGCCTTAGTGTGGCGTCGACGGTGGCATCAACTGGTGGCGCCCGTAGCAGGGGCAGCGTAGAGGGAACTTCACCACCCTCCTCAAATGGGAGTAGCGCCCGTAGGATAGATTCACGCCCGGTGACCTCGAATGGGAAGCCTGGGGACCCACCAACGGTGAAAAAACTTGGTTTCCGGACCAGTCCGAGAAAGCCATCGGCAGCTCGACAAGCACGACCTATAGGTGGTGGCCCCATCCCCCCTGTTCGCTCATCGTCTATAAACACAGATACTTCAGAGCGTGATCTCACCAATCTCTCCGCAGGTATGAGAAAGCTTAACATCAAATTAAAAGTCCCAAGCCCGGAAGAGCATGCGGCGAGAGAAGAGGAACGCAGGAAGATTGCTACTAGCAGATCCGCTTCCAGAAAATCCCAGACCTCGAAAGCATCCAGATCGAGCAGCACAACGGCCACCGGGAAGGTCTCAAACCCTGACGCTGCGCTAGCCCAGTCTCCACCTCCGCCTCCTGTTGCTGGCACTACCCTATCCACCCGCTTCGACCCTATCAAGCAGGAAATGGCACACCTCCCTCACAAAAACTCTGATATTGATGGAATTCCTATCCCGGACCTATCGTCTTTCCCACATTCAGCCAACGCATACAGCGGGGTGGTACGGGGGTGGCCATCCGACCCAACAACCCAGCGTACCCACATCGAGCCATCAAAAAACCCCTCCCCTGCCAGTAAGCTGGAGCTTGACGCACCTCCCAGATCATATGCTCATATATCGCCTCCGCTATCCCCTCTATCCCTGGAGAACTCCGGCACCCATCCTCAGATTACTGTAAAGCCTCCGTCTGCCCCGCTGAGTTATCACATCGCTGCCGCTGCACAACCGTCAAATAAACAGCTCCCTGTTTTCACATCTACCTCCGCTATACCGTTCGCCACACCTACCGCTTCCAATGCGCCTTCCGTTCTGTGCGAGGAGGAACGTCAGGAGTAATACAATGAGGACCACTCAGATAGGATCCATTCGCGCTATTTTCCCTGCTCATATCTCTATTTTGCTCCATTTGCCACTTTCACTACCTATATGTGCCCTTGCTAATATATGTTTAATCATCCTTCTCTTTCTTGTCATCTGCATACCCGGCCCGCCTTGGTGTTGATTAGTTGCGCTTCCACCGACTTTAATCTTCAACTGCTGTTTCTTTTTCCAATTTTTTATTTCCTTTTTGTCTTTTCAATTAGTTCGTGAGCTACTATCTATCCCATTCCCATTAATTTTTTCCTTGTTCGCATTTCTTTTTTCTTGCTTTCTTTTCCATCTTAAACCTTTGTACTATTTTATTTGTATTTTATTTTTATTTTTACTTTTTTAACCTTCCATACCCACTAGCCGCCACATCTTGTCTGGTTGTAAAAGCTTCTATGATTTTTTGTGACTACAATTATACCCCTTGTAAGCCAAAAGCTATCTATTGTTCTAGCAAGTATGTATTTCCCCGCGCTTTACTGTAACACTACTATGTATTTTCTTCAAAAAAGGGGAATTGAGAAGGAACGAGATTCATTGTTTCTCGGTGTCTGAGGGAGAAGCTTCGCGATTTGGAATCGAACTCCTTTGTCGTGTGGGCATTGGCGAAGAAGTAAATTTGATCTTTCTCTCTTAGCACTCTGGTGTTTGTCTCGGAGGACACGGAGGCTTTTTACTTTTTGCTTTTTTACTCTTTTATTTTTCGTGACGCTTACTCAATTTCCCTTTTATTTTAATTCAATGGTTTTAACTCTTAAAACTAGACCAGCTAGATGAATGTCTATCTAAGAACAGGTCCTGACTAGGTATGTGTCAAGATTAAATTTATTCTCGACTGGAACGAACTGGAAAAGGATGCAAGGAGGCCGCATGCGGCGGTGCAGTGCCTAACGCTTCGCCCACTTCTCTCCCTCCTGCCAGCCAGCTCATCCATCAACGGCGCCTGCTCCCCCCCAATCGCATGGCATCAGAAGAGAGAGTGGATGGTGCGAGATTTCGATAAAACTCACCAGAATGATTGAATCTGGCGACGGGGTAGGGTTGGTACCCTCTGTAGTCTCAAGTCCCACGCTATAATAAATGCGTCTAGTACTTCTGCGGACAGTCTTGAGGAAATACCCTTCGCAGAGTAATCGAGCAGTGGCAAAGCTCATATGGAGGAGGCCTCGCACGCAAGCTATACACGCTTCGGTTATCTAGACGATGCATGCAAATCCACTCACGTGTGGACTAGAGAACAACTTCCCTCGCTAAAGCGTTTATTTTTGCGGCTCGGGGTGGCCTTCTTCCTTTGCCTTTGCTACGAGCCTGAGACTTTATGATCCCCTGAGGTCGGCTCTGTGAAGAGGGCTTAGAGTTGCTCTTCTTAGGCTGAGTCCTTCGTTCCCTTCGGGTGTCAGCCTTGGGTGCTGTGGTGCTTGCCTTTGATGTTTTCTGCGTTGCTTGTTGCTCAACATCTCTTAATGCCGTGGCTATGGCGTCGTGTTTCACGGTTCGACTCAGCTTCAGCTTCCCTTTCCTAGATGCCTGAGGCTTTGTGACTCCTTCGGGTCGACTGTGTGGATGAGCTGGTTTAGACTTCTTTTTCTTAGACTGAGTCCTTGATTCCGTTTGGGTGGGTGCCATCAGGCCCAACTTTGTTGTTTCCAGCGTTACTTGTTGCTGGGCCTTTTTTGATTCCATGTCAATAATTCGTTGACTCCTGCGCAATGAACCAGTCTCAGCCAAGGACCTAGAACGTATCTTTCGTGTTGAACTGGATCCAATTTTTTCTCTAGCTTGTCCTATACTCTTTCCGCTTTGATCTGGTGGTGCCAAAGAGGTTGTTCTCAAATCTTCCTGGCTAGGATGTTTAGCAGCAACATCTGGATTTACCACCCTGCGTGACGAGACTAGTGGTGAACCGATAACTCCAATAGCAGCTGGGGATTTCTCCAGACCACCAACTGAGCGTTCACTCTTCCTCAAGAACTTCTCTGCACTTGGAGGCGCTGTTTCGGCATGTGATGATCGCAATGACGAAGATTCCATCCTTTCATCTCCCTTTCCAGTAAGATGGGATGCATTGTCAATGCCGTTATTGGCAGGCTCTGCACATTCTTGCTCAATTTGGCGAAGCTCGGCTTCTATCCATCGAATCCAACTCATGTATTTATCCAGTCGAGATTCATCTAGTGTTGGCACATGGTGGATCCAGCCCATATCCTCGGGTATTGTAGGGTCACGCTTACCAGCCTCCCAATCTATTATCCTTTGCTCTCTCCTCTTGCGTCCAGCCTCAGCTTTCTCCCTCTTGTGGGGAACTACTTTGTGTTGATGATAATGGTACTCCTTCCAGGTGTCTATTTTGGACTGTTTTTTCTCATCGAAATTTAAGTGGATACTGCCCTCAATCCCTTCCTTTTCCCGGTAGTCGTATACAGTCTGTTGATACTCGGTGAAAATCTCCATTGTTCTCCGACTTCGTTTCTGGTGGTTTAGAAAAGCAACCCATCGATTTCGTTGGCCGAGATAGCTCTGTCCCCAGTATTCTATCATAACCTCATGTTCTCCGAAGTGATTAATATTAATATTTGCTTGGGCCACCTCTAGTGGAAAGGCGGGCCTTCCGCCCCTCTCGGTTAGGTAGCCATAATCCCGCAAGTTATCTGCGCGGCGTTCCGCTCTGATGGCTTCAATCTGAGAGTCAGGACTCGATGGCCCGCTTTCGGACGGAGAAGAGCTATGGCGAATGTCTGAACTAGAGAGCAGATTTCTGTTATAGTCGAAAATATTAAGTTTTTGGTCAGTAATCTGGATATATAGCTCTACACCAACGATCCAGGTGGAAAACATCTCACTTAAGTTTTTCCTCCAGTTCTTTCGCATCCACACCGGAACCCAGGCCTCTCGCGTTGGCAAGCGCCCTTTCAGGTGCAAGGTCAGCATCCAAATCACAAGCAGGATGGTCGAACAGCAATGGCCACTGTTTCTTACTTCAATTTGTCAAAATGCTCTTGAGTCCAGATTTCTCCTGGCAAAGGTTCGATCCAACTTTCCAGCGATGTCAGCATGCGACTTTGTGGTCAAAAGCTTCATTGTTATGGAATAGAATAGGGGTGTCAAACCTTTCGCCCTCCAGGTCCTTTGCAGTCAGCTTATCGAGATCGTGAATAGATAGTTTCATAACGGGCAGTACGGCGAATGGGTTTATCAACGGTGTATGATGTGTAGAGCAAGAAGTGGAAAAAAATAACAATAACAATAAAAATCAACAAAACAGCGGGCGAGATCAGCAGTAATTGAAGAAACACGAATACTGGCGCTATACCAAAACAGGACAAGAAGACCAAGTGTTACCAACTTGAGGAATATGGCTGCTTTGTTGCCAGTGCGCGCATTATTGGTTTCGGAATGGGCCCAGAGTGGGCTTCATGGATATTGCTGAAGCAAAGCCGGCTCAAAGGTGGGCGGGCAGAATCAAACACTGAACAGCAGCCAGCCACGGGTATTCCCAGATACAAAGATATATATATATATACTAGTAATAGTTAATACGGCCTCCGTGCTGGGTGACAAAGAAGTTAAAATTGAAACAAAACTCGTATAAATACTATGATACAAATCATTTTATTCTTCTTCCTTGCTATCACTTTTGATAAGCAATTTGATTAAAGTGGGTTCTTCATATTTAGAGTCAGGCCAAATCGGTTATGAAATCGCATTTACGATTGGCATCCTGGTTGACAGTTAGGGGAAAAATGGTAACCACCTTTGCCATTACTGCCAATTTACATTTTTACTGGACAGTACAGCGATATAAACATACACTATATACTAGTGCAGAGTATACACATACGAAATACCAACCGTTAGTTCTATTTTCACTCCATTGTTCAGCGCGGCAGAATCAATAAACAAACAAAGATCCTTACGAATTTTATTTTTCAACGGTCACATTCGCGAATTACAGACAGCCACGCCAGCAAAAGAGAAAAAGGTCAAGGATCTGTGGTCGCCCTGCCAGGAAGGACATCCAATGAATACGAGCGGGCGCAATGCAAGAGGACAGATCTGAGCGCAGTGCATGCTCTTCCGTTTGCGCCAATCCAACATATCCCACAGTCGCGTTTGCGATTGGCCACGCCGCAGTGCTCTTCGTTTCTCCAGCTGCTGTGCAATGTTTCGCTGTTCATCATCCATTTTTTTGCCTAAAAAGGTAGTGTGTTCCATTCTTGACGAGGTTAACTTGATTTCAAATTTTTTTGGTATTTGGAGAGAGATTTACAGGCATTGAGCATAACAAACCTGATCATTGATGGACTGTGCTGCCAAAAATACTATGGAGGATCCAAACCTTATTATGACAATAACAGGACCGGCGGGACATCCAGCCGAGTGCATCAAACTTCCCCACAATAGCTCACGCTACATTACCCCGCTAGGGGACAATCAGGACACGCGAAGCCGGAGTCCTTCTGCTGAATATTTTGAAGAGGACGGCAACGACTCGGGGTACAATGACGAACCTCGGGGGAGTCTACAGTTAACCTTCAATAATCCACCAAAAGATATCACCCGGGGATTCGTGTTTGGAACCGAAAAGAAGATATGTGATGTCTTGCTTGCCAGAAGGAAGAGACAGGGTATAAGCGGAGTTCATTTTTGTATCACATTTGAAAGTGAAAATCATCTTGTGTTGAGAGACATATCAACCAAAAATACTGCTGTCAGTTATAACCGCTGGGGGGAGAAGTACAAGCGGAGGGGTTTCAAGTGGATTCTAAATCTCGACAACGAGCCACGGAAAATCAGCATCCATCTCTTTGATGGCTTCCGTCTTGACATCACACTACCAAACCACGCTTCCTGCCTGAAGGAGTACTATGAGAATGTGAACTCTTATGTGAAAGAGAGTCAAGATTCCGTTCTCGCTCTTGGTGGGCTAAACGTACCTAGCCAAGACCCAACTCGACAACGGACTCCCTTAGACGACCCAATCTATTTCCCCCTACGCATTATTGGAAGTGGCACGTATGGGACAGTTTGGAAGGTTATAGATGTGAGCACCGGGATCTCATATGCCTCCAAGAAACTTCATTCTCCTGTCGATTTACAGGAAAGGGCCGAAAACCAGATCGAAGCGATAAAGACCGCCAGGGAAGAGTTCGAAAGTGAAATGCGGATAATGAAGTATCTTGTGCATGTATGTCATTCTACTCCACGCTGCTAACCTCAAGGTTAACATGTTGTGTAGGACCATATTGTTCAGTTTGTGTGCTCGACAGTAGATCCGTTGCAGATCATTATGGAATTTATGCCACTGGGAAATCTAAGATACCAGCACAAGGTTGACCCGATCGACACCTCAGAAATCCAACTGCTTCTTGCCCAAGCGCTGGACGCTCTTCGTTTCATGCATTCCGCAAATATCACACATCGAGATGTCAAACCAGAAAATATCCTCGTTGGTTCCAGAAAAGACTCCTTTAGTATTAAATTAAGCGATTTTGGGTTTTCTAAAGTTGGTAGCAGTCTCAAATCGCATCTTGGGACACCAGCTTACGAGGCACCTGAACTCTCACTATACAAGCGCCAAAGTAGAAACTACGACAGCAAGGTTGATATCTGGGCTCTCGGGGTCGTCATTCTCGAATACACCTATGGTGTGCCGACAACACACTGTGACTACCATGAGGCCGTCGCATCCGCCGCCGAGGAGGCACTAACTAGTCACCCAAACAGCCGGTTCTTTTTCATGTTGTCCAGAATGTTGCAGGCTGACCCGAGAAACCGGGCATCTGCCATCGAGCTTTTTGAGGGGGAACCCACAATTGATTTTAGCTCAGAAAATAGTGGAGGAACTTCGGGTTCGATAACCCCAACAAATAATCGTAGCCCTTCTATTCACGCAAGCGGAGTCTCAACACCCCTAGACAGCGTACGGCAAGTTCCAGCGGCCAACATCGAGCCATGCACGCCAAAACGGCAACGATCGTGCACTAATTCCAGTGCCCGTCGTGTCAAGCGCCCACGAAATCTGACAAACTCTGACACTCAGGGCCAGTTTCAAAGCGACAAAACGGTGAAAAACGTTGGAATTGCTGCAAAGGCCCAATGTGATGCTGGAAGTCGTAGGTGCCTCGAAAATAGTTACCAAGCCGATGATGCTGGCGACCTTGATTGTAGGCAATCAGATGCAACCGATGGGAAACACGACAATGCAAGTCCAGGCTTGACGAGTAGATCCGAGAAACAAAGGGAGCGCCAGGCGGAGTCCTTGACAGTTCCGTCTTTGGTGGATAAGAAGCGACGGCATGATCCCAGCGCAGGCGCTGCTCAGCCGTTGTCGGGTCAATCACGGAACACGGGCGTCTCTACCGTGGCCGCTTCGCTGACGAGTAATAAATCATAAAGGGTTGGTTATTTCCAGGTATCTCTACTCAGCCTTGATTTGCGCACGGGAATGACGAGAAGCCTAGTAGCTAGTGAGATAGATAGTTAGTTCTCGACAGGATAAAGTTAGGCGATGAAACTTCCGGTCTTAAGTAGCCTCTGTCTGGGTGGTGTCATGTTGAGAAACATTCCAGAAATGGAAAAATGTTAAAACCACCGTTTTCACTTGAATCCGCTTGCTCATAGGCTTCTCTCCTTTGTTGCGTTGTTACAATAAAAGCACCTGAGACTGATAAAGGGAGGCTCTTTCAAAGAGCGAAAAAAAAAGCAAAAGTAAAAGTAAAAGTAAAAGAAAAAGAAAAGAGAAGAAAGAAAAGACAAAAAGAGAAAAAAGGAACAAAAAGAAAGCAATAAGGAAGAAAAATCGTTGCATGTTAGAACATAAAGGATTATGGCGGAGCCCACTTGACCCATGCATGCTATGGTGAAAAATTTATCAACCACCACACCGAAAAGAAATTTGGTTTTGGCCCTCGGATGAGATGGGAGAAGATGTCCGTGAACAGTTCATCATTTTCCAGTGCTATTTCTATATGCGGCCAAGTTGTCCTGATGTCGCGAAACGTCGGAAGATCCTCCCGAGTGTGATGCGTAATTCACTATCCGCAAGGCTGGCTTTGGTCTTGGTGATAGTGTGTTGCAGTATGAGTTTGTTTGGATGAAAAGACAAAAACAAGGAGGCCGAATTTGACAAAAGAAGATGAAGAATGTAGAACTTGAATGTTTGAAAGATTTGGGAGAATATGGCTAGCCCACTTATTTAGGGCTAGGGCTAGGGCTTGGGGTTAGGGCATCGATTTTGAGAACCTTGGAGGCAAAATGGCAGAATAGCAAACAGTAATTTCCCTGCCCAACACAGTTTCTCTAGCACTTTTCCAAAAGCAAAAAGATATCTGTCAATCTCTTCTCCATCGAGGCATTTAGCTAGCTGGATGGATCAAACTTGTTAAGTTCCCGGAAGTCGTTGTCGTTGTGGGCCATCATTCAAAGCACTCATCTCAACTATTGCCTACGAGGCCCATTTATTCAGCATTGACACTGGAGTCTTAGGAGAGACACAGGGGAATTTCAGACAGATGTTCAATGGAGAAGCCTGCTCCGTCAAGTACAGTGTAGCCGTTGAATTCAGCACCGGTGCCAGGGATTACTCTCTGCAGGCGTCCAATGGTGCTATAGAATAAAATACGGAGGACTTGTTGTCAATTCTTCTATCCTTTCATCATTCTACTTGAGGGTGAAGGAGTAGAAGGATTCTTCTAACTGGAGATTTCCCTTAATGGCTGTATTCTATTGAACCATTCGAACTATCAGCAAATAACATCAACAGTTGAAATACTAGTACATGTATTAAAATGTAGCATACTAACTGTATATGACAGCTTTTCAAGGATCATGGGACTTTACATTTCTACGGTCAACTTGCTATATATTCCACAGTCTAAAACTGAATAATACAGCACTATTGCAATTGCATTTCTCACCGTGTCACCTGCAGCCATGACAACAATGTTGCCTCATGCACAAGTTGATCAACAGTTGGCACAGTGTATTCCGTTCCAGTATCCAGTCACCAAAACTGATGGAATACAGCCACTCACGATGTATACTTCTCATTCCACCTAGGTAGTGATGCTTTCACCCTAAACATCTGAAGGGAATAGGTCTGTAGTAAGATATTAGGTCTTTAGAATACGTTTAGACCTTGATGAACACTTAGAATGCCCTCTTATATCAAGAGACTAGCAATTATTCAAAACAATAGTCTGTAATCACCTCCACTGAAATAGCATAGAAACCATTTATGAAGGTCAACCGATCCAGACATTTGCAGTTTTGCTTTGACCATTTCCACAGGCTTTCCAGCCCTTACCTATACGAAGCATTCGGGTTCGAGCACTCGCTTGGTGAAAAGAAAGTGTTCCGTGCTACTCGTCCGCACGTTTCACACGCTATAACTTGTTGCTTGAGGAGGTGAAAGTAGCCTGGCCAGTTCCGAAGCCACTGTAAAACACTATTCTCTAGAAGTAGGGTATCTCCATAGTTCGTCATGCCGCCGTACTTCTCTGACTCACTGAGATAGATCTCATTCCCGCGGATGCGGACCATAAGCCCTTCCGGAATTAAGGTCTCATATACTAACTTGTTAGACGTGTAAACCCTTTCATCCGCCACTAGGCTGCACAGTTCGCGAATGGTAACCATGAGTTACTTTAGCAATTAACTTGACTCTACCCTGCTTCACACCTTGCATCCCTAGTATAAAATGCTCAAGGCAAAAGCGAAGATACGCCACGAGCAACCCTTCTCAACATACTGAACTAGTATACAAGGGTTCATCGAGGAAAACAAGAAAACAAGTAACAGAGAGAGAGATAACATACCAAAGCAGCCAAACTTACCTCTCTTGTGCATTGTGCAGAGTCAAAAAATTGTGGCTGTTGTGGAGGCGTCCCTCGATCTCGCTCCTTGAAGACGAAGGACTGCGCAGGATAGAGGTTGAAATGGTTGGATGAGCTCCTTTGGTACTTTGCCCATAACGAGCCGGAGAAATAAACTTCCCGCGTTTGAAACACGTGGAACCTTATGTCATCATCGCAAAGCCCCGTTCCTTGTGTGGGATGGTTGATCTTGTTATTGTTGTGGTCGCTAGCTAACTATATAGGGGTAATCATGTGCGGTGGAGGGCCACCTGGGCAACTAGTGTCCAACACCCCCCCACATGCCAATGTGTGTGATGTGTTTCTATAAATATTCCATGCTAGCTATCTTAATCTAAATCATTTCAAAAACATGCTATATACAGAAATTTAATCATTCTTGCTGTTGTCAGTAAAAAGTTCTAGTAATTTAATGAAACATCTAAATACTACTATACTCAGAGATTTAATTAATCTGTCTGCTATCATATTCTCAGTGAAAATATAATTAATTGAAATAATATCTTCATTCAGTTGTATATAAGAATAGTGAAAGTGAGTGTTGATATACTTACTGTATATTATAATTGTGACAATGATAGTTAGATTGATTGAATTTTTATTATCTGCTCTGATGAATAAGAAGTTCTTTGCTGTAATAAATTCTAGTTTCATTATTATATTATACAATTATATTACTTTGTATACTGCTTTACTGAGTGTTATATATTCTGTTTTATTTGAATTTAAAGAAATATAAAATTGTTTGTAGACTGACTGTGTGACCATGCATGGAACTGAGACCAAATTTTTCCTCAGTTCCATTATTAGATATCTTAGTTCTGATCCCATATAGTGTTTAGCAAATTAGTCACTTTACACTGTTTATATTATAAATCTAGTCCCAGATCATGTTTTACTAATAAATTAGTGATTCTGGTCCCATTTGGTCCCATTTTACAAAATGGGACCAAATGGGACCATGATTTACCCTATATAGGTTGGCAGCGATAGATAGGTTGGCAGCGGTAGGTAGGTTGGCAGCGGTAGGTAGGTTGGCGGCGATAGATTAGCAGCGATAGATTAGCAGCGATAGATTAGCAGTGATAGATAGGTTGGCAGCGGTAGGTAGATTGGCAGCAGCACTAAGCAAGATAGAGGTAATATCTCCACCAATCATATCATCAGATTGATGTATTATATAATCATCAGAATGGGACCAAACTTGAGTCAAAATCATGATCAGTCCCAGATCATGTTCTGATTTTGATAGTCAGTCACTTTACATGGAATATCAAGATTTTTTAGTCCCATTTCACTCATGTTTTGATAATTCTAGTCACTTTACACTCCCATTCTGGTCCTGGTCCCACTAAAATCATGCCAAGAAATGGACTGGGATCAAACCAAACCAAACCAAATGTGTAATTCATGGTCCCAGCGGCCAGTCTAATCTCTGCAGCAGTCTTGACAGTAATTCCATCAATTACATCATTTTTATAGACAAAAAACTCTCTTTTCAGAGGAATAATGTCTAACTCATTCAATATAACATTGGTTGCAGTGTATTCTAATCAAAACACATTGTTTTTCTTAAAAATCTGCTATCCAGGCCATAACCTGTGGGATGGTTGATCTTGTTATTGTTGTGGTCGCTAGCTAACTATATAGGGGTAATCACGTGCGGTGGAGGGCCACCTGGGCAACTAGTGCCCAACACCTTGGCCAGAACATTCCCGTGCCTTCTCCGCCGTCTCCCTCACCACCATCACCATCATCATCATCATCATTGCTTTGCCGCCTGCTCTATGCAGTGGTCTCAGCCAATCGACAGTCATAGGTAGTATACCTTGATTGGTAATAGACACCTCCGACTGACCATCATTTGTCCCATATCATATAACATAAGAGAGTATCAATCCTGCTCTCCCCAGCACTCATCATGGCTCCCATAACATTCTCTACAGGCACCCCGGCCCAGCAGCAGGAGGAGTCCTCATTTACGCAAATGGACCTTGATCGTGATCTTGAATCCATAGGCAAACATTGCCAGTTCTCTTACTGCAACCAGCTCGATTTCCTCCCTTTCCGCTGCGAATCCTGCAAGGGCACTTTCTGCCTCGATCACCGGACGGAAACTGCTCACAAATGCACACACGCAGGGGAATGGGCCGCTTCCAGACGGAAAAACTCTATCGGAGCCACGGGCACCAGAAACAGCAGCATGCTCTCCTCTCTGCCGCCGGTAAAACCTACCGTCTACAACTCTACGCAATGCTCACACCCTTCCTGCAAAACCCTGATCCACACGTTGCAAAATACTGGCGTTCACTGCAACGAATGTAACCGCCAATACTGTCTCAAACATCGCTTGCGCGAAGACCATGACTGCGCCAAACTCACCCCGATAGGTGCGCGGCCTACCAGACAAGGGCCATCCCAGACTGAAAAGGCACGGCTAGCATTCTCCCGCCTACGGACGTGGGGGAAAGATAAATCCTCCACGGTCGCCGCGAATCTGACTCCGAAGCCGAAACCCAACAGCGCTGCCGCGCGCATGGCGATGCTTGCAGAGCTGAAGAAGAAAGCAAAAGGCGACCCCAACCTTGCGCTGCCGAAGCGGTTTTACTTGCATGTTGAAGCGTCTGCGGACACCACAACGGCGAAGTATCCCACTGGCGATTTTTATTTCGACTCCGCTTGGAGTGTGGGCAAGGTTTTGGACGATGCGGCACGCAGGTTGCAGGTGCAAAATGTCAATAATAGAGTTGCTGGCGAGGCGGAGAGGCTGCGCGTCTTCCATGTTGAAGGAGGGAAGTTGCTAGAGTTCTCCGAGAAGCTTGGCGCCTCTGGCGGTGTTGCGCAAGGAGACACCATTGTGCTACTTCGCGGTGTTGGTCCACCGCCAGATCTTGCTATAGAGCGGTGATAGTAGATAGTTTTCCATTGGGCTTGATATCCCCTTTTTTTTATCCGTGGGTGGTGATGGCTCTTACGATTTTATTTTTTATATTTATTTATTTATTCTGGATTTATGTAACTAGTGACAGTTTTTGATCCCTGACGTCCCGGTGTTTATGGCCTTCCTCTGTTTGATGATCAACGCTTACTCCATTTCATGACAGCATTAACGTGTTCCCAGCATCGCACTTTTCCTGCGGACTCTCGGAAAAGGAGCATATTCCCCATCCCATTTTTTTTTCTGATCTCGATGTATACATAGAAATATATGAAGATTTATATACCCGTTCACCTGAACCCAAAGCACCGGTTGCGAGGATGTTCAAGAGCGTCATAGAATAGCATCAATTGATATGATATACTGTCAAAATGATATAGCAAGATACTAACTGTCTATTAACTTGACAATATCAGAATGCATTCGACATTTCTCCATGCTTTCGAAATGCAGGGAGCTAAGGAGAAAGTGTCATAAAACTCCCAAACAAATCCCTAAACGCTCATTTTCATCTTGATCCCCTTGTGCGGCTTATATCCCACAACTTCAAACTCCTCCTCCTTCCACCCATCCATAATCCCCGAGCCTCGGTCATCACGCTTAATTATCAGCTCGGGAAACTCCACCGGCTCCCGCGTCAACTGCTCCTGCAGCGCCTCAATATGATCCAAATACACATGCGCGTCGCCCATGGTATGTATCAATGTGCCGGGATGCAAATCCGCCGCATGCGCTAACATATGCGTCAGCAGTGCATATGAGGCGATATTAAACGGCACCCCAAGCCCCATGTCACATGAACGTTGGTAAAGTTGACAAGATAATGTTCCTTTCCTCTTCTCCTTCTCGTTTTTCTCCTCGCCTTCCTCCCCGCCATCATCGCGATCCCCAGCAGGGAAGGAGACATAAAACTGCGCAAACATGTGACACGGCGGCAACGCCATCTTCTTCAAATCTGCTGGATTCCATGCGCTTAGGATAATGCGCCTGTCATATGGGTTTTCCTTCAGTTTCCGTACCACCTCTGCAATTTGATCCACGCCCTGGCCTGTATAGTCTGTCTGGGCATCGATGTATTCCGCGCCAAAATGCCGCCATTGAAATCCGTACACGGGGCCTAGGTCACCAACAGCGCGGTGAGAGAGGCCGACTGAGTCGAGATATTCGCGGCTCCCGTTGCCATCCCAAATCTTGACGCCGGCTTCGCTGAGAGGGAGGGAGGATGTGCTTCCTGATATAAACCAGAGGAGTTCGGCGATGACGGCGCGAAGGAAGACGCGTTTAGTAGTTAGGAGAGGGAGAACGGGGGTGCGAGAAGAGGTGGAAGTGGGGTTGGAGGTAGTACGTTTTGAGAGGGAGAAGCGGAGTTGTGGCGGCGCGAAGAGAGAGCGAGTGCCTGTACCGGTGCGGTCAGGGCGGTGTTCGCCCGTTTCGAGGATTGAACGGATTAGGCGAAGATACTGATGTTCCTCGTGGGAAGGGTTGTGGTTGGGGGAGGGGCTGAGAGAGGCCAACTGCGCTGGTGTTGGCGGGGTTGAGCTGTCATTTGGCTTTGGTGTTTCTGAAGGGGTGATGGGAACGGTTTGCATGTCGGACTGAGGCATTATTGATTATAATTTTGGCCGTAGTTTCTTCTTCAACGGACATTGAAATGATGTATTTGTGGGATGATTGCTGGCATCCCGTTGGGTTCGAGTTCTCTTGCTTAATTGACTTCCAACATCGACGCGACGCGAAGAACACGTGACGGGTCAGTCGGTTAGGGCACACTCACTTCATAACTACTATCATGAGAATTGGAATTATCCGCCGTCCGGTATTAAGATTTCCATTTACATTTCTAGTTTTTGCGAGGCCTCCATAACTCATGGCTGTGGATCAAATCTCCGGTCTATATACTAGCTGAGAAGCCTTTCAAAGCGCCGTCTCAAATGAGCCCATCATGATGTTGCAGTTAACTCCCGAATCCAGATGAAACCAAGATCAACCAGCTAGCAAATCAACTCCAACTCCACGTAGAGCTGTGACTGCCCATTGGGGTATACTCGTGTAGTCACCGTACCTTGTCTTGAAGAATTTGTGGAGAAAATCAGGAAATCTATCTTGCAGAATCGCCGCTCTGAGGGAACCCATCATTGCCAGCATATGGTGGACATTGTGCATTGTAAGTCTGGGACATTAGGGTTAGCAGGCGTGGCTCCACGATTTCTGTTCCAGCAGCTACAGAGTACTTACAAATGAGCTCCTGCCGTTTCTTTGGCGGCAAGATGGTGGATGTAAGCTCTTGTGATCTCAAGACCCCCCTTTTCTTTGGGTCGGCAACACATGCATTGACAGCCCTCTTCGATCGGCCGAAAGTCGTTCGCAAATGACGCATTCCGAAGGTTCAAGGTGCCAAACGAAGTAATTGCATTTCCGAAGCGCTGTTTCCGGGGTCAGCATTTTTTTTTTTTGCTAGAAACTCGTTTAGGTGATGTTGAGCAGAAAATCAAAACTAACAGCTGTTCTTGTGGGCCACACGCAATCAAACATGTCTGCTCCGAGGGCGACAGCCACAACGATATCTTCTGGATATCCCTGCAAACTGTCAGTGTTCATTCCACTCATTCATCAGACCGAAAGCCACGTACCACACCCATCACATATCGCGGCTTTTTCTCTGGGAGTAGCGCAGTACAAGCATTTACCCTAGCGAGTGTAAAATTATTAGCCATTCCAATATCCTAAATTTTTGGACGACTCTCCTGGGCGCAAAACTCACACTTTGCAAAATTCTTCCTTCGCCTCACCACCAGAAAGTCCACCGATAGCAATCCCAGGGGTATCTCTCTCAACCATTTGCTTGCAACATTCCTTCCGAAGCTCCAGATCCAGCCCACCCTGGATAATGCAGAATAGATTTTGTTTCTCGGGGTACTTATGTGCGTCAATGCATCGATCGAGCCATCGCACGGATCGCTCCATTGCCTCTTTTATTCTCGCATGGTCGGGGGAGGTGGTTGCTATCACATCGTCGAGCTGCATAATGATGTCTGAACCGATAGAATTTTGTAACGAAATCGAGTGTTCCGGCGTAAGAAGCCTATCCGTTATCTTTTAGCCCACCGAGTTTAATAACGAATAATTCTGGAGCCAAATAAAGGTAACGGGAAGATTTCGGTGGTGGAAACTCACATGGGGGTGCCATCGTGCGGACTCAAAAACCGTACCCCTTCCTCTGTAACCTGCGCAAGTTTCAAGAGGGAAACCATCTGGAACCTACCAATTGCCAACGCACATAATATTAGCTACGATATCCCCGCATGGAATGATCCTCTTTTTGTTAACCCATCCATCGTCCGCCTTCGGCGCCTTTTCCTCCCTCGTCTCTACTTGCTTCCCCGTTTCTTCATGCGAGGCTCCTCAAACGCAAATAACCATTTTCAACTACTCCAACACCACCCATCACCACCGACCAACTGAAAAAGAAATATATGTAAACTCACCCACCGCTATCCGTTAAGATATTCCCATTCCACCCTTGGAACGCATGGGCTCCACCAACCTCATCTAACACTGCCTGCCCAGGTTTCAAACCCAAATGGTACGTATTATTCAGACACAGCTTACATCCGGTCTGGGCGAGTTGCTCCGGCGTCAACCCCTTAAGCGAAGCTTGCGTGGCCACGGGCATAAATATTGGGAGCTGAACGGGACCGTGCGGGAGGTAGAGGGTGCTGGCACGGGCTTTTGTAGTCTAACATAGATGGACAAAAAGCCGAAAGCGTTAGATACGTCCGCAGCTCTTGGGCTTTTGAAGTGGAATGAGACATACAGAGCATTTCGCTTCGAGGTTAAGCGTTAGAGGTGAGGGCATTGGATTGCTTGTTTTTGGTATGGTTGCGGCTGCCGGTATCGCGGCAGCACTATGTATAGATGCTGCGATGCGGGGAGTTGAGCGAGTTGCTCCAAGAGATTGAATGCGTAAAAAGAGAGGTGGTTGTAAAAGTCGGGTAAAAGTATGTAAATGGCTCCTAGGGCCATTTGCTAGGAACATGGGATATTGTGGAAGACAAGACAGGCGGCGTGGAAGATTGCAAGAAGCCGTTATCAACTTGAACTTTTGTTGCATTTCAAACTTCTCGGTGATGTCAAAGAGCAATGACTAAGCAAAATCATGGTTTGGTGGTATACGTTAGGGTTAGGGTTAAAGTTAGGGTAAGGGGTAAGGCTTATCATCATCGTTACAATGTATACCTATGCACTGCTTGCACAGTTCCACCAAGAAGGTCAGGAAAGTTGCTACATGGCCCTGATATTAGAGCCACTACTAGGCCGGCAGAAATAGGTCAAAGAGATAGGATAGCAAGGCGTCGCAATGCGGTAACTATGCTCACATCTCCCATAATCAGGCGCAGACCATAATGAAACCTTCTTCCCTTCACTTCAAGGGAAAGGGCGGCATGATGCAGCACTAGAGTGACAAGAATAGCTCAAATGCTAACCGCAAAGTTGACAGATTTAGCCATCCTGTTGAGAAAGTGAAGAAGCTCTCACACGAAGCCTGGCCATGGTGTGAAATACAGGTATCTGGATGGTTGGAGAGCTAAACGGTCTATAGATATTAAGGGAATATTACACTGAAGTGTTAACAATTTTTATATTATTGTGCAGTCTACGATGCAATTCCTTATTTATATGACTGTACCTCTGGTTCTAATAGAACTTAATTTCACGAGTTTATTCAACAAAATATCCTCAAGATAGGAATTTTGAAAGAAGAAAGCCCAAACTGAAAATTCAAATTCACAGTTTTGAAATCCTCTGAACCCACTCATGGGGTACGGTGATAGGATCAATACCTGGCTCCTTTCTCTGCCGCGCTTTCTCTATCTCCCACTGTGGTTTGAGTTCCTTGGTCAGCCACTTCGCAACAGCCCCGGCCGTTCCTCTGGGTTCAAGAAACGGCAGGGCATGGCCCTCCGCTGCCACAAACACCTCTTTCACCTGCCCCGTCGCTTCCCCTCCGCCTCCACCGAGACCTGTTCCCGTCTTCCCAACAATCCGGTTCCGGTACGAATCCGTACTAAGCGGACTGTTATCCGCAGTCCACACATATAACGCCTTGCAATGCACACCTGGTAGATACTCTTTTATCTTCGCCGGCTCACCCCGATAAAACCCCTGTGCGACAAAACTCTCTTCAGCCCTCGTTGCATAGTCTTCCCCAGCGGGATAACCTTTCATTGGCGGGTCGGCGCGCATAAACAGTTGTGCTTGTTGATATCTAGGTGTTGCAAGCGTAACACTTCCATCGGGCATATCGCGCAATTCATACCGTAGGGACTGAGCTAGCACACGCGGGTCAAACTGTGAGTAGTACTTCGACTTGCGCATGTGTCTCTCTGCTGCCTCACGGCTCTCCCATCGATCTCGCATCAGCGCAACAGAGAAACCCATGTTCACGTTCCGCGCCAGCCCCTGCCCGGGGACACCGCGCGCTTTCAGCTCTTCAATGTGGTGATATCCCACCTCCAGCACGGGTTCCATGAGCACGATCCCCTGAAAGATGCGCGGGTGCCATGCCGCGGGAAGCAGGAGGTGCACACAGCCCCAGCTCTGCCCGATGCCAATCAAGGGGAGCGTCATTGAGGACTGGAAGTGGTTGATGAGCTGCATGATATCATGCGCCCCGTCGAACCAGTGATGTTCGTCGCCTATCTCGCGCTCATTCAGTTGATAGGATTGGCCATGGTTGACGACGTCGGCGGCCCAGATCGCATGGATCGCGGGTGTAAGCGGGTTTGTGAGGAGGTCAGCGAAGAATGGCTCATAGCATTCTTTGACTGAGCCGACTCCATGGGCGAAGATTATTGTTGCGCCGGGGTTATCCGGGTTTCCTCCATCTTTTTGCGCGCCCCTGTGCGGGCGGTACTCATTGACGTGCAGCTTCAGTCGGGAGTTATGCGGGTTGCGGGTACCCCGGCGTAACGAGCGAGGGTATGCCGCCGGGATGATATGAGTTCTCACGGTCCAAGGTGAGGACATTTTCTGTTCTGCTGGCAGTTTGCAGGGCTATCTTTGTAGGCTCACTGAGAAGATACGCCTTCATCTTCAGCTGTTTCTCAAACAGACATAAACTTGAAGACCGTGCGGCGAGAGGGTATTTTGTCGGTTCTAAGCTGCTAACGAGATCTGCACTCCAAAGGAGCCATGTGGGGCCAATGCCACTCAATTAAAGCCCTACATTAGTTATGAAAATAGTTAAAGCCGGCCCACAAGGCAACGATCCGAAGCAATCGTACCCTGTAGACCCACAAACAGGCATTACAGTCCAGAACCACTTGAAATTTGTACCAGTACATTATCTCGACCTCACCATCTTATCGGAGGGGATGCAACGTCTTGGGGGCTGAAAGGAACATCTCAGCCGAAAATTTATTTATCGAAGCTTCAGCGCAGTGGCCGTCATCCCCACAGAAAGAAACTGGCTACTCATGTTATTGAGCGAATGATCTTGCTATATCGGAGCATCCCTTGAGGACACCCACCAGAGCTTCCGGGCCGTGATCATACCTGCTTACACTCTGGGAGCACCCGCGCTTCGATTCTACTCACATTTTCACAGCACAGGATAGGCATGGCGACGTTCGACGTTCCTTGGGAGCCGATCACAGGCTACTATTTTTGCCGGCGTAAGTGCAAATCAACTAACGAGACATCAATGAACCACACAGGACAGGCCACAAACCCGTGGCATGAGTAGCATCGAAAGTAGCTGAGGCTTTCAGAACAGCCATTGGGCAGACTGCCTCCAGTCAGGTATGTAATATCTGTATAAGCAACTTCGCAGCCAACCAACTAGTTAGCTAGGGGGTGGCGAGGAGCCAGAAGCTTGATTGAATGAAACGTGGAGAAATTGCTTTTTGAGCGGTGTACAGTCCAGAGCTAATTATCATGGTTTCTCTTGGCTATCTACGGAGTAGGCGTAGTCAAATTATTCATTGAGAAGAGAGTGAATCTCAATCCTGTGATCGACTTGTCGTCGCCAGGTCGCTGCTCCTTGGGGGGGCGAAGCTTTTAACAGACCACCCAACTTGTGATCAACGATGACGCCGATGCCAATTTGTGTAATTGGCGATAAAACACGGCGCTATCAACGGCTGTTGCTCAGAGACACACTGAGATAGCCCGGTTGCTCATTGGCAAAAAGGGCCAAAGCGAACGCCATGGGTCTCGAGCGTATAGAATATGGCACAGCACTTCTCAGGGCTGCATTCTCTGAGCGCAAGAATGGTGTTCCCATTGTGATCCACGCGGGCCCAGATGTGGGCAAGATCGGGGATAAGGGGGGTTCTTCTATCCCCACACTGCGCCCCTAGTGTCCCTGACCGTTTTCTCTACCAACGCTTCATCCAAAAGGGAGTGCAAGGTGGCTCTCACTCTCAGGATGCTCCGTGCAACCAACCGGTGCTAATATATATGTTCTATATCCAACCGTCTCAGCTGGTGCTGACGCCTACCTACAAAAGTAGCCTACGTGGGGGCATATATGTTGGATGTATATACAGTACACACAAGGGATGGCATGAGGATGATGCTGGAAGGCTTGATGATGCCTCTTTATGTTAACAATTTCATTGTTTTTTGCTGGACTGCCTGCCTTCCCCCATTATTTTTCTCGCTATGAAATCAAGATACCATCCATCAGAGTCAATAGTTGCAACCAACGGTTTGCTATATCATTGTTCTATAATCTAACAAATCGGAGTAACCAGTGAGTTCCAGCCACGAAGCTATCTACGATTCAGGGCATCCCGGCTATACATCGTAGAGGGCAGGAGATTTCCTCGTCAGATAACGATTAGATAGCGTATGTGTTACGTTTCGAGGTCAGGATCAAGTACGTCCTGGGGGAGAGAGTCCCCCCCATACTATCCCTGTATATGCATATGAGCGGGATTCTGAACCCTAAAGTGCAGAGTAAATGGCGCTGGCGCAGGAATTCACCGTTATTCTCTGTTTTTAGCTCACTGGAAGATTCTAGGCCGAAATTCGGCAATTGATCCGCTAAAATCGGGTATAATTTTAATTCACTGGTGTCGTGGATCATTCCCTTTAGATAAAAAAAGAAAGAAAAGAAAGAACAAAAAAAAGAAAAGGAACAAAGACATCATATTATTGGTTAGTATGCCACAAGCCTCCTGAAGTTCAATTACACATGTCATATGACATGTCCCAATGGAGGCTTTTTGAGGTTGCCTTTTCCTATCTCAACTTTCAGCCAAACTTGTCCAGTTGTAACGCATGGTTATGCATGATTTGACGTTAATTCATTCAGGACAAGCAACAGCCAACTCCGCGCGAATTCGAGACAGAGCGCCACCAACGGGAGAAACCGGTCGAAGGGTGTGAATTTCTCCGGATCGGAGTCCCAACCCCAAACCCTGTGAATTGAGGACGAGAGGGTATGCCTGTTTATGTCCGCCCGCATACGCGATATTGGTTATTGGTCATCAAAAGTCAACAATACTGATGTTTTCCCCCGGGAAGATGCTCCAGCATTCAGCCACTGCATTTGCATTCTATTGATGAGTTGGTGGAGAAGCCGTAACAATCTACTCCTGCCAACTCCATTCACATCATTCGATTGTAGCGTTATTGAAACTGGCGGGACTGACATGCCAAGCAAAAGGACGTTCAAGACAAGACCCGAGTGGCATGCTTGGCGGAGGGTGATGTGGCTAATCTCCGCCTCAAGCCAGTCATGGAGCTGGCCTGAACTATCCCCCCATCCTCCGAGATTCAGTCATGTAGGAGCGATGTCAGATGGGAGCCTTTGGGTGCGGCTTGTGGGAGGGTACCTAAAATGCCACAGACCTAATAAGCTTCTATATCTAGAAAGATTCGGAGTAGATATATGGTCTTGAAACACATTTTCTGCTTTGGCTTCAATGCCAAGGTTCTAGGAAACTGGTCATATTCCACGGGCCTGGGCATCGCATGCTGTGCAAGTCTCGCAAACGAGCTGGTGGGTTTCGAATGCCACGGGTTGTCATCCTTTCCCTCGTGGTAAGCGATCGGGGCCTGAGCGTGGTTCGGGCACATACTCTGCGCCAAGCGGAGCGGTGATACCCGGAGCGGAATCTTGCAATGGACCACGTGCACTGGCGTTTGTTTCTACGTCCTCTTTCAAAGACTTTCACACTGAGACAGCTGTTTGTGGGAATCGCCTGTCCATATGTCGGATAGCGGGAGGCCTGGAATGGCATCAGATTTCGTCTGACCTTTTCGTCAGATGGATAACTGGAGCGACCAAAGTAAAAACCGATTCCATGACTAGCGCATCAGCTAAACCTCTGGGAAGGGCGTTCTGAGGGATGAGTGGATTGGTGGCAGATATGCTGTCACACTTCGATGTCTGGGCATGTAGTATCTTACCGCTGCCGGTCGCTCAGTGGGCCTCCCAATGGATGAACCGCAGTGTTGTTCTTCTTGATCACATCCACACATTTTCAGTCCACCAACATCCCATTGACAATCGCAGGGAGGAACCTATACTAGCCATACTAGCCTGATAGCTCATGGGATATGTCGTCTTACGTAATTGCGAGAGCGATCTAGACTCGGCCCGATTATGCTCCGCCGGGCCGCGATGAGTCAGCTGGGCCCTCCCCAGAATAGAAAGAGTTCTAGATGTCCTCGCCTTCAACAACTTCCGCTTTACCACTTCACCACTTCACCATTTCGCTATTTCACCACCTCACCACTTCACCACCTTACTGGCGTCTCACAGACATCTGCTGCCTTGTGTCTGGCCGTCCTACCGACTCCGTCTGGTGCCTCGCTCTGTTTGAGGCGGAGATTCGCCTGGGATCTCACCCGCCACTGTACCATTGTATTGTCCCATCGTACAGATCGACTGGTCTTGTCCACCTGGGAGGCAAATATCTCACCCAGCCTCCCTGAACCTCCTCTCCTCCAGGCTTCGCCTCTAGTATGTATTATTATTGTTGTAGGCTATAATCGTCGCTTGCCGCTACCCCTCCATTTCCCTTCCTCCCGCCATTTCCCTCTTATCCTGGTTATCCTCCTACCTTATCCCAATACATTCTGCTGACATCTTAGATAAAAACATTATCCCTACACCAGTGCTTTTACTGAACGAGTTCGCTGCCAAACACTCCCGTATCCTCCTTGCTCAGCCGCAAGATAGCTCTATTTCGCATCCCGCTTGTTTTAAAGTGACCTCCAGATGATCAGTTGAGCATTTCCATCCTGGAGATACGTCACCATCGAAACCATTTTCATCTCCCGCTTTTTTTCCCCTACGAAACCGTGGATCAACAACTGAGCATCGAAATTCCCACTACAGCGACGCGAGTGGCGTTGACAAGACCCTTTGTGGAGAGTAGTTTCTTGTTCTTCCTTTCCACGCTTTTCCGGCCGCCGTAACCTGTGGCCGATCGCACTCGTTGAAAAGAACTTCCTGCCAGTCGTAACCAGAAGTTTGACCTTGAGGATAACCCACAGATACGGCGGCTGGCATACCTCCCTGCTTCCTGGCTTTCTCCTACCACTAATTTTCCGTGTTCTGCCTGTGACACCTAAACGCGCGTTGCCCACGTACGATGGGTCAGCAACAATCGAAACGCAGTGATGGTGCACCTTTATCTGTAGAGAAGCCCGGCGAAAGTCTCCAATCTTACCCTTCTTTCTCTCGGACGGACACTCGCGATTCGGGTCGTTCCATCCGTGGCTCCATCCGCTCCAAAATCCCCGGTGGAAAAAACGATAAGAACGATAGCCCCCGAGGCTCAATCTCCACCCTATCGCGTGCTGAGAACGGTTCACCGGACAAATCAGATGCAGGCTCCATCAAATCCGCAACAAGTGCGAAGTCCGCTAATTCCCGAGCTAATCGTATCTCCGCAGTCTCCTCTACAATCCCTCCCACGCCCACAACAGCGGATGACCAGCGTTCCTATGTGGATGCTCCAGACCCTCCTCCATCACCTTCCCAGTCCGCTTCCCTAGGCCACGGCCATAAAAACATCAATGAAGTACGCAGATCTGGCGAGGTTGGCCATGTTTCCGACACTCCCCCTTCCCGTCCAACCCCATCCTCCATTCATGTGAAGCCTGGAGAATCTATCCTCATAAAGAGAGAAGGAGCTATAAATCCTGTTCTGCAAGACGTCGCGGTTACAAGCCAGTCAATCACAAATGGTTCGCCTGGAATGGGAATTGGTGCTCTGAAATCGATTGATGTCGATGACATGATTACAAGGCTTCTTGACGCAGGATATTCAACGAAGGTCACCAAGGCTGTCTGTTTGAAAAATGCTGAAATAATCGCTATCTGCATGGCAGCTCGTGAAGTGCTCCTTAGCCAGCCAGCTTTACTTGAACTTTCGGCGCCTGTGAAGATTGTGGGAGATGTCCATGGTCAATATACCGACTTAATTCGGTTGTTTGAAATGTGTGGCTTTCCCCCAGCCGCTAATTACCTCTTTCTCGGCGACTATGTCGACCGCGGCAAACAGAGTTTGGAGACAATCCTACTCCTGTTGTGTTACAAATTGAAATATCCCGAAAACTTCTTTCTACTCCGGGGAAACCACGAGTGCGCCAATGTGACTCGAGTCTACGGGTTTTACGACGAGTGCAAGCGCAGATGTAATATCAAAATCTGGAAAACGTTCGTCGATACGTTTAACTGCTTGCCAATTGCCTCCATTGTCGCTGGCAAGATCTTTTGCGTTCATGGTGGGCTCTCACCAAGCTTGGCCCATATGGATGACATCCGTGGAATTGCCCGCCCAACAGACGTTCCCGATTATGGATTACTTAACGATCTTCTTTGGAGTGATCCCGCTGATATGGACAATGATTGGGAACCCAACGAGAGAGGCGTGAGTTATTGCTTCGGGAAGAAAGTCATCATGGATTTTCTACAACGCCATGACTTTGATCTTGTGTGCCGCGCGCATATGGTTGTCGAGGATGGCTATGAGTTCTTCAACGATCGGATCCTAGTAACCGTGTTCTCTGCTCCAAATGTAAAAATTTTAGTCCTATTTTTAGTCTCTCTATTTATTTTCCTACCACTAGTTGATATCTAACATTTCTTCTGCAGTATTGCGGCGAATTCGATAACTGGGGCGCAATTATGTCGGTTTCTGCTGAATTACTTTGCAGCTTCGAGCTGTTGAAGCCTCTCGATTCGAGCGCCTTGAAGAGCCACATTAAGAAAGGCAGAAACAAGCGGAACAGCATGTTGAATAGTCCTGTAAGTTTTTGTTGCCACCTCCCCTTTTCATATTCTTCTATGCAGTCCTTACGAGGAAAGCTATCGTATCTACTGATATCAATATATTGGCCATTTATTTTGGATCTAAACTTACTTACACTGATAACTACAGCCTGCGATCGTATCCGCTCAGAGTTACTAAGCCCGAGCAATTCTTGGACATTCCATGATCCTTGCTATATATTGACATTTATACCATCATTTATTTGTGGGTTTATTCTTTTATTACCGCCATCAGCTCATTGTGTCCTTTGGTCTAATGTTCACCTATGCGCGAAAACAAATTCTAATTCCTGTATGCCTATATATAGAACGAAGACAGAGCCAACCTCAGCCCTTTGTCACCTATGACGTTCCAGTACTTCCGCACGCGGCTCCGCCGCTTTAATCCCGCCCTAACATCGACACCAATGATTCTTACCCCGAAAACTGTTGTCAACCAGTCCACTTCGCTTCCGAAATTCCCGACTCTGGTCGCCGATCCCACTGACATTGACGAGCAACGTGGAGTCGTGTGTGATTCCGAAGTAAGGCGTGTGACTCCCTTCGACATTTTTCGTGTTGGAGATGGCCAGGAAGATGACTTCGGCCGGGCCGACGGTGACTGTACGAGCGATAATGAAAATGGCAATGATAGTGACGAGATTCGGATATCGGGATCTGACACCTGGTATACCCGAAGCACAGCGGCCGCTGCTAAGCGCCAATGGATACTAAGCGCGGAATCTATTTCTCTTGACGCTTAGTCGGTTGGACGAAAGTATATATATCAATATTTGTATCACGACTACAACGTTCACACGAACCAGCCAGTTAGCATAGTGGGAGCCGAAGATCATGGTAGGAAGAGTGTCCAGAACCCCGTGCAAATTTTGGTGAGATGTTAAATCGCTGGATGGATATTGCCGGATCTGAGGATGACTTGCACATACATGGTCTCTTGTTTTCGTTTTCTCCATTCCATTATCCTTGCATTATCCTGCGTATTTCTCCTGTCTCAGCTGCTCTTCCTAACCCGTTCAATACGATACGCTATACTATTCTTTATTTTATCGCGATTAATTTGGTTTGTTTACTGATTCTACACATTAATTCTGCAACCGCTTTTACCAAAACTCACCCTTTCTATCCACTGACTTGTTTGTTTACGTCAAAAGAAAAAGAAAAAACGGAAGGAAAGTGTTATTAATGTCTTATCCTACGAAATTATTCCCTTCCTACACCTTGATTTTAGCTGTATTTTTTCTCATCCCATGTCCCTTCTCCATCTATAACAACTATGCATTAATCCGTCACCACTTCTCGAAGACGCACGTGCATGAATCCAGAACTTCTATTTCACACCAGTTCTGCATACTAGTTATTTCATTTTGTTTTCCTCAAATTATCTGTTCACAATTTGATTTTTGAATGTCAAACAAAAAAAAAGAGAAGAAAAAAAAGGAAAAAAAATCTTTATCAGACTGCTCTTGATTTGCTTCACCTGCATACTGTGACTGCCTTTGCTGTCTGATCGGGATTCGTATTTATATCTATAGACTGTGTAAGCGACCTCACCCACTTTTGTGCAACTACACTAATTTTGAACAAGCTGTTAATCCCCTTTCACACCCCCTTCAAAAACAACACAATGAGCATGCTGTTATGTCGCACTCCTTTCTTCTCTTCTCTGTATATGTATTTGCTTTGTTATGTTTTGTTAATTTTGTTTTTGGCTTGTCTGGATTAAAAAAAAACATGTCAATTGTACAGTGGGTGGCGCAGGGCATACACACTACTCTACACATTACATGCAGGCTGCCTATTATGTATTTTGTATAGGATATATATATCTATACACATATATATCTCGAGTGTATATCTGCGGGTGGTTGTTATAAAGTAACAACCATAACTAAAAAATTGTTACCCTAAGCCTGGCTTAATTTACCCTGAATGGATGATGTGGACGCGCGTGTGTGTTGCAATGTTCAATAACAATAATAGCTCAACTAATGCTAACAAATAATAATAGTAATAATAATAATAATGCAGAAAACTGGCTAAGAATGAGGGAGTTTCTCTTTTGGTCATTTTTTGTTTGCAGGAACTAAACAAGGAGATTCGAGAAACTTAACACAAAGCGATGATGGCGAACGTGGGGAGGGGAGCAAAAGTTGGAAGTGTGACAGTAGCTCATAGCTGAGAAGAGGAGTATGTGAATCAGGAAAGGGAAAAAGCGTGAAAAAAAAAAAAAGAGAGAGAGAGAGAGAGAGAGAGAGAATGGCCGGGTTGTAGAGATGGAAATAGAAAATTTGAGACAAGAGTAGGAAGAATATACATAATCGTCATACCCCCCACCCAAAAACCCTGGGGAAAGGATTTTGTTATATACTAGTAACAGAAGCAGTAGGCATATCAGCATTTCATTTGGCGATAAGAGTAATAGCATGAATGATATATAGAAGAAACAAAAAGGAGAAAGCTGTGTAACTACTATGGCAAACTGGGGAGAGAGCAAAGGGAAAAAAAAAGGAGAAAAATAGAGTAGTAAAACTGAAAGATAAAAAGCGTAATGTAGAAGTGGAAATCCGCATAACCAATACTTTGTTGTGTACTACTGGGAGACCAAAATATGCGTCAGTTTCGAAAAAAGGGGGAAATGAGGAGAATAGACAATAAAGTTTCTGTACAGATAGGTAAGGCCGTAGGGAGCAAAGGGTTACAAAAGTAGTAACTGCTAAAAAGGTGAGAGCAAAAAACAACAAGGCCCGCCCAAATACTAACCTCGATGGAAAACCGCAATAATAAAAACAAATAATAGAAAAAGAAAACAAATATTGTCGGAAATAATACTTGTACCAGTCAAGCATTATTACCGAAACACGCAGAAAGCAAATCGAAACAAAAATAAATAGCCAACCCGTCTGAGGCGTCATACTCATGTCCCCACTATCCGCTTTTTGGGGCTTGATTAAATTGAATTTATTTTTCCGCACTGGTTGGCGGGGCAGGTGCGTCTGTTGGCGTGTCTTCCCCAGAAATCAACGTTGGCGCAATCCGCCTCTTCTTCGCCGCTGGCACAGCAGCGATTACTTCCCCATCCGCATCCGCTCCATTATCCCCACGCCCGCTGTCCCTGGCCTCGTCCCTCTCAGACTCGCTCACGCCGCATATGTCCCGTTTTCCCAACACGCTGCCGCTGACGGAGCTCGTAGCGCTGTGGGAGACGCCGGACATGGGGGTTTGTGGTGGAGTGCTTAGCGGGAGGCCGGCTTGTGGGAACGGTGGTGGCGCGGAGTTTGTGGCTGTTACGGATGGAACGGAGCCGAGTGTGGGAGTTGGGTTATTTATGACTGTGCAGTTAGAATTAGAGCCCGGGCCGGAGGCTGAGGTTGAAATTGGAGGAATGCCTGTGGAGACCTGTGTTATGGATGAGGTTGCGGAACCGGTTGGGCTAGTGGGCCGGGCCGGGGTGATGGGGGTTGTGGTTGAAGTTGTTGTGCAAGGGGGTGTAGGGGCTGAGAATGTGGGGTTCAGTTTGGAGAGGGAAGGAGATGTTGCGAAGGTGGGTGTGGGCAGAGGGGTGGTGGTTGTGGAGGAGGTAGTGGAGACATGCTGGGCATGCTGGCCCTTCTCGCTTGTGCTGGAGCGGTAGATTTGGCCGAGCTCTCCTGGAGAGAAGGCCAGGGTTGAGCAGAATCCGTCCGATGAGCTCATTATTAATGTAAGGCCGTCATTGGACCTGGTTGCCACAGGTTAGCATTCGATGTTTGCGTGTAGGATTCAAACACAGGGGAGGACTTACCAAGTTAAATCAGTAAATGTCGCGTAGTGTAGATTGCTCACTATGCATATTGGCGTTTGTTGCTGGGTATCATAGACTAGAACCGCATCCTGAGTTGCAACAGCATAAATTATCCGGTACGGCAGCGCAAAGGCTGGGCTAGGCCCTCCTTGTACGGCACAAATTTCCGGTTCAGTGGTCTTGGGAGAAGTGAGAGGACGAGAAAGGTCAGATGTCGAGGTGTTTAAGGGAGGCGGGGGTTCCATAAAGGAGCTCTTTGTTGGGGTAATGGCCGGAAGTGCGGAATCAGGGAGTGATGGGAAAGCGTCTTCGCCGGACGATGTGTCGAGCGTGATATGTCGGGTGGGCTTGGTACCCTGGCGTAACGCATAGAAAACAGGAGAGCATTTCACAGCTACCGACGGCTTCTTCTGCCCCGGCAGATGGGCAATTGGAGGCTTATTAAAACCGGCTCGAGTGTAAATATATACGGTATTTATCACTTCTTCACTGGTCTTAGGAGGATCGCCGTGGGGCCCGTGTGAAGTTTTGTATTGTCCAGCCGGTGTGAAAAGCAAGCTCCCGTCTGGCGCAAATGTCAGCCTTCTAAAAAAGGACGTGAATGTTTCATTTGCATAGATGCTAGCATTTTTCACTCCTAGCCCTCCGATAAGACCTGGAGAGGATACCTCCAACGGTTTCACGGCCGGAAGCGGCATGGAAGGTGCTGGAGATGCTGAGCGCCGCATTGATGGGGAGGAGCCAAAGGAAGAACGACGACTATGAGATACTGGCGGGGGGTCCATAGGCAATGCTGTAGTCATTGGCGTTCCAGGGGCTGAAGGGACAGGTGAAGATATTGCTAGAGAATCATTGGTTGAGGATTGAGTTCTAAGACCAAGAACATCGGGGGGAACTGGACTACTTGAGGATATGCGGCGGGCGGGGAGGTCCATTTTGACAAATTTGCCGTGGGATGTGAGCGTGAACTGTCCGTCCTTCGTCTTCAGAGTGTAAATATGCACCGATCGGTCGGAAGATTGAGTTGCGACAAACTCATTGAGAGGGTCCCATGCAACCCCCTGGACGTAGTGTGAATGTTCTGCAATTTGGCGAACCATTTGGCCTACAAATGCCAGTCCAAGGTTAATCATCTTAGTTTCGGTACTTTTTTAAAAAAAAAAAGATCAAGGAGTTAGTTAAAACTGCTCCGTACCCGTTTGCGCGTTATATATTCGCGCGATATTATCCATGCTGCCTGTTATGAAGAAGACACCATCTGGAGACCACGCCAGATCGTATATTTCCGCCCCAGAAGATCTGCACATATGTTTCACTCGCCATGTCTCCTTGTCGTCAGATCGGTCTTCACTCAGGCCTCCTCCATGTGGCTGTAGTTCTGAGGGGACCCAGAGCAGCACGTTACCATCGTCCCCAGCGGAGGCTAGCATTTCGCCTATATCGTATATTTTCAATATTAACAGAAGATTCCGGGCTGAAGCGGATGGGGCGCCGTGAAAATACCTTTAGGGCTGAATCGGACAACATTTACCGCCTGTGTGTGCTTTATGAGGGTTGAAAGGTATGTAACTCTTCGCTCTTCGCCGCTTGTTTCGATTTTCCATAACTTTACTTTATGTCAGCTTGGGAGGGTGTCCTGAGCGAGGGTGCAGAAGGAGGAGTGTAGATTTTCGTACTCGAACATTGTTGTCACTGGTAGAATTTAGCATTAGCAACAATCTTATTTCATTAAAAAAAAAAAAAAAAAAGTAATAATATACGTACTTGCCCGCTGTGGCTAGTCGGCCTTTGCCATGAGGATCGAAGTGAGTGGAGTAGATGGGGGCGTTGTCGTCGTGCCAGGAGATAAGGAGAGGAGTAGCCTTCATGATGGACCAGGGGAATTGGGGACAAGCCTTGAAAGCACAAATCGGGAGAGGGGGAATCCCTCAAGTCCTCGAGCAATGCCGGTACTGTCAAAGCTACAGGTTATCTAGGAAGTGGATTTAAGCAGAGACACCTCATGGATGTACGCAGTCAGCAAGCTCTGTGATAAGAGGTCTGGAAGAATTGCGGAGGACAATGAGGTAGATGGCGGCGGAATCAAGGGTCTAGTGGAGAAAGATATGGGATGTGAGTAAGATAGAACACGAATTGGTAGCAGTGTAAGTCGATAATAGATGGTGATTATTTGGGACAGTCGATGCTTCGGTTGATATAAATATCTGGTGGGACGAAGGTTGAGGTGAAGCTGAAGCTGAAGCTGGACGGGGAAGTCAGGTGCCTTCAAAGGGTGGCATCTCAAACAAAACCCGGCCACGGCTTGAAACATATTAAAACAGGTGGGCATGCATTTTTTCATTTTATTTCCTTCCACAGTACAAAAGACAAGCAGGAATCTGATACATTAGCTGATATGTAAAACAAGCCATATCGATCAATGGTAACCGTGACAACTCTACTACGCAATCCGGATTACCTTCCTTCTCCTCCATTTCATTTGATCTTCATCCCATATCCAGATGAGTTACGAGTGACACAGCCGGCCAGTCACTTTCTACAGTGTCAACTGCACTTGAAATGCGCTGTCATCCTGTTCATTACTGTGCATCATCCGAATCATCCATCACCATCAGAATCATCCTCATCGTCATCATAATCATAATCATCGCCATGATACCTCCACTAAAACACATCAAGTATGGCCTGTTAAGGCTTAAAACGATCTTTTGAGTTCGCTCGCGTCACGCTCCTGAATCCATTTACGCTCAGAATTCCCATCAATATACTAATTTTCCGGCTCCATGGGCCCATTATTCACACTATCTCAGGTATAAAACACAATCCTGCATTAGGCAACTTGAGCAAACCTCGTCCCTAAACTTAATACGCATATGGTTGAGCATCGTCCATGGATCACAAACAACCGCTACCATTGGCTTCTTGACGCCTGGTCGCGTCTCTACACACTTGAGAGCACCCCTAGGTAACTTTAATCAATACTACAGATCTCTAGTAGGTGACATTTTAACTAACTGGATGCGCCCAGGAATTCGGGACACGTGCATCAAGAGTGACCAACCGTCGGACGCACATTATCAAGCACTGGACATGGTTTGACCAACAGACAACTCGAGTAAATTTGTGGCAATCTAAAATCACTAGTCACACAGATGTTATATAACCCCTCGCTCACAATTCCATTGGTGTTGGACACTGGTTGCCCAGGATGCCCTCCACCGCACGTGATTAGCCTTATATAGTTAGCTAGCGACCGCACAATGAACAGATTAACCATCCCACAGAATTACGGCAGCCCCAACAAGGCATCTGAGAACTTGCGCTTGCAACAAGCTCATCTCTCACTTCGTGCCTTATCTGTGAATCTCAACTTCACAATCAGATCTATCTTAGCTTTGTTACATTCAGAGAGCCCTCCAGCATGTCTCTACCTAGCAAAAAGCAGAAGCTCGACAGAAGCCACGTCCACTACGACCTTACGGATGCAATAGCTCGTTTTCCATCATCCATTTCAGCATTACAGATGCTGCTAGCAACAGGCCTCGCGCCTGAAATGAGTGCATTGCAGCCGTTTCTCGAATCAATCCTACAATCAATCTCTCATAACTCAGTGGAACCAATATACCAATCTTCAAAACTCACACTCAGTCTTGTTATTGATAAGCTCGGCATCGATTTCATTGATGATCATCCTCAATATTATTGGGAGTTGACAGAGGATCAAATGAAATACAGCACCCAAAAGCCACTCTCTTCGTGGGCGGGTAAATTGTCCCCTGACTGGTGGGAGACCGAAGTTTAGTATTGACTAAATCCTAGCTCTCGCGATTGATAAGCTCAAGCACTCCCCAAGGTTATCAAAGTTTCAACGTGAACCTTCTGCGCGCACTTTGTTTGACATTTTACTTGCAGACCGCTTTGATCAGCTCGATGATACTGAAGCAAATTGCCGACTGTCCGTCGGATATGAAGTTCCCGTGATGGTGAATATCAGCAAAGATCGTGGCGGGGGAAAGATTTCCGGCCGAGCCGACTGGTCCCTTGGCTATATGACCGAACTTGATAAGTTGGAGCAGATGCTGGTAGTGATCGAGGCTAAGACTGATGTCTCATCCGACCGGAACATGGCTCAGCTGTTAGTGTATCTCCATGCTATCCAGGAGGCGCGCGTTCAAAGCAAGAAGAACTCTTCCGCTGTTTTTGGTGTTCTTACCGACTCAAAACTCTTCCGATTCGTCGTCTTGCGCGAAAATTCGCGCGTCATGGCATCTGAACCATTGCAATGGACGCCTCGCAAGACTGATGTGGTTGCATTTTTAGACAATATTCTACTTGATGCCATCAAATCCTCACTGCATACAACTCCTCAAAAGACAGGAAACACTACAATCAACTGTTTCAACCGCCATTTGCAGTTGACGTACAGTATACCGGCTGTGGAAAGTGATGTTACCACGAATGAAGATGAGGATTATGATGAGGCATTTGATGTTGTCAAGATTGGCGGTGTGTCAGTTCTGAGGCCCCGTGAGCAGTAAGCTTTGTTACTATGGGACTTGTTCAGTGGGATGTTGGGAAACAGGTTTTTTGTGAGCAGCAGATAATCAGCATTGGATGGCCAATGTCAAGAAAGAGCTGTATTATCCTTCTGGGCCCAGCATCTATGCGGTAATTTTTTTTATTACTCTTTGTGTTGTGTCTAAAGTGGATTGCTTCCCTGAAAAGAACAGTTGACATTGATATGTCATTTCTTCCTACATCACAACTTCAACATGAGCAACTGTCCTCATATTTCAAGTCTATATCTCACAAGTTATCTTAATCATGTAAGTATATTTGGTTCTCATGTCTTCTGCATCGGTTCTGAAGCTTACCCATACTTAGCACACTCCCAACCGCCCGTTCCAAGACTCTGGCAGGACATAATTTTCTGATAATCGGCAGTATCATGGTGTGGAGACCAGTGAGATCTATATCAGCACGGTTCTATATCAATACTCTAGCACTACGTTGAGTGAGCCACAGCAACTACAGTCGCCGTCGGAGAAAGCTCCCTCTCAAGGAATATGTCTTGACTCTGCATCTCTGTTGACTGTGAATGTCACCTGTGACGCCTTTCCAAAGCGTGGCATGACCCCTCCACCGAAACTTTCACCGGTGGTGTATGGGCAGAAGCTAGAAAGTTTGAGCCTGCCCTAGATGTCCCTAATCCCACTCGACCCATCCTTTTAGGCCGCCGTCTCCACAAGTAAGGTAATCCGAGGCTTCGTGAAAGCGTGGGACAAAATGCAGGATGAGTGGGTTTAGCCTTGGAGCAGCACATCGCTATGGTACGCGTGCACGGTTGTTTACAGATGGTATGATGTGCAGCTCTTTGCTTCCTTAGGAGACTAAAGGTGACATTTGGCGCTTTTTTATTTGTCTGTAATACTTCTATTCTGGAACTCTGACATCGATGTTCTGGACACTATTATATCATCAATGCTACAACTCTCAGGTGGATTTTCATGCAGTATTTTTACTGTATTGTAAAAAGACTCACTACCCTCTGTACAGTTTAACCATCACCGGAGTCAGCCCGCGTGGAACTGGCCTCCGCATTTGTCAGAACAAATAGCCCCTATATCTTTCAAGACTTTCAATGCTCTTAGCGGAATCAATCCGAGGTCACAAGCCTTGTAGGACTAGTTGTAAAATAAAGAATCCATGATTGGCTGAGTGGGCGTTGGGGCATTATATATATATACATTACGCAGACACATCAATTCTATTTTCTAGCGCGCATCACGAAAGAAACTTGCCAATCGTCTCACCAAACCACCCACTTAGCTTCTCCCGTCGCTTGTCGCGAGCTTGATGCTCAGCTTGTAACATCGGGCCGACTTCCTCAAAATATATGCTCTGTTGCGCTCGCCCCTGATGAAACACTTGCAATTCTAACTCCCGTTCATGCGGCGTCATGTCCTTGAGCGGCTTTTTGAATTTCACGCCTGCGGGGACGTTTTCGCCCCCAGGAATTTCGAGGTCTGGGCTTGCAGATTGAGGATTTACTGTTGCTGTAGCGGTTGCGGTGGCTGGAAGGGAAGGTGAAGGTGCAGAGGGAGTTGGCAAATTTTGTTTGAAAAGAGCTTGTGGAGGTGGGGGTCCGTGGCCTGCGGCTTTGGCTTCCTCTACTCGCTGCTCATAGTCTAACATTTGGTGATATAACTTATCTGCATGCATCTGGATTCGTTCTTCTTTATCCGGATCGAATTCGAAAGACGAAGCATATCCCAGGGCTTGGAGGAATTTCTGGTAGAACCAGACCAAACTATTAGCATCCCTCCTAACCAGGGAAAATAACACTGAAAATAAATAAAAATCTCAGCAAAACAGGGAACAGAAAACATACAGTTTGCATTGTATAACATCTTGAGAATTTTGCGTTTTTCGTGCTGCACATCGTTGCTCGTTCCTTCACCGTTCCAGACTTGAAGCATAACGACAAGTCCAGCTGTTCCTCTGCGCAATTCTCTAGCGCCGCCTTGTTCAAAACATCCTTTCGCTTTTTGAATTGTTCAATCACCTTTTCTCCTGGTGACATGGGAGTCTCCGCTTGCGCAACGGGTCGATAGTCCTTCCAAAGGTGTGCATACCGGCCATCGGGAAAGAGAGAGGGGACCGAAGGTTTGTCGGCAGGGATGGATTCGTCGGCAGATGTCGATTGGGATGAGGATTGTTTGGTTTGTGGTTGTGCTGATGGAGATGAAGAGGGTGAATGAGGCTGGACTGTTGCAGGGTCATATCTTACGGGCGTTTCTTGCTGTAGAAAGTCTTTTAGCGATGGGTCAAGCTGCTTGGTGGGATCGCTCCCGTCCGAGGTACCCCAAAACCAGCCCATTACCAATATATATGTTCGGGTTTGGTATATATCTTCCTCAATTAGGGTACGCCGCTAGAAAAACAGAGATAATTACCATAGAGAGATCATCTGTTGTCTCCTGGTTTCCTCTTTCCGGCGCGCAAATCGACTTCTACATGAAAATACAAAGTTTGAGCCGCTTTTATGAAGCCAAACCATTTTTGGCCAGGGTAACTACGGCTGCCCTATCATGTGCCCCCCAGGATCTCCAGGGCTTGGACATCGCTCGCCATACATCAACAGAAAGTGCGGAGGAATCTCCCTCTGTTCATAGACGCCATTCCTCCAAGCATGCTCGATCAACAAACTGTCCGTAGCTCTAGCAGTACAATTTGAGTTAGATACCACAGCGTTCGATGTATGTCTCTGGTCAGATGTCAAAGGCAGCCTACGAGTCCGTGAAACGGTGCGGTCTATTCACGGTCACTACTCGTCTGTCTGGAGGGCACCATTTAGCGTAGACGGGGGCTGAAGGCATAGGACCAGTTTTTTTTTTTCCTTTTCAACTTTATCCGACAAAAAAGAAAGAAAAAGGCAAAAGAATCTTCATGTCTGAGTTGTTTGTTAGTTAGAAGACTTCATGGCAATGAGAAAAATGGACATCTTCAGCATTCTGCTTCAAATCTGAAAATCCAAACTTTGTCTTTGTTAGGTTACTGGGGCAAAAGAGCTCGATCACCCCCTGATAGTAGAATAAAAGGGCCGTACCCTGGAACCCCAACAATCGTCTATTCTTGTACCTTACTCTCTTGAAAAGTTGACTGACATTGAAAAAACAGGTACGGAAAAACCAACTGCATTATCTCACGGCTTATATTCAAAGATGACTACAAGCTCAAAAATAGTCATCTTCCTCAAAACGGTGGTTTAAAACATGCACTGTATCTACATACTATCCCTTGAGCCTCTTCAGTCATCTATCATCAGATAACTATTTTCTTCCCATGTCATTCCATTGCATGGTATGCGTGGATAACGCAGCCCTGCGCAATTTCTTCCCATTCATCAAAGGAAAGCTTTCAAAAAATACCTAGCAACCCAACAACAGCACCCGCCACCACCATCATAGTTTTGGCATCGACAATAAGGCCATATACCGAATTTGAACTGCTAGATTGGCAGTTTATCGCCGCCTCATTGATATTGGTCTCCTTTGATATTGTGGCTTTAATGGAGCTGCAGTCAATACTGAGATCAGAGGAAATTGACAAGCTATTCAAAAACTTCAGGTTGGGAAATTGAACACTATACACCAAGAGTCAGACTTTAGAGAGGGAAAAGCTAAATGACTAGGGAATTTGCAGCGGCATATTGAATACCTTGATATATTGCCGCTTAGCGATATCGCGTCGGCCCTCTCGAAGGGGAGGTTTACATCTAGCGGAACGTGTGAGTGCACAGTGAGTTGTCGGTTGATTGTTTTCATCTTGGGCATTGAGAGGCTGACACAAATGTAGAGGTAAGCCAGAATTCCTTAAACTGCTCAAGGCAACAGGAATTACCTTGTAATATCACCGTTCAACACCATACTATCGTTGCCCACAAAGATCAGCTCTGGAAGGGAAACGTTAATTGTTTCTCCGGATGTGATAAGTTCGAATGCTTGAGAGATTGATTCAGTTCCAGTGATATTGGACAAGTTGGGAACGCTCAAGCTTTAGATCCCCGTTAGCGTATGATATTTCCACAATTGTTGAGGGCTTACTTTGATAACCTCCCGTGGATACTGATGCGGCCTGCAGTATGTAGTGAAGGAAGAGAGAGATTCAATGAGGTGATTGGAATCTTCTTGTCATCGCAATTATCGCTGTTACAGATAACGAATCCTTCAGAGATGCGCTTAAGGGTGTCGAGCTGTAGCCTTTGTTGCAACAGGTATTAGAAGGTCGCTGTTGCATCCTGAAATAACGGAGTATGTACACACCTGTCAATATTCCCCTCGATTCGAAGGGACTCCGCTTCCTCCAGGGATGCTAAATTCACTGATTGAACAGACCTCAACCTTACCTCATGACCCACTCGCTTCAAATTTGGAGCGGAGAAGTTCGTCAAAGTTGAAAGGTCACCGAACCACGGGCCATCACCCAGGAACTCAAGGTCTGGAAGATCCGCAGATATTGGGGCCGGGTGATAGGGGGGTTCAGTAAGCGCCTCGGATCTAAATAGGGAGGTAATGTTCCGCACGTTGGGCAGACTGAATGGGCCAGTGTAGTTGACTCCCATAATAAGGCTCCCATTTATAGTGGTGCACGACGCTGCGATCACGTCTAGGTCAGACTGATTGCGCACCATGTAGGCATAGCCCCAAGATCCATCGTCCGGGGTACATATCTGGGCCATAGCTATTGATGAGGTGAATTAGTTGTGTCGTTCGCAAGATTTCTACTAAGGGAGTGGGTAATACCTGCTGGAACTACCCCCGCGGCCAGGGCCAGTAGCCATCTCCATGTGGTAGGGGAAGTCATAACGACTTATAGGGCGGTATCGTGTTGGGTTATCAGAGAGTTAGTTCTGGAGTCAAGAAGGTTCGACTCGAAGTCAGGGGCGCCATTCATTCTTTTTAACAGGATATGGAGACCTTAGGTCGAAGTTCATGATTCAGACAGAAACGGCCTCTATGGCATATAACATAGTAGTGCTGACCTCCAGGAATTTCTGCTATATCATTGATACCTGGTCAACAAGGGTTTGTTTGATTTGGTTCACGTATCTACCGACTCAGTACGGGGGAGCTAAGCGAATGGTTGCGAGTTGCGGGTGATAAGACATGTTGAGATGCGTCTCCCACCGAATCGTGTACCTAATTTCCAGGTGAACTGGGAAGAGATCTGGGTCATCATGGGCATCGCCCGTCAAATTGAGAGCACTGAAAGGGCGAGTAGATGAAAACATGTCTTCAAACGTGCGCAGCTTGTTTTGAAGGTCCTCTTCTCGGGTCGATTTCCCTGAGCAGTAATCAACTTATTTCTGATGGAGGGTCTTAGCACGAATACAGCTATATGATTGGTGCGAAGTTGAGAAAAGCGCAATCCTGTGACATGTGCGGTTTTGCGTGCGGTTCTTTGTGTGGTCCTGAGGCTCTGCTTCAAGCTTCTTCTTGCAACACCCATGAACATGAAGACTTGTGTTCATTAAGATATATTATAGATATACTATATAAAAATCATGTTCTATAAAGTCTGATTGATTAAACGATAGTAGATTAAATCTACTTAAATAATGCTGATTTTTCACTAATTCATCCTGCTATATCTCTGGCCTGGTGGTGTCGCGGTTAACTATGCACTCACTCGGTGTCCCAGAAGGGTCCAATCCTGCAGGGCTCATTTAACCGATTTCCACTGTTAAATCACCAAACAGCACTGGGTGTAACCAGTCCCTTAGGACGCCGGCTATAACCGGGCGCTAGATTTTCACCGATCTTATAGGGCGAGAACCCTCTGAGTGCTTCAAGTTGGATCAGCACTAGATAGGTAAGATGGGGTGGGGGTGGAGAAACCTGCAGATTCACCGTCACATCACCCTCTATCTACAGATCTGTAGGCACCTGTAAATTCCAGTAAATCACCTGATTAGGGCACCCAGAAACTGTTAGGTCACTGGGGCAAAAGAGCTCTCTCACACCAGCGCCATGCTGGTAGTAGAGGGGACGAAGAGATACACGTCGGCTGACCCCTCGGGTGACTCACCTGACCTATGCTAGTGCTAGTCACCTGACCCAAATAATTTCTTGGCACAAAATGGGTCAGTTGAGGATAAAACAAAAATGAACTTTTATCTTCTCATACATCTATAATACACACTGTGAAAATGAATATTATAATTCTTTTTTTTAGTAATAGAAATTGATTAAATCTTAAATATCATTAATTTGAGAAGTATATATAAACTATGAATGAAAATATAGTATATAATCCGAAGGAAGGAATAAGGGTGCAGTCAAGGATCCAATGAAGGAAGGATCTAGCTCTCTCACCCGGGCCTAGTGAGGACCTAGTGGTAATCACGTGCGGTGGAGTGGTCGCTTCAACCAGTGCCCAACAATAGTGAGGTTTCGCGTCGCCTGGCCAGGAATGAGCTTAAAACAGCGACGAAAATGGGATGCTCTAAGTGGCCACACCCCGAGAGGCACTTATCAAATCGCGTCAGATCAGTCGCGCTCATCAATTGAGCATGAATGCTCCAAACCAGCGATGAATCCAAGTATGATTGTGTTCTGCTCTTTATAGACATGGTTAATGCAAATTTCTAACTTGTGGATTGTGAACAGATCGAGAGGAGCGGCGGTTGATGCGCCAGCGTGGGGCAGGGTATGTCATCCATATCATCCATACCATTCTGCACCAATGCCCATAAACACGAAAATAAATGAAACAAAACACTAGAAACTGATCTACCATTTGGTGTCAAGCAATCGCGCAGCAAAAGATATCGACTTTGGTTTTGGCACCGTCTTCGGTGCTCCAAAAATACTTTCTCCGGGTGCGCCAGCACATGCATCTCAGCCGGAATCCACGATCCCGCGTACACGACGATCCTCCTCCCGCAAGACGCCGACTCCAGATCGAAGGCGAATAACTTCCTCGCCATTACCCCGACAAACTCCTACCGGGACTCAAAATAAATCTTCCAGCAGAAGTACCCCTGAGAGCGGGAGAAACACCCGTCCACAGAGGATATCGATATTCGATATCCCACCGGATGATGGCGCAGATCAAGGACGAGAGCACAAAAGGAGAAGAATTGGTAAGCTCTTTGTAGGTTTTAAAAGGATATTTGTTACATTCGACGTATTACTTATTATTCAATCAAATACACAGTGCCTTTTGAGCCGATTCCAGAAGATACTGTAGTAAACAGCGAAAGCGAACATGTACGCGAACCTGATACAAGAACGGCAGCAAGCGACGCGAAGCCTTTCCCCGATGAACCGTCCAATTTGGGTGAAGTTGGGCATGAATATCGCGCCTCCTTAACTGGACGGCATACGGAAGAAAATGGTGCACAACTGCTGGAGGGTCAGCCGGAAAGACAAAATGAAGAGCCTGTGGCCATAACAATCGACAGAATACAGGAGAAGGGCGAGTTGAGGCCTCACAAAAAGAGTCTGCATCGGAGAAAAAGGAAATCAGTTGTTCAGGGACCTAAGCGGCGGAAAAGAGCTTCTCTTGTAGGCCAGCTGAGGACGGAGCCCAACCAGGAGGCCGAACCTGAACCTGGGCCATCGCCAGTGCCAGTCTCAGGACCCGAACTTGAAACCGAGCAAGAATTCAGACCCGAACCGGGACCAGAGCCTGAACCACATAGTGTAGAAGCCGAGGAAAGATATGGTAGAAGTCACACTGATGAACCTGTCGGACTCCCGAGACGGGATCCTAAGAAGAGGAAGTCTGTTCGGCAATTACTCACTAGACACAAACGACGTGGGACACTTGATCACGCTCAAACCCAAGAGCATCAAAATGAGGAACAGATTATAAGGTCAGAGGAGCCAGACGAAAACTCTGTAGGTGATGACAATGAAGTAAATGCAGGCCACGAGGAGGACGGCCAAAAGAGGAGCACTTCGCCCAAGCAAACGACAAAGCCAAGACGAAAATCAAGGCGGACAGTCAAAGGACGAGGCCGTCAGACACAACAGCCACAGCCAGAGCAAGTAGTAGAAGAAGTACAGGAACCCAGCCAGTCGAGACCACCACAAAGAAAGCGACGCAGTCGAAAGTCATCTGAAGAACCAAATGCTGAGGGCGAGCCAGAATCTCGCGGAGGCACCGTCCCTGTTATCGTACACCGTTTTGCCAACCTTTCAGCCCTCCGTAATGTTACTGGCGATGACGAAGGTACCCCCAGTGAGACAGCTCAGCCGGATGACCCATCTGGCCGTCACAAATACCCCAGTCGTAACGGAGTAAATCCGGCCGACGTCCTGGGTCAGATCTGCCGCGAGACGCTTGAGAAAACAATTTCCAAACTCGCAGAGGGTATCGAACAGGAATCAAATTCGGCGCGACGAGTGGAGTGGACGCGGAAGCGCAAAACGGTAGAATTGTTTGGCGTAGAACTTGAACAGCGGCTCTTCGATATGAGCGAGCTTCTGGATAGCAACTTCGTCTTGTCCGCGCGTCTGAAGAGAGAGAAACGGGATATGGCTTTTCTACGGAATCGGTTGGTTGAATTGCGGAAAGAGCGGGAGGACGTTGCTCTGCGGATAGACGAGGTACGGAGGAAGTATACTGAGGATGAACATGTAAAAACGGTATGTCCTCAGTTTCGATTTCCCTCCTATACAGCACATTTTTGGCTAATCATCAATTAATAAGGAACATGATAATCTCAATAATTCCCTCCACGATCTTCAGCTTGCGATTGACCGTGGCCGCAAAGTCGACGATGAGCCAGTCCCGCACCCTGTGATTGGCCTTGAGTTTCTCCTCCGCACAGTCGCTCACGATGTCAGCTCCACCGCCCCTGGGTCGCATGGAGGTATCTTGCATCATGTTAAAAGCTTCAATAATGAGCTTGAGCGCACGGCAACTTTTCTGGAGCAATTATAAATGGGCACCCTCGCATGCGCAGTACCAGGGACTGTTGCTCAATCTATGGTTCTATGCTACCCGTGATTTATTTATTCGATTTTGTTTGATTTTAGTTTACTTTGCCTTCTTCTTTATTTTTTTTTTTTTTTATTTCTAGGAACAAGATACACCCTGAGACAGTTCACGGTCGGTTCATGACACAATGGAGATCTCTTGCCAAGATCTGCTCTTACTTTCCTTGTCATTTCTCGCTTAAGTAGGCGGCTTCTTCATCCTTCAGTTCTGCTTCCGCGGTTAACAGGTTGAGAACCTTGTCTAGGGGTATTTGCGGAGTAGTTTACTGGCAGTATTGGACGGGTTCGGCGTTTGCACGTTTGAGGAGTTAGTTGATGCACATACATACCTTCATTGGTGAACCCTGGCAACCTGGAAGCCTAGGCGAAACATCCCCGAATCCAGGCATTACAGTTGAATGTAGCCATAATAAGAAATTGGACGTTGTGATACATCACGGCGAGCAGAACTCTCAAGGCACTTAACCATCAAATCAGAGAAACACAATAAAAATACAAACAACGCATATATTACTAATAAATACCTCTCTAGATGCTCTTGGTGTGATTGTATTGGAATCAAGTGGGGAGAATGGGGTTGAGAAGGGGATCTTGTACCGCGGTCAAACGTCCTTACAATCGGAATCAACTGTAGGTAGACAAAACCCTTGTAACCTGAAAAAGAATGCGTAGCTACGGGGCTATGAACACCGGGTTGAGATGGTGTCTACAACCATCTTCTCAGGTTGTTCTCCGAGGTTTAGAGAAAGTACTTGAGTTGTCATGGAATATTGGACAAACATTTTATTATATATTAGTAGAACCGGAGGTTAGAGAGCTGTTTTGTGAAGTAAAATAACAGACATCAGAAAAGAGGGATAGAAATAAGCTAATCGATGTGGTTGTTGTGGTGTAGAAATACAAATGGGATTTGGGAACTTTCATAGAGAAAAAGGTTGCCAGCTTCAATCTTTTCGCAGGGGACGTGAAGGAACTGACAATGTATCACATGATTGATGCTCCATGTAACTACTCGCATGTATCATATCTCAGGTCATCGTGCTAGTTTTGTGGAAGTTGGGTGCAAGACTCCAAGGTTGAGCAGCCGCCTGTTGCCTCCAACCGACAACATCCGATCTGGGGCCACTTTGTGCCGGCATCGAGGGGCGAAATCACGCTACCTTAACTACACAGCAGGGCTCACCGCGGGTGGTGCGATCATTCCCAGCGGCAAACGCACAAACGTTGTCTCCGGGACCATCAATTCAGATGCACCCATATAGAAAGCGCCCAGGCCACACAGGAATGTGCATGCGCCTCCAACCTTATTCAACCGCACAGCATTGGCCATACTGCTAGTCTCGATGAACTTGGAAAGCGAGAGGAAGAAGAAAGCGAGCACAAGGAAGACAAAGACACCGATGGTCACGTAGTTGGTCCTCAGCGAAGCGACAAGGAACATTATGCTCAGGACACACCAGAAGAGTAGATAAATCCCCATCGCAAAGGAATAAGCCCGCTGATTGCCTACATAGGCATTCTTGATACCCAAAGAAGGGACCATGAACATCGCAAAACTAAGCCAAAAACAACCGTACGCGATGTGGGCCGTGGTGCCAAAAGTATTGCCGGTAGTGAATGCCATAATGCCAGCAATGACCTGTGCCATTCCACCAAAAAAGACAGCTAACCCAAAGGCAGCTTCAGAACCGCCAACGTCTCCTAAAGGGTTGGAGTCTGGGAGGCTGGACAGGGAATCAGCAAGTTACTGAAGCAATGGTGTAATGTATTGATGTCCAGAGTACGTACCCAACCCCGCACTGATATAATGCCGTAACAAATGCTGTTGTCGCAAAGCCGAAAAGCCCAAGAGGAACAGGATTCCCCAGCTTAGGATATAAATGATTGGGTATGAGAACTGCGCTTCCTGTCGAGTGTTCCTTGAAGGAGATCCCTCCTGCGGAACTGCGGCGTTGTTTGTCCGACATCTTGACGAATTTTTGGATTGTAAATGAAGACGAGAGTCCCGGAGTGATTCCAAGATATACCAGTTAGAGCATCTAATCCCTCTTTATCTCTCTCTACCTGATGCGTCAATCTGTGGGGTCGGCAATAGCAGGAGATTTGTCCGTCTATCTGCCACATTTCTTGACAAGAGCACGAGTATAATTAGATTATATCAAAGTTAATGTCGACTTGTCATCTCGCGGCTTTGGCACTTGTCAGCAAATCAGGCTCAAGTTCAAGTTCGTTATTATCAAGCAGACAGTAAAAAGAAGGCAAAGTTAAGTTTAATAATTGGAATCCCGATAGTTAACGTAGTCTATAAGCGAGTCGGCTACCTTGTACTGCCCCATCAAATTTGTATGTAGAGATACCTCTATATGTTTGTTATGTTTGTTTCAAAAGTATCTCTACATACAAATTTGATGGGGCAGTACAAGGTGGCCGACTCGCTTAATGTGGCCGACTCGCTTATAGATTTGGATTGGTTCGTCCCCTTTAACTACTCCCAGCATGGCACTGGTGATCAAGCTCTTTTGCCCCAGTGGCCTAACATATTAATACAAGATTATCAGCCCATATGGATATCAATATTTAGAGAATACCAGTAATTATATAGTTATACTATGTTAAAGAGTCTCGTTCATAGTTAGTTAACTGTGACAATTCAACATTGGATAATGAAGTATATTTATAGAGCCAACCTATAACTAATTTAGTTCGGCTCGACTCTCTATTACAATTACCTTTCTCATTTGATAGATCTGCCCTCCCAGATCTATGTGATTAATATGATATATGATTATAGTGATAATTCATCGCCACAAGATGATTGTAGTTGAAGTATATAGTTGCCCAAAGTCATGTTTTTCGGCACAGTTATGATACAAGTTAAAAAACAAACTATTTTGCATATACAGCTAGCTGTGTATGTATGCACTATTACTCAATTCTTGGCCGGGGATAAAGAGCCAACTTCCGGATGTAAATATCCATCCGCGATTCCGTCGTCGTTCATCCGTACGGAGGATCCTCTCAAAAGTTTTGATTAGCACTATCACATACTAAAAACACCACAAATATCGACTGAAATACACACTGAAATTAATACAAAGTATCCTGAACCTTTTTATTGCTTATTCTACTCTGTACTGATTGATTTATCAGTGCTAGCTAGGTGATTCCCCTGCCACAGCTGCGGCCCTTCTGATATTCATTACCATCTTCCAACTCAATAACCTTTGCAATATGAATAGGAATACACTCTATCCATGACTGAATCTGCTCCTGTGGTAGCTCCTTCCATACTTTTTCCCATATCTGTATAGCTTCCATGTGGCTTTTTGATGCTTCCTTGGCTGTTGTTTTTTGTTTCATCCAAAACCACACAGGTTCAATCATATTGAGATCAGGGGAGTTGGAACATCAGAGCAGCTGCTGAACCTGATGAATATCATATATATGTCATTGAATATAGTGATCATGAGTGGGGGCTTTATCTTCTTGGACAATGGTATTCAGATGATTGATTTGACACTCTTTTGCAAAGGGAAAGAGCTTTGAAATAAGGATTTTGACCTGATATTGATATCAATTGATTCCTTTTTCTGATCCACAAGATAGCTTTCCTGTATTCTTCTTCCACTTTCATACTGATTGAGATTCAGATAGTTGACAAAGATTTAATCTTCTCATTTCATTTTGAAGCTTCCATTTCTGTCTTTTAATTGGTTTCATCATTATATTCAAAGCTTCAATATTCTTTACTGACTGACTTTTTTCTTATGCAGTTTCTGGAGTCCAGCAGTGACAAGAATCCTTCTTATCATAAGAAAAACAGCCCCAAAATATGAACTCTGAAGAATCCTTCCATCATTCATATATACAGCTTCAAGCATACTTTTCTGCAGGTGTACATCAAATTCTATATTCTCCACAACAATGAAGCAGAACAACTGATGTCTCATCAGATTATATAACATTCTTCCAATCTTCAAGAGTTCAATTTTGATGTTGAAGACATCACTGAAGACATTCTGCTTTCATTTTCCTTGTCAAACCAGGTTTTCATGTGAGCTTGGTCTTTTTCATCCCAGCTTTTCACAATATACACCAAACAGTCATAGAAGAGATTGCAATTTCATTCTCACTGAGTTCATTGACAATATCAGTACAGGTTTTTTCTCATCCATATCAATCACAGCACATCTTCATTAGAATCTGCTCTGAAATAGAAGAGATTTACTTTGTGAGTCTGCCACTGTGAGGAGCATCTTTTAACCATTCATAGACTGGCCGGTGGGACCATGAATTTCACATTTGGTTTGGTTTGGTTTGGTCCCAGTCCATTTCTTGGCATTATTTTAGTGGGATCAGGATCAGAATGGGAGTGTAAAGTGACTAGAATTATCAAAACATGAGTGAAATGGGACTAAAAAATCTTGATATTCCATGTAAAGTGACTGACTATCAAAATCAGAACATGATCTGGGACTGATCATGATTTTGACTCAAGTTTGGTCCCATTCTGATGATTATATAATACATCAATCTGATGATATAATTGGTGGAGATATTACCTCTATCTTGCTTAGTGCTCAATGCCCTGATGGCTCGCTATTAGATCCCCTATCTACCACTGCCAATCTACCTACCACTGCTAATCTATGCCGCTGCCAACCTACCTATCGCTGCTAATCTATCGCTGCTGCCAACCTACCTACCGCTGCCAACCTACCTATCGCTGCCAACCTACCTACCACTGCTAATCTATCGCTGCTAATCTATCGCTGCTAATCTATTGCTGCTAATCTATCGCTGCTAATCTATCGCTGCTAATCTATCACTGCTAATCTATCGCTGCTGCCAATCTACCTACCACTGCCAACCTATCTACTGCTGCTAATCTATCGCTGCTGCCAACCTACCTACCACTGCCAACCTACCTACCACTGCTAATCTATCGCTGCTAATCTATTGCTGCTAATCTATCGCTGCTAATCTATTGCTGCTAATCTATCTATCACTGCTAATCTATTGCTGCCAACCTACCTACCGCTGCCAACCTACCTACTGCTGCTAATCTATCGCTGCTAATCTATCGCTGCTAATCTATCGCTGCTAATCTATCGCTGCTAATCTATCGCTGCTAATCTATCGCTGCTAATCTATCGCTGCTAATCTATCGCTGCTAATCTATCGCTGCTAATCTATCGCTGCTAATCTATCGCTGCCAACCTACCTACCGCTGCTAATCTATCACTACTGCCAACCTATATAGGGTAAATCATGGTCCCATTTGGTCCCATTTTGTAAAAATGGGACCAAATGGGACTAGGATCACTAATTTATTAGTAGAACATGATCTGGGACTAGATTTATAATATAAACAGTGTAAAGTGACTAATTTACTAAACACTATATGGGACCAGGACTAAGATATCTAATAATGGGACCAAAGGAAAATCTGGTCCCAGTCCCATGCATGGTCACACGGCCAGTCTAACCATTCATCATGAAGAAGAAGATGAGGAAGAGTAGGATTAAATCCATTTTTGATTGCTCCAGTATAGATTTGATTGATTTGTTGAATAGAAAGAGAAGTGATTTCACTGATTTCAACAGTGGATTTGTCAATGTAAGAGGATTTAAGAGCAACCACAAGAGCTCTTGTGGCAATATCAGTATTAGGAGCCATGATCTTGAGAAAGAAGAAAGTGAGAAACATTGCAATAAGCAGAGAATCTCATATAAATAGAATGAGGGGTTGTTTTTTTACATTCTCATACAGTGGTGGCGCTTGCTAGCCAATATAGTGGTAAATTAATGGATAACACTAATCAAAACTTTTGAGAGGATCCTCTGTACTCATTTCGTTTCCCCTTTCCCCACCTTTTCCAGAAATTTCTTTCTCCCCAATGGCATCACACCCATGAAGAGCACTAACGCTTTTAACAGTGTGCATAAAATTTACTCTGGATCGAACCTAGTTTTTTCTGCCTCTTTTCAGTTGGATGGTATCCGAGTATCAGGCAAACCAACGCCCCAACCAGCCACCCCCTCGGCCCGCTGCTGTCAACAAGACGGTGGAACTAACCAAGATGGTTATTACAGCTAGTGGACTGCTGCTTTGTTTTGTGAAGCCAACAAATCTCAGGATTACTGAATCCACCGGCACAAAGTTCTCTACACGCATTCTCTCTCATACAATGCTGCCATATCTATCCTCGAAAATCAAACGAGCTTTTCACGAACTTTTTGAAATTTTCAAGTTTGACTTGATGGAATGACAAAAGTTGAAAGGATCAATGAAAGCTCGAGCCAGCATGCTTTTGTCGTCTGGCAAATGGATCCTGCTGATACTTACTCTTGACAAGTATCTAGAACAAACGGTATTCAGTAGTTTGCACACTGGATATTGATTACTTGAGCTTGGGCATCAAGGATGCAGGCAAGCCTCAACGTGCATTCAAAGGTTTCATCTCACATCACCAACTGACGCTATCCTGTATGATCCATGCATTGACTGGCATTACTGCTTCCGAGGCAGTCAACGGTTGAAGATCGTATTACATCCTGCTACGGATTTGATACCCTGTTGCAGCCCTTGAAACTTGCACTAGAATGGCATCGTTGCTAGGCATTGAATTCCGTATGGAGTCATCTACGTACCGTCGTCCATTGTTCTCCGTGTGAGTCTGACCGTTGTCGCTCAAAATTCATTGCAACATCGGCATTAGATCAAGAAATCGACCCTTTGCTTACTGCAATTTCCCGGACTGTTTGCAAAGTGCTTTTATATCTAGCTGAGTTTGCCACAAATGTTGTTCTTTGTTGGCGTTGGACTTCACCCTCTGCATTATTTGGCCCTTGACTCTTGAGATTCCTTAAGGGTGCCCATCATATAGTTGACATACCGAGTGGACCACACTGAAGCTAAGATGGGGAAGATCACCATACTGTCTCAATTGATATGGCTTGGGCTGGCAAGTGCTCAGATTACCAAACTCCCTCTCATAAGAAACACCAACGACTTGGATAACGAATTCGCTGCTTCTCTACCACCTCCACAAAAATACACCTTGGCACCATGGCCTGAGGATGAAAGTAAGCGCTTTACCTTCCCTCTTTTTTCTTTTCTCTCTTTCTTTCTCTTTTCTTCAAGTCGATTTGTGTTGGCTCTCGCTGATTTCTTGTTTGCAGTTAAACGAGGGATTCCGCAGCGCCCTGAGTGGGGCGAAAGTCTTTACGAGCCAAAAGCCAATTTTTATTGCAAAGATGACTTCACTATTTATAATGTTACTTTCCCTGATGTGAGAATCCAATTTGCCTCTTCCTGTCCGCGGCACCCACTGAGTTTGCGTGGAATACAAAGCTTGAGTTGTCTAATGCGAGTGTATATAGTGTCCTAAACCCTGGGTTGTAGGCCACTGTACAAAAGCAACCATGGATAGAGAAGCCACCATGAGCCTCCTTGCCCGCCTCCCACCAAGCGCCCGGGGTATAATTTCAGACCTCCTTGTCCCAGCGTATTTAGAGGGCCACTGGATTCGATACATTTCGGCTAATTCTGCGTTTTTATGCGGTGGGTTTCGGCCGGCTGATGCGGTCAAATTAGTTGCCACAGCAATTAGCCAGGACGTGCGTGGAAGTCTCATGGATGAATTTCAGCGAGCTGTTGCTGCTGACACCTGTGTAAGTGATGAGGATGCTGCGAAGGATCTTAAGAAGGACGGTTCACATGCATGGGCATTGGAGAGTGGCTTCATAATTTCAGCATATCTGAAACTTGTGAAACCTTCATTGGACGCAAGCTGCATGAGTAATCAGCTCAAACTCCTTGATCCCATCCTGAACAAGTATTGGGATACACCGGGATGTCCGAACAAGGTAGCACCCGAACTCATTAAATATAAGTAAGTACGCGTGATACACCTATCTCTTTTATTTTCAAAATGGACTGTAATAACCAACGATTGCAATAGGGGTATTCTATTCCCGGACGGGCTAGAAAGTCTAGAAGAAGCTAGCCCTATCTCAGGCGCCGAACCCACGGAGGTTGTTCAATGGGAAAAGGCCGAGGGCGTCCCTGAGTATTGCTGGAGTTTTGCTCAAGACAAAAGGGGTGATGGCAAGGTTTATTGCACTGCTGATCATCTCAGTGTTTACAATGTCACATATTCAGACTGTCCTGATCAAGATCCCTGGGCAATTTGCCGCTGTGATGATGCACAGCATTCAGTGAAGACAATGACGGAAAAGTTTGGTCGAGTTCCTGCAGGTTTACGGAGTCGTGTCCGCCATCTACTTGCCCTCGGGGATACGAGGTCACACGGTCTCCAAAGGGATCCCTGGAACATAATTGTAATATACGGCGATGCTCATGATAGTGTGTATATGCATGAGTCATCACACTGCGCTGACCACGGCTTTAGCAGCAGTGAGGCTTTTCTAAAAGCCAAAGAACAGGACACGTGCTGGCCAACAGACTACTCCAAATCGTCAGATGCAGATCTATTTGCTGAGACTGGTGTGGCATATCTTTATGACAAAAGCGGCAAAACACTTCGTGAGCGCGGGTTTGATCCATCCTGCCTATCAAATGGGTTCAAGGCGCTGGGTGACTATGTTGGGAGCGAGTTTGCGAAAGACAGTCGGTGTTTCAAACGGGAACCAAACTCCAGAATTATTCATCCAAGTGAGGTCGGGGTTACGAGCGCAGAACCACCCCAGTGACATGGCTATTGAGATTTTCCCTTGAAACCAGATCCCAGTCTAAACCACTTCGAGCAGACACAAGAAATCCAGCTGAGCTGCTAGGGATTGTATTCTAGCTACTCTTCTAAACACAGGGAGACAATATAAACAAGAAATATTTTCCTTCAGCTTCCATCAGCATTTAAAAAAGAAGTTTCATTGAAATTTCCATATCCGAAATGATGTGACTGCGTCGTAGTAAGAATGTGAAAATAAAGTTCTGTATAAGGAACAAATCATACCAATCCAGCTCTCAGTTTTGGTTCTTTCGACGGACCATTCGGCCAGCCAATACAGGAGATACGAAATCTCAGGCTGAAATCGAAAATTCGAACCCATTGCCACTCCAATATCTGCTCTTTGGCCGCCATTTCCCAAGGGCAATCCTGCAGGGTAAACAGTCCTAGCCGCGTAGGGGTCAAGAACAGTGTATCGTCAAGAAAAGCACTGAAACAGAAACTCTTCCATCACATTTCCCTTCTATCAACGAATCAGGCCACGTTTGGCAGATGGAAGAACGTTTTGTTCATGCATTCCCGGGGAGGAACCTGGTGTAGAGAGGAATACCAAAACCATCAACCCAACATAAATACGATACGAATCCCGCCGTCCCCCAATACATGGGAAGAATTCATCTACCCAAAAATAGTAGAAATAGTATGATATGGAAATATGTGCGTGCTCTGTAATAACGTATTGAGTCAACGTCGTCGTCGTCGAACTCAGATGAAAAAAAAAAAAAAAAAACAGTGAATAGCCGAAACGACAACCGAGGCGACGCTACTTTAATTCTTTAGTGCAAGCGCTGGTCCCAATGTCATGGATATGGACGTCGAGCACATGACGAACAATAACAGGCTCAGTGGGTCGACTTACAATAGTTCGAAGAACGTATGTTTAAGGGCTTACGTTTTTGTGCTGTTTACCTTATCCTCAAGGGACACACCGCTAACCTCCAAGCTGAGAGCTAAAAGCCTTTAACGACATTTGGGTCAAATGGGTCTTTTCGTGTTTTTTTTTATATCATCAATGACGGAGGATCCTCTCAAAAGTTTTGATCAAGTACTAAGAATTTGAGTTGTAATGTTGTAACCGGCATTAAGTATTTCCTTTCCATGTCTTAACAAGAGTTACAGCTGGGTCCTAGGGGGTTAATGCCTGTGGCGCCCGAATAAACCACTACAACTGAACTAAAGATAGCCTAAATCTCGGGAATGAAGATCCTTGAGAATGGTAACAATATTACAACTTAAATTCTTAGTGCTTAATCAAAACTTCTGAGAGGATTCTCCATAGAACCTCTCAGATGTTTCAAGTTCAATCAGTACTGAATCGATAGATAAGATAGAGTGACATTTTCGTACGAGAGGCGATATGAAGTCTCCGAGATACGAGATATTACAAGATATTATCTCCCACACTACCCGCTTGTGTAAAGGATATGACCAAACTCCCACAGTTTTTTTCCCCTACTTCTGCGATTCAAGCGGTTTCACAACGTCGTACTTTCATGTCACCCTTGATGATATCCGCGCAATCTCATGACACCTTGAATCCATATATAGAAGGTTTGAACGCAATCTTGACTTCAATGCAACATATCCCCACATGCACCGGATGTGGTCATGTAGAGGGTATACGGCGAAAGACAAACTGTATTGCGTCGTATCATATCATATTCGAAAGGGAGGAGAAGGTCAAGAAAATATGACGATTTGGTGTGCAGACAGTCAAATTGAATTTTTGAGCCAGTCCGTATCAAATAGCTGACCTCATTTGTAACTCTCAGTGCCTAGCTCCCGTTGATAAGCAAATGCACATGGAACAGCCAAGGTCACAAAACAAATGAATTCGTTGCCATACAGGAGCATTCACGGCATTATAAAAGGCATACAAAAGCAAGTTTGAAAGGGGCGTCATATACACAAGTCTATCGTTTGCGGGAAGTTGTTGAATGCTCTAGGGCGAGGGTCCTCTAAACTATAACCTCTTTGATCTCGTCGTTCTAAACTCATTTGGCTGGTCCGCTGCGACAATCCGCATACCATTAGTATGGTCACTACATTCAGAAAGGCAGAAGTGGAAATTACCTTAAGTTGCCATACCAGTCAATGCTTTTCACATGAAATAGAAAGTGCTCTGAAGACACTGTGATGTCACTTCCAGAGGCGCGTTGGAACTTCAGCAGCACCCACCCTGCTTCAACCAAGGTCAGTGCAAACCCAGGTGAAAACCAGTTGAAGCAGATGACCCATAGATTTGGTTCTATTCTCCACTCGGTGATAATATCACCAGCAGAACTCACTTTTGCAATGGAGGGGAAGCAAACTCTCCTTAGGTTGTAAAGAGAATACCACATCCCCCCATCCATCTCAAAATGTCCTCAATAGGAACAATGCCCCTCTTACGCTCACTACGTTGCAGATCAACTTAAGCAGGCAAGCTACCAGACTTGCCAAAATTGCGCTTCAGCTCCATGCAATGAGCCATCGAACCATAGCTTTCTGAGGCTTCAGAAATCCCGATTATAGTCTCCGTTCGCACAAAAGTTGGAAAACCAAATACTAGTCAAAAATGTGAAAGAGAAAAAATATATCCAAGGAATGAGGATGTATTTGTGTGTGTGTTTGAAAAGGTAAATTGATAACCAAAAACGGACCAGGCTCCTCAGGATTCCAAGAAAAAGGATCAGGATACAGTGGATCATTCTACTGATAAAGAAACTTCTTCTTCTCTGTTCGCCAATTCTATCTCTGAAAACGCCAGAAGCCAATCCTCTCATTACTCTGCAGGACTCCCAATCTGACCTTTTTATCTTTCAACTTCCTGGATCTCATCAGCCCATCCAACACTGAACCTGCAGCAGCATGTGGAAAATACGCTGAGTCCCGCGTCATGGCAGAAGCATACCCAAGCACATCCGGCATATTGGCAAAGGAAGCTAACATGGAGGATGTGATAGCTGCAAGGAGCATGGCGGCGCTTGTAATCAGGAGAAACTACCAGCCATGCGGCATTGGTGTTGTAAGATGATGTTCAAGAACTGCAACGGTTCCGATCGTGCTGCCCTTGAACGGATCTCCAGTGGACATCCGTATAGTGTACCCGGGGGGCTTTTTATTTAGGCCGCTGACCATTGCGCTGGGAAGAGGTCGGTCCAGTAATAGGTGCCCAAAACTTGTGTAAGGCATCGTGATAATACGGCTTTCTCGGGATGCTATAATTGCATGTTGATTTCTTGTACGGGGAGCACGTTTCTGTGTCGTTCAAGTATTTCCGAGCGAGGGGATTAATTTCTCCAGTTCGGCTAGGAACAGGAACAGAGTTATACGCGGGGTATGGTTAGTCGCGGTCCCGCGACGCCGTTTCGGAGCACTACAGCTTATTGCTCGAGGATGAATCACCGACACAGTACACAGCCGATTACAAAAACTGCTCTTTGTTGCAATAGGCCACAGACTCCGGGTCCATGATCCCCGAAAGGT